TATAAAATCCAAAAATATGATGCACTTTAATTCAGATGAAGATATTTATGAGAATAACAAGTTTTTTAATTTCCAAAAGAAGAATAAAAGAATGAAATAAGGATAGTGGGGACCTTTAATATTTAACTTGATTGTAATTTTTTTATTTTATGAAAGAGGACTAAATTTTTTATTCTTATCTAGATTTATAATTAAAAAATTGATTTATTTTTAAATCTTGTCCTGCTAAAAAAATTCTTGCAGCATACCAAATCCATCAGTGACCATGGGTTTTAAATTCCTTAAATTTTTTAGGGAAACATCAATGTAAAAATTGTAATAATTTCAATTTAAAATTATTAATCACAAAAACTGCACTAATCTTAGAATTACATATAAACAATATTGCTTTTCATTCTACTAATCCTAAATTAAAATATCATCTTATCTAAAATTCCACATTTAATTTTGCCTTTATATTCTCCAACTTTTGTGAAAAACTATAAAACAAAAAATAAATAAGTGAAAAAAAACTTGAGCAAAAAAAATTTTTAAGTAATTTAAAACTCAATTTTTATCTATATAGATTTAATTTTTTTGATCACGCTTATGAGTAGAAATAGATTTGAAAAACCTAATTATGTTGATCAAATTTATAAGTTTAAATTATTCTTAATATATTTAAGAAAATGCTCAAAATCACGATAGTCTTTTGACTCTCTAGATAAGCTTATTGCCTTATCTATAAGTAAATCTAGGGCTTTATATAGTTTACAAAATTAAGTAATATCTTCAAAAATTTAAGTTAATTCCTTAACTCCCAAATCTAAATATAATAATAAAGATTACCATTAAAATATTCCTTATAACTTTGTAAAAAGGATTTTTCTTTAAGTATTGTAGCTTCTCACATAGGCCTTTCTATAAAAAAAACAAAACAAGAAACTTTTAATTGATAAAATATATCTTTTATTCAAAAAACCATAATTACGTTTTAACAGATTACAAAATAATAAATATTAGATTAATCAATATGAGCTAATATATTCTATATAATATTAAAAGAAATATTTATTTTTTTAATTAAAAAGATTTATTGAGAAAGTAAATTAAAAAGTAAGTTATTTTAGTGTATTAATTAATATAAATGATTTTTTAAATTTAATATGTTTATATCTTTAATCTTAAGTTTTAAAAAAAGAAGTAATTTAATATAAATTATATAATTAATTAACTTGTTTTAACCGAATTCAAAGTATGGGAAATGAATGTACTCAAAGTTGCAATATAAATACTTCATCAGAGGTTGGTTTGATAGGATTGACTATTGATGAAAGAGGGTCAATCATAAAAGAAGAATAATAAAGAAATTTACAATTTCCATTATAAGATGAATTGAACATGAACGCTTCTAAAGCACAGTTCTTTAATTCATAGAATAGCATTTCATATTTTTAGTAGCAAAAAGATTTAGATGATGTTTAAGATAGTACAAAACAATCACAAAAAGGTGCTACTTTTTAATAAAATTATAAATAGAACAATAAACTTGAAAAAAGAGCACCTTATAAATTTTAAAATGGTGCAATATATGATGGTTAATGGAAAGGAGTTTTTAGAGAAGGTTATGGAGTTTAGATATGTAAATAAATAAATAATGAAATAGGGCCTGATGGTGCAAAGTATGAAGGAGAGTGGATGAATAATTTGGCAAATGGAAAAGGGAAATTCACTCATGCAGATGGAGATATATATGATGGAGAATGGGTAGATGATAAAGCAAATGGATATGGACAATATCTACATTTGAACGGAGCTAAATATGAAGGGTTTTGGAAAAATGATTAATAAGAGGGTTAAGGTACTGAGGAATGGATAGATGGGTCCAAATATACAGGTAATTACTTAAATGGTAAGAAAAATGGATAAGGATATTATTAGTGGAGTGATGGTTCAACTTATGAAGGTAATTGGTTCGATAATAAAATAAATGGATTCGGAATATATAATTGGTGTGATGGAAGAAGATATGAAGGAGAATGGGTAAATAATAATATGCATGGTAAAGGAATCTATACTTGGAAAGATGGTAGAAAATATGAAGGGGAATATTAATTTGATAAAAAACATGGTTAGGGTAAATTTACATGGCCAGATGGCAAAGGTATATAATAGAAAATAATAGTAAGCTTATGAGGGTCTTTGGGCATATGGAAAGTAAAATGGTTAAGGAAAATATATACTTCCTGATGGAACTATTAAAATTGGAATCTGGGAGAAAGGAAACAGAATTGCTTGGTTAGATGAAGAACAAAATTAGACACCTATTTAATTGAAATAACAATTTTGATAATTAATTTATCCATATAATTATTTTATTTCTTTTATGCTTTAAAAATTCAAATTATTTTTCTTCCATAATAATTCAATCTTTAACTTCATAACTTACAGTTCTAAAATTATTCATCTATTAACATATAAATATTTTTAGATATTTAAAGCAGCCATGCAGAAATACGAACAAACTTTAAGGGAGATTTTCATTAACTAATGTATTTTGATGGAGAGCAAATTTTAAATGATATTAAATACTATTTCAAATATTTTTATAATGATAAATTTCTTAAACTCATATTAATTATATTAGGAATTTCATTAAAATTAAGGATAGAAGTGATAAATGTAAGGATGTTATTGATAAAGTAATTAGGTATTCAAAATATTACATTCTGTTTATTTTAGTTAATTGATGTAGCAATATTACTGATACATTTAAAAGTCGAAAAATGAGTAGTACATTTATGGTTAATCATAATATAATTATAGATGTTTTTGATTATCTGAACAAATACCCGAATTATGATATTCCTCTTTCACTTTATCAGTTGAAGATTAAGGTTCTACAGCGGAATTCTTTTTTGAAATTTTAATAACCACTTTTTTATCTAATATTTTTTGCAAAGTTTTTATTTCTAAATACTATTTTATATTGTCTTTATTATTCTCTTATTTTATTACAAGTTCAGAAAGATTATTTAAATTTTCAGAAAGTTGATTATTTTTTTATAATAGTTTAAGCTGAAATTTTTATCGTTTTTTTAATATCAAAGAAAAAGAAGCTATTAAAATTTAGCATTCCTTCTTGTATTTAAGCTTTTGAACTATATTAGAAATTACTTCTAAGTATTATTAGAATTGTTATTATATAGCTTTTGCTTTATTTAAGCTAAACATTAGTTGTTTTAATTTCCAATTCAATTTAACATACTTAGAGTTCTTAACATTTTTGATTTCAATTAAATAATTTTACAATGTTTCTAATAATTCAAAAGGTTTGTTTGATGAGTAAATCGAAACCAGATTAAGTTTACTATCCGAATAACTGTTTATATCATATAATTATATTTGAGTCTGATCCATTGTAGCTAAATACTATTCTTACAATTCATCTAAATGAAGTAATAGTTTTTTTATTCCTGAAAATGATAACTAATTTTTAAGCAATATACCGTTTTTCATATTTTAATTCACTAATATTTTTAATTATATAAATTTTATAATCCTTTAAATTCTATAAAATTATTTTATGCTTTTGATGTTTAGATTTGTTCAACACTTAAAAACTTTAGTTAAAAAAGTATATTTAGAAAGTTAATATGTTTAAATTATTAGAATACAGTAATCTATGATACTAAGCTATACAATTTTTATATGTATTAAAATTTTAAAAATCCATCAGAATATAAATTAATACACAACAATTGAAAAGAAGAAATAAGAAATTGCAAATTTATTAAAGGACGACTTAAATCTAATTATATCACCAAATATATATAAATTTCGGAAATTGATAAAAATAGCTTAATGATTGAAGAATTATTCATCAATTCAATTGAAAATGAATAAGATTGGAAAACAATTTAAAGTAGCAATAATAAAGATAAAATAAATTTGTTTTTTAACAAACTTAAAAGTGGAGAGTATTTAGTATTGAGTAATAAAAAATAAATCAAAATTTTCACAACAATTTAAAAAGTGTAATAACCAGAAATAAATTTAACTTAATAATGGTAATAATTCTTAAAGGTTTTGATTTAATTCAAGTAAAATATAAGATAATTCTTAAACTTAATTTATAGAATTTGGATTTCCATAAAATTAATCAAATATTTATTTTAGGATGAATATCTATTAAATTACCTAAGTTATCAGATAAAATAAATGGTAATAAGGTGATTTAAAAAATAAAGATTGAATTACGGTGTTAATAATAAATAAAAATATATTTTTTGAGATTAAAAAATAATATAGATGCATAAAAATATAATGTAAATAGATGATTGGAAAGAATAAGTATGATGATAGAGTAAATAAATGACAAGTTGAAAAAAGTTAGATTGAATATTTTGAAAAATAATAATTAATTTTATTATATCGTTAATGCTGAGTCAAAAAAATTTATTAGCTGGGGAGAAAGATTTTAATTTAAACAAATTTCGAGATTCTTTATATGTTAGAATGTAAAGTCCAAGCTAATCAAAATTGAGCAGTGTAAAAAAGGAAGAGAATTCAGTTAAGAAATCAGGAAAAAATTCAATACATACAGATTTATAGCATCGAAAGAGGTGTTTAAAATAAGTATAAATAGTGTGCCTTCATTTGATGAATTATTAAAGACAATGAATACAAACAATGGATTTTGTTAATAATAAAATGTATCTAATCATAAGAGAAATATCACTGATTCATCTCGAAAGATGAGTGGTATCTATAATAAGATAGAATGTATGGGAAATAATGAAGTAAATTAATTAACAAAATTATCATAACCGTAATATATTTATAACAATTTAGATTCATTTCAAATATTCCACTATCAGTATCAAATAATTAATAACAAAAAAGGACAACTTTCTCGAGTAGTATTACAGAAAAACCTGTTTTTTCGAATGGGAATGGGAATTTATTAATGGATAAGTTATCTTTAAAAGAATTGATGGCAATTCGTAGTAAAATAGATAATAGCACATAATCTGAAGTACATGAATTAACAGCAAATTATGTGCAAGAACTATTAAAATTATCTTAAATTATAACAAGGCAAATAAAAAATATAAAGCATTGAAAAATGATATATTATATATATATTTAATAATAATAATATTAATATTAATAAGAATAAATATTTTTTAAGAAAATGGCTTCTAAAAATTTTATATAGAAACGCGTAGCTGAATAGTTTACAAAAAATATAATTCTACCAAACAGACCAACAGACTTACATTCTTATTAAAAAATGTTAATGCACAGATGCACAAATTTAGGAATGAAAGAATTAGATATAATTTTAGGAAGATGGTCATAAGAATTTGTACCTAAGATGAACTATGAGGAATTAAATTAAATGGAATCTGAAATTTTAGATTTAGATACTATTGATATCTATAATCTATTATTATAAGTGAAAGTGGCAGAAGAATTGAAACCTTTGGAAGAATTGAAATATGTATAAGAAATAAGAAATTATGCATTAAAAGGTTTGATATGAGATGACTATTAATTATACAGATTATTAAATAATAAAAATAATTTAATGTTCAAGAATAATTTCTACTCTTATGTGGGTGGTACTAGATCAGATATAGCTATGAGTATTGAATCATATTTTGAAGTAATGGAAGTCTTATTGGATTAATATATGAGTAGAGAAGTATGTAATATGATATTATCAATAATAAGATGTTATTCAACTTCAAGAATTGCAGTCAAGTACTGAATGATATTGTGGTTTCAGCACCATTAGCTTTTTTGCCTTTTTCACTTCTTGGAACATAATGGCTCTTTGCAGGTGCTAATAGAAAAGGAGCTAATAAAGCATATGGACCTATACTTGCATCTGTACATATGTTAGTATTATGGAGAGCTTATACTGCTCCTATTCCAAATAAATTATTCACTAAAATAATTGCTGATCCAACTATTGATGGATAATATATTAGGTATCAAATTATTATTATTATTAATGTAGAACTTAATTATCGGTAATGAAACCAGGATTATGGTCTGTTTTAAGCAGAGAATTATATCATAAAGGATATAGATTTCCAGAAATGTTAGAGTTTAAGACAGCTACAGAATTCCCAACTGGATTTGTCAAACCTTATTGATGATTTATCATTATAAAATAAATATATCCAATATTTAATACAATTTTTTATTTTATTATTAATACAAAAGTATATGGAGGCAGATTAACTATTGGTGACTAATTTTTTTATAGAATAATAAATAAAAATATTAAAACCCTAACCTCTAGCTATTAAATAAAGTGCTGAAATTTTATAACATTACTATAAATTGTATGCAGTAATAATTTTAACATATTACCACATTTATTAGAAAGAATAAGTCAAAATCCTAGAAACGTCTTTAATCAGCATTTATTCATTCTTTCAATCTGACAACATAAAGGAGGATTATTAGGATATCAACTCTAAAATAAATAATTTACTTGAAGATATTTCTAAAATTGATGATCATGCAATCAAAAAAGGATAATTTCGTAGATCCATCAATCGAAAGTCATTATAAAAGTATGTCATTCTTATTTTATATAATAAATATAGATCATTTAAAAATTTATCTTTAAAACTTAGAATAACTTTCGATATTATCAGTAAAAAATGGATAAATAAACAAAATTTTAAAAATTAATTAAGATGGTCTAATCTATGCATAAGAAACATATAAAAGTATATTGATATATTTATGATAAAGTTCTTTGAATTTAGATTTAGCATAAGTCTCTAAAAAGCTTTTTAAAATGTTTATTTGTAGAATTTGTGAATAACCAATATAAGCAGCACTTATGACTTAACATTGTATAAAATGTGAACAATAAGCTGAAAGCAAAAAAAAATTATTAGAATTAAATTTAGAATTAACAAATATTTGTGAATAAGCTTATTTAGAAAAAAGAAATGTATAAGTAAAATTAGCAATTAAAAAGTATTATTATTATATCTATAGTAAAGAATGAGAGATAAAACAAGAAAAAGATAATATCATAATACAAAATATATTTATAGAAGAGTCTAGACTTTAGATGATTAGGATGAGGATGAAGATAATTAAAATGATTATCAATAAGAATTGAACAATATAGTAAATATAATGACGCAAATTATTAACTTTGCTGAAAAGACATTAAATAATGTTGCTGAAGTTGAAGATACTAAATGTAATAACTTTTCTTGAGCTTTATTAATAGAAACATTAGTACTGTTAAATGACATAATTAATGCAATTGAATGTATTGAAAGCCAAGAAACATTATAGATTATAAATGCAACTCATAAATGTTTATTAGATAGACTTGATTATTAAAAAAAATAAGAAAATATTGTTAATAATTCAATAGAAAGATCACCTAATCAAAGTTAAGATAATATTAATAAAATTAAAAGAGCATTTACTAAATCTAATTCAATATCATTTAGAATGCCTAAATTTAAAAATTCTTAATCTCCTTCTTAAAGAATATCTACAGATCCCATTTAAGAAGAAGATGATTCACCATCATCTCCATAAATTTAATCATCTTAAAAACTTGTATCTTAGAGAAGAACTTTTAAAATGAATTCTTCTATTTTTAAAGTCAGTGATGGATCAGAATCACCAAAATCTATTAAATAACCACTTGCTTTAACTTAAATTAAAAATAGTTATTTTTTTTAAACAGAAGTTAATTAATCAATAAATACTTCTATTAGTGAACTATCACTAGAATAAGCATAATAAAAATCAAATAATAATCTCAATTAATCGAGAGATAAAATTTAAAGTTCATTATAAAAATTATCTTAATTTAAAGCATCTATCTAACCTATTTTAATCAAAAATTAAAAAATATAAAATTTAGAAGAAATTACAGAAGAATAAAAATAATTTAATAAAATTAATGTAAAAAAATAATCCATTAAAGATAGTGAAAATTCATCTAATATTTCAAGTATGGAATCAGGTAATTCTAATTCAAATAATAACGAAATGAATAATTTAGCATCGAAAAAAAAATTAATAAAAAAGAAGAAGTTAAGTTATTAATCATAAGAAATTGAAAAAATGCAATTAAATTCTAAAAATACATAAAGAAAAAGTAAATTCTTTGAAAATTAAATTTGTAAATCTCCAATGATTTTGTAAGAAAATACAATGGATGAAGTTTTGATAGATAAAGGTTATAATTCTGATTCAAATTTAATAAAAACTGTTTCGCCTTAATTAAATGAAATATCAAAAGTTGGAATAAAGGATTTTGAATTCATAAAATTATTAGGAAAAGGAGCTTATGGATGGGTATTTTTAGTAAAAAAGAAAGGTTCAGGAGATCTTTATGCTTTGAAAATAATAGATTGTGCTTAAAGAGTAAAATAAAGTAATATAATAGAATTTAGAAGCATTTTTGGAATAGTTAAAAGCTGAAAGAAATATATTTGAGATATTAAATAGTAGTTTTGTAGTAAAAGCCTACTTTTCATTTGTTCATGAATAATATCTTTGTTTTGTACAAGAATATATGATGGGAGGTGATTTAGCTAGTATTTTAAAATAATATACAGTATTATCTTAATTAATAATTTATTAAGGCACTTGATGAATTTTATGTTTAGCATTATATGGCTGAGATAGTTTTGGCATTAGAATATTTAAGATAATAAAACATTGTACATAGAGATTTGAAACCAGAAAATATTTTATTAGATTCTTAAGGTCATTCTAAGCTTGCAGATTTTGGACTTTCAGAATAAGGAGTGAATAGTAGATTGAAATTAAAAGAAAATTTGAATTCTAATAATTTTGTTGAAATACCAACTTGTGTAGAATAAATCAGTGATTAATAGGCTTATTAGCCTATATATAAGTAACTTAAAAAAGTAGAATCTATTTTAGTGGAGAAACAAGGAAGCAAAACTAAAAAGTAATATATATATATTAAAAATCGTAGGATAGTTGGTACTCCAGATTATATTGCTCCTGAGATTATATTAGGAACTTCAATTAGTAATTTTAGTTTAGATTATTGGAGTTTGGGTATTATAATGTATGAATTACTTTGTGGTATTACACCTTTTAATGATGATACTGTTGAGAAAATCTTTGATAATATTCTTAATATGAGAATTGAATGGCCTTAAATAGGAGATGGAGAAGATTGTATTTCAGAATAAGCATATGATTTAATAGTCAAATTATTAGAGCCAGATTTTAATAAGAGAATTGGCCACAAATCTATTGAAGAAATAAAAAATCATAAATTTTTTAAAGGTTTAAATAATCTCTCTTATTTTATAGGTATATTATGGAATAGGTTATTGAGTAAACCAGGATTAATTATTCCAGAATTAAATTGTGAATCAAAAGACAATGAAAAAATGCAATAGTTTTTAAAAAAATTGGAGAAAACTAATAAAGATTAAGAAAATAAAAAATTAGCTTAATAATTGAAAGCTTAACTTTAAAATTTGGAAAGAATTGATTTATTAAAATAAAGAAGCACATAAGAATCAGAAAAATATTTGTATAAATAATTATTAATTAGATCGTAAGTTGAATTTGAACAAAAAAAAATTTTAAATCAAATTGATTTACTTACATAACTTTATGCCAAAATTTACTAAATATACTCTAAATAGTAGTGAATAAATCTTTGTTTTAATAAATTATTATGTATATTTTTTAGATTAATTTTATAATAATTTTACTTATTCATATTTAGAAATTAATTGATACATTTGAATATATTAATAATATCCATGTATACAAAAGATGGTATTAAATTGTTTTATGAATAAAAATATGAATAGGAAGTTCTTTCAACTTAGATAGATGACAAGGAATCTTGACGAGTCTTTTAAAGAAGATTTAGATCTATATATAAAATTATTGTAAAAGAAATATTAACCAAATCCATAAAGATTGAATAACGATAAATAAATGCTATAACAATGGGATTAATTTAAATAGTTTAGATTATCAAATATAATAGACACTACCTTGGATTCAGATATATTTAAGATATGTATATGTGATTTTTTGAAAAAAAAAAAAGTAAGTATGGAATTTTGGATAAAAGTTGCTTATGATGTATTTCATGATGAAACTAAAGGAAAATAAGTGAGAATGAAATTTTGGAGATCAATGAGAAAGAAATCAAATAGTTTAGAATTAGACTTAAAAAATAAAAAATGGCCTTTAGCATGGAGATATTTAGAAAGAGAGCCATGTTTAAATCTAGAATTATTAAAATTGTATGAATAATACATGCCAATTCGACCTTTTTTTGCATAAACATTAAATACTATGACAAATATTACTTGTGATTTAAGAAGAATGCCAATGTTAAAGGAAGAAAAATCAATAGAATTTGATCTATCTAAAACTACTTGGTTTCCTAAAATAGATATGTGTGGACCAGCTATTTTAGAGTAATTATCTAGTTCAGACAATTATTTTTGTGAATAACTAATAAAATTTACAACAGAAATGAAGACTATAATGTTTCCAATTTTAGATTTTTTTAGATTAGATAAGAAAAAAGGAAGAATAATTAATTTATATGGTGAACAACATGATTTTGTATTAGAAGTACTTTATTCATTAAAAGCTTTTTGTGGATAATAAATAAATTATACTTAAGGATCTTTAAAAAAGAAAAAGAATTATAAATGTACAAATTCATATAAAATTAATGAAATGTAATGTAGTATTATGTTAACTACATTATCTGAAAATGATTTGAATTAAGATGTAATGAATGACATTTAAAATAATATTTAAGGAGGCTATTCTGCATTTATTTAGGATAATTAGATGTATTATCATAATGAAAAGAGTCAAAGATTAGTTCTTATATTTAGTTAAAAAAGATTATAATTTGGGAGACTAAAAAAAGGAATTAAGTTTTATTAAATTCCTGATTAACAAATATCAGTATTAAAAAATAAATTAGATTATGAATTTCTAGTTTATTATGCAAACATTTTGTTTAATAAATGTATGATAGTTTAATAGAATTGCAGTTCAAGAAAGCCTTTTTATTAAGTTATGATATGTATGTGGACATATGTATTGGCAGTTTATTTATCAGGTGAAATTCCAAATTTAGAAGGAGCTAACGTTTTTTAAGATAATGAGAAGGGTGATTCTTCATTAGATATTTAAATTGATTTAGGATTAAGTTCTCATGAATAAACTAATGCAGAACCTGAATTTGAATAAGATTAATTTTAAAAAACAAGCTTTGAATTTACAAACTTGATTGGAGGAGTTAGTTTGGATCCGAGTGAAGAGGAAGATTGTGTGATTGTAGACTAAATATAAAAGAAAAAGAAAATTATCTTAGTATGATTTATTAATATATATCAAAAAATTATAAGGATTATTGTTATAATACTAATTCAAGCAAAATTTTTAAGGAAATTAGAATAATAGTTTAAAATCAAATGCAAAAAAATTATTCTATAAGGAACTTAACTTCAAATCTGGATTAATATTTTACAAATGATTTTAAAGAGATTTAAAATAGAAGTTCTTAAAGTTAAATTGATTAAAAATTGATTAAATACGAAACTTAACTTCTGAGGGATTGGGATTAATATAAAATCTATAGATTATTTAAGATTGGGAATGATTTAATCTAAAAATAATGTATGAAAATATGTTTATGTGAATTTAAATAATAAAGATATACTACAATTGAATTTTGGATTAAAGTAGCTTTTGATTTAATGTTTCATGAAAAAATAGGAAAGTTAATAAGAGAAAGGTTATTAAAATGTTTTCAATAAAAACAAGATGTGTTAATAGTAGATTTAATCAATAAAAAATGGCCATAATGTTGGAACAACATTATAGAAGATTCTTGTCTCAATCTTGAGATTATTAAGCTTTATCTTGAATATATACCTATAAGGATGTTTTTAGCAGATAATATAAAATAAAGAACTAATATAATTGTTAATATAAATAGAATGCCTTTTCTTTAAGAAAATTATATTATGAAGCTAATTGTAAAAGATGATATTTATTTACCAAGTTTAAAATTTACTGGGCCCAATTTACTTTAGTAGATTTCCAATTCTGGAAATATATTTTGTAATTAGATATCTCTTTTTATAAAAAATATATCTCCTTTTATTCTACCTATTCTGGATTTGATGAATTGTAGTAAAAATGAAGGTAAAACCATCAATATATATGGTTCTTAATTTAAATTTATTTACTAATTACTTCTTTCATTAAAAGTTATTGGAGCTAAGAAGATTGAGAATACAAAATAATCTATAAGGTCAGATAAAAAATATAAATAAATATAATAATATAAATCTAAAAATTTAAAAAATGAAATCATAATTACTATGCTTGAATAGAAAGATATAAAATATCATATCTTATTAGATATTAAGTAAAATTATAAAAAAGGATATGTTGTTCATGTTTCAGAAATACAAGAATGTGATAAAGCAAAAAAAAGACTAATAATAATATGTAGTTCTTAAAAATTAAGTTTTGGCTCTTTAGATCCCAAAATCACTTTATACAAAATAGAAGATGAATAAATTTCCGATATACTAAATGGAGTAGAATATCAATTTTTAATATATTTCACTAATATATTATTTAATTATCATGAATTAGAAAATCATGCTCATGGAATAAGATAGAAATATTCATAAATTATGATTTGTATGTGGTCTTATGTATTAGCATAATATTTTCTTAAAAATCCTTAAACTTTGGTTACTAATAATAGAAATGATCATCAAACATATATTACTAAAAATTCCGAATAGAAAGATGATTTAGAAATATAATTTTCAGATGATTTAAGCAGTAGTGATGATAGTGAAATTATTCTCCCTACTAATTCATAAATACCTATAAATTTATCTAGATCAAATAAATGACTGAAATGAATATTTATTTAATTTAAATAATGAACAATATTTAAGTTATTAGAATTGAAAAAATTCTTAATATATTTTGCTTATATTTAAAATTATTTAAATTTATACAAGTACTAAATTAAAGAAAAGATTAAATAGCAATAGAAATAACTAGTTAAAAGTATCTAAAATATATTTAACAATAATAGTTTATTTTATTATTATATATATTATTACCAAAATGTTTCTTAATCCTGAAATGATAAAAGAAGCATAAGACTCTTCTTCAATTTAAAATTCATAATTAAGTTCAAGACAGCAAAATAAATAAAGGTCCAATAATTAGAGTCGATTTTAAGCAAAACAAAAAGACGAACCAAAATCAAATAATAAACCTTTGAGTAGAATTTAATAAGTAAACTGTAATCTTATGGCTCTAGAGAGAACTTGAAATTCAAAAAAAGTAGATAGAGTCCTAAATTTAAGATAATAATGAAATGGTTGAAAGTATAGTACAATTTGATTCAGATGATGAATAAAATGGAGCAAATTAAATTATAAATCCTCTTATTCTAAATTAATAGGAACATGAAGAATAAATTGTATATATATTTCATATTTTGAGTAATAATAACAAGTTATGCAATCTAAACCTAAGATATTTGATTCAATCAGCGCATTATAAAATAATACTTATTATAAAAAGAAATTAGGTCAAAATGAGTCTTCTTATGGTTAAGACTATGATTTTAAGATGGATTAAGTAAATAATTGCAACATTTTTAGTTAACCATTATTGGAAACAATCATAATTAGTATTACGAACCTGGATATTAAAACAATTTATCAAATGATCTACCTTAACTTTAAAAATAAAATAATAATATTTAATTTGACTATACAAAAAAAAATTAAGAAAAAAAATATTAATAAAATTAAGAAGAAGCTTAAATAATAAATAACCTTTCAAAATATCAATAACTAAATTAAAATGAAGAATTTAATGATATTATTCAGATAGATGGCAATTAATCTGAGATTTGTTTTGTAAATAATGATCAATAAGATATGTAAAATAACTCAAAAAATGAAAAAGAATAATAAGAAAAATTTAATAAAGATGAAAATTCTTTTAATGAATTAATTGATAAACAATAATAAATAATAGAAAAACCAAATGAAGATTAATAATTATAATAATAATAATAATAATAATAATAATAAGATTAATAATAATAAATCTAATAAAAATAAACCTCTCCATATCCAAAACCATTAGCCTCAATTTCAATGCCACATGGAAATAAACATTTTTTTTTAAATCCTGCATAGAAAGGAGGGATGATTTAATGTACAATAAAACGAGATAGAAGTGGAATGTGTAGATTTTATCCAAAATATCATTTGCATATTTCAAATGGATTCTCTTACTTAATGAGTGCAAAAAAAAGAGCATGTAATAATACAAGCAATTATATCATTTCATAATCTAGAGAAGATATGGAAAAAAGTGAAAATTTTTTAGGTAAAGTTAGGAGTAATTTTATGGGGACTGAGTTTGTATTATATGATTCAGGTTTAAATCCAGAAAAAACAAAAGATCCATAAAAATATAGATAACAATTAGGAATTGTTTAATATGAAAGTAATATACTTGGTACAAAAGGACCTCGTAAAATGGTGGTAAATCATTTAATTAAATAAAGGTTTTATTGCCAAATTTAAATGAAAGAGATTAACTTTATGAATTCAAGCCTTCTAATTCGAAGGATGGAATATTAAAGGAATATTTAAATAATAATAAAGAATAAATTGTCACATATGTTAATAGGCCACCTTAATGGAATGCAAAACATAAAGCATTTGTTTTAAACTTTTATTAAAGAGTTGATAAACCTAGTGTTAAGAACTTTTAACTAATAGTAGATTAGAAAGAAGACAACATATTACTCTAATTTGGTAGAGTTGGGGAAGATCTTTTCAATTTGGATTTCTAATATCCTATTACTCCACTTTAAGCATTTTAAATTGCATTAACTAGTTTTGATTACAAAATTGCATGCGAATGAAATGTTTTGTCATTAAAATAAATCAATTATTTATATATTTAAATTATACAAAAGAGAAAATGTAAAACAGGCCATTAGATTGGATTTGTATTGGCTGCAAAAACTTGAATTATTCTTTTAGGAAATACTGTAACCGATGCAAAACCTTTACAAGAGATGCTCCAGGAACAAAATTTATTCCATTAGAACAAACAAATCTAATTGACTCATTGAAACTCTCAGAACCTGATCTAACTGGTAGTGGACATAGTACTACAGATAGTGTTGGAAGTAAAGCTCAAGATCAGACCATCTTTCATTAAGCTCTTTTCTTGGAGAATTTAACACAAAGTAAACAAGAAACGGTTAATAAGAACTTCAATTTTATGAAAATTTGTACACTATGTAAAACTGAAAATTATTTTTATCAATCCAAATGTAAGCAATGTGGATTTATAATTGCTTTATGATCTAAAAATACATGACTTGATTTTAATTATTATTCATAACTATTTCTTATGCTGTAAATCAAAAATAATATAAAACTATAATTTTTATCCTATTTTATCATTATTCTATTTGTTTGAGTACTTTCTAATATACAAATCATATTTATTTATTGTGATATAGAAGTAAAATTATTTTTAATTTTATATAAATTTATTAGTAGTTCTAGAGGTATTCTAATTATAAAAAAAGTTTGAATATGATTATCACATTTATAAAATAATTTTCTAATTAAAATAGGACTCTAAAAACGTTAATTTACTAATTAATATTATATAGAACATGTAAAATTCTGATAAAATCTAATGTTTACTCATAAAAATAAAAAATAAGGCTGAGAAACAATAAAAATTCTTATATTATAACTTAGAATTATTATTTAAATATGATTTATCTATGCAGTTTAATCAAATACAGGATAAAACTTTGAGAAATATAATATTAAAGAGAATTCTTATATTAATAATATTAATTATTATTTATTAAGAGTTAAAGTAATTTAATTAAATGAAAAAAAATATAATGATTGAACATGATTAATCAATAGCACTTCAATAGACTATATTTCGAAATGGTGTTTCTGCAATACCTTCACTAGTAAAAAAGAATAGTATGGGTTTGGCATTAGAAAATATTCCTAGAACATAAACATTTTCAAGACAAATGCAATAATCATGTCATAATGATAGTGTCTAATAATCTAGAACTCCAACAATGAGAAATGATTCATTTTATGGTAATATTTTTAAGAAACCATCTATTATAAAAAAACCCCCTTTTGTTTTAACAAAACCTGATAATGATTATACATGGCCCCTTTTTAAAATAAAAAATGATCCTCTAATAAAATAATTTTGGGATAGAAGAGCTTATAAGGATTTAGAAAAGAATTGGATATTTAATGAATACATGTTTGCTAATAATATGTTAAGAATAGGGAAAAAGAAAAAAATTGTAAAAGGTTATTTTTATAGATTAACTAATTCTGGATTACTAATGTATTATAAAAAGGTATGGTAATAATTAAATTAAAGGAATCCGACACATTACCAAAAGGTTTCTTGTAATTGAATATGAAAATAAGAATAGTTGTAAGTTTTCAAAAGACAAAAAGAAATTTACAATTGCCTATATTGTATTTAGAAAAGAGTTAAGGTATTGGGATAACAATATTTGATCACTTAATTGATTAGACCTTAAAATTAGGAGAGTGCATATAATAATTTTGTTTGATGAGAGGGTTTGCTGTTTTATATGAATAACTAGAATTATTGGGAAGTGGAGCTTTTGCTTCAGTATTTAAGGTAAGTAGAAAAAGAGATGAAAAATACTTTGCAGCAAAAACTTATTTCAAATAATTTTATGACGATCATCCTCATAAAGAAAGATTGCTTGTAAATATATTTATTTAAATATAGGTTAGTCAATGGTTTATAATGAAATTACAACTCTAAAAAATGTTGATCATTAAAATATAATAAAATTATATGAAGTGATACAAGAAAAAGATAAACTAATACTAATTATGGAATATTGTGCTGGTGGAACATTATATTCATATATAAAATAAAAAGTTAAATTCAACGATAAGCACTACGCTTATATATTAAAGTAATTATGTGATGCTCTATATGAGATGCATAGATTGAATTTTGTACATAGAGATTTGAAATTAGAAAATATTATGTTAGAATCAAAAGATTATTTATAATTGAAAGTGGTTGATTTTGGTTTTTCTGAAATTATTAATGAAAAATAATTGATTAGTTAAGCTGGAACACCTGGTTTTCTTCCTCCTGAAATATTCAGATAAATACCATATACTGCTAAAAGTGATATATTTAGTTTGGGAGTAATTATGTATTTGGTAATCATTTAATGTCATTAAGATTGTTGCTGGATATATGCCATTCAAAGCACCAACTGCCACATAGATTTTAGAATTAAATAGAAAATGTTAAGTTAATTTTGATAAGCATCCTTGGTAAGATGTTAATCCAGATTTAAAATATTTAATTAAAAAGATGCTTGAATTCAAAATTGAAGATAGAATAAGCTGTTTAGAAATTCTAGATAGTTCTTATATTTTACATCATTCTCGTCAGACATCTGAAACAAATTATAAATCTAATTAAATGTTAAGTGGACTTGAATTAGATAAATGTAATAGACAATCAATGAAAAGCATTAAACAGTCAGAATAATCTAATGATAGAAGCAAAGAATTTTAATTAGATTTTTCTATTCATACAAACGATATAAAGTCACTTTATTAAAGAAATTCTTAAAAAACTAATAAATCAAATAGATCAATAAATTCTTTAGCTAAAAATTAATCTTAAAATAAGATATCTAGATCAGCTCCTAAAGAATGTTAACTTTCAAAATTTTAGAGTACTAAAAAGGTAGAAGATTAAGAGTCACATAAAAGTCAAAGTAAAAAATAAAGTTCATTCGGAGATGTAATTATATGTAAATACTTTGATTAATATTAAATTAGAATAAGAAAAAAAGATTATAACATTTGAAGACACAGATTCTTTGAAATTAGAATAGATTCTATATTTAAAAAGATCTGGATTAGTATTTAATAAAGTAAAAAGGCCAGGAATTTAACCTTCTAACTTAGAAAACTGAATAATAAATTTTCATTAATATTTTGAAATCAATTTTAGAAAATGAAAATGTTTAAATAAATAAGTTAATTATGTTTATTAATATTCATTAACCTTTTTTCTTCTTAGGAGGGAGTAAGGGTATTTTTTTCAACTTTTTAGTTTAGGACCCTAATTCTAAAAATAAATAATTAAAATAGTTTACATTAATCATTATTTTAAAGTTGAATTTATTATTAAGGCATAGCTTATTCTTTTGGATCATCATTAGAATAATCAGATCCTTCATCACCAGAATTGTTTTTATCATCTTTCTATTAATTTTTCAGACTATTTTATTCTATTTCTTCCATAACTTATTTAACTTTAATCTATTCTGGTTCATAACAATCTATAATTGATAAACAAAAAGATTGTGCAATTTCTTTGTAAATATCTAGATTAAAATGAAAATATTCATATTTTCCAAAGTCTGCTCCACAAAAAGACATCTCTAAAGTATAACAATTGATAATAGAGAGTTCTCTCCATAAAGCAATCTATATATATAAATAAATATGAATATATTACTCTAGCTGAACCTTCTCTATCTTTTTATAGTAAGAAACAACAATCTTTAAAAGAAAAAACACTGCAGTTGTTTCGATTAAGCATAGGGAATACCAATTCTTTTCTATTTGGATCCTTTCCAGAACAACCATACATAAATATGTTCTTTTTTCTTGAATGTCCATGAATGTCACAAAATAATACTAAATCTCTTTCTTCTTTTGTTTTTTTTACTAATTATTTGGTATGATATATTGTAGGATGTTATTTCTTATTAGGATCTATCCATTATCTATTTAAATCAACGCCTGCTAAATTACATCTATAATTTCCATTAACAACTCCATCAATATTTAACATTGGAACTATTTTGAAAATAAAATTCTCTCTTAATATTCTAGCCTCATGTGTATTACCAGTTAAAAAATCAATCATATATTCCATCACATAACTAGCCATAGTTTCTCCAGGATGAACTCTTGATGTTATAATAATTCCCTTTTTTTCTTTTCCATTATTAAAATCTCCAATTATTAAAAAATCACACATATTGCCAGCAATAGTTTAACATAATTATTTTCTTTTCACCCTATTTTTTTTTGCAGGATCAGATTCTAATTATTTTAGATATCTGCACAAATGAGTAAATGTATATGGATAACAATGAGCAATATAGACACAATCAAAGTCATGCTAAAATTTAACTGCAAATGTTAAAGTATAATAGAATCCTCCATTTTTTCTTTTCATGTTATTCTGATAATAACATATTTCATGACCATCTCTAAACCATCCTATTTCTAATAAAAATATTATAAAAATATTTACTTTTTTATTTTGCTCCTTATTCTGAATACATTAATGGTTTCATTCCTGAATTATATAATGAATCTGGTTTCATCATATTTATAATATTGAATCTATACTCAACATCTTTTCTTGTATTTGATAATGAAAAATAGAACCATTAAGTATTCATTGTAGTGTAATAATCAGGTTTAAGAATCAGGTTATACTCATAATCGCAACTTGAAATATACTTGAATTTATAGCTTACATTTATATTGCTCTTCTAAGATTTCCACTTTCAAATCTACTTTCAAAAACTAATGTTGAATCCTCTTTTGATTATGGCAAATAAAATGGTAATACTTCCAATCCATAAATTGCTGGATCAATATCCTATACAAATATATTTAAATATACCTTAGTAAAAGGACTAGGATCAGTACAGTCAAATACAACTTTATTCAAAAGTGTGTCTGCAAAACAGATTCTTTCGATCTCTCTTCTCAAACTTTCTTCCAAAATTGTTTATTTTGGAATATACATAGGTTCAAATGGTTCATTATGATTTATGAATTCAGGTGAATTAGGTAATAAAACAAAATCAGTTCCCCTTTCATTAAATTAAATAATTACGTTCGAGTTAGATATTCAGGGTCCATTTTCTTTATTTCATTCTTTTATTCTTCATTCTTGTAATATAAGGACTTATTAATTCCATAAAAATGTTCGTCTGTATTAAAATCCATCATATATTTGAATTATATATATTGACCTTATAATTCTTATAATTATAAAATTATCATTAATTCTATTCCTCATAATATTATAGATGATTATTTCATAAGATTTTGGATTTGTAATTGTAGATTCAATATAAGTGCTTAGAATGACATATATTAATTTATTATAATAAGTTATTGATATAGATTCTTCTAATCTATAAATTTAATAATGGCTGAATAAGTTGATATTCTAGATTTTAATGAAGCTCATAAGAATAGAATTTCATTAAACTAAGAGCCTGATCGATTTTCTGCTCGTAAAATAAAACAATTACTCACACTTGAAGATGTAGATTCTTGGGTGGAATAGATTAAAATGCCTCAAAGTAGAAATTTTGAATTTCCATCCTCATTAGAAAAATCAATTATTCATTCTTAGAGTTTTTATATTCATCCTAACAAAAAATTTCTTAAGGAAAATCCTAAAATAATAAATTGTAATTGTTGTGGATAAATGATTAGAAGATATAGATACAATATATTTACTTGTGATATGTATAGTATTTTTGCAGGAGACTATGGAATTAGTATTCCCTTATATTTCTCCATAATAAAACTGCACTTTTTCATTTTATTAATAATAGGCTGCATTTTCGGAATATATTACTGCCTTTTATCAGAGAAGTATTGTGGAATGCTTAATCTAAAAAATCATACAGAAAATGCTATTTATGAAAAATGTTGTACTTCCTTTTTGGCTGCATAACATTTCCTATTATATAGTTTTAATTAAGAAGAAATCATAAATAAAAATTATGGTGATCAGGAAACCTTTTATATCTTGGGATATATTGCTTATTTTATAATGATGATGACTCCTTTAATGCATGAAATTCTATTGAGATTATAATAGATCAAATATTGGAATTATGATTCCTTAAATCATATTCGTATTCCTAAATTAACATTATATATTAAACATATTCCAAAAAAATTTAACGAATTAGAACTATAACAATATATATAAAATGCAATTTCTAGTAAGTATAAAAACAAAATTGGGGACAAATTTATTGAAGAGATTGTTTATATATATGATATTCATCCAATTAAAGTTTTAAATGAAAAAAGAAAGGATACCTATTTAAAAATATTATAAATAGTTAATTAACTTAAAATAGAAACAAAATTGGAATTAAAAGGATAATTGATAGATTTAGTTTTTTAGTTAATAAAATAAACAAGAGATATTTAAAAAACATTATAACATGGTTTACCATTTACATAAAAAGTCATATTAAAATTTAATTCAGAATCAGTAACAAATTTGGTTTATAAATATTATGATCAATCATTTTTAAACAACATACTTTTAAGGATTGAAACAATAAAAGAATCTGCATAAAATTATTAAGAATTTTAAAAGGATAAAGTTGAATTATAGGCATAATTGCTAGAATAATCTTAAACCGATAGTTAAAGATCATCAATAATATCTCATTAATCAGATCTCTAAGAAGAAGTGGCAAGAAGTTAATCTCAAATATTTATAAATAAAACATAAGATATAAAAACAAAAACGAAATAGAGCATAATAGACCTATTAACACTACCAGAAAATGAAGAATAATAAAAATTAAACATGTAAAATTCATCTATAGATGAGAAAAAAGGTTTACATTTATAAAGAGGATTTCGATAAGATGACATTTTTTGGGAACATATTGGAATGCATACATTAAAAAGATTATTTTTAAGATTATAAACAACATTTGTAACTTTATTTGTTGGTATCATAATTATGGCTTTATTTGAAATATTATTTATTTTAGAATAACATTTGAAAAGATAAGATGGTTGGGTTAGTACGATAATTGTAATTGTAATGACTTTATTTACTGTTTTCCTTTCTGTCTTTTCAACTATACTTGTTATCTTTATGACAAAGAGAGCATAAAGATCTACATATTCTTTATAGGAGAAGAATATTATTACTTTTATGTCACCTATTTAATAAGTTTGTATTCTTGCATTTCCATTTATTTTTGTATTAAGTATATTACAAAATTATTCTGCCTTAAATAATATTGCTGTAGTATTGGCAGTTAGTAAATTAGCCTAAGTAAGACTTATTGCTAAAGGAATAATTCATTTCTTCCATTTAAGAATTTGGAAACATAACAAAACTAAGAAATAAATAAGTAAGAACTTTAAACCCACATAATATTTTCAAAAGTAATTAAATGAATTGCTAACGCCACCTCTCTTTCCTATAAGAAGCAGATTGTTTTACATTTTATTTATTTATAGCACTGGTATGATGATGATATTTTTTAATCCTATGATGATTTTATGGTGTTTAGTATTATAAATCATTTTCTTCTACTACGACAAATATAGTGTCTTAAATGAATATCATCATGATAAACTTTTTACTTTCTAACTTCAAAAATATTTAATTTTAACTTATTAAGTGATTATGATTCCCATATATTGTTACATATATATAGTTACATTTACAAATACAACATAACATATAGGATCAGATGATTCAGTATTTATTAGTCATTATTATTCTAGCTTATTAATGAATATTCTAAAGTTTAACCTTTATGGACATTTCTAGGATATGGCACCTTTATTTTATCATTTACAAGCTTCTTGTTTTTCAGAAAGCAAGTAGCCAATTTCTTTGTTTTTGGAGTTTTTAGATATTAAAGACCTTTGAGAGATTCTACAATATTTAATGAAAAATCATATTTCCAAAGTTATAACGAATTTTTTCATGGTAATTTTTTTTATTATTTTTAGACTTGGGAGTTAATGAATTAACTTCAATTCTTGAAGATACATTTAAAAATATGTAATATAAATCTAAATGAATATATATTAAATCATAAAACCAGTTTATTATATCAAAACTTATTTTTCCTGCCAATTTGTAATAACTAAAAATATTAATATAATAAATTGATAGGGTTGGATTAGACATAAAGACTTTATAAAATTTTATTTATATGATTTTATTAATTACCTTACTTTTCTACATAATCAAAAGCAAACCAAATTTGTCAGGATTTATTGAGACAGACATAGAATAAGAGATAAAGTTGGATTACTCTGCAAAAGCAAAAAGTATCATAATAAAATTTAATTTGCAATCCTAAGACGCCTTATGTTTAGTATCCTAAACTAGTTTAGATCTAGTTTAATTAACAGAATTAACAGATTTAACAAAGTCAAAAAGCTAATCATTTAGCTACGATTATCAAAGCTATTTAGCTAACAGTACTTATCAATTAGTAGAAATATAGTTTTAAACTCTTATTTATATGAGATGTTTAGAAACTAATTACTCAAATGAAAAAAGCTTTTATGAATTGTATATTTCAGAAAATCCTTATATTGAGACTTGTAATAATGATTGTAATGGTTACGACTATCCTGTTATCAAAAACTCTGTTTGTGTATCTATGTAATGTAATTGTTTAGATTAATCATTTGGGCTTTATTGCCAATTTTAATCAATTACGATATATAGCAATATTTTATCTAAATTATAAATAGAATCTCATCAATGGATATACTTAGAATATGAATTAAGTACAACTAATTTAGAATTTTAATGTTTGTCTCTAGAAGAAGATGTATGTAAATATAAATTTAAATTATTCAAGATTATAGTTTAGTTTTTAAGTAAACACCTTAAGTTAAAATTCCTACTTTGTAAAACAGCAAAAACTTATAGTCTAAAGTAAATGTATAAGAATAATTAATAACTAATTAATCAAATTTTAATGTTGACGTAATCTATATTGGTCTCTACAATAATCAAACTAACCCTATTGAATTACAATTTAAAATTGTTACATATTATGAAGATGATCAGTCTCTTTATGAGCGTAATAAAATAATTATTATCATAACTGTTTGTGTTATTGCCGCTCTTCTATTATTTACAATAGGGTTATCTGCATTAAGAACTAGAAAAAAAAGATTAATTCGAAAATAAGTATAGGAAGCTATTCGCAGGAATTTAAATTAATAAGGAAATATAGATTAACAATCTCCTTTTAGATAAGCAAATCCATCTATTTATAAAGGTATATATACTCATTATTATATTATGAAGGTTTCTAAATAAGATTTATTAAGGATCATTTTAAAGCAAATTATTATAATAAATTTATTACAACTTATCCTGGATTATCATAATTCGAAGAATGTGCAGTTTGTTTAGAATCAATGAAGAAAGCTAATAATAAATTATAAAATGTTTGTGCTGTGACTCCTTGTTTTCATATTTTCCATTATATTTGTCTTTAAGAATGGTTGCTTAGATAAAAAAATTGCCCATTTTGTAGAACTGAATATACTAGAAAAAAAATTATATAAGATTATCCATGGTTAGATATTGCAAATTTATAAATCAAAAATACTGACTCAAATTATCTTTGTCGTATCAAAAATTAAATAGAAAGTGTTAATGAAAGTCGTATAGAATTAACTAACCATTAATAATTAGATTAAATTAATCAATTGTAGGAAGTTAAAGATTGATAATTATTTATACTATGAAAAATAATCATTCATAATTTCAATAATAGATACTTTGGCTGAGTGGTTAAAACAGTGGTTAGAAAAGGCTGTGGGAATTTCGCAAGAGTTTTAATCTCATAAGCATCTATTTTTTTTTATATTAACTAAAATTATAATTATTCCCAAATTAAAATTATTATTAATATTTATTCAAAAATAAATAAGTTTAAATATTAATATTCATTCATAATTAAGTTTTTTCTATAAAATTGTCATCGATAAGCTATTGAATGGATAGAACAATAGAAATTTAAAATATTATCTATTTGGATTAAGCCAAATAAAAGTTTTCAAATCGTAAATGATGAATGAGATAGAATTTACATCTTCAAAATTAAATAATGAGTAAAATAATAAAGCTTTTTCATATTGACTCGATGATTCTTGTTCATTTTCAAAGAGGAAATGAAATTTGAACTACTATTGTTGTAAAAATCATTTCATAAAATATTGAATACATAAAAGTTGATAACTTTTTATCATTTAAATTTTCGGAATTTCCAATATAATTTTTTGTTTCAAAAATATAATAACAAACGAATAAAAGCAAATAATGGAACTTTTTTTTTTATTATTTCTATCTAAATCATGGTTTTAAAATTAGAAAATTTTCATCTGAAAACTTTTAAAAGCATATAATTCTTTATATTTTAACATTGAATCTATTCTAAAAATTTAGATAAATTATTTTATAATCTTACTAAAAAAATTGAATCTAATAATAGTATCGAATGATTGATTATTAGAATGATTAATAGTTCTATTATTATACATACTAATTTTGACTATATTATTACGAAAGTCTTTCTTAGGAATGACTCAAGTTGAATCACTATTGAAATGTTTCAAAATCTTCATTGAATATTTTAAATCATCTATATAAATTAGAACCAATCATATAATAAATACATGAATAAAATAAACAAAAAACAAATTTAAATTGTGATTTATCAATTTGAAAATTAATAAAAATATTTTTATTAAAAGAAACAACCATCATATGGATTCAAGCCAAACCTTTTTCAACTCAAATTCATCTTTTACTCCATCATCTCCCTAAAAAACTAGGTATTAATGCATTTTTTATAAAAGACCTCTTCCAAGTCCTTCCTTAGATAGTCTAGAAGATTTCAATTTAAACGACATATTATCAGTAGGAGAAAGCTCAAGAAAGTCTTCAGGTTAGAGGTTTGAGAAACCTGTTTTAGTAATTGAGTATTTAGTAGAAAAACTCAAAGACTATGAATGAACTTAAATGGAATAAAAAAAACTTCAGAAAAAAAAAGAAAGAAAAACAAAATAATCACTAATATGTATTAATAATTTTTTTTCTTTCATTCTCATTACAAATTAATAAGTTGAAGTTCCTCTTCTATTAAAATGAACTGGAATCTTCAGCCTAAAAATAAATATTAAAATAATGGTAAATGTAATTGTGTGAATTCAATTTTCATTTTTATCCTTAATTTTGCATTAACTGATGAGCTCGAAGCATTCCTTAGTGAAAATTAGATCAAATAAATAATTTGCATTAATGTATTTAAGCCAAATAGACAGTTAATAAAGTATATTAGAAATATATAAATTATTCTAAATTATTAATTATAATTCAAAATTTAATGATACAAATAATTCTAAAAAAATAGCTAAATTTTATTTATATTGTTTTTAATAATTATTTTATTAATTTATAACAACTTTCTAGTAATAAATTGTTTGATTAGATTAGTTGAAAACAATTCTTTTCCAAATCAGATATTAAGAAATAAAATGAATTTTTTAATTTGAAAAAAATTCTAAAATAAAGTAGAATTAAATCATTAAAATTTTTTCATAATCTTTGGTGAAATAGATTAAGCATTTTGGTTTCATTTATATTTATTATTATTAATAAGAATAAAATTATGAAATCTTTATAATTAACTTAAATACCATTGAAACAATTATAATAGGATGAACAAAGTTTAAGCTTTATTTAACAGTGTAAATGTTGCAAAAAGAATATTTAGAGAGATAGAAATATACTAGATGATCTTTATTGCTAAAAATGTCTTCTTTAAATTAAAAAGTTAAAAATTCAAGTTAAACCATAAAAAAAAAAAATTTAAAGTAGCATAGTTGGATAGGATTGTACAATATCTATGAACCCTGAATTTAATCTCGATTTAATATTTTCATAATGCAGAGTATGTTTCAAAAATAAATGTCTCATAAATATATGTGCAAATAACCATTATTTTTGTGAATCTTGTTTATAATAATATATACTTAATACATATACAAGATCTTTAAATTGTATCGATTAAAACTGTAAGATTTAATTGAATTATCAGCTTGTATATTTTTATTTGAATGAAGTATAAATAACTAAATGGAAAGCTTATTTTGATTAAATATCTTGTATAAATGAAAATTGTTAATAAGAATGGTAAGTTTTCCCTAATAAAATTAAAGGATGTGTTGAAATAATTTCACAAGATGAATGTATTTGTCAAGTTTGCAAAACGATCTTTTGTTATAAATGTAGAACAATTCATAGAGGAAAAAAATGTGATGAAGAAAAACTTCTAAAAATTTATTTAAAAGAAAATAAATGTTTTAGATGTAGTTAATGTAATGTTTTGTAATAACCATCATTTTGTCATAACAATTATGATATTAATAAATTAGTGTAATGAAATTATATAATATTTTAGATAATGGAAAGAAAATATATATTAATGTTATATTTGTAAAAAATCATTTTGTTATGATTGTTAAGAGAAAAGTTAAGTATAATTATTTAATAAATTGAAATGTCAGCATTGTGCTACATAATATTATAGATGGAAGGAGGAGAAGATTTTTTGGCTGAAGAAGTTTTTATTTGCTTTGCTTTTTATAATATTAGTTATACCAGTTTCAGTTCATTCAACTTTATGTTATGGATTGATGGAAGTTATGGATTTAGTTATGCCAAAATTAGATTCTTATTGCAAATCAGAAGATAAAAGAGTGCAAATAATAATGTGTTTTTGTTTTCCTTTAATAATAATAGGAATGTTAGTATTATATGCAATATTAATGATTCCACTTTTATTTTACTTTGGATATCAATTTTATAGAATAAGATACTTAATGATTGAAGAATAAAATTGAATATGAGAGATAGTAGATATATTGAGTTAAATTGATATATAATAATATAAAAAATGAAATTAAGAATTCTTTGTATAATGATAATGGGAGTATTCTCATCTTTATCAAATGAGAAAATTACACATAAAGTAAAAATAGGAATAACAATTGATGGTTAAAAGGAAGGGGAAATAACATTAGGGTTATTTGGAGAGGTTGTACCTAAAACAGTTGAAAACTTTAGAGCATTATGCACAGGAGAGAAAGGTTTAGGTTATGCAGGATCACCATTTCATAGAATTATACCAAATTTTATGATTTAAGGGGGTGATTTAATAAATGGAAATGGAACTGGAGGTGTATCAATATATGGTAATAAATTTAATGATGAAAACTTTAAATTGGAACATGAAATAGGATGTATATCTATGGCTAATTCTGGACCTAATACAAATGGATGTTAATTCTTTATAACAACTGCTGAAACTCATTGGGTAATTTAATAATTGATATTATTTCTAAGTTAGATGGAAAACATGTCGTTTTTGGAAGAGTTATTGAAAATATGGATTTAGTTAAAAAGATTGAATCTAAAGGATCACAAAGTGGTAAACCATAAGCAAATATAGTCTTTGATACTTGTAATGCTGAAATTATATAAGAATAATCATGAACAAATTTTATATATTATTCCAAATATATTTAACTATGATTTATCTTTATATTTTATGTTTGAACAATTATAATAATACTCATTCTCAAGTTTATGATAAAATCAAAGAAACAATAAGCCCATATAATGCCAAAGCTTCAGCAAAAATTAAAATCAAAATCATTCCTACAAAAATTCTATCTTATTATGCATTAGCTCTGACTCCTGCATCACCAACTATACCAATTGATAATCCTGCAGCCTAAAATTTGTAAAATTAATAAATCTTACTAATGAGCTCAATCCACAACATAATCCAGCAGATAAATATGCATATCCTTACTATGCGGATGAACAATTTGCCACTATTTAATTATATAAAATAATTAATACCTTTTCCTTGTAAAATAACACCAACAATCATCCCATAAATTCCCAAAATACCAGCCATGACAACTGGAATGACAGACTTCATAATTAAATCTGGTTTCAATACACCCATTGAACAAATACCTACTCCAGATTTTGTGGCACCATATGATGATCCCAAATCTCAAAATTTTATATAAAATTACTTGCAAAAACGACTGCAGATGCCACTCCAATATATCCAAAGAAGTAGGCAGAATCAGGAGGAGGGATTGGGTCAGACATTATTATTAATTATTTTATTTAATGGAAATTCAAGATTTAATATGTATTTATAAATGCTAATTAATTATAATTAATAACTTAAATTATTCCACAATATGCTCTAAAATATTGATTCGTATTTTCTTATCTTTCTAACTTGAAAAATTTTAAACAATTATAAATCCAAAGTTTATTCTACATTTAATCAATCGAATATATGTATATATATTCAATTTTAGAGATTATTCTTATTTACATGTATTTTCAAAATATTATTCCTTTTAAAAAATATCATCAAACAAAACTTATTCACTTAATTTTAATAATAATGAAACTTAGATTAAGAAATAGAACAATGTAAAAAGAACTGTATAATTATAATCTTACAAAATGTGTAATTTTAAAATAAATTGAATTTTATTTATATTTATTAGATAAATAAATGTAATCAAATCATTTTTGAAATTCAAGCAATTATTATCCAGAAGCTTTCAATATATATAATCGTTCACATGAAACTTTAATATTTATATTTTGTTGTTTTTCTAAAAAAATTATTGATTTTAAACTAAGAATTTAAAAGTATTAACATGAGCAAAAACATTCAAATTTAAACTTAATGCTTAATTAAGTAAAACTTTGAAAGCATTACCTTCTTTATTAGCTTAAGACTTGTTGGTATGATTACATTCAATAAATTGTAGAGGAAATATATTTTCTTAATCATATCTTGCATATTTGTTTGATAGTATAAAGCAAAGTTAATAATAGTAAAATATTTAGATTTATAAAATACATAAAAAACATTATTATTTTTAAATTTTCTAATGAGTGTTAAAGTATAATTAATACATTAACAATGGGATGAGATTAGGAAAGTCTTGAGAGCTACTTAAAGAAAATTTACAATTAGTAATAATCTATCTCTTACAAATTGTATTCCTATAAATAAAAGCTAAGATTAAGCCAAAAAAGAAGCAAATTTTTCTGATAATGAATGGGAATTTTACAATAATAACCCCAATGCTTTATTATTATTAAAAGATACTTGTCGAAGTGTATTTATTCGATTAATTTTTAGACACAAGGCGAAAGTTTTATTTGAGCTAAAGAAGAAGAGAACTATCTTCTTAAAATGATTAAGAATTTTATAGTTAATTACAAAGTAGAAGAGAATAAGTGAAGAAGCAAAGAATTCTATATAGCAATGTCATCAATTTGGAAAAAGCTATAAAATAAGTAACAATACCTAAATCAAGTTAAACAAGACCTTCAACAAGGGTTAGATAAAATAGTTAAGAGATCTAATTAAATAAAAATAACTAAATGAAATAAAATTAAATGGATAAAAATAAAACAAATAAAGTTATTCCGATTGAAAATTAATAAGGTTAATTAAATAGTGATAATAAAAAAGCTAAGAGGAATTCTAATAATTTTTGGCATAAAATAAAAACTCCAACTAATAATAATAAGGATCATATGAATCAAATTTTGAAAAAAAGATTCAAAAATAACAATGATATGTCTTTGGATATATGTTGCTTCAATTATGAATCATTGTCATTATTAAATTAAGTAAAGACTCCTACTTTATATAATTAATGATTTTCTATAATTATTTATTTTTTTAATGAAATAAAGACCTTAATTGGCATGTGATGCTGTATGTTTTCGAAAACTGTAAAATGATATTAAAAAAGTTTTATTGATTACAAGAGGACATAAACCATTTTTAGGAAAATATGCATTTCCAGGAGGACATTTAGATTATGGTGAAGACCCAATTTAATGTTGTTTAAGAGAGCTTAAAGAAGAAACAGGAATTTTGGGTTTAAGTGTTGATTTAATTGATGTAAAGGGATCTCCAGATAGAGATCCAAGAGGACATTATGTTTCAATAGTTTATAAAATTGAAGTACCAGATGATGCTGAACCTATAGCAGCAGATGATGCAAAAACTGCTTAATGGGTTAGCGTTGATGAAATACTAAAATTAGGTAAAGATGCTTTCGCTTTTGATCATTATGAAATTTTAGAATATGCTCATAAAAAGTTTCCTTGAATTATAATAATTGAAAAAAGCATATTTCAAATAACAAAAATAATAAATTAATAAATTTTAATTTTTGTTCATACATTTTAAAATTTTATGATATTTTACAAAATATTTATATCATGGAAATAGTTCGAATCTCGTTAAAGTTTTAATTGGAGAAAGTTAAGGGGATCTATGAGAAAAAGTTTCCATTTTTTTAAAGCCTCTTCTAATTGCTTCTTTCTTCATATTATTGACTGGCTTTTATTAAATATTTAAAGTTCTTGGTGTTAATTGTAAATATTTATCTAAATTTGTATTAGTATTTATTTTGAGTCTGGAACTGAATATTTTATCATTGCATTTAGGAGTTTTATTTAGAATTAATGAAAATTTATTAGTTTTAAAGTTTCGAAAAGCTTAATGATTAAGGGCAGCTTTTGCTGATATTCTTTTATAAGGATCTAATTCAAGCATAGATTGCAACAAATTAAATGTTTTTTCAGACAAATTTGGTAATAAAGAATAATCTACTGATCCTTTGTAATTTTAATATAATCGTTCATCAGGATCAGGTCCCTAAAAAGGAGACTTTCCTCCAGTTAATAACATAAATAAGATGACACCTACACTATAAATATCAATTTTGTAATCATATATCTTATCTTAAAGTACTTCAGGTGCCACAAATCCAGGAGTTCCACATCTTGTATAAATATACTTTCCATCTATTTTATAGAAATCAGCTAAACCAAAGTCTGTAATTGCAATTTAAAAAGAGTTTCTATCTTTTAATAAAATATTTGAAGGTTTCAAGTCTCTATGTAGAATGCCTTATGAATGCATAAATAATAATCCTTATAGTAATTATTTAGTAATATAAAGACATTCTTCCTCAGAAAGATATCTTTCTTTAATTAATTAGGAAAGCTCTCCTTATTCTATCATTTCATAAACAATAAAAATAAACTCAGCATTTTCAAAAGTTTCGTAGAAATGAGTTATCGCTGGATGATTCAAAATACGAACTATTTATAATTCTTTTGTTAAAACTAAATAGTCTTAATAATTTATTAAGGTTTTCTTTTCGAAAACTTTAACAGCATAATTTTATTGAGTAGTTCTAGATTTTATTTTATAAACCTAAGATTTATAAAATAATTTAATACTTTTCCAAATGTTCCTTAACCAAGTAAAGTAATAATTGAATATTTACTTGTAAAATCTTGTTAAATACAATAAAGTTTGAGTTACGAAAGCCAATTCATAATCATTCCATAAATTTCTATAATTTATCCTGCTTTAATAATTTTAATTCCTGCTCCTAAATTTGGTTACTCGATTTCACAAATGGTTGCATTTAAGATGTCTGCAATTTTATTTTAACCCTAAGAATAAATTAAACAGTTATACATTTTTTTTCTTTCGAAAGATGTAATGACCTTGTAGGTATAATGTTTTGATTTTGAATGTTTGATGTTTGGAAGAATAAATATAGAAATTTTCTTATATGGATTCACTTATATTACGAGAAGCAGTTGTGTTCAGCCATAAAGAGCCTTTAGAAACATCAAAAAAAGAAGATGAGGGCACTTAACTTTTTATATTCATAAAATTAATCAAATTTAATCATAAGGATGAATACATAATAATTTGAATATGAAATATTAAATTTATAGATGATTATAATAAATTATCAAATGATAATCAATATTTTAAAGATTATCTTTACTTTGATAATTTAAGCTTATTAAATGTTGATTTCTATTCAGATGGTTCCGTTTTACATATGATTCCACTCTATTTACTTAATCTTTCAAAACTAGAAGTTGAGCTTCCATTTTATTTAGGAGAGAGTAAATTAGTTTTAATTTTAAATAGTTTTTAATTTTTTTTAGGACTTCTAGGACTGCTGTCTTCACTATTGAGATCTAGATGAAATTGAGGTCTAGATCTCATGGAATGTCGTATACGAATAAAGATAGGTTGAGTTTCTTGTTAGAACCATTGATGAGATTTACATTGTAAAATTGAAAATCGAAACAAAGGATTTTTGTTCAGCATATTTTTAAGTAGATCAATACAAGTTGTTGATAATTAAGTATTAGAAAAGTCTAAATTATTATCTGTATTTAATTAAATAGTTTCTGATTCAGTAGCTCCTTTAAACAATGGTTTTCCAGTTAAAATAACATAGAGCAATGCTCCCAAACTATAAATATCTATCTTGAAATCATAAGGATTATCTAATAAGATTTCAGGAGCAACATATCCAGGAGTACCACATCTGGTAAACATATATTTCCCATCTCTTCTATAGTAATCAGCTAATCCTAAGTCTGCAATAACTATATCAGTAATTTAACCTTTTTTACGAAGTAGTAAATTTTAAGGTTTTATATCTCTATGAAATATACCTTTCGAGTGCATATAAAGTAAAGCATTAAGAAGTTCCATCATTATTGTCTTTGCTTATTCTTCTTAAATTGATTAATTATTGTTAATATAATGAGTGAGATCACCCCCTGTTAAATAATCAAATACGAGATAAATTTGAGTTTTTGTTTCGAAAACTTCATGTAATTAAATAATGTTCGAGTGTGATAATTATCTTAATATGTGTATCTCTTTTAATAGGGCCAATCTATCTGTCATTTAAGAAATTAAAGATTTTTCAAACACTTTTACTGCATTTTCAGCTAAATTATGTTTATTTCTGGCTTTATACACCTTTAATTAAATTAATGAATACTTTAGCAAAGTTTCCTTATCCTATTACAGAGAGAAGATGATATCTCGATTAAAAATCTAATTGAATGCAATATTATTTGAGATTCATATAAAACTCATCAACTTCACCATAAAAATTAAATTCAATTTAATTCTTTATTAAACAAATTCCTTACTGTTCCACTCTCATAACACAAGCATTTTCTATATCTGCATATATTTCAGTCTATATATAAAAATGATGCATACATTCCCATCTTTCATTATTAGACATTTCCCTTATAATTTTAGAGAGATTAAATCATACAAATTTACACTTTTTGTTGGTACATAAAATAACCCCTCTATAATTTAAGTGCTATTATTGATGACTTTTCGAGGTGACCAAAAACCCTAATCTTAATTATCAAAAAATGATTTATACATTGTTAATTTATAAAATTAACTCGATTTTATATATATATATTAATTTCATATCTATATAGGTACTCTCTATAAATTAGGACTTTTTTATTTAGGACCAATCAATGGAGATAAATTTGGTGAATTGAGTCTCAAAGGTGATTATAAAGGAGAACCATATTAAACAAATCTACTTTTTTATTCTGGTATATATTTTTATTCTTGATAAGGAGATTGTTAAGGAGAGTAGCTTTATTAATCATTTTGATTATTGACACTACCTAAACTTGTTTAACTACTCACTTAATTATATGTAAATGTATTTCTCTTAAAGAATTAGCTATGCTTAACCTAATCAAGAGTCAATCTATTTTGAGGATTTGGATCTAACATACCTTTTAAAAGATCAAGGCATTCATTTGTAAAATTAAATCTTGAAAAATCAACTTATCCATTATAATTTGCTTTTACTGTCTAATCATAATTATTTGAATCAAAAGGTCCTTTTCCCACTAGGAGATAATAAAGTAGAACACCACAACTATATACATCAACTTTATGATCATAAATTTTATCTTATAATAATTCCGGTGCAACGTAACCTGGTGTTCCACATCTAGTAAACATATATTTGCAATCTTTTCTATAATAATCTGCTAATCCAAAATCAGCTAAAACAATCTAATCAATTATTCCATCTTCTTTTAAGATAATATTTTCAGGTTTTATATCTCTATGAATTATTCCATAAGAATGGACATAATTTAGAGCTTCCACTACTTATTGAACTATTATAAAGGCTCCTCTTTCAGAGAAAGTTCTGCTTCTTTTAAGTTCTTTATGCAATTCTCCGCCTTAATAAAGTTCTTGAACTAAATAGACATATAGATCGTTTTCGTAAGTTTCTAAAATGGTAACAACATTTTTATGATTCATCAATCTAAGAAGTTCTATTTCTTTTAAAAGTGCTGGCCTATCTTAACTTTTCAATATTGATTTCTCAAATACTTTAACTGCAAATTCTTTTCTATCAACAATCCTTTGAATTTTAAAAACCTAAAAATTCATAGTTTTAAGTACCTTAGCAAAGCTACCTTTTCCAATCAATGTTATTATGTTATACTATCCTGAAAAATTGGTTTAGATACACCATTTTTTCATATAAGTATACCATTATTCAACAAGACCATAAAATGTAAAATTTCCATTATTTTTAGTTAAGGAGATTCCACAACCCATTTTTGGATGACTTACAATTTCAAGTAATGCATTAGTAATGTTAAAATACTTTTAAGATGTACGCTTAATTTAGTAATATATGATACTTTTTGGTTGTATTTAATAAGATAATTCCTCTAAAGCACTAGTGTCTTCATCTTAAATTTATCATTTTTTGGAACAAAGAACTACTCTTTGTGAGATTTATGAAAAATCTCTATTTGTCTCTCCAACTCAAAGGGAGAAGTAAAATCAAAAAAGGACTTTTTTTCTGAACTCATAAATTCAATTTGTAATTATAATATCTTAATTTTTCTATTATTAATTGAATGCTGTCTGAATAAACGCAATATACTATTGATACTTTCAGAATTATATTTAATAATATAAATGCAATATTTTCCTAGATTTCAAATAAGTCATTTTAGTTATTTTTAATTGGTTCAAGGTATAATTGTCAAATTAATAAAGGAGTAAATAATGTAAATAAGGAGACTTAGTAGCAATAAAATTATTTAACTATCTAAAGAAAGGTATGTAACATGAAAAATTTACAAATAAAATTGAATTGATGCTACTAAATTAAGAAATCTATACTTTAAGATTATTGGATTCTCCAAATATTATTAAAATGTATCAATGCATTTCGTTAATAAGAAAATTTTACATAATTATTGAATTATGCAATTTAGGTATTTGAAACTATTAATGTATTAATCAGGAGATTTATTGTAATTGATAGAGATTAAAAATAATTAAAAAGAAAGTAAAGCAATTTAGTTATTCAAATAAATTATTAATGGTTTTTAGAGCAATTAAAAAAAGGTGTTATTAATAGACATATTAAACCTTCAAATATTTATTAAATGATGGCATACTAAAAATAGCAGATTATGATTTTTCTAAATGGGAGTTCAAGTATAAGTAATTTATAATGTTGGTACAAAACTATCTATGAGCCCTTTAGCCTTAATGGACAATTATTAGTTTGAAAAAGTGTCATTTGGAATATAGGAGTTATGTTTTATGAAAAACTTTTTGTATTTTTGGGTTTTAAAAAAGTTGCACTCATTGAATAGCAGAAACAGAAAAAGATGTAATTATCACTTCATGCAAAAGATTTTATTATAAAATGTTTAGAAGTTGATTTAAATAAAAGATTATCAGCTAATTAATTGTTTGAGCATCCTTTATATAATGAAAGACTAAGATAACTGTAAATAAGTGGATCTTTCATATTACAAGAGGCCAAAAATTATATTAATAATATATTAATAATAGTAAAAAGAGAACGAATGGAAGAGAAAACTAAATCCAATACAATTGAAAGAAACTCTAATAATAATTATTTCAATCCACCTGCAAAACCTAATATTTCCTATAAAACCTTATTAAATACTTTTTATAAAATGATTTAATACTATAGAATATGTTTTATTTACCAAAACTCATTCTTATAGTAGCAAACCAAATATATCTTCCTGATTTTAAAGGATTGTTCGTAAGAAAAATTACTCTATTTTATATTAAGCATGTGTTATTTAATACTATAAAATTAATGATAGAATCAAATCAACAATTTGGGGTTCTTCAATTTTTATTAATATATTTAGATACTGGTCTAAAAATAAAATATTAAATTGAAATTAATGAGTTTTATAAAAATTTTACAAAAATTAATGAAAATTTGGTAAGCATTTCCTATTTACTTTATTTGGATGAGAATTTAATAAAAATATTTATTTAATTCTAATTTAATGATCTCAAAACAGATTTTTCATAAAAATTACATCTTTATACTTGATTTTGAAGTATCAAAACAATTTTTAACAAAATATCCTGAACCACGAAAAGAAGATGCTATAATTATATTTGATTACCTAGTTTTAATTGAAAAAGTGGTTGAAACCAAACTAATTAATATAAAGTTTAAGTTTCAGTTTCTTAATAAGAAATCCATTAATAGATTAAAATAATTAATTTAAAAATGATAAAAAGCAAAAAAATGAGTGAAATATAGAGAAATTTGCAAATAAATTAGAAAATCATGATAAATTGTGTGAATATATAAATTAATTTTAATCTATAAAAAAAAAATCATTCTTTAATGTATAATTATACCTTTGATCTAAAAACTTCAATGGCCTGTAACATAATATCTTTAGGTTCATACTATCCTACACTTTCAATAGAGACTATAATTATGATTAATTATGATTACAAATAAAGTGATTATCAATTTTATTTAATTCTATGTCCTTATCAAATCCATTAGCTTCTCTAATACACTCTCTGCAAGTAGTACAATTTCTTGGATTAATAACTTTAATTTAATTTCCTTTTATTCCGAATACCTTCATAGGACATAGTGATTCTAATTTTTCTTATCTTTAAGTATCTAATTTATTTTTGATTATAATAGATGGCATTAATTTATAAAAGGCTGTACAAACAGGAGACCTATAAATTAATAAATTATCAAATACCATTTTGCATGTCTTTTACCTACTCCTTTCTCACAAATCAATCTTAAATTAAGTTCTTGATTTTCCCTCAACTTAGCTATGATTATATTTGAATGAACAGGACGAATCGGATTATTAGCAAATTATTTTGCTTATTACCCTTTTGGTTACCAAATTAAACTGCTTGAATAAACTGTTGTATTAGTATATTGATTTTCAATTGGATCATCTTATCTACAATTTGGTTTTTTTTCACATTTTGCAACTAATGTAAAATCAATTGAATTTAATTCATTATATTCTTCTTAATCATCTTTCTCAATAAATTGCAAAGGATCTGCTATAATAGGAATTAATCTAATAAATGTTTTAACAAAATATACCCTAATCTATGAGCAAGTACCTCATCTGGTATAATACTTGTATTTTAGATCACTTGAACCTTATGAATTGCCATTGTAGGAATCTCTAATTATATTTTAATTTACTTCAGCTATCATAATCCTTCTTAAAGAATTAGCAATTGGAGCATCAATATTTATCATTTCAAAAACTATTTTATCATCTGTTTTAGAGAGAATATTAATTTCTAATTCTCTTTAAAATTATTTAATATTAAATTTTTCTTATTTAAAAGGCTAAAACATATTCTATATTAATTTACTTTCAATATTTAATCCTCTTTTAATTACAATTTATGTTAATCCATTAATTTATTTTTAATTAAAACTAAAATATTAATATAAATATAAAGTAACTTTCAAGTTTCATATGAGAAAGTTTGCATTAATAGTTTAAAATAGTCAGAAATTAGATCTAATATTTCCTATAATCTAGGCCTTCCTATATCAGACTATTAAAAATGAGATATTCCTCCTCCTTTTAGGAATAAGTGAGCTGTATAAAGAGACATCTACAAATTTGAATGTTGGATATTCAATCACAAAATATATTCTAATAATTAATGTTATCAATACTAAATATATGGTTGATAATTATTTTAGATAGAATTGTATTATTATTAAAATCTTTTTAACCTAGTCCATCTTGCAATCTTTAAGTATTAGATATTACTCTCTTTCAAAAAAGTAATAAACCTATTTTATTCAAAGAGGCTTCTATAGAAATAAATTTTTTGCAGGACTATGTATTAACAAAAATTATTATACCCTGTAAATCGAATTCAAAAATTCTTTTATAGAGGATCATAAAATCTTTTATATAATTCACCACATAATTGGTCTATTTAATTTTTATAAAAACTTGACATTCTTTAAATATTGATGAACAATGTATTATATGGCGATAAATTGAATTTTAAATTGATGTAAAACTTAAAACATTAAGTAATTTCAAGACACATCTCATAGACCGGAGTAACATTTAAAAGTAAGTTATAGCGGGTAAATAATGGGCTCTGTCTTGAAACCTGGCTCTCTTAAATATCTTATCTAGATAGACAAAATGGGCTAGAATATCTGAAGAATTTAACTGATCTTTGAGTAAACCTAAAAACACTTGAGAGTAACCATAGAGGAGTCAATGAGATAGGTACCCCATTATACTGAAAAAGTGGAAGTTTTCTATTGTTTAAGCTAATCATTATCATATTTGCTATTTATCTCATTATACATATATAAAACAACAAGTTTAATTTAAAAATTAATATTAAAGTTCTTCAACTTCTTAGATTGATTTTATTGATCATTCTTAATCTATTCTGAATTATTATCTTTATTATTTTAGATTTCATCCCCATCAACAAAATAATTATCATCAAATTGATCGCTTATTTATAATTAAAATTAATGAATTAAAAAAGTATATTATCTCATATTTTTGATAATCCTTTTAATAAGCTAAAAGTTGGAGCAGCAGCAAAAAAAACTTAGAATAAGGAGGCATTAAGATTATACAGAGACATTTTAAAGTTTTCAATTGAATTCGATTGGGCTAACAAAAATGGAGAGATTTGGTATAAAGTTTAACTAAAGCAAAAGGAGAGACATTATTAGAAAGAGTGCTAGAAAGGAATTTGAAATAGCTAAAAATGAATAAGATCCATTTATGGTCATGAGAATGATAATGACATCTAGGGAAGCAATGCAAAAAACAAGGGAGAAATTGAATGAGGAATACTTTAAATTAAATACCACTTTTTCAGAAAGAACTAAAATAAATGAACAAAATAAATGTGAATGATTTAATTTATGCTCTTTTAAGTAATGAATAAATATCTGAACTTTTTTAAATTATTTTTAAGAATTCTCATTTTTTATTTTTCAATCTATTTTTGTACCATAATTGTCAATTAATTTATTTTTATTGTATTGATATTTATTTTATGAATCATCATTTCATTTTCTCTCTAATTAAATTTTCAGAATAATTTAATATATATTTTTATTGATTTTATAAACAATTAATTAATTGCTTAACAACAAATCCATTTGAGAGCTAAATTTTTATTAATAATTATATAGTTCCCCTTTAAAAAGACATATAATGATTTTAATTAAAAATTAATCTGAAAAAAGTACTAGTATATTTATTTTTAGATAATTAAATTATATTTTTTTTTAATAAACGATTAATTGATCATATTCCTTGTTCGATTTAATTACTAATTATTATAATAAATAATTTACTCTCATTGTTAATGATAATAATTCTATTAATTAAAAAAAATTTATTGATTTTAATATTAAATTTATTAGTTGTTCTATTACATCTATTAAATCCCCTATGGTTAATAATTAGGTATTTAATTAGGCCCATTTTGAAACTGATTTGTCTGCTGAGGATTTTATTAAGAATTTGATCTATCTCTTATTATTACCCTATCATAATAAAAATCTTAAGTTTGCTATTAAACTATAAAATGAAGTTAAAATTTACTTATTCTTGGAGTAGATTTTATAATTCTTATATTTTACCTTAAATAAATCGAATTAAGACATTCATAAAGAGTTCTTATATTAGGTCTTTAATTTGGATCTCTAAGTAAACATTAACTTAAAATATCTAAAAATTTTTGATCATAACCTATTTATGATAAACTATTTTCAATAGCCTTTCTATTATAGAATTTCTCAAAATCATATTCACTTAAGCCTCTTGGACCATGCCTTACATCTCCTATATAAATTCCTTTATTTGCAACTGTCAATATTATCAAACCAATCTAGAATATATCATATTTTAAAGTTTATATAATTTCTGGAGGATCATATTTTGGAGTAAAATATTCTCTTGTTTATTCTACATTAATTCCTTCTTTAATTTATTTCGAACAATCAAAATCAGCAATGTAAAATTAACTTGAACTAATTTATTCATAATCAATAAAAATATTTTCAGGCTTTAAATCTCTATGAATTATATCTTTATCGTGCAAACACAAAAGTGCTATGATTTAAAATAATATTACATTTAGCAGTTTTTGCTGCCATTCTATAAACATCTTTTCTAAATTATTCTACTGTTTATTGTTATTTTTGCCAATTATTGAATCCATTCACTAATGTTCCAGCAAATTTCTAGTAAAGTAAAAACACAAAATCGAAAACTCTAAGATAAGTAAAGCAAGTTGCTACATTTTCACTATTATTAAATAGTTCCATTAATTAAATGTCTCTATCTATTTATTTTAAAATTTATTATCTTTCTTCCTCATCTCCGTAAATTTTTGTTTATTTATAAACTATTTCATTTTTAATAGTAGGAAAATTAAGAGAAAAAGCTTTTGGTTTTTTAAAGCTCTTTACAATAGAGTTTCCATTATATATTTATTTATAATTATCAATTCTTAATAAATAACTAAGTAATTTTTAAAAATCTGGATCAAATCCTGATTATATTTAAACATTATCATTTTTTTAAAACAAATATCTAGTAACATTTTATAAATCTTTTTAATTTTAAAATTATATCAAGTCTTAATATTTATAAAGAAAATATTGGTTGATAAAATTCCAAAAAATAGCGAGAGAATTGTATGGTTTATCAATTTAACTGAAATTATATTCCAATAGTGACAAATAAACAATTCCTTCCATATAATATACTTGATTTATAGAGTATAATGGCCAATTAAAATTTCTTTTTTCAAACTCAGCAAATGCTAAATTTAAAGATGATAATATACTTAGTGCAAGTTATAGTAGAATTCTGTAACCTTCTGTATTAATAATTCTGCTTAATTTCTCATCATTTAATTGATACTAAAATAAATTGAGATATATTAAAAAGTGCTCATTTTGGGAACAGCAATACTAATATGGTTGTAAAATGTTTAAATATTTCAGAGTTCTATATTTGGTAAGAGTGGTGTTTTAAACTTAGTTTTTTGGAATCATAAGAGCAACTAATGGATTTATTTGTTCTTCTAATGTAAAGTTAGGTATAACTCCAAATATATTATTATTAATTCCATATTGAGGTCCCTAGATTTAGTCATAAATTTAATAAAGAGAATAGAAATCCATAATTCTATAATAATTATTTATATAAATTTCTAATAAAATAAAAATCCAAGATGTTAAATAATACTACATTGATATTGTCTATTTATCTATAATCTAAATTACTGTGAATGATTGATATTGAAATTTTAAATAATGTAGATTAGAAATTTTAATAGGATTTTTAATTTAATTTAGAATTAAGTTCTAAATGAGAAAATAAAATTAATTATTAAATTGATTAGCCTTAAAATATTTGCCAGAAAAGTGACAAAACAATATATTTCGAAACTAAAAGCTATTAAGATGATAATTGTATTATAATAGATAAACCATAAAAATATACTAATTTATAAACTTTATATTTTTCTTAGATTCTAAATTTGTTTAAATTTTTAATTTGACAAATAGATATAAAAATATTGTCGTTGTGCAATTAAATAAGTTTAACTATTTCTATTTCACTTAAAATAAATAGAGAATAAATTGTTCTTACTTGTGATTAAATTGGGAAGAAAAATTAAAGAGACTTTAAAAATTAATTAATTATTAGATGTAAAATAAATACATTCCAATAACTAAAAACATTCCAAAGACAATATTAAATAGAAGGTTTAAGAAACTTTAAGAATTAATTGACAATGAAGAATACTTTAGTGAAGAATAAATAAGAATGAGAGATGTATATTATATTGTAATTTAAGATTATAGCCATTATTATATTTTATTTATGTCGGCCAGTATATTCGTAACTAGAACAAAAAGCAAGATACAAATTTTAATTTATCAGAATTATTAATAGATTAAATATAGAAATAAGAATATGAAATTCATTTATAAGACATGTATGATAAATTAGGACCAAATCATGATTATCCTAGTATATATATATAAAAAGTAGACAGATTTAATGATTGAAGCTAGAATAAAGGATACAGATTTAGAAGATTAAGAGGATATACTAATACGTTTGATGCATGATAGATTCATAAATGGATTAGATAAAGATTTCATTAATTACGAATAAATAGATTTAAATGAGTATAATGAAATATAATTTTAGAGATTATGATGACTAGAAATAGATAAATATAGATATAGAAGAAGAATATTTTGAGAATATAAATATGGATGAAAGAAATGAAGAAGTAAAATAATCAGAATATACAGGAATTTAAGATTATTGAAATTAATTAATAATAAAAATGTAATCATTCATTCATGAAATGTTTCTTTAATATTTTTAGGTTAATTATTGACATTGTCAATAATGTGTCTCATTCTATCTTAAATTTTTTCTAATGAGTCATTCATAATCTTCATTTTTATCTCAATAGATTCTTGAATTTCATTTCCTTTCTACTAATCATCCATTTCTTCTTCAGCAAATCTTGCTCTAACCAATTAGATTATATATAGATTACCTTTTAATAGGCATCCAACTAATATCTTTCATATCAATCTTTTCTTTGATATAAGACTCATTACCATTATAATCATTTTCATCTTTATACTTTAAATAAGCATAATAATAAATATAATTCCACATATAATGTTCTTATTCAATATGTTCCTAAAATCCTAAACCTCCTCCTTCATCATTTTTTTCAAATTTTTCTCTTGTTATACCACAAATAAAACATTTCATTGTTTAATCCTTTATTCTTTCTTAAAGTTTCTCTCTTAAAGAACCAAATGTATCTACTATAATACCTTAAATCATATTTAACATAATCATGACTAAAACAATATTTACAGCATTATCAAATATAAATCTACTAACATAATTTGAAGTAAATGAATGATCCACACCATCATATTCATTCTCTCCTTATTTTACTCTATCCCATGCATCTTTTAACATATCAAAATTTTATGTTATACTTGATATTGTTTCATAATCCTTTATTCCAGAACCCAAAGATCCTGTAAATTTAAAAGTTAAGTCAAAACTCATAAATATACATTGCCACATTGTACTACATCCTCTTTCACAAATTATATTATCATTATCTGCTTATAATTGACATCCTATACTGTCTACTATTGGATAATCATTAAAGTATATTACAAATCCTAAAATTCCTACATAATATTCAATAACTGCTAAAAGAAGTAAAGCTAATCCAATTTCTTGTCTAGGACCCCATATTGCATCTAATACAGTTTTTAATTATTCCATTTTTAGAAAATCCATCAAATGAAAAGCAAAAAAAAAAGGATGAACTGTTAAACCTACTATCCCTGCAATGATATAAATGCAATAATATAAGATATCAGGATCTTATAATAAAATAAAAGAACTCTTAATACTTCTGATACCAACATCAAATATTGTATTCATTACTTTTTTTTATTTTTAAAAATTTTCCCAGATATGATCAACTTTTAAAGGAGCTCTTTTAACTAAAAAAAAGAATACTATTAATGAACTAAAAACAAGCATTGTTATACCTAAACCTTATATTAGTATTGGAGTCCATGTAGATTCTTTATATCCTAATAATCTTGGATCCTATAGTCTTTCATAAATTAAATCTCCAGATACTCCTTAAGCTCCACTTACATAAAAATCTTATGAGTAACTTAATAAAACTATAAGATTAATTACTAATGTAGTAACAAAAGCTAGGTTTTCCCATAATTTACCTTATGAAGCAAAAAAGGCAAACAAAGGATTTTTTGCAAAGATTTAATTTAATTTTTCTTCATATTCCATTGTTTTAATTAAAAAATTGGCCCTTTCCATTAAATATGTTAATTTAGTTTTACTACTTGTTCTATCAACTTAATCATGAAATTCTAATCTAGCACTTTTAGGTAAATTACATATTGGTAATTTTGGAAAGTAAATTGTATACAATTTTTAATCTCTTATCATATCAATTGAGCAGGTATTTTATCTAAAAAACTTAATAGCATTTTTTGTTAATCTTTTATATTCAATTTTTTCTTAAATTATTTTATCTTATTTTTATTCTTCTTCAGATTTTTAAGTTAAGGCTATTTAACCAATAAAATTTCCTCCTAATTTTGCAATATTTTCTAAACCTGAGAAAATATTTGCGATGGCATTATCTTCTTCTTTTTAATTTTCAGAAAATTCATTTAAAACATCATTCATTTCTGTATCTTCATATAATAATTATTTTGCTTTTTAATTGTCTAAAAATTATTACATTAATAGTAATATAAGAAATCCATTTTCAATAATAAATTCATAATATTCTGGTGGTTATTCATTTGTAATTTCTATTTCAGCTCTTTTAAATAATTCTTCATTATAAGTTCCTCCATAAGTTTTAAATAATTTATAAATTCGAGTTAAGTTATTCGTTAAAACATTTAATGGTATTACTCTTACTAATCTGGCGATATCAGAATTCTATGGTTCACAACATTCTAATAAAGAAACTAAACAATTTAAACATTTAAATTTTAATCTAGCCAATTAACCAGGATGAATAGATATCCGATACTATTTCTCTCCATCATATTTAAAATATTCATTAGATTATTCAAAGATTTTCTCATCCTCTGATATTATTAGAACTACATATTCCAATAAATTGCTTTTTATTAAGGTTTATTAATTTTATTTACAAGGTCCTTATATCAATTCTGTCAATGTCTCAAAACATTATAATACACTTTCATAATTTGCTTTAGATATTTGAAATGTATATAGCAATAAAATAATCTATGATACTAAATCATATGAATTTTTTTGATTAAATTAAGATCTCATATAATTTTGTAAATCTTAATTATGTCCTTCACAAAATAATTATATTAGCTTTAAAGCTTTGCAAACTAATTTGTTTTCTTAATAATTTAGTTTATGTGCTCTGCTCATTGATAATATTTGCATATCAAATACATCTTTACACTATTTAAAGAATTTTTCACATTAAGAATTCGACAAAAAATATTCATATGCAGTTTTTTAAACTTGATTATTTCCATTTTTTAATAGCAATATCATAAATGACATTAATGTTCCCATATAAACAGGTTCAAGTTCAGATTCGCATAATAATACAATAAGAATTTATGTAACATTCATTCTGTTAAATAAAAGTTATCTTTCAAATAGTTCATTTTCAGTATCTTTTAAAATGGCAGATAACACTTTCAATATAAAAATAATATTTTCTCTGCTGGCACCATTGGTCTTCCAAAATTCTAAGTAAGTTAGAATCTTTACTATAATGTCAGAATTAGTTAATAAAAGATCTTTTACTTCCTATCTTTTATCATCTTTGAACATTTTTTAGATAGTCCAAATAGAATTTGATAATTTTAAAGATTCTTTTTTAACTAAATCTTTAACAAATTCTTATCCAAAATATTTTCTTCTAAATTGAGTGATTTATGAATTATCTTATTAGGATTAAGATTATGTTAATAAATCAGAAGTCTTTTCTTCTTAACTATCTACATAATTTTCAGATTAGATGAATTTAATTGGTACTTAAATATTGAAACTTTATCCTAAATCAGATATAGTTTATAATCTTTATTTATTATTAGTTAATTCAGAAGGTGCTAAGAAAAACATTCTGTCTAAATTATTTAGAAAAAATTTAACAAATTAACTAATTTAAATTTAATCTTTTTCTGATGCTAATAAAGCATTTTATAAGAGTTCATTATATCTATTTACAACTGGCAATAAGGAATCAAATAAATAATTTAAATTTGACGGTATAAATTAATCTTTTTAAATGATTACTTGATGTTCATATTCTAAAATCTTATTTAAAATATCAGAATTTGATCGAAGCATTAATTCATCCAAAGTTTCAGGTTTATGAAAAATCATTGATTTAATTAGATTCCAAAAATTACTTTGTAATTAAGTATCTTCAAAATTTGGTTTCTCCTTTTATTTGATACATTCTAATACTCTATATGTTACTTTTAATGTATTTTTCAAAACATCTTGTAAACTTAAAAATATAATAGCTTAATTTATCAATGAAGCCCTAATTTTTTTTGATAAACACTTAGATATGATATTAATAAATAAATAACTATATTTATTATTATTTGGTAANTTTCACATTAAGAATTCGACAAAAAATATTCATATGCAGTTTTTTAAACTTGATTATTTCCATTTTTTAATAGCAATATCATAAATGACATTAATGTTCCCATATAAACAGGTTCAAGTTCAGATTCGCATAATAATACAATAAGAATTTATGTAACATTCATTCTGTTAAATAAAAGTTATCTTTCAAATAGTTCATTTTCAGTATCTTTTAAAATGGCAGATAACACTTTCAATATAAAAATAATATTTTCTCTGCTGGCACCATTGGTCTTCCAAAATTCTAAGTAAGTTAGAATCTTTACTATAATGTCAGAATTAGTTAATAAAAGATCTTTTACTTCCTATCTTTTATCATCTTTGAACATTTTTTAGATAGTCCAAATAGAATTTGATAATTTTAAAGATTCTTTTTTAACTAAATCTTTAACAAATTCTTATCCAAAATATTTTCTTCTAAATTGAGTGATTTATGAATTATCTTATTAGGATTAAGATTATGTTAATAAATCAGAAGTCTTTTCTTCTTAACTATCTACATAATTTTCAGATTAGATGAATTTAATTGGTACTTAAATATTGAAACTTTATCCTAAATCAGATATAGTTTATAATCTTTATTTATTATTAGTTAATTCAGAAGGTGCTAAGAAAAACATTCTGTCTAAATTATTTAGAAAAAATTTAACAAATTAACTAATTTAAATTTAATCTTTTTCTGATGCTAATAAAGCATTTTATAAGAGTTCATTATATCTATTTACAACTGGCAATAAGGAATCAAATAAATAATTTAAATTTGACGGTATAAATTAATCTTTTTAAATGATTACTTGATGTTCATATTCTAAAATCTTATTTAAAATATCAGAATTTGATCGAAGCATTAATTCATCCAAAGTTTCAGGTTTATGAAAAATCATTGATTTAATTAGATTCCAAAAATTACTTTGTAATTAAGTATCTTCAAAATTTGGTTTCTCCTTTTATTTGATACATTCTAATACTCTATATGTTACTTTTAATGTATTTTTCAAAACATCTTGTAAACTTAAAAATATAATAGCTTAATTTATCAATGAAGCCCTAATTTTTTTTGATAAACACTTAGATATGATATTAATAAATAAATAACTATATTTATTATTATTTGGTAAATAATCAAAAAAGCTTGAAATTTTATTATTATCTTAAAAAGGGTATAATGGATGAATAATACCGGATTCCTCCTTTAAAATAATAGGTTCAGTAAGTTTATCAATTACAATCTCAAAAATATCCACTGATTTTTTTGAATGAATTTCTGTAACTTCTAAGATTTCAAAATAAAATTATAAGAATTCTGGATATCTACCATGTTATTTAATAAGAATAATAAAATAATCATATTCTTATTAACCAAGCTGTCCATATAATGTTGGTTGTTTTTCAAATAAAGAACATAATAAACTAATTTATCCTATATTTTAATTAGTGTTTTCTATAACTTTTTTTACAACCTTTCTATAAACAGTTAATGCATTTCGTTCATTATCTTTTGCAAAGAATCCCATAATATTCATAGTATGTTTTAATAAAGCTATGAGATCAGGATGAAATGATTTTTAATCAATAACAACTAAAGACTTATTAATTAATTCTAATAAGACTTCATATCCACCGATATGTTCAAACATTTATTATTTTAATTTTAATGAAACACTTTCAGTTTATTAAAATATGCTATCTATTTTCCATAAACATTAGAGAGTCTAATCCATAATTCTATTTTTCTCTGTAATCCATGTTTAACTTCTTTAAACATTATTTTTTAATATTGCTATCATTTTTACCCAAACATTAAATAATTATTGTGATTCATAAGTATCTAAAATCTAAATATTATCAAAATGTTATAAGAATTCTTTTTTTTATCTTGCAAATCTTTATATTAATTCTACTATTTAATTTTCAAGTTATGGATTTCTTGCAAAATATAAAGATATTAATAAAACTTCTATAAAAGGTCTTTTAAGAACTTAATCAAAACTTTTCAAAGTTGGACCACTTTATCTAATAGTTTTTTTTTCTTATTCAGGTTTATCTACCCATTATTCTCCAGACATTAAAATTTCTTCAGGAAATAATTTAACTAACTCTTCCTAATGTATTTCTTCATTTGTTTGTTTATTTTATTATATAGTTTTATAAAATTCTAAAGCACCATCAATCCAATAATCTTATGATACATCCATCAAATATGAAAAAATATAACAAATTTATATTTTTATCAATACTTAAAAGTCTTCTTCTTTATTTTCTCTTAAAGTAAAGGTTTTATTATTATATCTATGTATAACTTTTCTTAGATTTTTCATTTTTTTAAATAATGAATCATTAATAACTTCTGTATCTTATTATTTGACTAGTCTAAAATTTTAATTTTATTATTATTATTCTTCTTTTTCTTTTTCTTTATCTTCCATTTCAAATACTTGACTAATTCCTGTAATATTAAATTTCATGAATCCTTAATCTTTTTCTTTATCACTTTACCAATTTCTTTTTATTTTTGAAGTAGTTAAACATTTAAAATATTAATGATCATATTCAAGTATTTTTGATAAAGCAGTAATTAATCTATCAATATCTCTCAAACCTCCAGCACTTTCTTATACTCTATTAAATACTGAAGTACCTCTTTTGTTAACAGATTTCTTCTATATTGACATATCAGTATCTCTTTTCCAAAATAATTCAAATTTTAACATTAATTCTATAATTTTAATGATTTCTAAAGTTTCTAAATTATAAACTTATTCTTCATTTACATTTTTATCAAGTTTTTCTGACTAATCTTCTAAATATTTAAGCATCTTTAATTTTAATTTTTAAATATCAAAATCTCCTTTTGATTATTTCTTACTTGATGTTTCATCAAATAAAAATAATTATTTTGATGTAGTTTTCTCTTCTAAAATCCTTATTAATTCAGGTTTAGGTTTAGTTGTATAAGGTTCTCTATCAATATACAATGTTCTAATCATTCTAAAAAAGTATGCTCTTACTTATTCATCTACATAATATGAATCTCCATTAAAACCATAAGTTTAATTATTTTATTCTGCATAAGATAACAAAAAAGAGTAAGTAAACGTTTTAGAAATTAATTCTCTAGCTGCAGTGTTTCTATGAAAACAAATGTTAGAAAAGAATGCTAATTATTCAATTAAATAATTGTATTGTAAAACATATACTGGATCTAATTCTCTCTATTATCTATATTCAGTTAAAAATTCATGAAGCATTTTTGTCACATATGTTTTATTTGATGTTTTATAAGTTATATAAAACTCTACATAAACTCCTTCTTCTTCTTTTATTGGCTCTAATTTCATCAAAATCTTTTCTTCTCCATAATCATTCTTCACTTTTTATTAAAAACATTATATCTAATTTAATAAAAATTCTTAATTTGAAAAAACTGGTTCTCCATTAGCTTCACATGTTTCTGATAAAAATCTAAGTAAATCTGGTTATAATTAATCACTCTTTTACATTATTTCTGATAATCTTGATAAAATTGTACTTTAACTTTTTTAATTCTTTTATTCTAAACTTATATTTTAAGTTTACTTCATTTCAAAAGGTAATTCTTATTTATTTAATGAACTCAAAATAGAATAATTCTTAGAAATACATTAAATTATAGTATTACTAACATAATCTATTGTTATGAATTTTTCAAAATATTTAAAAAATTTCATTATTAATTCTTAATTTTATAAATTGTTATGACATACTGTTTTTATTGTTTAAAATAATTTTAATTATAGTAATCTTTTTCTTTTTCTATGATTCTCTTCTAAATGTTCTTTCATTTTTTATACTTTCTTTTCATATACATCATCGTTAGATTTATCTATATTTAATTGAATCATAGTCTCAACACTAAGAATAAAAGAAGCTTCTCCACACAAATCATTACTCAGAATTTCTTCAGATCCTTCTATCTTTTCATCTGGGGTTGGAAAAGTCTTACAAATTAACCAAATTAATAAAGGTAAAATATTTTCTTCTCTTATAATGTCCTATCGATTCTGAGAAACAAAAGAAAAATCTTAAGTTGTTTGAATATTGCTAACTAATTTATTGTACATAAATTGATTTAAAATTTCTAACAATGAGTTAAGTTTATCAAATAAATAGTAGAAATCTATTCTATCTTAAACTTCATTTTTTTTCATATAAGCTATACTTGCTAAAGGTTAAACTCTTTCAAAGAATGAAATAGCTTCTTTTAGAATAGGTACTAAAAACACTAAAAAACGTTTTTCCCAAATATCTTCATAATCAGTTTTTCTGAATTTCATACATGTAATTAAATCAATATCATTTGTTGTACTAACACTTCCTGTTGGTTAATCAGGATCATTTCTTAGAGTGACATAACTTCCAGTGAGAAAATGTTTAATGAGAAAATAAGAATCTTTGTTAACAAATTTAGAATTTTATTTAATAGGAACAAATTGAAATAAAGTACTTTTTGTAACTTAGTCTGTAAGTTTCACTTGCCTCATAATATTAATGTCTAAATATTAACCTGTTTAAAAATGTCTTATTCTATAACACTTTTCCCATTTGACTTCTCCACCAGAGAAATTATCTGATTCTATTCTCCAATAAGCACTAAAAGGAATTTTAATTTTATCAGATTTATTTGTACTGAAATCACTAAAAAGTATTCTCAATTCTGAATATAAAGCTTTGTCTATTTCTCTTACATTTTTTGAAGCTTAAATTATCTAAGAGGATCGAGATTGTATAGATTTTTATTTTTCAAAGAGATTATTACTATTTTATGAATCTGATTTATTAAATACTTCTTCACTTACTTATCTTGAAATACCACCTTATTAAATAGGAAATAATGTTTATTATTTATTAAATACTATTTTATCTTGAATAATATTGCTGATATCATCAACTGAATTACGATCGAGAATTTCTTTAACCTTTTCTTAAATATCTGATGTTTTCTTTGCATTGAAGTATAACTATCAATTATAATATTGTTACATTCAATTCAGGTAAATTAAATACGGCTACATCACCAACAAATAAAGTTTCTTAATTTTCTTTTTAATTTTAAAATATGATAATTCTCCATTAAGTAGAGTCTTCAACAGAAGCAATAATTTTAGCTCTACATACTTCATCTTCATATTTTAATGGTTCATCATTTAAATCATAATAATTTAATCCCCAATAATCACTAAATAAATTAGCAGTTCTATTGCAAACTTACTTATTGGCTGATATACATACGACATCACCACTATAAACTACATTAGTTCTTAACTTCTAAAAATTTAAACAAGGATTAAACTTCATTAATGTATTATCATTTGGAAAATCAATTAACTTAAACTAAAGGGCCTCTAAATTATTATCATCTAAAGCCAAAAATTTTAAAGAGGAAACATGAACCAAATGAAAAATAGAAGAGCTAAACACTAATGGAGTCCCTGCTAATTTATTGTTAAGAGAAATGTTGGATGATAATTCATTTTCTAAATTCAATAAGATAGTTTAAATTTTTTGTTTTCTTTAACTTTATTCATATTCTTCCAATTCCTTAAAATTAGAATCTTTAAATTGTTCAATTAGATCATGATGTGCTCTATAATTTAAAACTGGAAATATTCGAAAGACACAATTTTAATAATCTTGATCTAAGTCTCCTCTTAATTAATGAAATGATCTCAAATAAAAATTTTATGAGCTAAATCCATTTGTGTAAAGTGATAAATTAGGAAAAGCACTCATATTTAAGACTATCAAAGAAGAATATGTGATAGGTTCAGGATTCATTTAATTAATTATATTATAACTTCACATTCATAAGACTTTTATTTTACTCATTTTAAAAAATCATCTCATCTCCCTTTTTAGTCTATATTCAATGTGATAATAATAATTTATATTTAAATCTAAATCTCTTTATACTTTTTTTCAAAAAATTATCTAAAATATATATACCATTGTAAGTAACTATTTATTTCTATTTTAAATAAAACTAAAATATGTGTATATTATTATTCTTCGATTTCTAAGATTCACATTATAAATCTTATATTTTTTATTCACTAATATTATTTTTATTATCGCTAAAGCAATGATTATTATAAAAATATTCTTAACTCAATTAATTTTATTAATTCTCTCCAAAAAAATTTATAAATCTATAAAATTGATCTTAAAAATGATTAAAAGAATTTAAAAAATTTTCATATTCCTTGTTTAGGCTTTGATAAATGATTCATTGAATTAATCTATAAATATCAAAATCTTTTTTTCTCAATTTATATTTTTTCAACCACTTACTTTTTATTTCATTTTATTCCTTATATAATTTGTCAAATATTAATATAAATAGTATATATATATCATTCCTGTAAAGTACATTTTCTAATAAAGCTTACTATTTTTCTATATATGGATTTAGTTTTTTAATAATTTTTCCTTGATTTTTTAAGAATTTTTTATTTTCATTAATAGTGTTTTTCTGAAAAATATGAAATTATAAATCTTATCAATGAATCCTTCATAATTAAAATCTTTAAATTATATGAGTTTATCACTATTTATATATGTATTTAAGTTAGATGATTTCATTCGTTGTTGGGATTATCTCATGGTTTATTTTATCAAAAGTTGAAGTTAATCTTACTTTTTTAAAATGAGTTAAGTATGGTTAATATTAACTCTAGGGGTACTTAGTTTTCAAATAAATATATATTATTAGACTAAAAATGGGATTTATTTAAAAATTAATTTTTTATGATAAAAAATCAAAGTGCCCAAAGTGAATTAAATTCACCATAAGATCCTATATTTTTCAGAATTGGTTTTCAAAGATTAAAAAATTTTTATATAAACTGAGGTGTTATTTTCTTAATCATTCTAATAATTTTGATTAAAACAATAAAATATATATAAAATGACTATTTGTAAAAAGATAGGAGTTTAAAATATTTTTTAATTAAAAATATAAAAGTAAAATTGATGATAATCTAAGAATGATATTTAGATAATTTGTATGAGTTAATTGAAAGTTTGGCCAAAAATGATGGATGTTATTGGTTGAGGTGTTTTATTATGTTAAATTGATATTGCTTAGTTAGAAGCAATATGTATTTTTATAATGAAGCAATGTCTGATCAATGGATAACAACAATAAAAGTCACAAAGTATTTATTGATAGAATTTGAGGAATATGAATTATTATCTTATGAACCAAAGTCATTTAAGTGTGATAAAATTTATGTTATTTGATAAAGTTGGAACAGAATTATCAAAGGATATGAGTTTTGAAGAATTTTATTCGGTGGATTAGAAATTGATATGAGTTTAAGGAAGAAATGGTAATAGTAAATTATGAATAATTGATATGCAGATGATTAAATGAAAATTTTAGAATTCATAAAATGATAAATAAATTTATAATTTATGTCCGTATACTTTTATATTCCAAATCTAATCGGATATGCAAGAATTGTATGTGCTCTTGTATTTTGTTACACAGGAAGTTTTGATCCTATAATATCAGCCATTGCTTATTCTGTGAGTTAATTAGGAGATCTTTTTGATGGAATGGCTGCTAGAAGATTTAAACAATGTAGTGTTTTTGGAAGTGTATTAGATATGGTAATTAGTTTGTAATCAATATTTTTAGGTTACAGATAGATTCTCTAATGCTTGTATTTTGGCAGTACTCTACAAATTATATCCAACTATTGGATTTTTATTTTTGTGGGCATTAGCTTTGGATTTATGTAGTCATTGGTATCAGATGTACTCTACTTTATATTGCAATGAAAAACATCATAAAACTGCTGTCTCTAAATATAAAATTTTAGAAATTTATTACAAAGTTCCATATATGCTTTTTATCATGGTTTTATTAAGTGAAGTAATTATATTTCTTAATCATAATTAAAGACTGCTATGGTTACTTTATATTTAAATGTCTTTTCTGATTGGATTGTCATTTAAGTACTCATGTATGTTTCAGTACCATTTTTATGTATAAAACATGTAAATTATTTTAACATTTTCAATTAGTACATCAATTTTATTTAACTGATGAGTGCTTCAGATAAAATTATTGAAAAAGAATCCAATAAAATTTGATTGTATAATAAAACAATATATTTATTTCTTATTAAATATTGAATTTATAAAATATTTAGATCGATTTTTGTAAATATATATGTTATTTTATTCTTGTTAATATTTCCTATTATTATTCAATTCTTAATTATAGTAAACCATTTTAAATTAACATAACTTATCATCTTCCTCCATCTACAATTTGATTAATTTATCTCTGTTAATTTAATTATAATTATGATATATTAATTTGATGAATGTCTAAATTATTAAAATCAATAATTTTAAAAAGAATAAAACATTAAATCAATTACTCAAGCTTTCAACTTAAATTGAATATATACTTACTTTTTTGAGAGTTTTAAAGACCACACGATGTTATTATAAATTAGATTCAAAATGAAAATTTTTAATGCTGAATTTTATTAAATGCAAAAGATGTATTATATTAATAAGTATACTAGTAAATGATTTTTAAGTCTAAATTTTCTTAACTTACTTTTAAATTTAATAATATTTAGATTTTTTCTTTAAAGTTTAACTAAAGCAAAATTATGAGCCATTATATTTTTTAGTAGATTTTAAATAGACGTAAAATAAATTGTAGGTTTTGATCATATTTATTGAATAATCTTGATAAAAAAGAAATCAATAATTTATTATTGTGAATTTATTCATGCAATTCAAAATTTATATTTTTAGAAAAATAGTGTTTCATTTATAAATATTTATGAATTAATATGCTTGTTTTTATTTTAATGAAAGAAAAATGGTTGGAAAGTAATTCATAAATAAAATAATATCAAATAATAATTATCATAGAAGTCTTTTTTTAATTTTTAATATCTCTTTAATATTTTTTATTTAAATTATTATTAAAAAAATTAAAATAAATCTATATGAGTTATTCAGATAGAGAGGAGAATTTTAATTAAATAGATTTTATTTTTGAATATGAGTAATATTCAAACAAACTGATCGATAATCAAAACCATTATCAAACAGATTTTAAATAAGAATAACCTTAAATTACTATTCAAAGATTTTAAACTTTAATGCTTAATGAAGCTAATACAAAAAATATTCCGAAAACATTTGGGAATAATTTTAAAAAATTTATGGATAACCTAATCTCAAGGAATGATGATTTAATTGGTAGAACTTAAATTTCTTAATGTATGAATGTGTTTTTAAATAAAAAAAGCAAAGGCTAACAATCTAATTACATCCTTCAAGATTTTAAAACATTGTTTAGTAATAAAATTTGCAGTAAATGGTTATAATTTTATATTGAAAATTGTGCATTTTTAGATTTGATACATTCTCCTAGAATTGAAAACGTAGAGGAATATATACTTTTCATTGAATAATATTTAGCAGGAGCTAGAGATCCAGATAATTTTATATCAAATCGATAATTAAAAAAAAAGAAAGAAGATATCAAGAAGTAAATGATGAAGGAAAAATAAGATGAGTTTTTTTAAGAATAAGATTCTAATATCTAGTTCGTAGGATAGAATTATGATTAATTTTCAAATAATCATAATATTGATAAAGAAAGTGAGTTAGTCATAAGTGCTTACTAATCCATTGGTTAAAAATTATGACTTAAATGAATAATTTAACAAATAAAAACACTTTTTAATTTAAAAAGATAAGCAATGCTTACTATATTTTAATTTATAAGATTACTTATAAATATAAATAAATTTTTAATATATTTTTTTGTTATTTCTTCTTAATAAGATCTTTTATTTAAGTTCCCAAAATTATTCTCTTTGGCAATTGTTAAGTTAATTAAAACAATTACCCAAATATGAAATTTTATTCTTACTTAAATTCATTCTTAACTTTGTATTAATTTTTTGAAAAGTTCTTTAACTCTATAAAAATCATCAATAATAATTTTAGGATTATCCATCTCATTCCTCAAAAAAGAAATTAAGAGATTTCAAATTCCTATGATTCAATTTAAACTTTTTAAATCCTGAATGTGAAGTTTAAAAAGCAGTCTTATGACCAAGATTATGATTTTATCATAAATTTTAAAATTTGAACAAAAAATCTACTTAATAATTAAACTCAATATTTTTTTCAATTATATTTATTTCTCCATCAATAATTTATATAATTGTTTCATAAACCTGATAATTTTATGATACTTTTTTTTATCTTTTATAAATTTGTGCAAGGTAGTGTTTTATTGATCTGTTCTTAAGTACCAAAGAATTTTATATTACAAAATCTATAATAATTAATCCTTTAATAGTATTCAGTTTTTGAAATACTCATTTTATTTTCTAATCAAATAGGGGTTAACCAAAAATTAATATAAATGCTCAATCAACTGTTAAAATTTATAATTTTTTATTTATACAAAAATTAAAAAGATTTGGTATACTAATGTGGAAATTTTATAAGTTTTAAAATAAAAAACTGAATCTACTCAAATTCTAAAAATGTTCTTTCTAATTTTTTTTTTATACATAATTAAAAATAACACAATACCTTCAAAATGATATATCTAATTTAGTACTTTTATTTGACAATTTAAGTTTCTTTATTTGAATTCATTATTGATTAAGTTAAAAATTATTTATATATAACAAAATTCTATTTTGAAAATTCAGCATATTCTATGAACTTTTGATAGAATAAATAATAAATTAAATACTAATAATAATATTTCTTCTTAATTTTTCTTTTCTCAGCTTATAGAAATTGATTTATTTTAAATCAAAAGAAACATTTTATATATATTTATAACTTTTAATTCTTTACTATTAAGTTTTCTTAAGGTTAGTTGTTAATATTATTCATCAAAAAGAATTCTTACAGAGATAGAAAATCATTCTTTTGAAGAAATATTAAGTTAACAATAAGAATTATTGACAGATTATATTAACTCATACAAAAATTATTTTAATTCACAAAATTAAAATTAACTGATGGAATACTAGTTAGAATTAGCAAATAAAACTATAGAAGAATTGAAGCAAAAACTCTTAGCTGCCGAACAATAGATAGTTTCAAAGGAAACTGAAAAAATTTCAAAGTAAGAATTGTAAGAGAAACAAATAGAAAGAATGAATGATGAAATAGCATAATTGTATAGAAAATTAGAGTCTTAAGAACATGAATTAAGAATAAAGGTTTAATTTTAACTTAGTCTAAGGATGAACAAAATTATAAATGTGAAGCATATATTGAAAGATTAGAGTAATAGTTAAGAGAAGCATATTATTAAATTGATGATCAAAATGAATATCTAAATTAAATAGAATAAAGAATTGCCCCATTAAATCAAGAAAACATAACTCTAATAAAGCAAAATAAAACTCTTCAATAAGAGTTAGATTACTATCAGAGATCAGTATAAAGTCAAATAAATAAGTTGAAAGCAGAATATGAAATGAAAATTATTGAACAGCAAGATAAATTAATTTAATTAACCAGAACTCCAAATAAAGAGAATGTTGCTATATCTTAAAATACTTCATTTATTGATTACGGAAAAGAAAGCAGAGCTAGTAGATAATCAAATTAAGATTAATTATTTGAATTGTAATCAGAATTGAACAAGAACATCAAGCTATTAAATTCAAAACTTAAATAATATAAATGATTTAATTTATTATTAATATAATTCAGAAAATCATACATTTTAAATTTGCTGCACAACTTTAATTATTTTCATTTAATATTTGTTTATCCTCTTTAACTATTTATGGTCTTGGAACAATTGTTTATTTTACTTTCTTTTTTTCAAGTTCTAAAATCAAATCTTATTTATGTTCTATTTCAATTTGTAACTCTTTATTTTATTCAACCAAATAATCAATTTATTTTTATAAGGATTCACTTTTTTAACTAAAACGTTCAATTTATTCTTTATTGATTTTTGCTTAAGTTTTATAATAAATTAAATCCTCATTAAGTTTGCTTATTTATTATTTAACATTTCTAGCTGCTATTTTTTTGGCAGGATCTTAATCTTAAATTAACAAATGAATATCATCTGTTAAATCATCTTCATTATCAATTTTAAATGTGATTTAAGAGTTTTCGATTAAATTATGCGATGAAATCATCAATTGATCTGATTTTTTCTATTATTGTAATTCTTAAATTTATTTTTTTAAATATAAGATTTCTTAATTTTTTTTTTCAAGAAGATTTTTTCCATCCTCTAAATCTTTTATTACATTACAAATTTAGACAACAGAAGTTGTTCTTTTTGAAATTTTTGGTTCTTCAAACTATTCAATTCTTTTTTCTAATTCAGATTTTTCTTAAGTCAATTTAGCAATTTATTCATTTTTTAATTTTACTAATTGTGCCATTTAAGTAGGATTAAAGTTTTACAGTTTTAAGACTTCTATTTCTTATTTGCATTTCAAAAGTTCATTTTCTAAATTTGTTGAATCCCTTTTAGTTGATAAAGTATAGGTTGAAGATTCATTGGCTTTTTCTTATTTCATAAATTATAATTTGAGATTTTAGTTTGATTCTAATAAATTAGAGTTTTCATCTTCAAGTTTTTGATATTGAAATTAAAAATTTTTGAGTTCATTCTATAAATTTATTATTTAATCATTTAACTAATCAATTTCTATTTTTTATTTGGAAATCTTAATTTTATCCATAGTAATTTCTTATTTTAAGTAATTATTTTCTTATTAAATCAAATTGATTTATTAATTCATTTTATTTTCTAATTCTTATTATTACCCTACTTAACTAATAGATTTTACACTAATACTAGAATCACTACTTAATTTTTTATTTTCATAATAATATTTTTGAAACTATTAATCTTTGATATTCCATAGTAGAAATAATTTATTTTTTTCTATTGTTTCTTTGAATTGATGAGTACTAAAAGCACAAGCAAGTATTTTTATAAATTCATTAAATCCATCCTCTTAAAATAGTTAAGAGAACATGAATAAAGATGTTTATATTTCAAATGCATTTATTGTCAATGATACTATATAAGGTCCCACTTCTTAAAGAAATGGTTTGACAGGTTCAGTAGGAATTTTCAAATTATGGAATGTTTTGATCATCAAACTTAGCTCAGACTTAAAGTCGTATCCAAGTCTAAGGTTTCTAAAATGCATTGCTTTGGGAATTAATCGTGTATAAATTATTTAGAGTAAACCATAAGATGTAGCTTCAGAGCTTAAGCATAATAAGATAAGAGTTGTAAATATAAGACAAGGATGATAGCCTATTTCTGGATGATTTTTGAGGAAAGTTCCTAACACATTTTAAATAGAACCTAAAACTTAACCTTTATCTATTTATACTACTTAACTAATAAAGTCTCTAATTGAATAATTCATTTTTTTATCTATCTCATCATAAATCGAATCTAACTAATTAATAAACTAATTATATTCTATGGCATCATTTTATTCTTATACTCTATATTATTCTTTAATCTATCTCATTTCAACTCCAAGATTTTTAAGCCATTCTATTCCTAAAGAATCCTTGTTGAATTAAATCATATTCGTTCGAACAAATTATTTAAGCATATCTGACTCGGATTTACATATATTACAAACTCTGTGAGGATCTTTACTTTTTGAATAACCTAATATAATCATTTTATTTTAAGCACATTTATCACAAACTGCTCTCTTACATCTTACGTTTATATAGACTATTCATACCTTTTGCATTAATGTTCCTTTGACATTACACTAAAATCCTTAAAACAAATAAGGCAAGATTTGAATTACTATCTTTATGAGCTAATTTCTACATTAAATATATTTCCCTTCATTAAATTAATATTGCATCATGTATATTAAATTTTCAAATAATTCAAATCATATTTACATAATTCTAGATTTGAAACAATGAATGAAGACTAACTTATCTGATTTAATATTATTCAAGACAAATTTATAAAAAGTTGCTTAATATTAAGTATTCTTTAAATTTAAAAAACTTTTTTGTTTATTATTTTAAAAAAAATAAGAATACATAGAAATATTTTCCGTATCAAAGATAAACAAAAAATTAGATTTAAAATTTATTTACAACTTTTTAATATTTCTGAAATAGGTTTATTTTAGGTGACACTCAATTGAAACAAAAATGGTTTAATTTTGAGTTTTCATGGATAATTTCTATAATTTAGTTTCGATCAAATAAATTTAAATATAGCCTTTGATTCTCCATAAGCAAATAAAGTACATATAGACAATAATTAAATTGATATTGCTTTATTTAATTAATAATAATTAGTAATATTATTATGATTCATATTCTTGTCTTATGATTTCAATTAATTTAACTAACTAATCTATTTTGATAACGATTTAAGGTGCATGTGATCCTCAAATATGGACTGAAATAGATTGAAACTTTTTATGAATGGGAATCAAACCATTTATACTAAAAAGGGATAAAGCTATTAATGCAACTTAAAATTAATTAATAAGTAGAAGATAAATTTTTAAATTGCATTTAAGATTTTTTGGAATTTAAATCCTCAAACTTCTCAATAATATTTGGCTTAATTTTGTTAACTTAAACTTGTAATTTAAGAGTAAAGAGTATATTTTTACTATAGTAAATAAATTATAAAAATTCTTAATATTGAAGTGACTTCTATTGAACCAAACAAGAACCACTAAACCATTTTAGCAAATATAAAGTAAATAACATCAATGAATTATGTAATTTAAATACATATATCTATATTTTTAAATAAAAAAGTTAACAAAAATTTTTTGATGCACTGATTTATTCTTTTCTAATTTCAATAAAAAAAAATCATAGTATTTTTTTCCTTTTTTTAAGTTCTAATTTTTCTACATTAAAAATTTGAAAGAATTGTTACAACGATTTCTCAAATCCAAAGTATTTATTTTATTTTAAGAAAAAAAAATTTTTCTAAAATAGAATATATAATTTTGAGTTATTCCTATGTCTATGAACATAAACTAAAAAATTTTAAAGTTATTTTATCCTGTTATTGTAAAAAATAAAACATCAAGAATATTGAGTTTATTTTGAAGTATAATCAATAATTTGATTATAAATTTAAAAATTTTTTTATGAAACATAAAGATAGATGATTAGAGCATGTAGATAATAAATTGGATGATTTTTTTATGTTAAATCAAATTCTTCTTTAGGCAACTAATTTATTGATAGTAAATGCATCATTTTCTTTAAGGATGGCTTCTACTTACATGAAAGATTCATTGGATTCACCTAATTGATTATAAATTTAAAAATTACTATCATCATATTGTAAACAGAAACATACTCTTGATGGATTGATACCCAATTCTGGAACATGGCCAGATGCTAATTAAGCCAAATATTCTGAAATAGCACATAAAATATCAGCAGCATTTTCTTTAGTGACATCAATAGTTGCCTCACATCTATAAAAGATTAATAAATGATAAGATACTCTTTGACAACGGGAACTTAAGGTTCAGAAGGAGGAGGAGCTGGTTTAGGTGAAGGTACTGGAGCAGGTTCAGGTTCTGGTTAAGGTTCAGGTTCAGGTAATGGTTCTGGTGTAATTTCATCAGGAATGACAGGAGGTTCAGGTTATGGAGGAGGAGGAACAAATTCTTCTTCTTCTGGTTCAACTGATTCTTCTGAAGGAATATCTTCAGGTTAAGAAGGAGTAAATTCTTCTTCTGGCCAAACTGATTCTTCTTCAGGGAAATCTTCAGGAGTCTCTTCTGGTTCAACTGGAGTAAATTCTTCTTCTTCTGGCCAAACTGGTTCTTCTTCAGAGAATTCAATTGGGTCATTTGGAGTATCAGTTGATGGTTAAGGATTATATCCAAAAATAATATCTCTTGGTGGATTTACAACATCAATAGCAACATCTCCAATACAAAGATTAACTCTCCAATTATAAAATTAACCATTGAAAGCAGGATATAAACCATCATTACCAATGTAAAGTCTTCTTTAAGGAACAAGATAATGACGAACATCATGAATTTAATTAGAAGGCATTTCTGAATCTGATAAATAAATCAAGTAATTAGCATATTTAGTTCTTCTGCTGTAACCAAAGTAAACATAATGCCATTAACCTAATGATGATCCATATTCAACAGAATCCCATAAATTAGGATTGCCAGATCCTGAATATGTATAAGTAGTAACTTAATATCTGTTGCCAACTAATTCATTACCAAGATAAAGAGCTAGATCTCTATCTCCTAATTAAATATCATCTAAATCAGCATCAGTATTTTCTGATAATCTAAAGACAGTATGCCAAACATCTTAATCTTCTAAAGATTCCCATTTGAACCAACCAGAAACTGAATATCCAGCATCCCAAGATGAGAAATCATATCTTTCTTCAGAACTATCATCAAATCCAGAAAATTCAAAATCACCTAAAACATGTGTATCTAATTCACAAAGTTCTTCTGGAGGATTATTACATGAATCAACAATTTGTTTATATGTTTTTTCATCTTTGAAATGAAGATTTGGTGCAGAGACAGCAAAATGTCCATAAACTTTACCTTAGAATGATGGATGAGAATCTTATTCACCACCAATAATGAATTCTAAAGATGTGAAACTTTCATGAGTAGCAGGAGTTTCTCTCAAAGCTGGTTATTCTTCAAAGAATTTAACTCCACATCCAGTAACACCTTTACCATGACTAATAAATACAAAGCTCCAATCACCTTCAAAATCATCATTCTAAACAGATGTAGATTATTATGTTGATCCATCAGCAGTAACACATTTAACTCCAGTTTTAGTAACAAACACTCCTAATACAGTATTACCATTATCTTATAAACTGGCTAAATGGAATTCTTCAGCATCAGTAAAAGCTGGATATTTCTATAATTTTTAGAAGTATAAACCAAATCCATATTAGCCTGTTATGGTAAGAGTACTAGTGAATCCTGGTTCAACTTAAGTAGCTGCTAATTCAACATATTCTGTAGATTCAGAAGAATGACATACTAATGGAGATTCTTCATCATCTTCATCAACAGGAACAGGTGGTTAATCTTCAAAAGTGGCTTCTTCTCCTTCTTCTTCTGGTGATACTGGTATTGTAGGATGTGATGGTTCATCAGATTCTTCTTCATAAAATGATTCTTCTCCTTCTTCAGGAATATCAAATGGTGTAGGTTAAGGTGGTTCAACAGGTGTTTCTTCAAATGTGAATTCTTCTCCTTCTTCAGGTAAATCAACAGGTGGTTAAGGTGGTTCAACAGGATGTTCTTCAGAATAGAATTCTTCTCCTTCTTCTGGTGTTGGTGGTTATGGTTAATCTGGAGTTTCTTCATAAGGAGATTCTTCATCATCTTGTTCTGGAGTTTCTTCATCATCTGGTTATACAGGTGGAGAAGGTTATTCTTCATCTTCTTCAGTAGATGGAACTATTGGTTCAGATTCTTCACCTGGAATAGTCCATTCTTCTGTTCCATCTTCTGTTATTGTTGGTTCTTCAGGAGATTCTTCTGCATTTGGATTAACTGGTGGTTCATCTGTTGGACCTTCTTCCTCAGAATGTACTTCTGGTGTAGGTTAATCTTCTTCTGGTGTTGTTGGTTAATCTTCTTCTGATTATGGCTAATCTTCTTCTGGACTTGGTTTATCTTCTGGTGTTGTTGGAATATCAGTCTCTTCTACTGGTTCTTCAGTAAATTCTTCACTTGGTTCACTTGGTAATTCTGATGGAATTTCTGGAACTGGCTCATCTGGACATGTTGGTTGGCATGCTTATTAACATCCTGATTATATAATCTTTAAATCTTCTATCTTTCCTTTCACCTTTATCACTGTAACAGGAGATTATTAGCATTATTAGTGAACATTATTCATTTATTTTATTAAATAAGCACATAATTTTGTTAAAGTTTCTGTACATTCTTCTCTTTCATGTTTATCTTAATATTTAATCAAATTTGTTACCATGAGATTGCAATCCTTGTAATTTGTTTTATAATTCTGAAAGCACTGGTGGTGATATTAAATCTAAGTCTTTGATCTTATCAACCAGCTTTTAATATTTCTTATGTTTTATTAAGTGTTTCATTTCAGTTAATGTTTCTATATGTGAAGGTATACGATCTTTATTCTCCAAAACATTCTACCATTGACTCAAGGTCTACTCCAACTCATCGAAATGCGATCGAGGAGTTTAACAATTTAATTATGAAGTGTCCAAAGCATCTACTTCTGCTAATGTATGGGACATCAAAGATGCCTCGAAATTCAATGCTGCTGCGTACATCAACAGCACAAACAGGGCATGCATTCTCATTTTTTTAATAAATATAATAGTTATGCATTCAAAACGGATTATTACAAATATTGAGTAATTAATTATACTCCTTGTATTTTAATGTAATCTGTCAAAGAAAGACTTTTGTAATACTTTACCTTTGTAAAACACAAATATAATCTAAATGATACATTTACATTTATCACTTAAATTTGGAAAATGTTTTATATTACCAAACAAATAGCTTCGAAATTCAACGCTTAAGATTATTTTTATAACACTATAGTCAGAATAGAATTAGTAATCAAAAATTATAGAATAAAGTTTTTCATTTCAAAACTTCTTTTGCATTGTAAATCATTAAATATTTTCAATAATTTTTTAATGCTAAATTATAGATCAAAATACTAATGCTATTTCATTACTAATATAATAATCAGAGTTTGCAGAAGCTTAAACCAAATCTGTTAAGTAACTTTTAAATTTATGAATTTTTAACTTTAGTAGTTTCATTAATTCCAAATATTTCAAATTCTAAAAAGTTTTTAGATTTTTGTAGAAGAAAATGAAAACCCATCCTAAAATAATATATCAAATATTTCTTTAATTCTAAATTTTATTTAGCTTTAATTTATTTTTTATTTTTGGTCATTCTTATGAAATAACTACAGAAATGTATATAATTGTCATTTATTGATACAATTATATAAAGATAAAATACTATTTATGAAAAATATAGCTTTTGTTCTAGCTTCCTTAAGTATTTTATATGAATTGAAAATATGTATTAAAAGCAAATTCAATAATTCTAATTTACATATATTTTATTTCTTATCTTTTTTGTTATGAGGTTCGAATTATTTTTTCTTTTTTTAGTTGTAAAATCAATGTGTCAGCAATTATATTAAAAATTAAATAAAATTGAAGTATTTCTTTTCAAATAGGATTGCACAATAATCATAGTTAATTTGAAAGTATTGTTTTAATTTCTTGATGAAGAGGTGAGAATGTCAATTTTTAAAATTATAAAGTTCCTATTCAATATTCTTGCATTTATTTATTTAGATTAATTTTATGAATTACATGATATCTCGATATGTAGCAATAAACATTGAGATGGTAACGACGTTAAATAGATTATCCAAGTTTTGATACATATAAATTGCAAAATTTAAAGATTTTTAGTTAAATAGTGAGCTAACGTCATGTTACGTTAAGAATTGTGTGAGATACAAGCATAATTTTAAATTTTAGTAGTATCTATAATATATACAATAAATTAATTATTCAAATGGCAGAGCATGAACAAGAATTTGAGGGTCATGAAGAAGAATTAGAAGCCCCAAAAGATTCATTATGGAGAGATGAGCATGAAATGGAGAAATCTGCAAATATTGTTTATTTTCTGACGTTGGGAATAGTATCAGGGTTAATATTGAGAGAGATTAATAAGAAAACAAAGTAATGGAAATGATTTATGGCTAGATTTCCATATTCTCCTATGATTTTATCATTAGGAATATTATTGGGATTACTTTAAAAAAGTTTAGGATATGTTGGTGAGAGTGCAAGTATCTTGTCAAAAATGCATCCTCACTTAATAGTGTTTGTGTTTGTTCCTGTATTATTATTTGAATCAGCCTTTAATTGTGATTGGTATACTTTCAAATATCAGATGGTCAATATTTTATTATTAGCAGGTCCTGGTTGCGGTTGGGTATTTAATATTTGAATGATAGGGTGCAATACTTTTAGGAGGTGTATTTAAAATGGTGTTACAATATGATGATAATGATATGACATGGTATTAAGCATTTACTCTTGGTTCTGTTTTATCAGCTACAGATCCTGTGGCAGTAGTTGCTTTATTAAAGGAATTAGGAGCAAGTTTAGCATTCAATCATTTAATAGAAGGGTATTAATAACATTTTATTAATTTAGAGAAGCTTTATTAAATGATGGTGTAGCTATGGTATTTTTTATATTTTTTAACAAATTTTCAAAAGCAGCAAGTGGAAAAGGTGAAGCTGTTACAGCTGGTTAAGTTGTTCTAAATTTTGTTAGAAATTCATTAGTTGGACCAGGATTAGGATTAGTATTAGGAATATTAGCTGCTTTATGGACTAAGAGAATTTTAGGTGATGATATAGAAGTAACATGGTTAACATTTGTATTCACATATTTAACATTTTATTGGGCAGAGTTTTGCTTTTTCAAAACAAGTGGTTTACTTGCTGTTGTGGGTTTAGGACTATTTTGGAGTGCATTTGGAAAAACAAGAATAAGATCATCAGTTGAACATTCTGTACATACTGTTTGGGGTTTTGTTTAATACTCTTGTGACACTTTAATATTTTTATTAGTTGGAATTATTGTTGGTACATAAGTAATTGAAGAAACATTTATTCATAAATCAGATTATATAAGAATGATAGTGTTTTACTTTTTTATGATTTTAGCAAGATTCATTATGATTTTGACATTTTGGCCATTCTTAAGATGTTTTGGATATCCTATTTCTAAATCTGAATTCATAGTTCTTGTATATGGTGGATTAAGAGGTGCTTTAGGTTTAACTTTGTCATTAATGGTTGGATGTGATGAAGAACTACCAGCTAGATTTAGACATTTATCAGTATTTTATGGGGCAGGAATGGCTGCAATAACAAATTTAGTTAATGGAACAACTTGCAAGGCATTAGTGTAATATTTAGAAATGATTGAAAATCCTGTAGTTAAAAAAAAAGTGTATAAAAAATATTTAGAAGAATTAATTGTTAATTCATAAGATAAAATGAGAGAATTAGAATCAGATTAATTTTATAGTATGGCTGATTGGAATTAAGTGAATTAATTGATAGGGCAACCTAAATTTATTGAGAAAATAGAAAAATTAGAAACAGAAATAAAATATATGTTGGGTAGTAATAAAGTAGTTTAAAGTTCATCAAATTTATATGAAGGATTAACAGATCAAGAAATCTTTGGTGACGTTAGATACAGAATCTATCGTATTTTAAAAGGTTTGTATTATGATAAATTTGAATATGGATTATGTGAAGAAGATACTGTTCGATTGTTAGTTGAATCAAGTGATATTGGTTTAGATCATACAAAAGGAATTTTAAATATTTGGGATTAATTATATAAGAATTTCTTAAATTTTAGTAGTGTGAACTTTTTCTTTAAAGTTAAAGAAATGCCATTGATTGGACCATTTGCTAGAGATTATATGATAAAACATTTAGGATTTGTTTATGATGTTACTACAACATTTTTATCTTGTGCTAGTGAAGCATTACATTTAACTGGAAGTTTTCCTATGAGTAAGGATGCTGTTAGAGTTGTTATGGAAGAACTTAATAAAGAAATAGAAAAAGCTGAAGGTTATTTAGGTATTTTAAATGACACTTTTCCTGAAATTGTTAGAGCTATTTAAACTAAAAGAGCATCACATTCAATTTTAACACATTAAAGACATTATCTTGATGATACATAATAAAATGGATTAGTTGATGATAAAGAATATTAATTACTTAAAAAAGAAATTAATACTAGATTAGTTGATTTAGAAAACCATCAATTTGATATGATTTTACCGTCTTTTCATGTATTAGCTATGGAATTTCCCATTTTTTCAGGATTAGTATCTACTGATTTAGATAATATAATTAAAAGTGCTTATGAAAAGAAATTTGGGTCAGATGAAATTATATATGAATAAGGAATGACATGTTAGAATATCTATATTGTGAGTAAAGGTAATGTTGTAGATGAATTCCCAGGAGGTTCAATAAAGAAAGGTTTAGGATCTTTAATAACATATACTAATCTTATAGGAGATGGCACATGTATGAGTACTGCTAAAACCACAGCAGATTCTTTATTGTATTCATTAAATCTTAAGATTCTAAAGGATTTAATGAACAAAAATCCAGATTTTGAATTCAAAATTTACATCAATTCAGTTGGTTACAATATATGTTATTTTTAGAATACTTAAGAAGAATGTATGAAGATTAAGCTGGACCTTTAGCTCATTTAGAAATTAAAAGATTATTAGATTTCTTTAGAACTAAAAGTAAATTAAAAAAGTTTACTGCAAATTAAAAATGTGATTTTATTTTTGGTGGATATTTATTTAGAGGAGAATTGAAGGACATCAATAATAAAGTTTATTCTCAATATACGTAATATATAAATTCTAAAGTATAGTTATATACCTCCTTAAGATACTGAATGCATTGTAGTCAAAGATTGTCAATGCTTAACTTTTGAAGATTCAGTAGAGTCCTTTAATAATTAAATGTTGAAATAACTTGATTTAGATCCTCATAAAGACTAATAGATTTAAGAAAGATATTCATAGATTAAACGTACTTCTATGATGGATAAAAGTAAACATCATTGATATAATATCATTTATATATCTATTCCAAAAATAATTTCAATTTTTAAATTCTGTTTTAATTTATAAAATAATCGATTGATAATTGCTCATTTACATTCTCCTCTTAATAAAATAACAATTCAACTAACCCAAAATGCTACTTATTTTCTATAACTGATTAAACTCTAGTAAACCAAAAATTATCATAAATTAGTTTATTAAATTAATTGCTAATAATTTATTTGTCTTTATCAATTTTTTTAAAAGTCTCAACCATTCAATTAAAATTCTCCTAATTTTTATTTATCAGAATGAAAAACTTTTGATAATTCTCTATTGTATTCTTTAATTTAAATAAGAATTTGTGGTAAACTAGGTGCTTAATCAAGATTTTACAAAAAACAATTATTAATATATAATGTTAAAATTGAAACCTTCAGAATCAGCTCCAAATTCTCTTAAGATGCCACATCTAAAAGCAAAAGATTTAGATAAAAAAAGTATATAAATACAAGATATTCATTATAGATGAGATGGATAAGGTGATTTAACAGTAATTAGTTATTGAACCAGAAATTGTAAAGTTTGCAGGATTTGAGGTAGGGAAACTAAATTTACTAAAAATTCGTGTTATTAATAAGTATCTTTAGCCATAAAGAATATTGATTATACCTCCTAAGACTAATTTCTTTAATATAAAATATGATAAGAAAGGAGCCATAGCTTCTGGAATGTTTGAAGAAATTTATATTTCTTTTAAGCCATTTGAATATAAGTAATACTAAGATTCTTTGAGAATTAATACTCAATTTGATTCCATAGTGATTCCAATACGTGCATTTCCAGCAATTAATCGAGATTATTTAAGAGATTTATTTCCTCGTTATTTAGATTTTGGAACACTTGAATTAGGAGAATAATTTTCTTAAGTATTTTTTTATTGTAAGATAGAGATTTCCAATATAAAATAAGGTACCACTTAATTTTGATTTTGAATTCATCATAATTAAAGATAACATAGATTTTAAAATAAATCCTTTAAGAGGTACTATACCTGATAAGGGAGTAACTGAAATAGAAATACTTTATAGACCTTCAATTAATGTAACAGTCTATATGGAAGTGGAATTAATTGTAGGATCTGTTGATTTTGAACCATTACCTATTAAATTAATGGGAACAGGTAGATCATCAAATGATAAAAATCAAAATAGAATTAGAAGACCGGTTTCAATGAGAAAATTAAACTCAGTGATTTAATAGCCAAAACAAAATTAAAAAATAATTCCTAAAGATTTATAATCATCATAAGAAAATATTGATGAATATTCTATTCCTGAATAATCTCCTTAAGTAATATATGAGGCTACTGGAGGAAATGATTAAGTTGAGTAATTTTATCCAATCATTAAACCAACCACAAAACGAATTAGACCATAAATAATAGAAAATGAAGTTTTAGAGATTAAATAAGGTGTTTCTCTTTAGGGAAGATAAGTTAAGGAGAAATAATATCTTGATCATTTTAATTAAATAGCTAATTTGGATAAGGAGAAAGAAAATAAACTTAAATAATTTATAGGAGATTCACCTATTTAAAAGGAAACTATTTAAGAAATTATTAGTCAAAGAGAACATTTTAATCAATAAATGTTAAATTAAATATTTTAAACTGGAATTACTAGATATTAACTTTAACTTAATAATGATAATGCTGTAGCGGATTAAATTCTACCTAAATATGAATGTTAATGGGATTTTGAAAAAAATGATGTCATTAAAATAAAGAAAATAGTAAGTTATTTATTATCTATTAGTTTTGAAACTTAAAAAATTTATTTATGCTGTAACTAGAGTGATTTATAGAATTAGATTTGATAATAGAATGTCAAAAATAAGAGCATTTTTAAAAGGAGCAACAAAACGATCAGAAGTTGAAAAATTAGTAAATTAAGATTGGTAAAAAGCAGAATATGCAGGAGTTGGCAAAAAGGATTTTGTATTTATAAATAATAATTGAATAAGATTGCTTTCACTTTTGAATTTGAAGAAAATTGTATAGGAAAATTTGCACTTCCAGTTCAATATTAAGAAACTAATACTTATTCATTTAAATTTGATATAAATCCAAGAACAGGATTTGATGATTGGGCTCCTATTGAACAAATTCCTCAATCTGATCAAGAAGTAATGTAATATAAAAATTGGGATTACCCTCAATTAGTATACCATCCTCCTTTATTATAATAAGTAGTTTTTAGAGATGGAGCTGAAGAAGAAAAAGCTGTTAAAGGTAAAATGGGACCAATTTAAAATATTTTAACTATTAATTAAAAACTTGAAGAAACTATGAAAATTGTAATGTAAAAGACTCCAGAATATGAAGGAGTTTAATTGCTACTACCTCATAAAACTCTTTAATGCTATTTACCATAAGACACATGTAATCTTATTGAATCATCATTTCTATTAAATTATAAAACTATATCCAATATTGGATCTGATTTAGATATTGATGCATCTAGGAATGATTAAATTATTAAATAAGAAATTAGTAACAGATAACCAGGATACAATAATTTAAATTTATTGTATGAATTGAAAATGGATTAATTTTATTATTAAGAAAGAAATATGCAATTAGCATATGATTTTGGATTTGAAGATTAAATTGAATAATATTGTGCTCCATTAATGCATGATAAAGAAAAAGATGATTATATTACAGATGACAGTGATGAAGAAAGACCACCACAACCTATTGTTGCAGATTGTAATGATTGGTTAGCAAAACTAGAATAAGATGATAAAGCCCTTTAACCATTTAAATAAGGGGAAATTATAGATCAATAAGAATTACTTAAAATTAAAATAGATACTAATTTAATGTATATATACTTATTTTTATGAAGGTTCGAAAAAAATAAATGGATTTCTACTGTCCCATCTAAGACGAATGACTACAACAAATTTATCATCAAAAATGAGAATAAAATTATTATTTTATGAATTAGTATAACATTCTATAAAGAAACTTCAATCTATTCACTCAGATAAATCTAAATTTTTACTTAATTAATTTTATTATATTCATTTTAAGAAATATACTCACTCAAGATGAAATACTTTTTAAATTAATCTCAAGTACAATATTGTACTTTTCAGATCTTAATTTAATGTTAATTTATTAACAAATTTTTAAATGAATCAAAAAAGAATATGGAATTTAATTATTAAAAAAAGTACAAAAATAATTTGAAAATCTATATAAATTTAAAGAGTTTCATTATTTTTTAATTATTTATTGTCAAATAAAAAATTAAAAATCTTATGAAGGCTGTTGAGATTTGGAAATTTCTATTTTTTAGTATTTCTAAAAATCTGAGGAAATCAATTACTGAGATTTTTCACAGTTAAAATAAAAAATAATAAATTCAAAGGAATAGTGTCTATTTGAAAAATAAATTTAAATCAGCAGGTCTTAAATTTATTAATTAATCAGAATTAAAATTAAAGGGAGGTAATTTAAAGAAATATCTTAATATGTCATTTAATATATTTTATTGATTAACTCAGTATTAAAATTAAATATTTACTTTAATGGGGTCTTGTCAAATTTGCAATGGTTTCTAGGTAAAAGAGATTAAAGAAGAAAAACTATTAGAAATGTTAAAAAAAGAACCAACACATAGATAAGTAGCATTAATTCAGGCAAGGTTTAGAGGAATCTTAACAAGAAGAAGAGTTCTAATTCATAAATAAAAAGAAAACAATAATTAGCAATAATAAAATTCATTGACAGAAGACTTAATTTGTTATGAATAGGTTTAACAAACAATAACAGAAAGATCAACTGTAGCTTAATAACAAGAGGAACATGTAGCTATATCAATATCACAAGAAATAAAGAATAGCTACAAGTGGTAAAATGGGACAATGACTGGGTTTGGTAGATTGGTGATGGATGACGGGTATTAGAATAAAATAATCATAGTTGTTTCTTGGAAGGCATGGTATAGAATTATATTTAAATAAGTGGTTGAATGGATATTTGAATGGATAAGGACTTTACAATGCATCTAATGGAACATATTATAAAGGAGAGTGGTAAAATAGCTAAATAAATGGTAAAGGTTCTTATTTTAATTCACTTTAAAATATTAAATATGAAGGTAAATTTATCTTTAATTGAATTAGGAGAATGGTAAAATAATTTATAACATGGTGAAGGAACTGAAACTTATAAGGATAAAGCAATTTATACTGGAACATTTAAAAAAGGTCTTAAGGATGGAATTGGCAAATTCGTTTTTAATGATGGGTCTTATTATGAAGGATAATTTTCTTAAGACAAGTTTCATGGAAAAGGAAAATTAGTATACCAAATTTTATAATAAAAAGGTGTGGGATTGTGATTAAAAAGTTTATAATGGAGAATGGTAGAATGGTAAAAAACATGGTTTTGGTTAGTTATAAGTTAAAGGAAAATATACATATGAAGGCAATTATAAAGATGGACTTAAAAATGGAGTTGGATTATTAGTTTGGGATGATGGTAGAAAATACTAAGGGGAGTGGAGAGATGGATAATAATCTGGAAATGGAACATTTTATAACTAAAAAGGAGAAATCTTCAATGGTGTCTGGAAATTCGGATTAATCCAAAACCATTGATCTCTTTTTCAAATTATTAAGTTTTTTTTATTTTATATATCATTAATCAATTATTCATTCAAAAACGAAGTTTTTAAAAAAATATTTTTATTATTTTCAGAATGAAGCAACAGAAAATTTTTTAAAAAGAATTAACTTCTTATATGTTTATATTATTAATAAATGCATCTTATCTAGTAAAATTAATTTAAAAAAGAAAGTATATAATTAGATAGCTTAAATTTAATTTAAAATTATGTAAAAATCTGATTTTGAAGTTACAGCAATTGTCATATAAACCATCATCTTTTTAAAAATATTATTTAAAATAGAAATAAGATTACAGCAAAATATAAAAGCAGGGTTGTTAATTGTTGATAATAGGTATTATTAAATATGTTCGATTTTGAGTAAGATTTTTATAAATTTGTTCAAGCCCAATTAGATAAAAAAAAAGGAATCAAACAAGTAAATTAAGATGATTCAGACTATGAAGAAGATGTGATTAAAGTAAAGTATTATCATTTTTGAAAGAAATAGGTTATAAAGTGAGAATATCGAAAAAGTCTTATGTAATGAAAGAAAGAAAATGAAAATTAGTAAAATAACAAAAGAGTAACATTTCGAAAATAAAATGAAAGACTTTACATCAATGGATACTTTTGTTGATGTTAAACAGTTTCTTAAAAATCTTAATGATTAACAGATCAAAAAAAATCATAAAAAATTACGGTCATCTATAAAAAAATCATAATCTGATAGTGATAATGATGATCTTTTTGATTATGCTGAGATAGTATCAAAAAGTAAAAAATTTATTGCAAACTCTTAAAATTTAAGAACAAAACCTAATATAGAGGATTATTTAAAAATGGATAATGATTTTAGTTAAAGATCTAAGGCAATAGAAGAAGGAATATCAACAAATGAGAAATTCTATACAGGAATTGATAAGTTAATAACTGATATAAATCATAAGAATGTATAATCTGAAATGGATAGGAAATATGAGAGAGAGAGAAAGAGAAATAGAGACTCAATGAATTCTTAATAGATAATTTAGACAGCAGTTCCATTAGATTTTGGAAAAGACGAAATTGCAATAAAAGCCGGAAAAAAATTTAAAGAATAATCTTAAAAGGTTTTATAACTTTTAGAGAGAACAACAAAAATGTTATACAAAAATAAATTACCATAAGCTCCTAATCAAAAGCTTTTAAAGTAATAATAGTAGTAGTTGAAAATATTATTAAGTCCTTGTTCATATGAAATTCGAAATTAAAAACNTATGTTTATATTATTAATAAATGCATCTTATCTAGTAAAATTAATTTAAAAAAGAAAGTATATAATTAGATAGCTTAAATTTAATTTAAAATTATGTAAAAATCTGATTTTGAAGTTACAGCAATTGTCATATAAACCATCATCTTTTTAAAAATATTATTTAAAATAGAAATAAGATTACAGCAAAATATAAAAGCAGGGTTGTTAATTGTTGATAATAGGTATTATTAAATATGTTCGATTTTGAGTAAGATTTTTATAAATTTGTTCAAGCCCAATTAGATAAAAAAAAAGGAATCAAACAAGTAAATTAAGATGATTCAGACTATGAAGAAGATGTGATTAAAGTAAAGTATTATCATTTTTGAAAGAAATAGGTTATAAAGTGAGAATATCGAAAAAGTCTTATGTAATGAAAGAAAGAAAATGAAAATTAGTAAAATAACAAAAGAGTAACATTTCGAAAATAAAATGAAAGACTTTACATCAATGGATACTTTTGTTGATGTTAAACAGTTTCTTAAAAATCTTAATGATTAACAGATCAAAAAAAATCATAAAAAATTACGGTCATCTATAAAAAAATCATAATCTGATAGTGATAATGATGATCTTTTTGATTATGCTGAGATAGTATCAAAAAGTAAAAAATTTATTGCAAACTCTTAAAATTTAAGAACAAAACCTAATATAGAGGATTATTTAAAAATGGATAATGATTTTAGTTAAAGATCTAAGGCAATAGAAGAAGGAATATCAACAAATGAGAAATTCTATACAGGAATTGATAAGTTAATAACTGATATAAATCATAAGAATGTATAATCTGAAATGGATAGGAAATATGAGAGAGAGAGAAAGAGAAATAGAGACTCAATGAATTCTTAATAGATAATTTAGACAGCAGTTCCATTAGATTTTGGAAAAGACGAAATTGCAATAAAAGCCGGAAAAAAATTTAAAGAATAATCTTAAAAGGTTTTATAACTTTTAGAGAGAACAACAAAAATGTTATACAAAAATAAATTACCATAAGCTCCTAATCAAAAGCTTTTAAAGTAATAATAGTAGTAGTTGAAAATATTATTAAGTCCTTGTTCATATGAAATTCGAAATTAAAAACAAATACTAGAAAAGAGTAGAAGTGAAAGCAATGATTTAAAGTTTCCGTTAGTTAATGGTAAATTGGTTAATCCTCTTGTAAGAAGAGTTGCCCCATTACATTAATTGAAAAATTCAACTCTTCCTGAAATTAAACCTGGTTCATTTGTATCTTTGAGAGAGGATAGAAAGTTTGAAAATGTTCACTATTTTAAAACTCCTTAAAATTAATAGAAATAAGATAATCATTAAAATGATTCTAGTCGTCAAACTGTTAGTTTAATTATCAAGAATTAAATTGGTGAATTTTTAACATAAGTAAACAATATTATTGATTAAGCTTGATGATGCATAAGAACAATTTTCCAAAATTTATCCATCTGATTCGTAAATATTAAAAATTTAAGATAATATGAGTAAAAATATGAATTAAATTGGTAATACTCCTTTGGAAAGTTTGAAATATTTAACAAGGAGGAAATTTAATATTTAAAAAAAGTATGAATTAAGAGGAAAGAAAAACAAAGTTCTTTAAATTTTATGATAATATATATGATTACATATTAAATAAATTTTGAGAACCATGCTTTTTTATAAAATTCAATATAAATATTAAAAATAAATTAATGTATTTACGGTAGTATACAAAACTTCCTTTTTATGATGGATTTGAAATGTTTCGTAGGTTAAAAATGTTGAATCCAAGAAAACATAATCCAATAGTATATGCTATAAGGCCACCTGAAACAAATCTTGGATATCCATTAAGAGAGGAAGTAAATGATACAGAGAATCAAAAAGTGCTTAATAAATTAATGCACAGATATCCTGATCTTAAATATGCTCCATTAGTGAAAGAAGGTTTAGGGGAAAGTTAAAATGAAGGATCATTATTTCGATTTTTAAAGCTATTTAATTAATTGAGAAAAAAAGGATATTAATTTGATAAAGTATATCAATAATATGATTTAAATAGGCATATGAAAAAGCAGAAATGGCTTTTTAAGCAAAGATGTAAAGAAAAATAGATTAAACAAAAATAGCTAATAATTTAGCAATAACAAATTAAGCAAGATCATTTATGACATTAGCTTAATAAGAAATAGAATTTGATTAGAGATTAAAAAGAGATAGATTATTAAGAGATTTATAAATATAAGAATTTGAAAAAAATTCACCAATGGATCCTGAAACTTAAGCTTTAATGGATAATTACAGAAAATCATTAATAAAAGTAGTTCATCATGATGATAAACCAGAAGAGACTACTCATAAATAAGATGAAGAATTATTTAAAGAGAGAGCAACAAATGTTTTTGATTGTTATTATAGGAGAGTTTCAACATAAGATAAATTGAATGGTCTAAGTGATAAATAGATTCTATAAAATATTAGATAATCACCATAAAAAATAAAGAGGAGATTGTCAAAATATCTTAAAATCTTAGATTAATATAATATAACTTTAGATGATGAAGGGGATTTCTTAATGCCTGAAGATGTTCCTGAAAAAATAAAGAATTAAATAGAGAAGGCAATATTTTATCATGCAAAATTATATGAACAAATTGATTTTGAATATTCTCATCATGAACATTTAGATACTTTATAGAAAGAACTTGATGAAAGATTAGAAGAATAAAAATTAAAAAGGAGAAATATAAATGAAGATGCAGAGTATGCAGTTAAGAAAGTGTTACAAGATGCTAATATCAAAGCTTAAAATACTTATGCATTATTTGAAACACCTAATGAAAGATTAGCTAGATTATAAATAAAATGGTTATATAGAAAAATAGATGAATTTACATTAGTTAAGCTTAAAAATGAAGATTAAAGTTAAGAAGCTTAAAAATTAATAGACGAAAAAATAGATAAATTAGATAATCAAGCTAAAAATATAGTAGATAATCTAAGAAAATTGAAATTAGAATTAGAATATTAATCATTTGCTAAAACTGGTAAATAATTATTCTAAGAACATGCTGTTTTACTTTAAGATAAAGAATTATTTGTAGATGCAAATAAATTATAAATGAATGAAATTGATATCTATTTTAAAGTTCCTGTTGATTAAAGAAGATTAACTTAAGCTGGATAAGTTAATGATGATATTATTCATAATCTTATTAAAGTGTAAAATCTATCATTTAAATTAGTTAAAACTTAAAATCACATATCGCTAGATTAAATCATGATGATTTAGATAATAGAGTTAGTGATTCTTCCTTAAAAGATGAAACTGCTGAAATTTTAAAATAAAAAATATTGGCTTAATTTAAATTAATGAATTTAGCAAAAAAAGAAAAATTAAAAGGTTAGACCGAAGAAAGTTAAATATTAGAATCAGAAAAAGAAGATTTCTCATTAGATGAGGAAAATTTTATGGAAAATTTTGTATATCTTAAAAATTAACATTTAGGTTGATAATTTAGATGAGTTGCGATAAAGATAAAAAGAGGCTAGACTTGAATTTGAGAAGTAAAAAGCTCTTGAAGCTAAATAAAAAGAAGATGAACTCAAAAGTTAATAAGCAGTTAAAGGATAAAAAGGTACAAAAAAGAAAAAGGATAAAAAATGATTTATAAGAGTGCTCAAAAATATAGTATTTAGTTTAATATTTTTATGGTTATCAATTGTTATGATAAATTTAACGATGTGTATAAGAATACCATTATTATAGTTTTTTTTACATAATTATTCTTAAATAATAATTAAATTAGTTAATTAAAGTGAGAGATGTCATCTATATTGAATAAATTTAAGAAATAAACAACATCTGATACTCCAGCTGGTATTAAATTAGAAAATACATCATTTGGTTAATAAGCTGGAACATATTAGCCTCCAATAATTCCTGCAGTTTAATTACCATAATCTAATTAACCAAGATAAAAAGGAAGACCTGGTGGAGGTAAGAATATATGAATTTAAATAAAGGTTGGGATGATGAGCCTTAGCCTTAGATTGAAAAAAATACTATATAAAATAAAAAAGGGACCAATTCAATTAATTTGTTAAATGATACTCCTCCTAAGTAAAATGAATAAAAAATTAATCATGATGTTCTTCTACCTCCTTAACCTGTCATAGGAAATATTTAATTGAGCAGAATTACAGAGTATAGAAAGGGATAGTTATTAACTTATGAAGAATTAGAATAAGGAGGATTGTAATTAATTATTTAATGTTTAGTGATTATGAATTCCATTTGGTAGATGAAGCCATTAAATTGGGTGGTATCAAATTAAAACAAAGTGATACCGTACTTAAAGAATTTGCAAGAGCTATTACAACTATTTAAGAATAACTTATAGGAAGCATACTTTTAAATAAATTACATAGTGATGATAACTGGAAAGTGTAAATTGTAAAATCTTTGATTAATTTATTAGAGATGTATATATGCTATATAATATGTGTGTTAATAGTATTAAAACTATAGAGAATTCTTCTAAGTCAATCAATAATATTTGAGAGTAGAAACAGACTAATAATTGTTATCAGGAGCTATTGATTAAACATTAGCTGAAGTTAATGGTCAATCAATTTAAAAACAAAAGGTTATTAATTATTTTTAATTACAAGGAATTTTAATTTGAATTTAGAGAACCACCTAAACCATAATCAACTTCATAAACTTCATAGAATCAATAGCAAAATTTGATTGATATTTTAGATGCTCAACCAAATGATTCATCATAACAAAAGTAATAGTAATAAAAACTTAATTTAAAATAACTTAAAATTAAATAACCTAATGTTTAGACATAATAGTTACCTTAAACATAATAATAATCTTAAGTAACATAGCCTTTTGTGTAATAATAACCTTTTATTTAATAACAATAATAAAACTAGTATAAAAATACGTAAACGATTAATTTATTAGAAGCATTTAGTGATCTGTCTTTAGAAAATTATAATTAATAATAAATATAACCAACATAATAATAAAAATACTTATAATAATCATATTAATAAGTAAATTATTAATAACAATAATAATAACAATAACAATAATAATAACAATAACAATAATAATAACAATAATAATAGCAATAATAATAATAATAAATTCAAAATGGAATAAGTTTTGATGATTTACTTAATTAGTAAACAACAAATTAATAATAAACTTAACCAAAAAAGAATGCCTTTGGATTTTTAAAAAAAGATTAGTAACAATAATTGGCATCTTAAAATAATTAATAAGCATAATAAACTATAAATTTACTAAATTCTCCTTAATAATTGTATTAATAACCTTAAATAAATAATTAGATTCCATAATAGCAACCATTATATTTTAATAATCAATCTCATAGCAATTAAAATCAATAAATTTATACGTAAAATCAAGCACAATTTAGCAATCAATAATATTCATAAAATAACAAAAAGGATTTAATTGATTTTCTAAATATGTGATTATTATAATATATCATAAAATAAAGATCAATATAAATGTAAAAAAGTAATTCATATCATCTTAAAACCAATAAGAAACTCAAATAGTCACCATTAACTTCTCATGAGCTACTACAAAAATTGTTAGATTTTAAACAAACTCAAACAACAATGAATTGTTCTGATGAAAATAAGACTATAGTAATGGGTGGAAATTTAGCTAAACAAATTTCTAAATCAATTTCAATAGGAAGTCAAAGTTGTAAAGAAATAGTACCTCATATTATTGAAAATGATCATCCTCAAAGAAAGAAGGAGGAAATCTTTCATACATTAAAGAAATCATCAAATCATGTTAGACACATAAGCTAAATATGGTCAATAAGAAATAGAACTGATAGTAATTGTCATACTCCAAGAAAAGAAGGGGTAAAAGATTTTATTTAAAATGCAAGCATCTTTTTATAAGAGAAACTATTAGAAAATAAGTTAGATAAACTTTGCTATTAAGTGTAATAATTAATAAATAAATCTGATTAATTAGAATTATAAAATAAATTACTCTTTGAAAATTTGAAGCAACATCAAAGTGACCAAAATAATATTCAAGTATGAAAAGTTATATAGTAAGGAAAGAAAAGTATTGATAGGAAAGCTAGATTAAATGATAATGATGTAAAAGAAATAAGAATAAAGCTTAAATTATTTTAAGTAATTGTGCTAAAAAAATGACGAAGGTAGAAGAGTGAAAACTTAAACATCTTATCCAAAATTGAGACCAACATTATATTCAGGTTATTTAGGATTAAAAATTTGAATGTGATATATTATTATTATGTAATATTATAATTGATGTAAAAAACAACATATAATTAAGTACAAGTAGAGGAGTGTAATTAAATAGAAAAAGAAACTAAAAGTTCCGCTTTACTAGGATCTAAAATCTACTCTCAATACAAATACAGATGGATCATTTTAATGTGTTATCTTATAGTTGTATTTATTAATGGTATCGGATATTAAACATTTATTCCTAATGCGAAATAAGTAATCATTTTTAAAGTAATTGTAGTTTGTATAACTTTATGATTTAGATGAATAAATCATAACTCTTACTGGAACTATATATCTGATAATGTAGCCATTATTTACTTTTTTTGCATCTTCATGTATTTAATTTGCGTATAATGAGTCATTGTTAATAAAGGCTTTGGTGTATCAATTAGTTTAGGTGTAATATTAACAATAGCTGGTTATGGTATTAGACTCTTAATTAATTAATTCTCTTTTATTTTTGTTATTGTAGGTTAAGCATTTTTGGGAATATCAAGACCTTTTATTTTAAATGGTTAAACAACTATGGCTTAAAATTGGTTTTTTCCATCGAATCGTACTGCAGTTTTGGCTGCTTGTAATGCATTCTAAACATTTTCAATGGTTATTAGTGTATTATGGCCAGCAAATTGGATATTTAAAGATTATTCATATAATATGTTAAATAAATAAGAAGGATTAGATTTATCAATCAAAATATAATATCAACAATTCTTTTTAAGTCTAACACTAATTCCTGTTATTTTTCTTATAAGAAATAAACCAAAAACGCCTCCATCTGGCTTTGCAAATTCTGATCATGATGTAGGATTCTATAATTCAATAATTAAGCTTTTAACAAACAAAAACTTTATATTGATTTTTTTTACATTTAGTCTTTATTTTGGAACAATAAAAGGATTTGGTTTAAATGTACCATATTTGATGTCACCTTATGGATTTGTAGATACGGATTACTCAATAGCCTCTTCGATGTTAATCATAGGAGGATTTTTATCGGCTGCCTTTGTATCTAAAATAGTATTGAAATTTAAGAAATATAAAGCTATAGGAATAGTACTATTTTTAATATCACTTGCTTTAACTGTATTAACATTTCCAATATTAATGACAAAATTACTATTTCTATTATGTATCTAACAATTTCTCTTAGGATTCTTTCTTATTCCTATGGTTCCAGTCTTAATGGAATATAGTTGTGAATCTATTTATCCATTAAATGGAAGTTTTTCTGTTGGAGTCATGGTTTCTGGAGCTACAATCCTTGCCTTATTAAGTAGCGTATTACTAACTTTTACATCTAAAGGAAATGACAGCGATTAAACAAGTGTTTTAATTACAACTATTATTTTATGTTGTATATTTTTAATAGGATTCATTTTGTTTTTATTTACTAAAGAAATACTTAATCGTAGTAAAGAAATTGAATAAAGAAGTTCATCCAAATAAAGTATATTTTATTGCCAATAACAACTGAAGAATTCTATTATTGATCCTAACACTATATGTAATTAATAAATTATTGGTGATTATCCTACAGAACATCCAATATTGGATTCTCATCAATTCATATAGAATCCTGAAGTTTTAGATCCAGATTATATAGCATAAATGTAGGATAATGAACAGTCATGAAAAAATGAATATTCTTTTTTAGTATTTTAAATATATTATAGTATATTAAATATTTTTATAATTATGATTTGTCCCCTTATTTGTGACCAAGATTGCATTGATTATCTATTTTCAAAAGGATAGATTATTTCTATTATAAGTGTTGCTTTTGCTGTCTCAATTAGCTGGTTTATGATATGTAAACATTTAAATTATTTTAATTTCCCTTACTTTCAAAGCAAAATTATTGGTATTCAATTTTTATTATTATTATAGTAATATTAATGATGTCTCCTTTCTATGCCATCATTTCAATTTTATCTTTAGAAATCCCAGTATTATATTATTTTAAAAGAATTTAGCATAATACTTTGAATTGATTAGAGACATATACTTAGCTTTTTTATTGTTTACATTCTTCTATTTGATGTTTTCTTATATGGCATATGATCAAGAATAAGATAAAATTACGGATGAAAAAGTTTATGAAACTATGATTTAAAATGAAGAATATATAGAACATCTTTGGCCTTTTAATCATTGTTCTAGGAAATATTATTTAACTACTGTTTCTAAAGCAAAATACTTTACATACAGATGCAAGAAATTTGTACTTTAATATTGCATTGTAAAACCAATCTTTACTTTTTTATTAATATTTTCAAAACCTTTCCATTCTAAATTTATTCTGAATTTGGAAATTGTTTTTGAAATCATAATAATATTAAGTGAATCATTTTCTCTTTATTATTTAATACTTTTTTATGTAGCTCTTAAGAAACCTTTAGGTCCCTACAAGTATTATTAATATTATTATTATTAGACCCCTTTTGAAATTTTTGATAATTAAAATAACTTTATTTTTTACATTTTGGCAATCCCTTGTATTGTCTGTATTCAAAAAATAAATCGGATAATGTTTTGAACCAGATGAAATTCATTTTACTGATGAAAGTATCATTAGTAGTATTGAAAACACATTTGTTTGTTTAGAAATGTTCTTAATGACCATTGCCTGTATATTTGCATTCAGTTATTCGGATTTTATAAAAGAAGACAATAATAAAGGAACTCTTAGGAAAGCTATAAGTGATAATTGGAAAGCATTTAAACATGATTTTAGATTAATTAAACCTAAAAAGTTTGGGTAAATGATTTTTAAATATTGATCTCATTAGATACACACCAAAGGTACATCATATTGAATTGTAAGAGAAATTATTCTCATCAAATGAAGTTGATATTCATTTTGAGAAAATGAATGTGAAATAAGAATATTTATGAAATATATTATTTATATATTACAATTAATGGAAATATTACACTTGGCATTATTAGTAGTAATTTCTGTAATTTGCTTTAAAATTGGTTAAGGGGTTGGATAGAAAGAGGTTGAAAAGCAATAGTCTTAATATATCTAAGTAGATTGTTAAATAAAGATGTTTAGCTGCAAGAGAATGAATAATTGATAGAAGATATTGATGAAGATTTTACAAAATAAGTAGAACAATAAGAATTAGATTTAAAGGAAGCAATTAAAAAGTTCAATGATATAAATTAAAGGGATAAATAGTTATAGAAATAATTGAATGATTTAAAAAATGTATAAACCAATAATGCTAAACCTAAAGTTTAATAACATGGTAAAAAATTCATTAAATTATTTAGAATTGTTAAGTGATAAAGATTTTGATAATTTATTAGATGAAGGTTTTGTTGTAGATTAAGAAATAAATGAAACATAATTAGATTAAGATTTAATTGAAGCTAGTAAATGATTTTTCAATTGTGGTTTCTATATAATTTATTCTTTATACATTCTCTCTCAAAAATAAAATGTAAGTTTAATTTTCAAAACTCTATTTATTTAGAATAGAAAAATATTAAAAATATAATTTATTTATTCTAATACTCATTAAAGTCCTTTTTCTGCCTAAGATTTACTCCAAGCCTAAGCTATGGTTCGTTTCATATCATCATCTCCATTCTAATACATTTCTTTCATCATATTCATCAAAGATGCTTATGGATCCTATTGATCTAATTTAGATGGATCTGTGTCAATCTGTATATAAATTATTATTTACTAATTTCTCTTTAAAATTCAATTATTCCCAATTCTTTTGATCTTTCTTAATTAAATTAAGCACAATAGAATTATTTGTCACTTTAATAGAACATTCCTTATCTTTTAATTCATCAAATGTTTTCTTAATAGAAAATCTAAAATTTATTGATTATCTCAAACCTTTAATTTAAGCCTTTAAAGCCTTTAATTTTGACATCTACACTGTTAGATGTGAACTATGAGGTAATATTTTCCTTAGGATGTTAGCCAATTCCCTCCAAATTCAAAAACACTTTTACTTTATTACCCTCTTAATCCCAAGCATATTTTGTAATGCCTTAATATAGAATCTCCTAATCTTTCTATTATTGTTAAATTTATTAAGGTTATTCAACTTTTTATGGTGTTAGTATTTTAATAGAGTTTTCTAAATATTTGATTCTATTATTTAGATAATCAATGTTGGATTTGCGTTTGAGAGTTGAAATGACTTATTAGATTTCTGATAAATCTTATTAGAGCTCTTCTAATTCAGACATTAAATTTAATAATATATTATTAACGTAATTTAAATTACATATGATTATTTTATTGAATGCTAGAACAATCTATTTTTGTGTATATATATGAAATTTAAACTGTATGATAGCATCATTCATTTAAGCAATCGCATTCTGGATGTCTTTATGAAAAACTCATTAAGCATTCAACTGATCTAAGGTTAACTGATGATAAGCATTCAGATTAGAAATCAGCAACACATTATTCTACATTACAGCCATTAAGAATGAAGTTCCAATATGCACTGTTGGGGCAGTAAATTTTACCACATTCATATCTAAATATATATAAATTAATATGTACAAGGCAATCAATTTTTAATTTTTGGATTCATAAGCACAATTGCCATAGCAGGGGTCTGCTTCTCCGCATTTATTCTTGCAATTTAAAGCTTTTGAAGCACAACCAAAAACTTCAGCAACACAAGCATTATATTCCTTTGAGCATTTTTCTTTAACACAAGCTTCATCAGCGATGACAGCAATAACAAGAAGAGCAATAAGGATTGATTTCATTGATAATATTATATTGACAAAATATCTAGGATTTAAATTTACCAAATATACGACCCCCTTAAAAATTGAATTACGTAATGTAGTTATTTGCATTATTAATATTATTAATATTATTAAAATGTATCTTATCATTAATACTATATATAATATTATTTATTTCCTAATTTTTAAATCAAATTTTTACCAGATGAGGAAGAAATAATGAATGTAAAGAAAAAAATTTTATTATAAATTCTAATCATAATATCATTTATTAAGAAAACGACGTATTGTCTTTAATTAACATAAAAGCCCAAAGCACATGTTTATATATAAAATTAGGAAAAAAAAAATGTCCCTTTTCTTTGTAGAGTTTATGATAGTTTTACTATTATTCTGTTTACTATATCATTTAGTAAACAGATATTAACATTTAAAAATTAGTATTCACTTTTGATATATATAAAAAAGTATTTAAAGTTTAGAATATGTGAAAATAAAATTTATTAGATGATGGAAAATTTTTGAAAAATATCAGAGGAAAAAAAATTAAGAAAAAGAGAAAAATTCATATTATAATATATGTTAAAAGTTATTATAATATCTATTCATAATTATAAATAATAATAATTGAAATATTTTATTTGCTCTATAATTTTAGTATCTTAGGTATAGATTCTGAATTCTGAAGAAGATTTCAATTTAAATATTGAAATAACAAATATTAGAATTTTTAAATTTCTAAAAACTAAGAATTTTGAATTATGACGCATCATATAATAAGTACGCATTAGCTCCAATTATTAAAATCCAATTGTCAAATAAGATTTAAATAATAATACAGATATGTTAGTTCAAGAAGAAGATTATTTATTCGACACAGAATTCACAATAGCAACAAAAACAATTCATAAAACATGTGATTAGACATACGGAGCAATAAATCCTCCAATTTATATGAGCTCAACATTTGAATTGAAAGATGTAGAATCATTTGGAAAAGGTTATTTTTATACGCGATGTGGGAATCCTACAAGAACAGTAGTAGAAGAAATAATAGCAGAGATAGAACAAAACAACTATGCAATAGCATTCAGTTCTGGAATGGCTGCTATTTAGTGTGTGATTAACTTATTAAAAGAAGGAGATGAGATGTTAGCTATGGATGATCTTTATGGAGGAACAATTGGATATTTAAAAGCTATAGCTATGGAAAAACATGGCATAAAAGTTAAATTTATAGATATGACAAATTTAGATGAAGTCAGAAAACAAATGAATGGAAATGTTAAACTTATTTATTTAGAGACTCCCACTAATCCCACAATGAAATTAACTGATATTAAAGAACTTTGCTAGATGGTTAGATAAATTAATAATAATGTTATTGTTGCAGTTGATAATACTTTTGCAACACCTTATCTTTCGACTCCCTCAATTCTAGGAGCAGATATTACATTAAATTCAGGTACAAAATATTTAGGAGGACACTCTGATATTTTATTTGGAACTTTGAGTTGCCGAAATAAGGAATTATATGATAATTTATTTAAAATCTCCTATCTAACTGGAGGTTGTCCTAGTCCTTTTGACTGTTATTTAGTAACAAGAAGTTTAAAAACTCTTGAAGTTAGAATGAAATAATAAATTAAGAATGCTTATATTTTAGCTAAGTATCTTGAAGGTCATCCAAAAGTTGAAAAGGTACTTTATCCAGGATTAGAGAGCCATCCTTAATACTAATTAGCAAGAAAATAAATGAGAGCTGGAGGAGCAATGATCAGTTTTTATATAAAAGGAGGAGCTGCTGAAGTAGAAAAATTTATGAAAGGACTTGAATTATTTACTATGGCTGTGAGTTTGGGAGGTGTAGAAAGTATTGTATTGTTTCTATTTTAGGTTTAATATAAATACCAGCAAAAATGACACATTCAGGTTTAACTGAGGCTTAAAGATAAGAGCTTAGAATAACTTAGAATCTCATTCGTTTATCAGCAGGTTTGGAACATGTTGCTGATTTAATAAAAGATTTGGAGCATGCTTTTAAGAATGTTTGAATTTATTTCTATATATATTTATCATTATTATTATAAAACCAATATAATAAAAACAAAGAATAATAGTGAAATAAAATCAAAAATTTAGAACTAAAAATCTTAATATATTTTTATTTTTATGATTGTAATTGATCATTATTATTCTTCTTTCTATTTCTTCCTACAATATTAATTCTTTTGATCACCTAAAATCTTGAATACGCTGATGTAGCTCAGTCGGCAGAGCGGTTGGCTGTTAACCAACAGGTCGAAGGTTCAAACCCTTCCATTAGCGCTTTTTTTCTCTTTTTTCAAATTTAATTTATTTTAAAATTTCTTCATTTTATTTATTTTACATATAAAATTTGCAATTATCAATAATATTATTGTTATTCAAGCTTTGAAATATTTTAATTAAGCAGATCGAGTATCATCATATTAGATTTTTTAATAGTTTTTGAAAAATTAAAATAATCAATTGAAACTCATCTGATTTAAATTAATCCTAATACAGATAGGGACTTGAAACAAAAAAAAACTGATATAGAGCCATAATAGTAAATATATACTAAGTCTCAATTCAAATTTTTTAATGTTTAAATAATTGAAAATATCTAATAAACCATTAATTTATTAAGCTATAGAATGAGATATTATATCTAATTTTAAATTGAATTGGGTTTTATGATTATATTTTTTTATTAATAAAATTTTGATGTCATCATAAGGATAACATATGGAACTTCAGTAAAGAGATTCAATTTAAGAATCATTGTTAAATGAGTCTTCAATAAATAATTAAGAAGAGTTTCATTTAGAAATTTCAGATATTATTTTGAATGGAAAATAATTTTAGAATAAAGCAAAATTAGCTTTAGAAGAAAGAGCAGAGAAGAAATAACAACAATCATAAGAATATATATTAGAAAGAATTCGTTAATTATATAACGATAGTTTAGAAGGAGTATAAAAGAAATTAAGTATAATTTAAAGATGTATTGTAGATATATTGTATTAATTACCAATTTTGAGACCGAAACAAATAATTTTATGGAAATTATTAATCAATCTATTAACGTTATTTGTTTTTTTTGAGATCCCTGTATATATATCATTTGGACAAGCCTTTTGGAAAGTATAAAAATATCTAAATTTAGGAATTAGATACTATTTAGTTAATCGCTGCATTGTATTACACTATATCTCTTTTACTTGTAATAGATATGGGTTTAGATTTTATAACAGCATATTATAAACATGGAGTTGTAATTACTGACAGTAGGAAAATAGCTATAAATTATTTATACGGGAATTTTATCTTTGATTTAATTGCTGTAAAATTTTATTTAATAAAATAGTTAATAATCTCAATTGCTCGATTATCTCTATTCACCTCTTAATATAGATTTATTTTTATAATGTTTTACTTTAAACTACCTTCATTTTTAAGATTTAATAATCAATTAAATTAAATGGTATTACTTCATAGAAGAACAAGAGTTTGTTATGAAGTTGGAAAAATAGTTATTTTTATGTTTTTTGCATTCAATGTATTTTTGTGTGTGTTCTATATGATTGGAGTATATAGTGTAGCATCAAATTATAATTCTTGGTTAATAAATCCAGGTAATTTTGGAATTATAATTGATCGACCATTGCATGAGATATATTTTTTTGGATTTTATTTTTCTTTGGGAACAGTCTCAACTACAATGGGTTATGGTGATATAGTACATTTTATATAAATAATAATTAGTCTCCAATGAATATTATGGAATGTGCCTGGTCACTTTTAGGAGTTATGTTTGGTTTAATAATTATTTTTAATAACATAAACTTATTTTAAAAAATGATGGAAGAGTATAGTATATATAATATTAAACAATTTAAATATAAGTTAAGTATCAATAAATTTATGGAATAAAAGTAAGTACCTTCTGAATTATAAGAAATAATTAGATAATATCTTAATGAATATTGGCATAAATAAGGATTAAGAGATTTGGAATAGGAAACGTTAGTTTTTCAAATGTTGGCTCCTGAATTAAAATAAGAATTAATGTATTAGTCTTATGGATAGTTTTTACAAACTACTTTTTTTTCAAAATATTTTTCAAAACCTTTTTTAAAAGATCTTTCGGAAAAAATAACAGAAGTTCATTATTCAGCTGGAAATGTGATAATTGAAGCAGGTGATTCTAATGATGATCAAAGTTTTTATTTTATCTAAAGTGGAACAGTTATTATTAATTGTGGTAATTCTGAAATTGTGAAAAAGAAAATGATAAAAGGAGATAGTTTTGGTGAATTTGCCTTTATAACAGGTAATCTATTTATAATCTAAAATAAAAGGATAAGCAAGAACAGCCACAGTTTATTCTTAAGAATATAGTTAATTACATAAAATATCAAGAAATAACTTTTTGGATGTATTAAAAAATTATCCTGATGATTATGAAATATTTTGCAATATGAGAGATGGGTTAATATTTTCTTAATAATTTGAAACAGTTGGTTAATTTTGTTGGACTTGTCATAAATTTGATCATTACGCAAATTCATGCCCATTTACTCATTATATTCCTTAAGTTTAGAATTTAGTTGATAATGCAACTATTATAAATACAAATTAAGATAGAATCAAAATATAAAGATATGATAGAAAATAATGGCCAACTAGAAAAAATTAAAGAATTTTAGTAAATGGTTTGAATAAATCTAAAATTCAAAAATATGCTAATGTCATAGTACATTATAATTTTTATTAAATTAGTTGAAAACTGCAAGAAGTATCAATTAATAAAAGTCATCAAATTCTCCGTTGAAGAAATAAACAAGTATCCAATTAAAAGGATAATCGTTTGGAGACTCAAAAATAGATATAGATAAATCTGAATAAATCTAGGATGAGTCTTTTAGATCAAATCAGTAAGACGAAAATGTTTTGGCCTAAGTTTAAGAACCAAAAGATGCAGAGAGAAATAGTCTCAAAAATTTATAAACAAAACTTAATTAATTTAGAGATAAATATGAATATTCTATACATTAAGGGTTAGATTATTTTGATGAACCTCAAAATTTCAAATATTATAAGAAGAAATTTAATTACTCAAATTACAAAGTATTTTAAGGATTTCAAGAATCTCAAAGGAAGAAATAATTAAAAATAAGGAAATCATATATGTCAGTTCCATATACTTGAGAATATTGATTACTTATTAGTTTTATTATTTGTAATTTTTTATTAAGTAATAAAGTTTAATGGCATCTCTACCTTAATAATTAAAAGATCTCTTAAAATAGATTGACTTATTTAGTATACCAGTTCCTGTATTAACAAATGATTCAAAATCATAATATTCAAGTTTTTACAGTGGACTTATCTCAATTTTGGCTTCACTACTTAGTTTAGCCTATTTTGCTTATGTTATTTAAGAATGGGTTAATGGTAATATACTTCCTACAATTACAAGCAATTAATAAGCCATGGCATATACAGAATAAGAAATGGAAGAAAACTTTATTTAATTCAAATTAACAGATCCATCTAATCATGATCCTTTTACAAGAAAAAACAATATAATAACTCCATTGTTATTTGTTGTTGAGAATTTTTAAATTGTTAGTGCTCCTTAACCTTTATTTAGTGATGAAAATAAACCATTTACAATAGGATTAAAAAAAGGAACTTTAGTTGTTAATAATTTAAATAATTAAAATGAAGGTGAATCATTTAAACCACAAAAAAATTATTTATTAATATTTATTGAATGTTTGGAATAATATTTAGATTCAAATAGTACTTGTGCCAATAAATAAGAAATAGATTAATATATGTCGGAGTATCATGGATTTTTATCAATTATTATGAAATTGGAACAATATAGTTTTAAAAAAGATCAAATAGAATAAATAACAAAGTAAGCTTATCAAGCACTTTCTCCTACCTATATTTAATATACTTAAATTGCAATTTAATAAAAAGAAATTAATCTTGATAATGGTCTATTATTTTAAAATTAAATTACTTATAAATTAATCAATGATTTCTACTTAATTAATTAATCGATAGATAATAAATATATATAAAATATTGCTTCATCATTTTCAACTTAGAAATTTGAATTAAGTGCTATTTTTACATATTAGATAAGCATTGATAATTTGTAAATTTCAGAAAGAATTATTATGCCAAAACTAAGTGCAGTTTTGGCTTATATAGGATCAATTGTTTAAGTTATATTTATGTTAAAGTATTTAGCAATTTATATCAATAATCAATAATTTAAATAAGAGATGTAAACTGAAATTCTTCATATGTACTACCCAAATTTAAGAAATATCATTATAAATAGAAACTTCTTTGGTTAGATAATATCCACTAATTAAACAAATGAAGGTAATTAAAATGAAAACTTTATAAAATAATATTAGGGACATCTTGATTTAGCATTTAGAAAGCTTCGGCTGATAAATATTATTTATGAATTATCTAGAATTGAATTATTGATGGAAAAAAATTTTGGTCTTGAAAATGTAAGTATGTGTAATTAATTGGGAACAGAATTTTAATTTAATAATTATGATAAAAAAAATGAATCTTTAAGAGCATCCATTTTATCTGCAGGGAATTAAGGACATTAACATTAAGATGATATCTTTACAATATTTAATAAATCTTGAAATACCTAAAATTAAAATGACATCATCGATTTAATATTTAAGAAATATATAGTTATTTTATAATTTATTTATATGATCTCTATAATTTACTTATTATTTGGCATAATATTAGGCTAAGATGATAACATCATGAATGATGTAATTGATGATAGATAAGATAGAAAAGATCTTATGCAAGAATGGGAATTGATGATGCAAGACTTTATACCTGATGATATGATAGCATTTGAATTAAAGCAAGGAAATATAGAAATATTGGAGGAAGGAATTCATCATCCAACAACAATACGAGGAGCATATTTTATTAGTATGACAACCAAAGAAAAAATAAATTTTATAGTAAAAATACATAATTATTGATAGATTAAAGATCCAAAAGGAAATATAATAAATAGTAAAGCTGGTAAGAAGGAGGCTGTATTTTCAGTTAATATAACTGAGCCTGGAGATTATTAATTTATGTTTGATAATGAAAGAGGCAGTAGTGATTAAATAGTAACATTTGCCTTAGATATTCACAATGCCACTTATGAGCATATCAAACATCATGATTTGGATCCACTAATGAAATAGATTCAGCATTTATAAAATGGTGTCAATGACATAATGTTTGAAACCAAGTTTTCCCAATAGAGAAGAGAAAGTGGTTATGAATAAATGTAAACTACTCATTAAAGATTATTTTATTTTACCATACTTGAGACCATAATTATTGTTTCAGTGAGTGTATGGTAGGTGTATTATATCAAGAGTATTATTGACAATCGTAGATTGATTTGATTTATTGATAAATTTATATATATTAGTGTTTGTATTTGCTAAATAAGATTAAATTCTATATGTTCTTTTAAAACTTACACATACCTTAAATAAATTATTTTAAAAATATATAAATATTTGAAATGCGTAGTTTGAGCCGATTTTTTTTACGCCGACCTTAATTATTGTTTAATGGTTGCACAATTCCATTACGATAGAAATGCATAAATGGATTTAGTAGTAGTAACTTGTTATTGAAGCTTAATTTAGGTTCTAATAATAACTCAAGTGTCAAATTAAAAACAATCCCACTTTAAAATTACTAATGTAATCTTGATGAGATTGAATCTAAAAACAATCCTACTGATTTTTGCTTGTTTAGTTCAGTTTAACCTATATTCCCTAATAATCAAATGAATTGCTAAATAAAGATAGGAAATTTAAAACGTATTACAAAACCACTTCTTTACACAATAATTTCACCTGACAATGGAGAAATCTTTACAATTGGAATTGCTTTGAGTAAATAAGTTGAAAAAAGTTTGAATTCTGAACTGAAAGTAATAGAGTAAAGAGATGCAAATGGAAATATTCTGATAAATGATCCAATGAGCAATTCATTTAATTTAGATATAATTTCAAAATCTGTAAATAATTTAAAGCAATAAGATAGAAAAATTACCGATTTAAAATAATAAAAATTGAGATGAGTCCAGATGGTATATTTGCTTAAGGAATACCATATAAAGATAGACCTCTCACTTAAGCAGAATAATAGATTGATATTAAGAATGAAATTCAACAGATAAGTTCTCTTGTATTTTAAATAAGAAAATTGTCATAAATCGATAGAGTTGAAGCATTTACAGATGTAAATTAATCTCTTCTAGATTCAAATGAAAATTTAACACCAACATAAATAGATGAATTGGTATATTAAGTAGCTGCTGGTCTTTCAAAATTATAAACAAATAGTTTAAAATTAAATACATCTTAATTTGTTTAATAATTATTAGAGAGTTAATCATATGTTGAAAGATTATTTATATTAAGAAAGTAATTAGAAAATATGTCAGGAGTTTTAGATTTAGTAAATAAACATTTTAAAGAATCAGATTAATCCTTATTGAAATTACATTAATAAACATTGGCTAAATTAGCAACAGAATATATTAGATAAAATTATTTAAAAGATGTTATAACATCATCATCCTATGGAGGATCAACTGGATCATCAGCTTAAATTGGTGAAAAAGTATTAATTTAAATAATTTAGTAAAAGTAATCGACTTTAGTTAAGAAATATTAAGACAAACTCTCTTTGATTCCAGATGAATCATCAAGAGAAAAAGTTAAAAGGGAAATTGAAAGATTTAGTCTTCTTGATAAATAAAGTTCAGAATTTCATAAAATTAATTCTTATTTAGATGAAGTTTTCAGTATTCCATTTTCAAAATTTACTGTAATAAATAATTTTTAATATTTTAGGCAGTTTAATGGGATATCTAATATGCAAAAGAAGTTCTTAATAAAGAAATTGAGGGTTTAGAAAAAGTTAAAGAAAGAATAATTGAGATGATTTCAGTTAATAAATTAAAGAATGCAGGTTAAAAAGCAAAAGGATTTATTTTACTTTTGAATGGTCCCCCAGGAACTGGTAAAACATCAATAGCAAAGAGTATTGCTAAGGCATTAAAAAGAAATTCTAGATTTATATCTTGTGCAGGAGTTGCTGATCCAACATTCTTTAAGGGACATAAAAGAACCTATGTTGATTCTATGCCAGGTGTTTTTATTAGAGAACTTATCAAATCAAATACTATGAATCCTGTCTTTATTTTAGATGAATTGGATAAAGTTTCAAAACATCAAGCTGGTGGAGCTGATCCATATTATACTTTATTGGAAATTTTGAATCCTGAAGAGAATCATAATTTTACTGATCATTATATGGATATAAGTGTAGATTTTTCACATGTAATATTTATTTTAACATCTAATGACACATTATAAATGTTAGAACCACTTAAAAATAGATTAGAAACTATTGATATTTAAGCATATATTTAAGAAGAAAAATTATAAATTGCTAATAATTTTCTTGTAAATAAAAGTATTGAAAGTAACGGTCTAAAATAATAAATGATAAAATATGATAATGAAACACTTATTAAAATAATCAAAGCATGGTGTTATTAAGAAAGTGGAGTTAGAGAATTAAAAAGATGTTTGGAAAAAATTGCAAGAAAACATGCAACTAATTTATTAACTGCTAATCCTAATTTATGTGAAAAAGTAGATGAATTAAATTAAATTTTATTTGATCCTACTATTTAAAGGTTAGATTTAACAACAGATAAAAACTTAGAACTTATTTCTTAATATTTAGGACCTCCAATTTTTGATATTCAATTAGAATAGAGATCGATTAAAAAGTTTCCACCTGGTTAAGTTAATATTTTAACAGTCGGAGGAATGATTGGTCATGTTTTAACTGTTGAAAGCTGTTTTGATGAAAGTGAAGTTGAAAAAAAAGGATAAATTATAGCATCTGGAAATATTAAATTAGTTTTATAAGAATCTTTAAAGTTAGCTAAAATTAATGCTTATAAATATCTTAATGAAGAATAAAAATAATTATTATCAAAATAAGCTATTCATATGCATTTTACTGAAGGAGCTACTCCAAAAGATGGACCTTCAGCAGGAACAGCTATAACTACTGCTTTAATAAGTTTAGTTACTAACTTCACTGTCCCTAGTAACTTAGCTATGACTGGAGAAATCTCTTTAAATGGTCAAGTCTGTAAAATTGGTATTTTTTATTATTATCTAAGGTGGTCTCTAACAAAAACTTATAGCTGCAAAAACACTTGATATTATAGATATCATTTTGCCTTATGCTAATTTAGGAGATGCTTTAAATTTGCCAACCTAATTATTAAAAGGACTTAATCTATATTTCGTTACTGACTATCAATAAATTTATGATTTAATCTTTGATTAATAGATTGGAAATGTTAATTATACAATTAATACAATTAAGAATGGAATATATGAAACAATTTAAAATAGATCAAAAGAGTAAATATAATAATCAATTAATTGTTGAATATGTAACTGAATCATTATTATTATTATTATTGAAATTCTTGTAATGTTTGTTAGTTTTACTCTAAAATCTTTTTCATATAATCGTCATCTATTTCTTGATTAACATCTATCATTTAATACTGTTTGTCAATGTCTTCAAAATTATTCTCTTAATTATAACTATGAATATTATTTTCTTCAGTTCCAATAAATAAAGCTCTATCTAAATATGCTATGCATTTGAATGTTTCAGGCTTGGTAAATTTAGAAATAACTTTTTTATTTGGATAATCCCAAGTCAGTAATAATCCATTTCCAATACTAACTAAATATCCAGTATCTGGAATTACTAATAATTTTTAAATGGGATGATCCAATCCTTAAAAATAAGTTAAAGCTTAATTATTATTTAGATTCCATAATCTAATTGTCTTATCATGAGAACCACTGAATAGAATTTTACCATCTAAAGCTAAACATGTAATACTATCTTAATGACCAACAAATGAATCATCATGTTCATAAGTGAACATATTAATTAAATATATATTACATTTATTACCTGCAGCAATAATTCGTTTTGTTGTTTTATCAAATAAGAGACAAAGAATTTCATTTCCAAGCGAATCTGCTGTAGATTTTGGATTGGCTAGTAAAGACTATTTTAATTAAGGCATAATGTAACTAGCCATTAATCTTTATTTACGTTCAAAGATCTCCCAAACATTTATTCTACCATCATAACCACTACTAAACATATATTCTTCGCTATCAAAAGTACAACTTGTTAGAGCACACACAGTATTATTATGTTTAGATTTTGCCTTACTTTAATCAATAATCAAAAATGATCCAATTTCAATATTCCATAGTCTTATCTCACCATTGTCATGACCAGTGGCTACCAGATTGGCATTTGTTAAATAATGCATACTTGATATTTCATTTTTCTCACCTGTTTCAATAGTTGAAATACAAGACATATCTTTTGAATCCCAAATTCTTATGGTATTATCTAAAGAAGCTGATACCAATTTCTTTGGTTCAAATTCTTAAGGACAATCAATTCCTAATATTTCAATCACTGGTCCTTTATGTTAATCCAATAAATTTCCTGTTCTTACACCTCTTTTAATTTTCAAAACATCAATAAATTGTTCAGTATATACAACCAGTGCTTCTAAATGATCTACAAAATTAAATAACAAAAAATACCTATTAAATCTATTCCTAAGATTTTACATTCATATAATTTGAATTCTAAAACTTATTTATCACTAGAAATGTTCATAAAATATACTCTGCCTTATTCATCACATGCAATCAATTCTTAATGAGTTGAACTCCATCTTATTGATGTAAATAAACATTTATGTGGATTTTTATAACTGAAGAATTTACCACCAGATTCACCATAACCTAATATTTTTTAATCATAAGCAATAGAAAATATTGCATTATCTTTTTCTACTTCTATTATTTATATAACATGTAATCTATGAAAGGAAAAGAAGCTTTTTTCTAACTTAACATAAGTCTGTTATTATTAAAGAGTTGGTTAAGAATTCATAAATAAATGTAGGGAACCATCTGTGTCACCTGCATACAATTAAAATTATGGCATCTTTACTAAAAATGCTGTAATGTAAGATTGTTAATTCAAAGATTTCTTCATTGAAAAATCATAAATTATTTACACAGTTACAAACCATGGATGATACATAAATTCTCGACCACTCTCTTGTTTCCAAATTCGAAGTACTTTATCATTACTTGCTGAAAATAAACTTTCTTAAGCAAATGCAATTGCCATTATCGATCCAGTGTGACCAAATAATGTTTAGATACATCCTTTTTTTATATCATTTTCCCATAATTTTATTGTACGATCAGCACTTCCTGTAAATATATAATAACTGTCAGAAAATTTCTCTATTATTAAACATTTTATCTCTCCTTTATGATTATTTTTATTCTCTACAGGCTTTAAGATTTCATAATCTTTAGATTGTAGAAAATGTTTTGTATCAAACCCTTTTTTTCGAAATTACATCATTTATCCATTACTCAAACCAAGTGTAATAGCTTGATCAGAGTAATGATATGCAGTAATTCTTGTTTGAGGATCTTCTTTAAATTTCGATTTTTTCTCATAAAATAAAGGATCTGTAAACTTCTTTACTCTAATAAATTCCATTACTTTATTATAAATTAATATAATATTTTTTGTTATTTTATATGATAGATATCATGCAAAGAGCCCCAATAGATCTCTTGGTGTGATATATTTAAGTTTATCTTCATCTTGAACAAATACAACTTCATGTCTTTCTACTATTCTCTCTAATTAATTTAAATCAAGAGTGTTTGGAACAAGAACAAATTCTTTAGAATGTACTTTTTTAGCAAGATCAGCCTATTATATAAAATAGAGATGATACATGATTTAATTTCTTGTTAACAATTCCAGCTAAAAGTTTTTTTTAGAAAACAACAGATAATAATTTACCATTTTCATAAAGAGGAACAGCAGGATGTGTTTTTAAGAATTCTAAACATTATCCAACAGTGGCTGTAGCTATATCTAAAGGTTAAATTTCATGTAAATTGAGATCTGAAATAGGTTTTCCAGCTAATGGATGTTCTGGTTCTTTAAGTTCATCATAAGATATGAATTTATTTTCAATCATCCAAGTTTTACTCAAATGTTTAGTGATATAATTTCTGATATTATCAGGTAAGATGATGACAATCTAAAATAGAATAGAAGATTATATTACTCTTTGATTTTCTGTGAAGTTTTATGATTTAGCCCATTATAAAGCTCCCCAAACAGTAGCACCAGATGAACCACCACATAATAAACCTTCTTGTGATAAGAGTTTCCTAGCCATAAGAAGACTATCAAGATCTAGAGTTTTAACCCATCCATCAATTTCAGTCTATAAAAATAATAAATTGATTTACTCTATCTAAAACTTTGGGAATGAAATCATATCCAATTCCTTCAACTTTATAAGTTTTAATATCAGTTTGATTGATTTCTTAAGGCATAGCTAGATCTGATCCATAAGGATCAACAGCAATCACTTTACATGCAGGAACTCTTTCATGTATTTTTCTACCCACTCCAGTAATGGTACCACCAGTTCCTGTAGATATAATGACAGCATCTAATTTATCATCACAAGCCCATAATATTTCTTCAGCTGTACCTTCATAATGAGCCAAAGGATTAGATGGATTGGAATATTAATCTAATAATATAACATTAGGATCATCAGCTGCCATTTTCTTAGCAACTTGTATTAATGATTCAGGTTCATACCAAGCTGCTTCTGTAGGTGTTCTAATAACCTTAGCTCCTAATCCTGTCAGGACATCTTGTTTTTCTTAAGACATCTTTTCTGGCATTGTTATAACCAATGGATATCCTCTAACTGCACATGCTAATGCTAATCCTACTCCAGTGTTTCCAGATGTTGCTTCAACAAGAGATTTACCTGGTCCGAGGCGTCCTTATTTTTCAGCATCTAAAACCATTCTTACACCTATTCTATCTTTTAATGATCCACCAACATTCAAAAATTCACATTTCACCAATACTTCACATTTAAGACCAAATTCTTTGGGAATTTTATTTAAACGAATCATAGGTGTATGACCTACAGCATCAAGTGCGTCATCGTATATTTTTTTGAATGGAACAAACTCTACGTGTGAATGTGGTGTTGGTGCTTATTCTTTTACTTCTCTTTTGTAAGTACATTGAATTGTGTCTTTCGATAAGTCTTGAATCATTATTTAAATATGAATTAATTTTAATCAATTAGAGAAGGCTATGAAGATGTGGGTCATCAATAATATTATCAATAACATGGCTCTATTTTCTCAAATTATCATGATCATAAAATTAAATAGCTTCTCTTATGGAAACCTAAACTTTCCAAAGTATTTGGTTAGCATGTGGAAGTGGTGAAATCACACTCATTCTTCAATCTTTATGAGTAAAAAATAGAATACGATAGAATGTCTACCTATCTTTTTTGAATAAATTGCTGAGGGATAAATACAATATCATTAATATACATTAATTATCAAAAGTTATGCTATGCACTTAACTGATGATTCATTGTTACCAGGTTTATGCATATAATTAGCCATGCTTTCTAAACATATGATCAATCTATATCTTCATAAAAGACCAATTATTAAATGAGACTGGAATCAAAATCATGAAATTATTAAAGATAAGATTCATGCACGTTTCTGCACTTCAACATATTTATGATTTCATGATATCATAATCTTATCAATTTTGTATACTTCCTTTATTCTTTTTACTTTCTATTTGTTCAATTTCTCTAATTCTATTTATACTTCCCCATTATATACTCAATTTACTATCTTCTAATTTTATTCCTCTCTGCATTAAAGACTAAAATATAAAATTTTTTATCTGATTCCAGAATTCTATGACCTCAAAAAATTAACTTTTTTTTTAATTAAATTAAAAATTATTGCCAAGTTTATTCATTCATAAAACAAAGTCTTATCACTTATTTATCCTCTGATCTTTAATATATAGTCATTTTTATGTTAATAATGAGATCATTTTTAATATTGTTGTGTTTGGCAAGATTATCTATAAATATAACATAAGAATTTTTGGTTTAAGAGTCTTTTAAATTCTTGAAAATTCCTAATATTATTATAATGTCAAATTAAGAGATCAATGAACTACCCCCACTTAAAGTTAATGTGCCATCATTCCTTTTAAAAACTTATGAAATTCTAGAAGTAATAAATTCATATCATTTTTAGAATTCATCACTCTCTCACATTATTGGCTGGAATCATGAGGGAAATGCGTTCATAGTATTCAATACAAATGAATTGGCGTCCAAAGTCCTAGCCAATTACTTTAAGCACAAAAATTACCCAAGCTTTTTGAGGTTATACTGCTTTTCACAATAGATAGTTGAATATGTACAACTTTAAGAAAACAAAAAATCAATATGGATAAAGTGAATTCAGACATAAATGGTTTAGACGAGGTCTCAAGTATCATTTCTCAATAATTATGTTCATAGAAGTATGCTCCAGTACATCCGCCGAAGAAATTAAGAAGAATCTGAGCATAAAATTGAAACAAAAGACAATAATCAAGAGCTTGACAACTATAAAAAAGAGCATGAAGAGATGAGACAAATTGTGAGAGACATTTAAATTACATAAACAAAAATGTAAGCTGATTTCACTACTTCTTCTGAATCTAATGCCACTGTCAGTCGTTCGAATAGCTAAGTTTTATAAGTAATGTGGTCTTCTATTATTAAAGTGTCTTAATCAAATGCAACAATAGTTCAATAAAAAGTTTGATACAATTTCTTTACTTCTAGCTAAAATTGTTTCCAACCTCCCTCAAATTTGTAACAAATCCCACTCATTTTAATAGCTATTTAGATCGGAGACATTCTTAAAAATTCTTATGAAGAACCTTCACCTGGAAGATCTGAATCCAATTACGTCATACCATATAACNTCATAATCTTATCAATTTTGTATACTTCCTTTATTCTTTTTACTTTCTATTTGTTCAATTTCTCTAATTCTATTTATACTTCCCCATTATATACTCAATTTACTATCTTCTAATTTTATTCCTCTCTGCATTAAAGACTAAAATATAAAATTTTTTATCTGATTCCAGAATTCTATGACCTCAAAAAATTAACTTTTTTTTTAATTAAATTAAAAATTATTGCCAAGTTTATTCATTCATAAAACAAAGTCTTATCACTTATTTATCCTCTGATCTTTAATATATAGTCATTTTTATGTTAATAATGAGATCATTTTTAATATTGTTGTGTTTGGCAAGATTATCTATAAATATAACATAAGAATTTTTGGTTTAAGAGTCTTTTAAATTCTTGAAAATTCCTAATATTATTATAATGTCAAATTAAGAGATCAATGAACTACCCCCACTTAAAGTTAATGTGCCATCATTCCTTTTAAAAACTTATGAAATTCTAGAAGTAATAAATTCATATCATTTTTAGAATTCATCACTCTCTCACATTATTGGCTGGAATCATGAGGGAAATGCGTTCATAGTATTCAATACAAATGAATTGGCGTCCAAAGTCCTAGCCAATTACTTTAAGCACAAAAATTACCCAAGCTTTTTGAGGTTATACTGCTTTTCACAATAGATAGTTGAATATGTACAACTTTAAGAAAACAAAAAATCAATATGGATAAAGTGAATTCAGACATAAATGGTTTAGACGAGGTCTCAAGTATCATTTCTCAATAATTATGTTCATAGAAGTATGCTCCAGTACATCCGCCGAAGAAATTAAGAAGAATCTGAGCATAAAATTGAAACAAAAGACAATAATCAAGAGCTTGACAACTATAAAAAAGAGCATGAAGAGATGAGACAAATTGTGAGAGACATTTAAATTACATAAACAAAAATGTAAGCTGATTTCACTACTTCTTCTGAATCTAATGCCACTGTCAGTCGTTCGAATAGCTAAGTTTTATAAGTAATGTGGTCTTCTATTATTAAAGTGTCTTAATCAAATGCAACAATAGTTCAATAAAAAGTTTGATACAATTTCTTTACTTCTAGCTAAAATTGTTTCCAACCTCCCTCAAATTTGTAACAAATCCCACTCATTTTAATAGCTATTTAGATCGGAGACATTCTTAAAAATTCTTATGAAGAACCTTCACCTGGAAGATCTGAATCCAATTACGTCATACCATATAACGAAAACAATTAATACAATACAATAGGATCACCTTATTCACATTATTAATATAATAGTCCTATCCATTATCTATTCTCAAGATAGAATTAATGTAAAATAATTAAAAATAAAAGAATTTTAAGAATTCTGTTTTTAGTTTGATCCTAATGTTTTCTCATACAATCGTCAACATCAGTAATAACAATTAGCATTACCTGCTCCTAATATCAATTCTTATTTGCGTATAATTACATATTTAACATTTAATAGCCAGCAATAACTACTCTTTGTAATCAAGTCTCCAGAATTCCCCATATAGAATAGCAAGTCCATCTCATACATCCACAACAGATTCTAAGGATCCAGAAAAAGTAGTTTCTTAATTTACATTTTATAGTTCAGTCTCTATTAACAAGCTTGAAACCAGTTGATATGCTTCTGAATATTTAATTATTTAATAAATTTATCAATTATTCTTATCATTATTCCTTTGTACATAAAAGCGATTTACCATTTTAATTATTCTTAAAATCTTCTCTTTCAAACTTATCAACTTGCTCTCATATCCTGACTTCGTTAATCTGTAATAATAAAATACAACTATAATACTCTAAAGTTATACTATTTATATCTAAATTTATAATCAATTTCTAATCTCAAGAATATCTAATAAAAGCTTAAAATCACAATAAATATATCTAAATATAATTGAAACAAGTTGATTATCTTAAAATATGTTTATACACATATATCAGATTATTTATTATTGATTAGCTTCTAAAAAATTAAATTAAAATATGAATCAAATTTCCCAAAACATCCTGGTTCAAAAACTAATCGACTATAAACTAAGGTAAATTAGATTAAAATAAATTAAAGAAAGAACAAAAACAAAAGAAAATCGAGTCCTTAATTTTCACCCCCCAAGATGCCAATATCTTAGAGATAGACATCACTTTCAAATGGTCATGCATATTCGATTCATTAAAAATTGAAATCAATACAAAGTGAAGAGAAAGTATTCATTCCTCAGGCTATACCACAGTCCCTGATTTACTTGATCTATTGAGTCAAATGTTCCAAATAATATAATCATATGAACAATAGGCAAGCCATCTCTGGTCCAAAAATATTGAGATGTTAAAACAAATCAAGATTCCAATTCTGTAAGAAAATGAAGATTTGAAATAAACCATTGAAACTTTAAAATAAAATGATATTCAAAATAGTGTTTATGGTTAATTAAAAGAGTATGAATAAATTGAAAAGCCAAAGCCTAAGCTAATTGATTTAAAATATATTAATAGAGACTCAAACTTTTAGGAAGAATTCTTATCAAAAGTAAATGAATTTAGTCTATCCTGGCGATAAGAAGTGCAATAGCTTAAATAATTATGAAAATAATAAATGTCTAATTATATTACAATATCTTGAATTAATATTGTTTTTAATTTTCTAATTATTTGAATTGGATGATCTTGAATTAATTTACATCTTGATATTAGAATATTATATATTAAATTAGGCTGTGTATAAATTAAATTTCACAACTAAATTTAATTAGAAAAACATTTATAGTAATAGCAGTAGAAAATGATTATTTGTATGGTCTTTTATAATTAACTCACATAAATGGTAATCTTTTAATAAAATCCTTGAAATCAATATGATATTCAGGAAATTGAGGGATTTAGATGAACATTCCATTTTCAACATAAGGATTTCCTATCATTGTAGAGAATTTATTTCCTTATCTCTATTTATGACGAGGATCAGATTTGCATCTTACATAAACTTTTTTGCCTTTTCTTTAGAAATAGCAATGTTCACACATCTTTTTCAAAGCACTTCTAACTTTCATTATTTAATTATATTAATGATAATTTTATTTTAATTGATTCCAACTTTGTTTTGTTTCAATTACGAAGGTATTATTAATAGAGATCTTAATCATATAATGAATGAAATAATAAATGGTTCATTACCAGAAGGTAGATTATCTATTAAGGATGTGGAGAATTTATTTACAGAACTTAAAAGTATTTCCAATTTTGTCCATTCATAAATAATAGGAGAATCTTATCTTAATAAAACTATTTATTCATATGCATTATGCTCTAATTTTACTAATTAAAAGCCAACTATACTCATTACTAGTTTACATCATTCGAGAGAAGTAGCTAGTTTGCAGATGAATATTTATTTATTTCTATATTTATTATGGGAAGTAGAACATGAATAGAATCCATTTTATATAAATATGATTAATCATAATTGTATCTTGTAATACATTTAATCTAATTTAGGATTGTTCCTTTTGTCAATATTGATGGATATCAAGAAATAGAGTCTGAATTTAATAAACACAATCTTTAACCTATAACAAGAAAAAATTTAAATAGAACAATTGCTTGTTATCAAACAGATGAATTAGCTGGTATTGATCTTAATAGAAATTATGCATATCATTTTGCACACGATAATATTGGCAGTTCTAATGATCCATGTGATGAAACTTACAGAGGAAGTGCAGCATTTTCTGAAAAGGAAACTTAGGCAATTAAATATGTGGTTCAAAACTTTAATATTAAAATGGCAATGAATTTACATTGTTTTGGAAATTTGTGGGTTTTACCTTATAGTTATGATAATGAAGAGTTAGATAAAGATGGAGTTCCATATCTTATTTATGAAGACTTTAAACTTAATGGTCATTTTGTAGGGCATTATTAAATCGGGCATGCTATTGAATTAGTTAAATATACAGCAAATGGAGAAGCTGCTGATTGGATGCTTTCCTAAGGTATATTTCCTTAATAATGATCAATTTAGGTGTAATTGCTATTAGCCCAGAATTAGGAGAACAATATTATTCTAATTTTTTTAATAACTTTTATCCTGATTAAGAATAGACAATTAAATTATTGAAAAATTAATTTCCTCCTTTGATTCACTTTATTAATTATTTACCTTTTCAACCTTTAATCAAATAATTATATTAGTATGATTTGAATGAAGCTCAAAAATTATTAAATAATTAAACTTCTAATAAAATATATGTTGTAGATATATAATGTATTAACCATGGTGTAACAAATGGAAATTATCAAAATTTTGTTGTTTCTAATTCTGTTTAACTTATTGAAGCATTTTATATTGATCTTAAATATGATCAAATAATTGAAAGGGAAAAAATCCATAATTAATAATTTATAAAAATAAAGATTCAAAACAACACTTTTTCAACTGATTAATTTCCTCCAAGAAGCCAAATAATTTATATTTTAATTTTCTAAGAAGTGTAAATTGGAAGTGAAGTTAAATTCTATTTCGATCTAAATGGAGAAAAACATTCAAACAGTAACACTTTAAATTAATTATTTATTAGCCTTTACTCTAACAAATTTTAATTATGAACTGAAATAATTAAAAATTACCTCACTTTATAATTTATTTTATGTAAGCCTCCTTATAATTTTAATCGTCATTTTAGGAATCATAATTGTAAAGAAGAAATCAAAAACTATAAAATAATACCATATCACAGAATTAGTAGAATAAAGACCTGAGAATATTGATTTAAATTTATAAAATTGATTAAGTAATAACTCAGTAATTTCCCTCTAAAATATATTCGTATAATCTATTTATTTTTTATTAATTTTTTATTTCCTGCTTCCCTTAAGTATGTGCACGATTTCCTCCTTTTTATGATTTAAAATTTTATTTTACTTTATTTTTCTCACTACTTAAAGATCTCACTTTTTTATTTTAATACTCTAGTTTAACAAATTTTTTTACTTTCTTCAGCATTTATTAAAGAGAAATAACAATGTTTTATTGGCAATTATGATTAATTAATGTTAGTTTGTATTTCAGCTGATTAATTTTATTTAGAACACTCAAATTTTTAATGATCGTAAATTTACTATTTACTGATATTGACTTTATAAATCTCCTATTGAGTATTATTTTATTCTTATAAGATTTATATTTAGGTATTTTTTTGTTCCTGCTGTTAAGCTATTTATTGCTTTTAAGTTTTTTTAATCAAAGTAGATATTGGCATCAAAATTGATGGATCAGAAGAACGCTTCTAAATTAAAGTATTATGGGCCAGGATATATTTAGATTATTAATTAGAATTTTTGGTTGGTATTACATTTTTTTAAATTACTTTTGGTGCTTTATTTTCTGTATCTCTCTAATTATATAATCTTTATTTATTAATTTTTATTACCTTTCATAGACTGATTCTTATCTAGTTCTTAAACTATTTGATCCAGGTTTCTCTTGTTGCTTCTATTATGAAATTGTAATATTTTCTTTATCATTAATTTTCAAAATATTATCTCTCTTAATATTTAATTTTATGTCAAAATTTTCTAGCTTTGGAACAAGAACCTTTAATCTAATTATCAATACTTTCTAAGATTAATATGTTGATAAAGTTGTTTTTTTTGCTTCATTTGTTTTAAACTAATGATATTTTTTCATTAGATCTTATCTTGACTATTTTATATCATCCCATTTATTCGAATCGTTTACATGTTGAATGGATTCAAAATTTCCTAATGAACTGAAACATTGTTGTGAATTTTATTTCTTCTCTTAGAATAAAATTTTACGCTTAAAACATAAATGTCTTTTGCCATTTATTCGTTGAAAATTAGAAAAACAATAATAATAAAATTAACAACTATATAAATTTTAATTTTTAATTAGAGATAAAAGACTCTTAAATAGGCCAAATACCTTTTTCAAATGTATTAATCTTATTCTTTATAATTACTCTAAATCAATAATCATTTTCTTTTAAATAACTAATTTTTTTAATTTCTCATTTTTAAAGTTTTTATAGATGTGATACTATCTACTTACATAATTTAGAAATATTTATAAAAAAGAGTTTTTTGTCTACTATCTCTTATTAAATATTGCTCTTAAAATTTTTTAGAAAACATTTGAAAATAAATTAAATGAAATTATGATCTTATTGATTTTTTTTTACATTATTTCTAACATATATTTTAGAGATAATTTTATATTATAAATAAAATATATTTAAACAGAGTTAAATCTAAATTATGAACTTTTAAATTCAAAATATTGATGGATTTTTAAATATCAGAACACTTAAATTTGAAATACCTTATTTTTTATTTGCATTTTGCTTCAAGAATTAAATTTAAAATAATTTATAAGTTAAACAATAGTGATTTAAAAACTGATTTATTTTAAAAATTCTAAAGTATAGAACTAATTCAAAAATACATATCTGATCTTAATAAAACTATTAAGACTTTAAATAAATTATTAAAAATTAGAATTTGAACTGATATTCCTCAATTAAGCATTAATCAATTCAAAGAAATTATGAGAGAACTAATAAAAATCTCTAAATAAATGACTCATTAAATTTTACATAAATAAACATAATCATTGCAAGATGCATAAAGGTAAAATAATTTGGAGAAAAGATTATTGTTTTTGGAGAAAAATATAGGTTTCTAATTGAAGAACTTACTTAAGTAATAATTTAAAGGAAAATATTGATTTGCAAAATTAACTTGGCTCTATGTTAAGAGTAACGGAAGAATTTGAAAATCAGTAATTAAAACTTAAGAATTTGAATTATAAAATAAATAGTTAAAACATGAAAAAGACTAATTAAAATCTTAAAAAAGTAACCTTAAAAGCTTGATAAGTTAATTAAAAGAAGAAAAAGGTAGCAAAATTGAAAAAAAACTAAAAAATCTCAAAGAAGAAGTATCTCATGTAAGGATTATTAAAGAAAATTGGAAGAAAGAGACACATTTAATGAAAGATTATAAAAAGAACTTTAGATAGTAAAGTCAGAGTTAGAAATGAGTGAAGATTATAAAATGCTCGCTTAATCATCGAAAAAATTATCAAAATCTCCAGAAAAATAGTTTTGATTAATATTAATAAATTTTGTAAAATTATTATATAAATATATGAGAGAAAAAGATTAAAATTACAANCTATCTCTTATTAAATATTGCTCTTAAAATTTTTTAGAAAACATTTGAAAATAAATTAAATGAAATTATGATCTTATTGATTTTTTTTTACATTATTTCTAACATATATTTTAGAGATAATTTTATATTATAAATAAAATATATTTAAACAGAGTTAAATCTAAATTATGAACTTTTAAATTCAAAATATTGATGGATTTTTAAATATCAGAACACTTAAATTTGAAATACCTTATTTTTTATTTGCATTTTGCTTCAAGAATTAAATTTAAAATAATTTATAAGTTAAACAATAGTGATTTAAAAACTGATTTATTTTAAAAATTCTAAAGTATAGAACTAATTCAAAAATACATATCTGATCTTAATAAAACTATTAAGACTTTAAATAAATTATTAAAAATTAGAATTTGAACTGATATTCCTCAATTAAGCATTAATCAATTCAAAGAAATTATGAGAGAACTAATAAAAATCTCTAAATAAATGACTCATTAAATTTTACATAAATAAACATAATCATTGCAAGATGCATAAAGGTAAAATAATTTGGAGAAAAGATTATTGTTTTTGGAGAAAAATATAGGTTTCTAATTGAAGAACTTACTTAAGTAATAATTTAAAGGAAAATATTGATTTGCAAAATTAACTTGGCTCTATGTTAAGAGTAACGGAAGAATTTGAAAATCAGTAATTAAAACTTAAGAATTTGAATTATAAAATAAATAGTTAAAACATGAAAAAGACTAATTAAAATCTTAAAAAAGTAACCTTAAAAGCTTGATAAGTTAATTAAAAGAAGAAAAAGGTAGCAAAATTGAAAAAAAACTAAAAAATCTCAAAGAAGAAGTATCTCATGTAAGGATTATTAAAGAAAATTGGAAGAAAGAGACACATTTAATGAAAGATTATAAAAAGAACTTTAGATAGTAAAGTCAGAGTTAGAAATGAGTGAAGATTATAAAATGCTCGCTTAATCATCGAAAAAATTATCAAAATCTCCAGAAAAATAGTTTTGATTAATATTAATAAATTTTGTAAAATTATTATATAAATATATGAGAGAAAAAGATTAAAATTACAAATTATTAAACTTTTAATTCTATATTAAGAATAAAATATCAATTATCTTAAATTTAAAAGAGAAAATTGGATTAAAAAATGATTAAGATTAAATTTCAACTTTTATTCATATTAAATTAAGAAGATTAAAATAACATAAAAAAATTCCATATCATGTCTATTTTATCTAATTATAACCTGTGCTTCGTATTTGAGCACAATTATCCTGCAAATTTTTATAATCAAGCATAGTCGAAAATAAGCTTGCTGTAAAAAGAGCGGATTAATTCATTTTTTTATAAATTTGTTCTACTTCTTTTTTAGATTTATTCATTAAAACTGATCTTGCACTTGATGATGTCTTTAACTAATCGTATTATTTAATAATATTACAGGCATTTAAGATTCTTAAGCAGTAATAATATTGTTAAATCTTTTATCACTTAAATATGTATTTAACTATCGAGAGGTGTCATTACTATCATCTTAAATTAATATAGGGTCTTATTTTGCTATTTCAGTTTCAGGGGTTCCGAATAGATTTTATTTTTTCTAATATTTTTATATCTTTGCTTAAGTTTTTTAAAGGCCAATATTTTATTATGTTAATTTAGCTATCAGTTAGTCTTTTTCAAATAATTATATTTAATATTTTTTAATCTCTGCTTATAAATGCATTATTCTTTTTGAACAAATACAATTTTTTTCTCCATTTTAAAGTGAGGTACCAGAATATCCTTAAACTGATTAAGTATAATCTGCATCATTTAATAAATAATCAAAAGAAAGACGAGAACTTCCTTTTCTCTCACAACTTAATGGATTGGTCATTAAGGTCTCAATTTGCTCTTTAAGTTATTTGTTATCCATTTATAATTTTATAATATTGTCTTTAAGCTATATCTAATATATTAAATACTTTAACAGCTCCTAATTTCAACTAAGTATTTTCATTTTGAAATAACGTATTTATTTCTTATAATTACTTCATGTCGAATTAGTTAAACTCGTTTTTTTCAACTTAGTCTCTTAATTCTTTTTGAAGAGACTTTTTTTCATCCTCCAATTTAGCAAAAGCAATTTATAGTTCTTCAAAATTTTGTTTCTATTAAAAAAGTGCAGTAGCTAGAGATTCATAACTAAGTTCTTTTATTTTGATTTATCTTTATAAATCAATTACTTATTGTTTTAAGGTTTCTGATTAATCGAAAATCTGAGAATGAAATATTTGTTCTTTAAAATCTAACTTTGGAATTGCTTTCTTATATTAAAAGTCATCATAAACACTAACTAAATATTAAATTATAATTTACAATGCTAAACAGACCTATTAGGGCAAGTATTTTTTTAAACTGATTGCTTTTCAATATTAAAGTTTGGAGTACTATTTTTTGGGTGCATTTTTAGTTATAGTTAATTTAATATTATATAAGTAAATTGAAAATTTTGTAATTAAATTTTTTTAGTATCCGCCTAACCATTTTAGATTCATGCTATCATAACATTAATTTCAGATTTGCACTTTTATCTTTGAAAATCCATTTGATAGATCAATCAATTATTAAATTGTTAACCAGAAGTTGATTAAATGTATTAATTTTAATACAATAAATTTATCATTATATATTCCAAAAATAAAATATTTATTTATTTTAATAAACGAGTGAAGAAATATAAAATGAAAATCTAAACTATTACCAAAATCTCTTGAATTTCCTGGACTTTAATTAAGTTAGAAGAGGAATTTCAAATTTAAGCACTGAATAAATCTAAAATCAATACTTTGATTAATAAATAAAATCTAATTTGCTCTATCTTTATCAAATAAAATTAAATAACTTGAATAACCTTGAGAGTTGCCTTCAATTATGAATAAATAGATCAGAAAATGTACTTAAAGGATTAGAGCTTCTAAGAGAATCAATAAACAACAAGAGGGTAATAATCTCAATAATTATAATTAAATTAGGATTGTAATCAAGAGACTAAAGAATGGATCTATATTTATAATTAGAAATGAAAATTGAAAATAAGGAAATTATAAATAGAAAACTAATAAAATTGAATATGAAAATCTAGTCTTAAGTTATAACCTTTTGATTGTAAGTTATCTATAAATGAAATATTATTTAAATTATATTTTCGATTTAGATTTAATTATTATTTATCAAGAGGAACAATTGAGAACAAATTATTTTTATCTGATCTATTCAAGAAAAAATTTAATTTATTTATACCAACTTTAGAAATTATAAAGTGCAAGGAAGTCATTTAAAAATTTCATCATTAAAGCTAAATTATTATAGGAATCAAGTTTAATAAAGTTTGATTAATGATTCTATTGAATAATTATCAGACAATTAACTTTTTTTAATTAAATTTAATATTTACTTGTTTTGTACTCATAAATAGTTGATTTACAAATAGTAGAAAATTTTGAAACAATAAATTGGCGTCATCATTATTTACACAAGAAGAATCAGAGCTAATTTAAAAGATGTCAGTTTTATTCCTTTTAAAAGAGATTTTTTTGATTTTTCTGATAATGAGAGGGTCTTTTCAATTTAATTTAGTTTTCTAATTGATAATGAATTTTAATTTTTTATTTAAAATACGCAACTATTTAAATCTAAAAATATGAAATGATAGTTTATTTTTTCTAAGATCATGTTCATTAAGAATTATTGTTAACTGTTAAAAACAAAGGATATTTATGTAAACTAAAAATTTTATAAAATGCAAATAGTGCAAATGTTTATTGTTTGATTAGCAATCATCATTAAATAGATTAATCCTTATATATAAAGTACTGATCTTGTGCTTTAGAGGACCCATAATTTTCAAAAGCTTCAAACAAAATGAGTTTTAAACTTCTTATTATTTATTAAATAAAAAGAAATTAATATATGCATAATTTCTAATCCGATTAAAGATAAAAATAGATTAGATTTGATGATTTTAAATTAATTTTAATTTACTAAATTTATAAATGATAATTTAAAAATATTTTAATATTAATTCATAGAACTTTATTAGATTCATAAAAATCATTTTCTAAACAAATTTCATCTGGAATTTAAAGTTGATTCTGCTCTAAAGTTTTATTAGAAAGAGATAACAAATCTGCATCTTCATCATTTAGGTATGATATTGTTGATGATACTCTATTCGTCCAATTAGAATTAGGACCGGAATCAATAAATTCTTTCGGTTAAGAAAGATTAATTTTTATTCCAATTTAATGAGCCTTTTTGAGTTCTTATCTGTATTTAAATGATCTGATAATAAAGTAAATTCTTGACATTTCATATAATAAATTTAAGTAGCTCAATTTTGTTTGCATTTAAGTTTAAACTTTCTTATAAAATAGTTTAAATTCTTTGACATCTACTTCATATGAATTTAAAAGTACTTTTACCATTTTAAATCTCCAATTTCTTTTTATAATGATATTTTTGAATTCAGGATAATAAAATTAGATTAGTTCATTTAATATCTTCTTATTAAGATAGTATTCATTGAAAATGATAATGACATGTTTAATCATGAAAAGAACTGATACTATTGAACCAATATTAGCTAAAAGATCGCCTGCATGTGGATATTCAAAAATCGTCTTAATTTAATTTCCTTTCATAACAATGTAGATTAGACCTAAAACATCATTTCCATATGCCTGTTTACAAAACTCAAGTGAATTTGTTTAGGGCTGTATAAAGGCTCCATTAATATATTCAAGATTTCTAGAAAATCCAAATAAAAAAGAATCTTGGACTTCATAAAAATTACTTTATAGAAATGTGTTTAATGTATAACAATTTTATTTTTCTATTTATATATAAAACTCTTGTAAGCTATTTTGTTCTGATCCATCTCGAGAATTTAATTATTTATAATGTACTTAAACAATTATTGTATTTAAAGGTTATTAAAAAAATTACTCTGTTAATTCATCTGAAGCACATTTTTCATTTTCTTTTAGATAAATTTCTTAACATCTTACTATCTATATATACATTTCAGATGTAGTAAATATTTCACCACTAATATTTTAAAAAGCTAAACTCATCCTAGGTATATAAAATTTTGATTCGTCAAAACTAGTTTGATTTGACACATTGATAGGTTAAAGCTCAGTAAAACTGAAATTGGTAGTGTACATGACTAATGGTAATAAAATTTTAGATTCAAAAGGATCTATTTAGTTTTCACCAAATCTCCAATAATAAAGTTTAATAGCATCATAATTTAAATCCAATAAAGAAAAGTCAGATACATACATAGAATTAGAAATTTTGGGGCTTAATTAATTATTTTACCATTAATAAAGCACCCAAATAGCGTATCCCAAACTTGCAGAACATATTAGTAAAGTAACTAATCCTCCGAAAGCACTTTTATAAATCGATTACTTTGGATCTATTTATTAAACAAAAGGAGCTCCAAAAAAATCAGCTGTTCGTAAAATGTTCAACATTATCAAATATATTATCAATAAAAAATCCTTTATATTAAGTTTAATAGTATGATTTAATGGATATCAAAAAAATATTGAAAATTATCATCTAATATGATCAAATAATTAATTTTCATGATAAGTTTAGTGATGATGGCTCGATGAAATTCAAAATCTTAAAATCTTTGTTGGACATTTCTATTTCTAAAAAATGAAAGGAGATCAGAAATTTTCCTTCATAAATTGAGAAAATATTTTTCAACAAAAATTCTGCAACTTAAAACTTCTTATAGCATAGTTTTAATGATATTTTTTTAAACTTAAAAGAAAATTTTATTTTATGCTTTTTATTAATTTGAATTTTATTTTAAAGAGAAAGAAAATGATATTTAAAACTACTTCGACTTTTAAACTCTTAATAACTGTAGATGTTAAAATTTTGAAAAAAGTAAATAAAAGAAATTTAAAAAGTTGTAATGGTCAAAGAATTTTATTCTAGAATCAATTTTAAAAAATAATAATTACAAATGAATAAACCTAAACTCAAAAAATAAAAGAGTTTATTCAAAAATTACTTAATTATATAATAAAAATTCAATCTTGAAAGCCCAAGTAAGATCGAAAAAGAAATAAAGCAAAATAAAATTTAATTATTATTTAAATAAATAGCGTTAACAAAATAAATAAATTTCTTGATTTTTATTTTTTTTCTAAAGTTGACCGAAAAAAGAAACTTAATTTTGAAAATCAATATTAAATTAAATATAACAATCTAAATTCATCCACTACCTAATTGACAATTAGAAGAAAATAGGTAAACTTAAAATGGCTTGAAAAGAATTATAAATTTAAAATAATTTTTTAAAATTTTGACAATTTTTTTCATGTTACTCTATTTAATTCATAAAAGTCATCTTCTTAATAAATTTCATCAGAAATTATGATATCAATTTATTCTTTACTTTTATTATATAGAGATAATAGATCGGCATCTTCATCGTTGAGATATTAATGTCTTGACGATAATTTATCTCTTAAATTAGTGCTTGGATTTAAATCGATATTTTCTTTATTATAAGGAAGAATCAGTTTAATTCCTATTTAATGAGACTTTTTTATTTCTTCTCTAAATTTTAACGACCTTAAAATGAAATAAATTCTTGATATCTCGTATAACAAATTTAGGTAACTTAATTTTGATTACATTTATTTTTAGACCTTCTTTTAGAACTGTTAAAATTCTTTCACATCTACTTCTTATTGATTTAATTGTATTTTTACTGTTTTAGATCTCCAATTTTTTTAAATTTTGATATTTTTATATTCAGGATAATAAAATTGTATTAGTTCATTTAATATCTTTTAATTAAGATAGTATTGGTTAAATACAATAATTACATGTTTAATCATAAATAATACAGATACAATTGAACCAATATTTGCTAAAAGATCCCCTGCATTTGGATATTCAAAAACAGTTTTGATTTAATTTCCTTTCATGATTATGAAAATTAAGCCTAATACATCATTTCCATAACCTTATTTACAAAATTCTTTTGAGTTTGTTTACGGCTATATTATTGCTCCATTTATATATTCAAGATATCTAGAGTATCCAAACAAAAATGAATCTTGAATTTCATAAAAATTACTCTATAGAAATGTGTTTAATGTATAACAATTTTATTATTCTACTTACATATAAAACTCTTAAAAACTAGTTTGTTCTGATCCATCGCGAGAATTCAATTATTTATAATGTAATTATAAAATAATCGTATTAACAGGCTATTAAAAGAATTACTCTATTAATTCATCAGAGGCACATTTTTCATTTTCTTTTAGATAAATTTCTTAACATCTAATTATTTAAATATAAATCTCTGATGTTGTATATATTACACCACTAATATTCTAAAAAGTTAAGCTTAATTTTGGTAAATAATATTAAATTCCATCATCACCAATTTCATTCGATTTATCGATTACTTAAAGATCGGTGAAGCTAAAATTAGTTGTATACATAACTAATGGGAGCAATATTTTAGATTCAAAAGGATCTATGTAATTTTCTTCTATTTTCCAATAATAAAGTTTAATAGCATCATAATTTAAATCCAATAAAGAAAAGTCAGATACATACATAGAATTAGAAATTTTGGGGCTTAATTAATTATTTTACCATTAATAAAGCACCCAAATAGCGTATCCCAAACTTGCAGAACATATTAGTAAAGTAACTAATCCTCCGAAANTACTTCTTATTGATTTAATTGTATTTTTACTGTTTTAGATCTCCAATTTTTTTAAATTTTGATATTTTTATATTCAGGATAATAAAATTGTATTAGTTCATTTAATATCTTTTAATTAAGATAGTATTGGTTAAATACAATAATTACATGTTTAATCATAAATAATACAGATACAATTGAACCAATATTTGCTAAAAGATCCCCTGCATTTGGATATTCAAAAACAGTTTTGATTTAATTTCCTTTCATGATTATGAAAATTAAGCCTAATACATCATTTCCATAACCTTATTTACAAAATTCTTTTGAGTTTGTTTACGGCTATATTATTGCTCCATTTATATATTCAAGATATCTAGAGTATCCAAACAAAAATGAATCTTGAATTTCATAAAAATTACTCTATAGAAATGTGTTTAATGTATAACAATTTTATTATTCTACTTACATATAAAACTCTTAAAAACTAGTTTGTTCTGATCCATCGCGAGAATTCAATTATTTATAATGTAATTATAAAATAATCGTATTAACAGGCTATTAAAAGAATTACTCTATTAATTCATCAGAGGCACATTTTTCATTTTCTTTTAGATAAATTTCTTAACATCTAATTATTTAAATATAAATCTCTGATGTTGTATATATTACACCACTAATATTCTAAAAAGTTAAGCTTAATTTTGGTAAATAATATTAAATTCCATCATCACCAATTTCATTCGATTTATCGATTACTTAAAGATCGGTGAAGCTAAAATTAGTTGTATACATAACTAATGGGAGCAATATTTTAGATTCAAAAGGATCTATGTAATTTTCTTCTATTTTCCAATAATAAAGTTTAATAGCATCATAATTTAAATCCAATAAAGAAAAGTCAGATACATACATAGAATTAGAAATTTTGGGGCTTAATTAATTATTTTACCATTAATAAAGCACCCAAATAGCGTATCCCAAACTTGCAGAACATATTAGTAAAGTAACTAATCCTCCGAAAGCACTTTTATAAATCGATTACTTTGGATCTATTTATTAAACAAAAGGAGCTCCAAAAAAATCAGCTGTTCGTAAAATGTTCAACATTATCATAATTTAAATATTAAGACTAAACATTATCACTTAAGATAAACTATATAATATATAAGGTAGTCATATAATTGTTATTTTTGCTATATTTCTCTGCTTTGAGTAATTGCATTAACATTTACTCTCTTTTTTAAAATATTAATTAGTATAGAAGTGCTATATTTTGTATTATTTAAGATTATACCTTCTACAAAAATTTCTATATATTTAAAGTATCATCCTTTAATTAAAGATAAAATCTTCATAAAATTATATTTATTTTGTTTAAAAATTAAGTTCGAACAAAATCAATTTAGCCTTATAAAATGTACATTTTAATATTATTCATTTAAGTTAATTTAATATTTTTATATTAGAAGAAAGTTAGGTATGATGAAAATTTTTGTTTTTAGATATTTTTACTAGATCTATTCTAAGAAAAAATTATAAACCTTTATATGTTATAATAAAAAAATGAAGAAAAATAAAAAAATTCATTAAAAATTGCAAATAAGAATTCTAACATTTGATAAGTAATAAGTAATCTTTTGCAGAAGGAAGTGGAAGAAAAATTTAATCACCAATATAGATTATAATCATTAGAAATTTAGATATTAATAAATTTTGAATTACTTAATACTAACTAGGAAAAATATAGAAAATAATTGTTTGAAGGAAGAACTGAAATCAATTGAACAGATGCTTGGATCTTAAGAACATAAAAGAAAAAATAATGTATAAATAAAGCAATAAATTGAATATTCAAAGAAGTTAATTTAACAATAAATTTTTTTCTTCAAAATAGGTATTTATTTATATTTTATCATATATCCTCTTACTACTGTTATAATTGTTTTAAAGTTATATTAATACTGCTAAATGAAGATGTTAATTATTTCTTGCTTAAAGATTTATTTTAAACTTTTTTTTTCAAAAAGCTAAACAATATAATCCTTATGTTTTATAATTTTAGATTACATTAAAAATGAGAAACTTATCTTTGATTTTTTGAAAATAATTATTTATTTAAAATGTTTAAAGTATTTCTTGGAATATGAGTTAGAAAATAAATTTTTATTATTGATGAAATATTCAAATATGATTTTGAGTTCAATCTCAGTAAATTACATTATTATAATAATAATATATGCAAGAAAACAGAAAATAAAAACTAAAATCTTAAGATTCTGAAAGAAGCATGAAGAATGCTGCAAATACAATTACAAAAATAACGAATAAAAAAATACAACAGTTGGCCTTTTTAACATAATTTCCATAAGAGAGAAAATATACAATGGTTGATAAAGTGAATAAGCTAATTGATTAAACACAAAGCAAATTGAAGCATTAACAAATACCAAAGGATGTTCAATTTTATTAAAGAAATATAAAGAAATTTGAGAATTTGTCATCATTCATAAATTCAAAAGGATTATTATCAGCTAATTTTAGTATACCTAAATTAAGGGTAAAGTAGAAAGTAGATGATTAAGAATAAGAATATGTAGATTATTTACTTGCAAAAAATTGTAAGAATTAAACTAATATAGATAAACTGTAATAGGAGAGACAGAGAAGAAAAAGTAAATAAGTGAAGGAAAACTATGAGTAATGTTGGGAATTAGAAAATTCCGATTGTGACTTAGAATCTCCAATAAATGTAGCGAAAGAATTATAAATGGCTCATTAAGATTAGATAAAAGGAGAAATAGAAGCAAAAGCAAAATTATGGGAATTATAATAAATTCGTATGTATAAAAGGAAAACAAATAATATTGAATTAAAGAGTTCTTAAAGAACTTCTTAATATAAGATTGATGAAGAGGATGAAATAGTTGAATAATCAGATCAAATAAATGCATAAAAATATAAATAACAATCAGATAAAGTGATTAAAATGATTTGGAATGCAGCTAAGAAAATTTATAACAAAAGGGAAGATTAAATAAAAAAAGAGATATTAATGCATTAAATAGCTAAAAAATATAGATAAAAATAGAGAGAAATAGCTAAGGATTAAATTAATAAAATGTTAATGAGTATTATAATTATTAATTTTTGAGCTGGTTAAAAACAGTATATGACTTTTGCTAAAACAACAAGACATTTACCAGAGAATGGTGATTCAAAATAAATTACAGAACATTTTTTTAGTAAAAAAGGGTCTACAGCTCGTAAATTATAAGCTCATTATTCATTATCTCCTACAAGTTAATAGGAAGATATTAAAACTAATAGAAAAATATCTTTAATTAATTCGAGATTGCATGACATTGTTCATCAAATTGATAAGATACCTGTAGGAGATCAAGCTCAAACATTAAAAAAAATGTAAAGTGAATAAATATTTTATTAAACATTGAGAGAAACTCTATAACCAGATTAAATCAAAGATACATTAAAAGGTCTATTTCTACCAACAGATCATTTATATAAAAAGCCTTTACAATATAACAAGAAACACTTTTAAAATTAAATCTTATGATTCTTCTTTTTTATATAGTAAATCCAATTATATATATTTGATTTTAACTAATAATTTAATTGAATATAAATGTCTTCAGGAGAACAAACTTAAGATAAGAAAACATTGTTTTCCTCACTTGTTTAGAAAAAGTAAGCAGAGACAGAGGCATAGAAAATTTAGAATCGTATTTTACAATTAAAAATTGAACATGAAAAGGTTTTGAAACGAATTTAGTAAGATGAGGAAAGAGCTGATGAAATATACAAGCATAGAGTTGAAATATAATTAAAGGTATTTATTCTTATATTTTATGTAAGAAAGAACATAAGTTAAAGTAAAAATAAGCATAACCTCCTCCATTTTCTTTAGCAATATCTCATCATTAAAGGCAAATTCTTAAAAAAATAAAGGAAGATGAATTATAAAAAAAGAAATCAGAAGCAAAAATCTTTAGAGAACAATTAAAAAAAGATTTTTAGAGTGTTCAAATGCAAAAAAGTTTAGAATAAGAAGTTTATAGAATAAAAGCAATTTAAGTAAAGGAAGATGAGAGACAATCTACTGAGGTTGCTGTTTAAAAAATGAAATAAAAGAGGGAAAAGGTGAGATATCAAATAGAAAATGAAAAGGATAAGATAAATAAAGAAAAGGAGTTATATGATTTTAAAATATCAGAATTAGAGTAATAAGAATAATTAGCAATGATGGAATTATAAAATTCTTTAGCTCATCAATAATAAGTTTAAAAGAAAATAGAACAAGCATAGAAATTATCTCCAAGTGATTATGAGAAATAATATCAAAATAATAAAAACTCAGAGACAACATAATGATAATTATTAATATTTTTATATGCTAAACGAAAGTTTGGAATCTGATCAAGAAGTAGACCCAGAGAGAGAAAGACAAAAGCTAATGTTAAAAAGGTAGAAGTCAATAGAAGAGAGTCTCTAATTAAATGTTAAAGATCACATAGTCAAATTAGAAGTATTAATTACAAATATTTTAAGAATTATTTAGCTGAACTCAAAAAAGACTTAGAAATTAGTAAAAAGGAAATGTCCAATTTGAGAATGGAAATTGCTACAGTGAAAAATAATCACGGGAAATCAAGTGATGATTTATGTACTTTTATCTAAAATGATGTATAACTGATTCTAATAAATAAAGGCAAAAAGATTGCTAAATGAGGCTTTAAAGAAATCTTAAGATGTTAAACATGATGCTGAATTCTTGGATGCACAATTAAATGTTTTAAAAAGTGATAAAGAGAAATTGCAAGATGTTAAAGATACATTAGAAAAGAGAATAATATCTTGTGAAACAGATGTTGGTTTTAAACATGTGTATGATTGAATATTAACAATATCACTTATTTAATCTAGATTTGACTTCTTCAATTATTCTTACACTTTCATCATAAGTGTACGTTTATTTTTATTTTTAATATACAAGTTCCTGCAAGGTTTCCATTTATAAAGTTTACTCACTTATAAAGGCTTAACTTAACATGTATGTTGGTATTTTTTCAACATTTGACTATCATATTAAAATTATTTACTTTTATTTAATTAAATTCTTCTACAAATTCTCCATCTTTAGCCTCAATTTCTTTTTAAATTTCTTATTTAAGCAATTGTTCATCTCTTAAAGCCTAGAATTTTGTTTCATTGCCATTAAATCTATAATTTCTAAGATCTTATTCTTCTTTAGATAATTTGATTCCTTATTATTCTAATTCATTTTTTTTTAATTTTTCTGCATAAAAAATACCTTTAATAACATTCAAATTATTTGGTCTTGGCGTACCAGGATTTAATTCTAAATCATTATCCATCATAGTTTATGTTTCTAAAGATCTTTCTCTTTTTTATAATGGTGTTTCATTATAAATTTAACCTGTAGCTAAATTAATTTTTCTTCTAGAAAATTCTTAGATGTCATCCTCTAAACTAGTAAGTGATTTCTTATTATAAGGTTAAAGTGAAGAATTAAATGGTAAAAGTACTAAAATAATATATAGATAAAATATATTACACATTTGTTTTGCTGTTTTTATAGCTCTTGCTACTTTTTTATGTTAAACTTCTGCTAAATTTGTTTAATGTCTATTTTTTATTTTTGCACTTTTGTTTAAAAATTAAATTAAGAATTCTGTATTTCTCCAATGAATATCATAATTATTAACTCTTCTAATTGGTTTTCTAGATTAAGGATGATGATGATAAACAACTTCATCACTTATTAATTCATTTACGTGTTCTAAGTGATCTTTTGTATTTACTAAAATATCTTTTTATTTATCATAGTTTTTTAATTTCATATTATTAGGATATTTATTTATTGGTACATTAAATTGATCCTTACCAATATCTTATCTTAAAGCAATATCAACTATTTTTTAAACAGTGAATTCTTCTCCTGGTGCCAAATAAATTAAACGAGCTTACTCATTATTTTTTAACAACTAAAAAAATGCATCATAACTTAATGGAATGCCTTTCTAATTTTTTTAATTATTTAAATACATTGACTCCATTTGTTAAGATTTCTTCTCTTGAAAGTCCAGTATCTTCTAATTCTTGCAATTTTTTAGTAACTTAAGTTTACATTTATTTAATTTGTTCTTCTGATAAATTTTTCAATGCACCTTTTGGACTTATATGACCTTCAACAAATGTTTTAAACTTTCCTTATACTCTTATTATTTTACATTTTAATGTAAAGCATTTTCAAAATTTGGTATAGCAATATCCTTATATCTGAAAAGAGATTTTATATAAGGCACTTCTTTAGGTTATCTATGTAAAGTAGTAGGTGGTTTATGATCTAAAAATTCAGGGTGGATTTTATCAAATTCAGGGTTGGTTAACAAGTCCTTCTTAATTTTTGAGAAGTGACGAGACAGTCTTATAATTATCATATTTAAATAAATTAGAAAATTTATTTTTATTTATAAAACTCAGTTTTTAAAAATAACAATTGACTTTATATGAATAATCACTTTATATATCTTTATTCATTTTATATTAAATTTTATTTATTATTTATCAAGCTTTTATCTATTTTTCATTAAGTTTTGATTCTATATTAAAAATCTTCTTTAAAAATTAAGATCTTTAATAGATCAATTTAACCATTCATTAATATTATAAATCAATTTGGTAAGGATTTTCAATTTCAACCATTCCATCAATTGCAAAACTGTTAATTAAAGCCCCTCTACAAATTACCAGTCCAAAAATTCTTTAAGATGGTAATTCTCTCACTTCATCTAAAACTAAATTTACATAATTATCTAATGATAACAAGATCCCTTTTACTTATCTTCCTCTTGAAATTATATTACAACTTCTTTATTTATGTGTTCTTATAACCTTTTTTTAATAGATTCTTTTGGTAATTAATTCATTAATTTATTTATAATTATTTCATTTATTAAATGATATCAAATTTTCAATAATTTTGATTACAACTAAATAAATTTAAACATTCTAAGTTAGATAATAATTATAAAACTAGTTTTAGTTCATATTTTATTTACAATTAATTTCTTTGACAATTTTAAGGATATTCAAAATACTTCATTAATGAGTATTGGGTAAAATTGAAGAAAATAAATATAATATCAAATAAAAAATTGGCAAACCATATCAATTTTATTCAAATAAATTAATAAAGTTAATCTCAAGAGCTCTTATAGTAGGTAAGCTAAAAGAGAAGGTTCTTGTTAATTACTATGAACAAATAAAAAATAGTTAAAATAGTTAATATATGGATTAATTTGATAAACTATCAAATAAGATTGGTATTTTTAATGTATTATAATTTTGGATGTAAAAAAATACCATACGGATATCAATACAATAGTAGTGGGAATCTCAAATTTAAAGATGCATATGTTATTAATTAATTTGTCAAATAAAATTAGAAATATATCTATCAAATAAACTAAAAAATAAACCCATTGAAAAAAAACATTTAATTGAATGTTAGTTATTTCATGAAAACTTACTTATTACTATAATATATAAAAATATTCAAATCAAGAGACCTTCTTTTTATAATTATCAATCATAAATTCAGCAAAGTAGACACTCTTTGGATTCTTTTCATCATAAATAATATCTTCTAAATATGATGTTCCCATATTTACTAATGATTCTCCATATACTATTTCTGCATAATTCAATTTCAATATTGGAGTTGTTGGTATTAATTAATAATACCATTTTTCATCTCCCATGAATTGTTTCATATTTTCAAAAAAAGATTATTATCTACCAAATTTGCCCTATAAAGATTCAATTACTGTTTAATTATCTCTAATTACTTAAATTTAATCCCAAAGCATTGAAATTACAAAAAACAAGAAGAAAGTACAAAATATTATGATAAGTAAGACTTAAAAAATTCCAAAATTTTAGTTTGTTAATGAATTCCACATGTGTTATTAATTTGTTACATAGTAATCATAAATACCTATTATATGAATAATAAAAATTGCTAGAATGTAACAAAATACATAAAGCAGAAATAGTACAAAGTATTTTTAATTCAAAGCTCCTATACAATTATTGGTCCATTCACAATGATGATCCATTTTATAAATACACTTATTACATCTTTTACAATGATGTGCTCTAGGAGGCTTCCAAGAATTGCATTTATCACAAACATTTTGATAAAATTATAACAATTACAAATCCTTCAAAGCATGAAGTAATTTTAGTGGTACTATTTTTTATTATACTTCCCCTGGGTCTGAAAATTAAGTTCTAATATAACAAATCTCTGATATTATCCAAAATAATATTGCTAAATTTCTTAAATTATTCTGTAATTCTCTTAAATTATTATAAATGAAAGTAGTATAAAGACCCCATATTATCAAGATTTAAACAAAAATTATAAGACCTATCCCTAAATAGTTTTTCTTTATTTTTTGTCTTTCATCATGATTTTATTCTGAAAACATAAATTAAACAAAAATTATTTATATGTTAATTCATAGCAAATTTATTAAAATATAAGATTGATTAGGACACATAAGTTGATAGTAAAGTAAATCTATCAAGTTTAGAAATTGATATTGAATTTGAATTAACTTAAAAATGATGTCATTATAATAATAATTAGATAAAATTAATATAAATAAGCCTACTAATATGTAAGACATATATATAATGTTGTTTTTATTTGAATTGAGTATAAGTTGAATATGTTCAATGATTGCAAAACAGATGATAAATATTATTTTTATATATTTTATTATATTATAATTATTCTCCTGTATTTTATTCTATATTTTAAAAATTGATATATTTCTTCTTTGCTAATTGTTTGTAAGTAATCTATTTTATTATTTTGGATGAGACTAATTTATAATTGATAATTAATCAAAAAAATAAATATATGGGATGATATTTAATTAATCTACTCATGTATAGCAAGGACTTAAATCCAAAGTAAAATTGTTATTAGTTATTATAGTTGTGAATTTAAACATTGCCGTTCTTTCTTTTAATAGAATTACACTGAGATGAAGTGGAATTCAAGTCCATTACCCTTTGAATTTGCTTCATTTTAGTTTAAGGATACAGTTAAAATAATAGATGGAGATGATATAAAAACTATAGATCTAAAAGTGTATGATAATTATTTAGTCTATGATGAATAAGTAAACTTATTTAATATCGTAATTAAGAATAGAACATTTTGGCTTGACTATGAAAACAGTATAATAGATTAATTATAGGAGTCTAAAAGTATTAGATTAGTGAAGTGTTTTGATTAAGTTGAATTTTACAGCAGTGAATCAAATTAATGGTTTAAGTTACTAAAAAGACATACAATATAAAGTGATTTCTAGAAATAATATGTATTGATAAGAAAGATTAGTAAAGGGAGATTTACTGAAGTAAAATAGTTGTTAAATATTTTAGGTCTATCGAGCTAAAAATAGTAATGATGGTAACGATTATGCAGTAAAAATTTTAAGAAAATCTGCATTGATTGATGAAGCAGATTTGGTTGCTTTATTCAAGGAAATAAAAATATTGAGAATAGTATAGACAGAATTTTGTGTTAAGTTTTATGAGATTTTTGAGAACTCTGAAAATATTTACATTGTAATGGAATTGCTGACAGGAAAAGATTTGGATGGACATATAGAAAAAAGTTAATTTTTTTCAGAGGAAAAGACTGCAAAATTTATATTTAGATTAATAAAAACTATATCATATTTACATTCAAAAGGAATAATGCATCGTGATATAAAACCTGAGAATATAATATTTAGATAAATAGATAACTTGGATAGTATTTGTTTAACAGATTTTGGATTAGCAGATTTTTATCATAGTGATGGTCATTATTTATTTAAAAGATGTGGAACTCCAGGATATGTTGCTCCTGAAATTTTAAGAAATGAACCTTATGATTATAAGGTTGATGTTTATAGTATAGGAATTATCATGTATTATGTATTAGTTGGTAAAAATCCATTTGATAATGTTAATTCTAAATAAATTTTAATAAATAATCAACTTGCTTTAATTAATTATAATAATTGTAGATTAAGTGATAGTGGATTATAATTTTTAAAATGCCTATTAAATGATGATTAAAATGATAGATTATCATCACATGAAGCATTAAATCATATTTGGTTTTAACTTGAAAAAGTAACTAAAATTAGACAATATGTTATTAAAAAAAAGTCTGATAAGAAAAAGCACTAATCAAGTGTATCATTAACAAAGAAAAATGAAAGAAAAACAATTAAATATAGCAATCCACCTTTAAGTCCAAGTGGAAAACTTACTTTAACCTAAATATATTCGCCATATCATAGCAGATAATTATCTTAAAAAGATCAGTTTTCAAAAGACCCATAAAATAATTATATGGTTACTAACAGATTCAATTAGTTTAACATCTTAAACAAAATTTAACCTTTGTTCATTTCTAAATTTAAATGATTAATTACTTTTTATATTATTATAATGATTCATTCCTTATCTAAAATCGACAATTTTGGAGCTGAATTTAAACAAAGAATCATACATTCTGAATAGGAACATAAATCTATAATTGGAGGCCTTTTCACACTTTTAGTCTATAGCATATGTACAGCATATTTTATTTTTGTTTTGTAACAATGGGCATCTGGATAAATATTACCAAAGATCCTAATAGAATCTACAGTTTCAGCTTTTGAAAAATTTGAAATGCCTGATAAATTGATTGAATTAACCTTTGTTAGATATGATGATTAAATTGTCGATCCATTTGCTACTTAAGGAAATATACTGATGCCAATTGCAGTATTATTAGAAAATAATAAACCAATATCCTATTAATCTGTCTTGACTAATTCTGAAATTTCTAATTATGGAACTAATCTTATCGAAATGGAAAAAATGCAAATTGTCAAGAATTCTCGTAATGATAAATCATAGGAAAATTGTAGATATTATAACTTATTAATTACTACTTGTTAAAAATAATACTTAAAAGAGAATCAAACTTGCGCATCAAATGAGGATATTTAAAATTATTTGAGAAATTCATTAACGCCAATTGAGATTGAAGTTAAATTATAATAATTTGATACAAAAAATAAAGAAATATATGAGGTAGAAAAACAGCTATAATTTATTCTTGAAGAAAACCTTACTTTAAAAGTAGATATATTATTTCAAAATACAAATACAATAATTGATGATCATTTAATATTTTCTAATTCTAAACTTTTTTCCTACTTTTCTGACTTTAGTGTTTTGACTTAAACTAATACTAAAATTTAAAATGCCTAAATAATTTAAGATTAAGTTTTAATTTAGATAGCTTTCAAAGTTGATCCTATTGAAGTTAAGTAATCAATTACATATGTTAAATTTGGAGAAATGCTAGCAGAAGTTGGTTCTATTGCTAGTTTATTATTGGCAGCATCTTGGTTCATTTAATAATTTAATAAAGAAGAAATGGAAAACAAAATAATTGATGAAATAATAAGTATTTATTATCCTTAGTTTCGAAATCTTAAGAAAATAAAGAATTGTATGGGTAGAACAATTAAAATTAAACATGAAAAAGATGAGATAAATTAAAAAGAATTTTAAAAGTGGTATAAAAAAGTTAGGAAAAATGCTATTCTAAAATTATCAGTAGTTAACTAATTGCATGAAATTTCAAGATTGTATTTTATTATACGATCATAAACTACTTATTAATAAATGTTAAAATATTAAAATTGTGGTATCTAATTACCTCATAGACTTTTTAAAAAACATAGCTATGATATTAATAATGAATTATAATCTAAAGATATATAAATAGAGGATTATGATCTCGAATCTTCATATATGATTACCAGTGTTTTATGTGAGGATGATCTTAATCTTCTAAATTACAATCACAATTAGAAAAGAATCAATATTCCAGCAGGTTGATTTGAAAATATATTTTAATGAAAATTAAATATAAATATTGTTTATAATTTTTATATTGAACTTATATATCAATAATTGTTGTTGAATAATTAAAAAAACTTTTATTTTTAGAATGATATATCTTTATATAAATATATATTACTATATGATATTTAAAAATTTAGAATTAAAAACTATAGTGTTTTAGATTAGAAATTAATTTATATTGATAATTATATTTATGATAATAATATTTAATGTTTCTAAAGCGTATAGCATCTTCTTTTTCAAGAAGTCATCATCACTTAGTGATACCTTATTACAATAAAGGTAGAATACTTATTATATTGTTAGGCTTTTAACAACCATTTAATAAGAGCAAGACTACAGAATTTGTTAAAGAAGGATTGAATATAAAAGATCCTGATGGATTCATCTATGCTTTTAATAATGTAATTGCTTCAATCAACCATGAAGATTTTACAGAATTTGCTAACATTACTTGTGATTCAGAATTAGTAAAAGGATTTGAAACAGGATTAAAACGTCTAAAAGATAATAATTAATTGATTGAACCAATTTATGATCCTGAAATTGAAGAAGAAATTATTTTTAGTAATTATGGTATTTGCTTTGAATTAAATGATGAACAAAGTTATTATCTATAAGTATAAATGATAATATAATTTAGAAACCAAATTGGTAATTAGAATTAGCAGAAATAAAATTTGAATTTTATAATATTTTGCATTAGATGCTCAAGAATCCAATAACTTAAGGACCAAAGTTAACAGTTATTTTAGATTGCTTTATCAAATGTAAAACTAGTATTAAAATATAAAATTTTGAAGTATTTTTATTTAATTTATAACTTAGTTACATCCATATGCATATCATGCTGTTAAATTCATGGCTAAAAAACATGTTCATGACTTAAATATTCTTTCGATGATGAAAGAAAGCAATTTTGAAAAATTGTTATTGGGACAGAGTTATAATTGGAGAATAATTAATATTGATAATTTTCTGAAAAGATGAATTATTTATTTTATTTTTGCTTATAGTAATGAAAATTAATTCTAATAACTATTTAGCAATATAAAATTATGAAATCCAATAAATTTAGTTTAAATTTGAACTGCGAACAAATGTATTTTGTATTTCAAACATTTAAAATTTGACATGATTTATTATAGCAAATACTCACTTAATCAATTTTAGTTAATGACCATGATAAATTACTGATTTCATTTTCTGCTTTGTACTCAAGAAGTGGATCTAAATTAATAAATAAAAGAATACCTATAGAATTTGAATCATTTTATTTATTCTAAAGTTCTGAAAAATCCCATATTAATGCTGAAGAATCATCAGCAACACTACATAAATGTGTAGTAGATTCAGGTGCCCAAGCAATAGCATTAACATAATCTTTATGATTTTTTAATTTAGCTAAAGGCAGAAGTGGTTATCTAAATATAAATGAATTTTACCTTGTATCTAATAATGTAACATAGTTAACATCCATTTCAATAATAGCTAAAAAATTAGTATCCATTTTATTCCATGCTAATCTCACAATAGGATTATTATTTTCAGTTTCAAAAAGTACTGTAGAATGATCTAAAGCTCTAAATAATTGTATTGACTTATAACCTTAAATCAAATTATCTACAACTACCATCTGCTCCAACAGATGCAAAAATTTAATGGTCAACACTAAAACAAATATCATAGACTTCCTTATCATGAGCAATAAGTTATGTAAAAACAGTTTATTTTTCAATATCCCAAAGTGTACATGTTGTATCTATAGAAGCAGTTCCAATAAAATTTTGTTATTTACAACTCCAATCGAAAGAAGTAAGAGGAGCGTTGAAATCACTAGTCTATGTTTATTAAAATATTAATTAAATACATTTTTTAAGTCCCACTTGATCTTAACTTATGAATTTTAATCATCATATTCCCAAATCTTTAAATTTTCTCCACTTGTTGCTAATAAATCAGGATATTTGCCTTCAGTATCAGGTATCCATAAAACTTTGGTTGGAGCATATCTATGATTGAATTTAGCCTTTTTACTAAAAGTTTCTTATTCTTTATCTAGTTGAAGAATGAAAACCTTTATAAAAATAATATAATGATTACTTCATTTTAAGTATCTTCAATCATACTACCAATTGCAATACGAGATTGAGGACTAGGTTTAGATTAAAATCCCATAGCATAAATCAACCAAGGAGCCTTGTAAGTGTAGATTTAGTTTGAACCTTCTTATTGGATTGAATTATGAGTTTCTGTTGATTATAAAATTTAGTTTTGATTCTTGGTAATTTAATGTTCTTGTTCACTCATTTCTTAAAAATATATAATGAATTAAATTTCATATATATTTTTATTTTAGTATTACTTTATATATTCTTTTAATCAAAGACAATTATAGACTTTTATATAGTAATTAAATAATTGTTATTGTTTATTTGTATTAAATAATCTCTATTTCAAAAGAGCTCACGAAGCTAATCATAATTTTATGAATTGAAAAGCTAAGAGCATTATTCTGATAAAGGATGTCCAATGACTTTAGATAACAATACTATTGGAACTAAGAAACTAGGATCACCTATTATAGTAATATCATATAATTTCTTATATTCTTCCAATTAACTAATTATAAATTAAAATCTACTATTCATGATCTTAAACTAAAAATCCAATACTCACTTAATTTGGAATATTTAGAAATTTAGTCATATAAAAATCACTAGGTAAATCTCCTAACAAAATAGTATTGTTTCTAAATTTAATTCCTGAACTTTCTAAGATTTTAGCTTTTGTAGTAGCTGTTACTAACATCTCCATCTTTTCTAATATATCATTTTAAAACAACATTTAATTTGCATGTAATGTCATTTCATTATAAGAATCAATCTCATGAATTGAAGCTAAAATTGTAGTTATCACTTTATCTACTCCACCACTTACAATATGAAATGGAACATGTTCTTCTACACATTTATTAAAGAAGGACTCGAAAAGATATCTCAAATAAATATGTGAAGTATTTAAGATTTAACAAGCTTAAGACTTTGTAAATTTTGCTTCATGAAATGCTTCAGACACTTTCTAATACCATTCATGCATATGTTTATTTTTTTCATCAATTTTTATACTCTAATCCTTCTCAATTGGAACATAGTAATCGTAATAAGATTACACTTTATTTTTGAAATCCTAAGGAGATAATTCTGACATCCTATTCTTACATTATTATTCTATACCTAAATAAACTAAATGTGGCTGGACTAAGGAATGAAGATATTGTTTAATCAAAATCAGTCACTATTTATGTCTATTTTGTTCCATCTGATATCATTTTTGCAATTTTGGATTTTAATTCTTCTGGATTTCGAATAATTAACTTTTCTTCTATAAATTCGTTTGTTTTCTTAAAATATTTCGAATATCATATATATGTACTTTCTCAGTCCAATCACCAAGTGTAGGAAATCTTTATTTTTACATGTGTTATATTAATTTATATTATCAAAATATTTAGAACTTATAGAATTTCTCTTGTGGTTTTATTATTTTTAACTATCATTTCAACTTTATCTTAAAATTACTTTACTTTCACATAATCTACTTTAATAATATCTAATTAAATTATTTTTTATTTAATTTTTCCTTCTTATTGCAATATAAATCATCCTTTTTCGAGAAATTTCTCTTAAGATATTTCATTTCATCTACAATATTCAAAGAAAGCAAATAAATTATATATATTTCAAGTATTTATTATCAAAAAATCTTGATAACATTTTTTCTAGGTTCATCTGACTCTTATTTGAATTAACATCAAAGTAAATAAAAGATATCTTGAAAATGGTTTAATTAAAGTAATATACTTAGGATGCTTCTAATAAAATGTTTGCCTAAACTTTAAAAAACGAAAAAACACATCAAAAATTAAGTCTACTGAAGAAATATTTATTATCTTTATTTAATGTAACAAATAAGTCTTGAAAGTAAAAATGAGATTTTGATGAATTTGTTAAATAAAAATAAGATTATTAATTTATTTTAACTATGATAAATCAATCCTTTTAAACAGATTTTGATGGTTTCCTAAATTTGACTTTTTTCTTTTAAATAGTAATTGTTGGCAAATTATTATCTTAAATAAGATTTCCAAGATCTTATTTTTGTTAGAAATAGTGCTTCAAAATACCTTTCAATTAAGGACTTGGTAAGTTTTTTGAAGTATCTGTTTCTGGTAATTATTAAAGTTATTCTTGAGGTTTAGAAATTTAAGTAAAATCTTAATAATCTGTATACTCAAATATGATTTATTAGACTTATGGTAATGATTGTAATTCTGATTCTTCAGTTTTAATGGTACAATTAACACATATAGAAGAACCCATTTATTAATGAAATTAATTAAAAAAACAAAATAACACTTATCAAAACTTCATTTCAAAAGCGACAATTCCTTTTCTATTGAAATTCTCTACTAAGAGTGTAAGACCTCCTATCAATGATCCTCCAACAATTCCTCCTACAAAAAATGGAACAATGCCTAAATTTGTTAATATAATTTTAATAAACCTAATGTAGATTTGTATACAGCTCCAGAAATAGCACCGCAAAGCATATTTTTTTTAAGTTAATTAATATCAGCTAATTCATCTTCAAATAAAAGATTCATTCCTGCACCTACAAAATAATAAAGCATGCTTGCACTTGCAGCAGCTTAACCATATGTTGATGTACGTTTTCCTACAGCATTAAAGAAATTATTTAGAATCAATTTTTTAGGCATATTCAATTATCTTGGAAATCCTTCAATTGCTCCTTTTAATAATCCAATTGATGATGCTAAATTTATTAAATTCAATTTACCTAACATGTAACTTACACCCACTGTGAAACTTATCTTATCACCAAAGTCTTATCCTGAATATTATTCGATTTAATTCTCAGCCTTGCTTCCCATAAATTAAAATTTATTATTAATTAACTTATTTTCATACCTCAAATAAGAGATTATATCTATAATAAAATTTTATTATTAGAAAAATATACCAACATTGTAAGTCAATTTCACAATATGAAAAATTATAATTAATATATTAATAAAATTCATTTTCATAAAATATGATCTCATTTGATGATCTCTTAGAACATAAAATTAAGACGGGCATCCATTAATTTAAAACACTTGGTATCATAGGTTTAGTAGAATTTTGTGATGGAATAGAATATGCATATATGTCAATCTTGATAGCAATAGTCTAAAAAGAATGGGATTTAAATAAATAATAAACAGCTTCTTTGGGATCAATATTTCTATTAGGAATTGTTATGGGAAATTGTTTATGTGCATTTATTGCAGATCTAATTGGGAGAAAAACTACATTTACTATTTTTACAGGATTATCTGTTTTTTTAATATATTACACAAGCATATGCAACTCTTTTAATTAAATGATGTTTTTAAGATTATTTTTTGGTATAGTTTTTGGAACTAGTTATCCTTTAGGTTATGTTTTTATTACCGAAGTATCTGAGCCAAAATATAGAGGAAGATTTGCTTATACAATGGGTTTATTATTTGTAGTAGGGAAGATTTATTTGGCTATTTTATGTTTTTTTTATCTTGATGATTATACATCTGGAAATTGGAGAGGTTTAATAAGAATTAATGGAATCCCAGTTGCTTTAGCATTCATATTTTCTTTATTTTTTCTAAAAGAAACTGTTAGATATTATCTTAATAGAGGAAAATATTAAATTGCTTATGAGGAAATTGAATAAATAATTTCAGAAAACACTGGGATATAAGAGCATTTAACTGATGATGAGGTAAAAAAACATTTAATTTTAGAAAAACGGGTTAGTAATTTGGTAAGATAAATAAAATGAAATTAATTAGATTTAACAAATAAATAAATACGGAATATTATCAAAAGAATATAGATTTATAACCATTAGAATATGGTTGCTTTACATTTTAACAAATATGCAAAATATGAGTATATATCTTTTGATGCCTTTTCTATTTACTGATAATAATTCAGGATTAAGTTCAATGTTATATATGTTCATTGTTGAACTAGTTTTTGCGATATCCTTATATATTTTTATAGATGATCCTAATATTGGAGGAAGAAAAATGGTTATAGGATATTCAGCAATCCTATTAATTTTTGCTAATGGTCTTCTCTATCTTTTGAGATAGAAATTTTTATTTATTGGATTACTCTTGATTAAACTTGCTACAAGAGCGTTGTTTTCTACCCTTGGATTAGTATGTTGTGAGAGTTATCCTTTATCTTTGAGATCATAAGGAACAGCTATGGCCTATGGGATAGGTAAATCATCTGCAATTCCATCTCCATTTTTCTTATTTCCATTATTTTATATAGATCCATATCTACCATTTGCTGTTATGTGTCTATTCTCCGTAATCATGTTGATTATAGATTGCTTTATTGAGAATGATAAAACTATGAAACCTTTAGAATCTTTGAAATAAGATTGAAATTATTCTATGAATAAGTTAGTATAGTGATAGATACCTTTTATAAATATATATGCTATTAATACAATTAAAAATAATTATAAATCTTAAGTTTTTATTTTCATAAATCTCCATAATTTATTTGATAAATGTTGTCTTAAAATTACTCTTTATTCCAATTTTCATTTAAATTCAAATTATTTTTTAATTAAGTAGAATAAATTTCATCTATTTTATAATCTGTTTATAGGGTAACTTGAATATCTATTAATATAAATTAATATTTCAGCAATTTTAAAAAGTATAATTCAATCTCTATTTCTAAATTTTATTTAAAAAGAAATTCAATAATAAGTTTTATAAAGAACCTTTTTTATGAATCAACCAATATTTGCCAGACATAAATTATTTTTAAGAATTTTGTGAGGCATTTTAATATGAATTTTCAGAAATTTAAATAAATTTAAAAATTTTTTAAATTTTAATAAATTAAATTATTGTTATTCAAAAATAGAGATCAAAAGTGTTATTTCGGTACATGAGAATGGATTCTCCAGAATGTCTTTAAATGCTCACCATTATCATATTTTCGTAAAAACGTATTATGATCTTAAAGTAAACATTTTTCTGAAAATCTTGAGTATCCAATTAAAATTCGACACGCTCAATAAGAGTATATCTCTTCAGCCTAACACCAAACCACTTTTTTTAACCATTTTTATATTGGACATCCTTCAATTGCTCATAATTTTTTTTTATCACTTACTTAAAAATTAATGATTAGAGTTATTATTTTTTATTCAAAGATTATTCTCCATATTCTAAAAATATAACCTTCTATGTATTTAATTACTATGTTTATTTAATATAAAATAATGTTTTCTAATAATTGATCCATTTTTTAGAAGCAAAGTTTTTTTTTTAAGTCTTATCTTACATGAGTTTGAATATCATATATAAAAATTTTAAAGTCTTACCATCTAATTTAAAGATAAAAGCTTAACTCCAACCTTTTAGAAAAAAATTTAGAATATGAATATATTAAAATATTAATAAAATGAAATCGATAAATTGCTTTAGTAGAGCAAAAAATAATAGTGCTTTTAAGATTTTTATTAAAAATATCTTAGTTTATAAATTATAAAAAATACTCAAAAGGATAATCAAATGAATGATTTTTTTAATTAAGTATTGAAAATCATTTTTATATGATATTATTCTTAAACTTTATTTTAGTTTGATATGAAAAAATTCGTACCTGTTCATTTCTTCTTAAAAAATAAAAAAGAAACAAGACAAAGCACTTAGGCTACCAAATAATTAAAAAGCTATGAAATCTAATTTGAATTTGAATTTAAATAATGTTTTTTAATGAAAAAGGATGTTTATGATGCAGTATTTCAATTTAGAATTATTTAATAGAACTTATTTGAAATGTAAAAATAAATTTAAATAAAAACAAAATAAATATAAGAGAACAATTACAAAATATTAAATAATTTTAAAGTAATATTTTGTTCTTAAATAATATATAAAGAAGAGTTTTATTTGAAAATATATAGTTTATTTATTTAGATGAATGAATAAAAATATTTAAATTATTGATCATCCTTGTTTTTAAATGGGTAAGAATAATTTAAATTCAGGAGGTAATTCTTCTTCACTATATAAACGATCGCTAAAATAGATTCTTCTAATTCTGCAATTAGCATGTATTTAAACTCTATTATTTTTGCATGCATAAATACCGTAATGTTTCTATGTAATTAGTACCATATGCTCTTCTTGTGAAATCAGATAAATTGAATTGAATTTAATTCCATCCTTCATCTAATCTCATTGGCATAGTACAAATGAATGGTTTCACTCTGGTTGTAGACTTATAAATAGCTTAAATAAATACTTAATAATTTGATGCTCGAAATCTTCTTCTAACATTTTTATCATCTAATACTTGGACTTCAAAAGTAAAATATTTTTTAAGCTAAAGTAAAAGATTTTCAATTTACATTCTTGATAATCATTACTAAAAATGGCAATTTTATTCCTAAAGTTTCTTTTGGATCAGCAGGAGCAGTTATGAAATTAGTACTCACATTTGTACCCATTATTTCAAGAACTGATGATTAAATGTCTTAATCTGTAATTCTTTTAATATGTCCATTCTTAACTTTAATATTTGAACTATAAAATACTTTGTTTGTCCCAAATCTATAAAGGCTTTGATCCTATAGAATATAAAATTGAAAGAAATCCACTTTGGAATGAGTTCTTGAACATCAGTTATTTTTTTATTTTATTAAACAATTATATATCTCACTCAATCCAGGAATTTAATTATAATATTATACTCAAAATTAAATTACAAAAAAAATTAGTTCTCTTACTTAAGGATTCTCAATTCACTCTAAATTTAATATAAATATAGGTTCCTGATTTATTAATCAAAAAGATGTCTAAATCTTTGGATCTGAATTAAATCAAATATTTATGTAAAGTTGCTTTGAGACTGGTTATTATTGAAAATATATAGCATTATTTAATTTTTCTACATTTGTGAAAGATTATTCATAAATACTTCGCTATACATTTTTTCTTCAATAAATTTAGCTACTCTTAATTATTCTTGGGTATTTGCAAAAAGGCATAAAATAAAAATAGAATTTTTATTTTAATTCCAAACAATAGAGAATTTTAGCCCAACTAATATCAAAGCTATATTAAAATTAAATGTTAACATATATATATTTATCAATTATTTAAAACAGCTCTTAAATATCTTCTAATTGGAGTTGAACTAGCATAAATATATTAGAAATTTTACTTTGTTAATATTTACATCGGCATAAGTAATAAAAGAGTTCTGCTTTTTTACATAGACTTTATCAATGATGAGTTGGAAGGAATCCATAAGAAAAATACAATTAAAAAAATGTAAAATGTAAAACAAATAAAAAGAGTTCCTCTTGTAATTGATAATTTATTAAATGAATCGCTAATACTTTTTTCTAGATTTTCAATTAAATATCGTTATGTGTATCTTATGATAATTTTTTCCATAGTTCTTATTTCTATACTGAAATTGGTACTTAATAATAATATTCCATAATATTTATTTTCTTATTCTGTTTAATTCAGATATCTTTATTATTCATATCCAATTAATAAAATTCTTAGACTTTCATAATACTTAGTCAAACCAATAGATAATCCTTCAGAAATAGCACCATCTAAAATAGTATTACAATATTCTTCTGTTATAAATTCTTATAACTACCCCAAAATTGGACATGGATTTTATATATATAATTATTGAAATACATTTATGTAATCTTGCTCAAATAAATCAATATTTTGAGTAAAGATTGTTTACATTTCTGCATTTACATCTTACAATCTTGCAAAATAATTTTAAATAAATATTTAAGGGGATGTACTAAATAAATTTTAATTAGGATTAAGAATATATTCTCTAATAGCATTATCTCCAAGTCTATATTCAGATTCTAAAAGTGATGTAGCATTCAAAATTGGACATAGATTATATGTATCTTCTACAACTTATTGTGCTGAATAATATTAATATACAAAGTAAATTTGTAAAACTAAAAAGATGAAAAATGCCGTTATCATAAGCTTTCGGAACTTGATATTGCTATTTTTCCAAACCTTTTTAATTTTCTTATTCACCATTTTTAATTCCTCTTATTCATTATTATGAAGCAATTAATTTTCTTCTTATTCTTCTTCCTAATATGCATATTTTATATTATACCTATTCATCTTCCCCAACATTTAATAAAGATAAGAATTTTTCACAATTTTAAACAACTTAACGAATATGCTAATCACTGATTTCAAAATAAAACAAATAGATTTATTGAATTTATTAACTAAAGTGTATTAAATAAATTGCTATAAGTAGATAAGTAATAAATTAAATTATAGTTTGAAGTATTAAAAAAGCTATTTTATTTTCAAGTGAATTCTCAGCAACAGATTTTACTGCATAATATAAATAATTTAAAGGAATATGATAATTTCTCACAATTGAATTTAAAGTATTGTAATTGAAGTAAAAGAAGTCAACATTAGAATCATTAAATAAAGTAATCTATTTTTAATTCAATTAAATTGCTTTAGCTATCAACTAATCTATAGCTTCTTTATAAGTATAATTGAAACTTAATCCATCTGATGAAACTAGATCTATATTTTCACTAAAATATATTGTTTCATAGATTTTATATTCTTCATTTAGATATGTTTCAGTAATACTTAATTTAGAATGAATTTAGATAATCTCTTATATTTCTTAATCCAGCAATTTTAAATTATAAGAAATCAACTAATCAAAATCTGATCTAAAATTTTTAACTTCTCCATAACCAATTAATCTTAAATCCTACAAAACAGCATTAATCATTAAACAATTTGATAAGCGTTTATTAGTTAAACTTAAATTAAAGATCATACTTGATACTTTAGTGTCATCTTATAAATTAAATAAAAAAACTATTAAACCAGAAGTATAAAGAGTGAATAATGCTATCTGAATAAATAAATTTATAAATTTTAATGGCTTTGAAACTTTTGAATTTATTAAAAGTGATTTAATAGAAGATTTAGATTAATACAATTTGAAATAGTGTTGAAATTCTTAAATTTCATTTTCTTTCTCTTAATATTCTGATTTTTGATTTAATTCATTCTCTTCTTCTTCTATTTCTTATGAATCAATGTGATTATCTTCTATATCTATTATTTAACCATCCCATAATCTTTTAGTTTTAATTCCATCATCCAAATTTATGGAATGTTTTAGAGATTAAGTCATTTTCTTAGCAATTAGAAAATAATCTGCAATTTTTGATATTTTTGATCCATTATCTTCAACACGACTATTATCAATTGATTCTTCTATTTAAGTCAGACTCAAATAATCCATATAGTAAACGGTTGGAGGTAAATATTGAAAAATAGGAAATTTAGTTCTTTTTTATTAAGGTATTTGCAATTTTATAAATGATGGTTCTACATTATTAAATTTAAGTTATTCTAATTTCATAGCCATACCATATTAATTATTATCATTTAAACATGGAAATTAAATATAGTTTAAATAACATTGAAATTCCATCTAATCATAAAAACTGAAGGTTGTGTCTACTGTTTTGGTACTATATTTCATTATGTGTGGATTAACATGTAATTTGGCTCCGCTTTTAGATAGGAATTCATCTTTTCTTTAATGAAAATCAGGAAATAATTCTTTGATATTGATTTTTCTCATTTTAATTCTTATTGTATCTAATCTTAATAACAAAATGCATGAACTTGAAATGTGTTCAATATACCCTTTTCTATCTAAAAGTAAATAACATATTTATTTAGGACTAAATGATTATTGATATTAGGCAATGAAAAACAATTAATTATTTTCAGCTTAAAGTAATTTTACAGTCGAAAAAATTGGTAAAATATAATTACTCTTTGTTAATAAATAAACACTTTATGTAATAAATTACTTTGAATATCTTGCTTTGTTTTCTATAAATAACTCAAGACATTCATTGTGCTTTTCAACAAAACTAAAATATTAAATGAATAACTTTTTTACATATTTGGTATTATTTAATTTATAGATCTATCAATTAAATCTGTTTTTGAAAACCCTAACAAACTACACAGGGATTTATTAACGGTATAAATGTTAATTTTTTGAAATTATGCTAATGCTACTAATGTTGGAGTAGATTGATTGCAAATTTCTTCTAATTCATTTAATTCTTATTGTTTTGATTTTTGAAGAGTCCAATATTATTATTAAAAATTTTGGGCATTTTCTTAGTCATCTAATACTAATAAATAAAATTTAGCTAAATAATTATAAAGTTTTAAAGATTTATTTTCTTATAATTTATTCCATTTGATTTCAATATCTTCTTATAATCTTATAATTTTAAATCCATAAACCATTAATTTACTCATATCTGGCACTTCCTCCGATAATGCACTCCAAAATTCTACTACTTTTAAAGCTGTAATTTCTAGATGTTCGATAAATTCTTTATTTTAAATTAAATAATTGGTAGAATCAAATAATTCAGCTTTTTTTTAAGATTCTTCCTCAATAATGGTTTTATATCTATAAATTTAAAATTCATAATCAAAAGTAGGCTTAAAATCCATAGCTTAGTTTAATTCTGCCATAATTAGAGAATAAGATTTTTATTAATTAAAAAGAAAATAGATATAACTTAATCTAAGAGGAGTATCATCTGGAAATTTCTTGATTCCTTCATGATAAATTTAACAAATTAATTCTATAATAATGTGATTTCTATCAGTATATATTGGATTTTCTTTGTATTTGCTAGCCAATTCAACTTTTAATTTAACAATACAATCAGTACGATTGCAAACTTCCTTATGTATTTCAATATAGCTATCTAAGAGAAGTTGTGATCTTTAACATTTTTGTGATTTTTCCATAAGTAAAACTAAATACTCACATAAAAGAATGATTTGCATTCCATTTGTAAACTTTTTTAGATTTGCTTCTAATAGATCAACAGCATGTTTTTATCTGAATATCAATATTCCAATAATTAATGGTATTCCAATTAACCATGCTTATATAGTTTTTTAGAATGTTTATCCATCAAATTTATAAGAATAAAACATCATTATAATTGTCCATAAATTAACAGCTGATAGAATAGACCACATTTTTTGAATAAGTGAATCATAATAAGGTTAAGCAAGATGAGCACTTATGAATATTAAAGAACTCCCAGTAAGGAAAACAAGTATTATGATAATTGTATATTAAGGTGCAGGTAATAATTGATATACCATAATTTATACAAATAAGTAAACAAGCAATTAAGTGTATGATCTTCCATTTCTCATAGCACTAGCATCTTAGCGAGTATTTCTTGATTCATAAGTAATAAAAGCCATTAATACAGAGAATAACAAAGTAAGTATTAAACCTATAATGGCAATGACTGCATGGATGTAATATTCAGAAGTCCAACATTCTTAAGATTGTTCAAACATCATAACTTATTTACCTTATTTATTTTATTCACATGCTAATAAACCAAATTGCATCCTTACGATTGGCCAAAATCCTATTGAGAGTATTACCTTTAATAAACATTTGAGTAGCAACAAAGGAGGTTTCTATAGCTTTTAATTCTTTATAACAAATGCTAGAAGCAGGATTAAAAGGATGCAAAGGAGTACTAAACCAAAACATATGTAAAAGACTGTCAAATAATTATTAATCCCAACATTCTTCACAGATATTGTTATTGTGAAATATCTAGATAGACAATAAATATACTTTACTAATAGATTTATCATATCACTGTAGGCTTTGTTTTACCAGACGTATTGAACTTTAAGACCGAAATTTAAATAAGTGTATTGGAAATATTATATAAAGCACAATAGAATTGTAAGCCAACGATAATCTGCCCATCGTTTCAAAATTAGATAAACAACTCTAAATAGTCATTGGATTACTTGAAGAATTTATATTTGAGAGAATTGACAATCTGATTGATTTACTCTTTGCTTTTCATAAATATTATATAATTTCATTATGAATAAATCATTTATTTAATATCCTTAAGCTTACTATTGAGTTCCTGAATTTATTACTAATTCTCTATTAACAATTATTTTAACAATTGATTTTATTGATTCTTAGTATCAATTAAGAACTTATAGTCCTCATTATCATTTTTAGTACTTCTCTCTAAAGGAGGTTTGATTGACAATTCAATAATATTAGTGTTTATTGTCATCGAGCTAATGTAATCGACAACCCTCTAGTTCAACTATTTTTGTGATTCTATAATGCGTTGGAGTTATGCCTTATTTTATTCTAAGGATTAAATTTATTCAAACAATTTTTATTTTTCGTCCTCATGTTTTTATTTTAAGTCTTAAACTTCTTTTCCAGACATAATAGTCTATGCACTAGTAGCTAATGACATTGACATAGCCCTGTTTTCAAAAGTAGTTTCTTTAAGCTTTGTCTTAAGACGTTCAATTTATTATTATTAGTCTTAGATAATCTTCGCTTATTCTGATTAAATGGAATTCTAATTTTAATAATTCGATTCTTTTTTAGATAATTATTTGTTCTCTAGAGTTAAAGCATCCACTCTGGCCAATAAAATAGCTATTTCTTCATTTTTTTATTGAATATATTTCTCTTTTTTAGTGTCATCTGGAGTTTACATTTATTATAATTAAAATTTATAACTTTCAATTTCATTATCTTTCAATGCTAATTATAATTTTAAGTTAGATATTTCAGCCTTTAATTCATTACCTTAAGATTAATCAGTTTATTCAATCATTGAAAAAGCTAGACTTCTAACTGATTATGATGGATCTCTAAAATCTATATCTTATTTAGGAGCAGGCATTTACATAGAATTCAATTTATTTTCTGCTTCTTTTCTTCTCACATTTCTTAATATCCATAATTCAAGATCTTCATGATTAGTATTTTTTAAATTAGAACTAGCCAACATAAAGATTGCAGATAGTCCTTTTATAAATGAATCATATTTCTTTATTAACTATGTAATTAGAAACAATGTAGTATCAAAATTGAACATATTTATAGAATAAGTTACTAAATATCGCTTTAATCTACTTTGAAGAAATAGTTTCAACAACTATTTTTCATCCTCTCCTAAACCATATCCTTTTACACAATAAGTTAAAATGCTTCCTATACATTCATCAGGAGGTTTCTATTAATAAATTATGCTTAATAATTAATAAGTAGATGCTTCTGATGAAAAACATAATAAAAAATTAGCCAAACAAACCAACTCTGCTGAAAATTGTACTTCTGGATTCTTTGAACAATATGTTAAACAAACATTCTATAGTTTTGTATTGTCTTTGCCTACTAGAAAATAAAATTCTTTTAAAGAATAGTTAATATTGTCAAAACCACTTATTTCTGTTTTATCAAATCTTATTTTAGCACTTTCACGAGCATTCTTATAATCTTTTTAACTTAGTGTACTTCCCAACCATTATTTTGATAAAGTATCAACTCCATAAGCAATATGATTCTACTCCACAAAATTCTTTATTTACTCTGATTCCTTGAATTAGACTTCCATTTACCTCTTTACAGATTTTACACATTCTATGCGGTTTTGTGGATTCTTTCCCATCTTTTTTAATATGGTTAATCTTGAATGGAGAACATCCCTCACATACAGCTCTTAAACATCTGCATTATGTTTTAAACATACCTCTTGCATTGATGTTCTCTAGTTGTAAAACTGAAACTTTTCTAACAGATTTGGCATTTCGGAATTTTACCACGCACTTCAGGAATATTGATATAGGTTATAAATTATTTCATTTTTTTATTTGCAATTCAAGTAATTTTTATTTATATAATACTCCTTTTTTTCTTAATATTCTAAAATTCTGAACACTATAACTTTATATTCTATCTTAAATAAATGCATTCCTCAGAATTATATTATATATTTATTTTATTTTTACTTTAAATAAGAAATTGTAAACGAATCACAAACCAAATATCAAATTAAATGTACAGAAAATTAATCAACATCTTTTACACCTATTTTTAACTAAATTAATATATTTTATATGAAGATCTATCAAGCTTTTAACTTATTTTATGGAAAAGAAGCACTTCTGATTTTCATAAATATTAATTTACAAAATGGATTATGATTAATATTTAGAGAAGATCATAATTTAGTAAGAATTCTAGAATCAACTTCTATTTAAAAATCATTCAAAATATCATGACATTTGATAAATGGATTGACATAATATTAATTAGTTTTTTACATAAATTTAATTATTTTATAGTGTAAAGCTTCAATAATTAGAAATGTTTTACCTAACAAAAGGTTATAGTAATTCTGATTAAATATTTATTTAGATTTGATAAATAACTCTTATTATTAATGTTATGTATAATATGCTGTTTTAATTGGATATGATATACATAAAATCATTTAATATTCAATCTTTTCAAAATTTATTAAATCTTCAAGTAAAACAATTATTTTGAATTTCCTTAAATATTATTTCTTAAATAATGGTATCAATTATATTCACAAATAGAATGATAATAAGAATAATATAAGTAATTCTATTTATCTATTTCTGAACAACAAGAACCCAATTATTATTTTTAAATGACTTCTCAGATCTTTCTAATTTTTACCAAATTTTGCCTTTTGTAGATTGGTATTATTCGATTATTATTCTATGCATGCTCCATGAAATATTTTTCTATTAATTACTTTACTTTTGATTAATCTAAATGATGAATTTGAGGTGTTTAAAGCTGAAGGTTACATGATTAGTAAAAATAAAAATATGTTTTTAAGTTTAATTTGTATTAGATTTATAATTTTATATTATAAAAATGAATGCTTAACAATATTAACAAGAAATTTGGAATATGAAAGTGTCTGTTAAAATAAGTCTATAAAATAGTAACATACTACCAATGTATATTTAGATTCATAGATAACATTATCTACTTTTCTACTATCAATAAATTCATGATGTACAAATTAATAAAAAAATTTAGCATTTTGATTCCTGTTAAGATAATAAGATTAATCAAATTTCCTTATAATTCAAAAATATCATATTACCATATCAAATACCTTTTGGAGTATTGGTTGATTTATATTACAGTCAAGATCCATTTACACCTATGGAATTAATCTTAATATATTAAAAAGAAACTTATTTTATTGATTTAGAAGATGAAATAAAAAACTAAATCAAATTTAATCTAAAATAGGCTGCATTTGGACGTTATAATCATGAAGGATATGGTACTCCTCTAAAAAATTTAACATAATATATGTCAATAAATGATGAAAAATAAGCACTAAAGTAAATTAAGTCTTTTGAAAACAAAGAAGATCTCTATAAATATTATAGGAAAATATTCGAAAGTCCTAAAACAAAAAGATTTTAACTTCCAATAAGAATTTATTTCAAAAAAGGTGGACATTTCTAAACAGTAATTGAATTGAAAGACCAACAATAAACCATAGGTTAAGCTTTGGACACCAAGTTATAAGGAACAAAATACATTTTCAATGGATTACCTTTAAATATTAATATTCCAGCGTTAGACTTTTATGATTGCCTTTACTCAATCGATGGTTTTTGTTATTTTGTTTGTGAGTGATTAATTTATTTGAATATTAAACTAATTGAAATAATTATCCATGAAATTAAGAATTTTACCTATAAAATATTGTAATAATAAATTCTCAGATTTATGGCTAACATTGTTTTTTGATCAAGTATTTCTTGTTATTTTATCATTTAAAAAACTCTTTTCTAATTTCAGTATCTATTACAATGGATAAATTAACATAATTTTCTTTATTTAGAATTGTGAATTACCCATTTGTGTCTTATATTGCTATAACAATTCTAATTAATGATATAATAATATCCCTTTTTATTATTACAATATGAAAAAAAGATATAGGGATGTCTTATAATGAGAGGAACAAATTATGCTTTCATTTTCAAAGATTAAATATTGCAACAATGATAGTCTACATAAAAAAGGCCAATAGATTTTTGATTAATTAAATTTTCAATATTGATATTAGAAACCTAATAAATTTAATAGATTATCTAAGATATAGCAAATATCAAAATTACAAGGTTAATAGCAGAAGAATCATATATAATTAATCTTTAAACTCCATATTGTTGAACATTGAATTATCTACTTACATTACCAAGATAAAGTCTTTTAACTTGATCACATCTCTTATAATTTAATAAATAAGACTCCAAAACAAGGAGAAGATACATATTATCAATATAGGTTGAATTAATGAAAGGAATTACATTATTAAGTTCCAATCGTAAATATTCATTCAATCAATTAAAACTATACCACATTAATAAAATCACTATTTTACGTAATGTAAAAACTAGACAAATAGAAATCATTTTTGTTGAGGAATTAAAAACTCTATTTCTAAATGTAAGGGGAATATTAATATTTTATGATTTAGATGTGGATGATATCCTTATTTATAATACATATGTATATAATATTAATTATTATTTAATATAATCTAACTCACTTTTTGCTTTTTGGAGTGCATAATTTTAAAGTCAATTGTCTTTATGAACTAGTCTATTCATAATTATCATACCTTTACAATTGTCTTGATTTTAATACTTGTCTCTTAGTAGTATAAAAAGTTCTACGAAGAAAATCATTTTACAACGGTTCTTCAGCCATTTTGTTATAAGAACGTAAATTTAATAGAAAATTGAATTTCTTTTAGTTTTGTAATTGCCCACCTTCATTGCATCTGCCATTTAAAAAACATTTTTACGTAATATAAAAATCTCTTCCAGAACCATCATTAGGATAATGTTAAAATTTAGGTGTAATAGTAGGTAAACTCAGTTAAACTTCTTTCTTTCCTAATCCTGCTCTTTCATATACTCCATCAAAATGAGTTTGGCTATCCTTTAATAGGCCACCATTCGAATATTGAACATAATAGTCTCTGCCTTAATATTTAAATTCTATCTTATACCTGTTCCATTTGCATGATACCTTGTAAAGTAACGAGGGTCAACACATTATACTGTGGACATATTATTATTAATATTAATTATGGGGTGCATTAGTGCCAAAGATGTACAATAATCTATCAATAAAAACATCTACAATAATATGAGGTAAATTAACATCATTGCATTTGACTAAGTAATTTTAAAATATTCATTCTTTATTAGCTTTTTTTATTACAATCCCAATGTCTAAGAGATCTTGACCAATTACAAAATAAAGTGATTTCAAGAAGAATCAACCTAATTAATATTACTAAAGCACATCTACTAAACAATCCAAAACTTACTGAAGCTTATAAATTATGGACTTGGGGAGTTTCACTTTGTAATAAAGGAAATTCAAAAGGTATGAATGTACATTTCAGTTTCAACAATCCACAAGAATCAATTGACAAAACTCCCACTTTTATTTACAATCTAGGATCTTGTAAAGAACTTAGATTCCATTGGTTTGCTATCATTCTTAAAGAATACATCGAATATATATACAATGCAAAAATATAATTCCCATAAGATCGTCTCAAAGCAAAAGATATTTATGATAAATTAAAGACAATGAAAGAACAAACTTCAATTTATTTAAACAATCTTTCTCCAAATGAAAAAATTGAAGCTTTTGCAAATATTGAATACAATATGAACAAAATATAAAAAGGACTGTTTAATGCTGATCAGTTTTATGAGAACTTAAAAGAATTAGAGTAAGAATTGGAAACTGTTATAGAAAAGAGTTTTTAATATGAAAATGAAGCAGATTAATGGGGTAAAAAGTTATATAGAGATCTTGATGTTATTCCTGTTGGTGAGGATTCTTTTAGAATGAGAGCCAAAATGAATAGTTTAGTTTTATTGTATCATCCAGGAAAAAAGAGAACTTAAGAAGAAGAAGATTATTATTATAATATTAAATTGGAACGATCTAAAATTAAACCTAAAATATTAAATAATGATGAAGATGATTAAGTTAAGAAATTTAATTTTAAAATAAAGTGGACAGGATGTTCTTCAGTTGATAGAAAATGGAGTGAAATCTCATTTATTTTAGAAGAACATAACGAATAAATAAAATAGATTAAATAAATAAGGAATAAAATACGTTTTGAATTATAAACTTATAAGTATGAAGATGACAATTTAATTGTGGCCTGGAAAATTTATTGCCTGTCATTATTGACTGAATTAAAGGATGTAAAGATTACATTAAACATAAGTGATTAGGAATCACCTTAGAAAATTGTAAAAAATTAGATAGTTCTAAATCAGAATTTAGAACTTCAATCTAAACTATTCAGTGAATATTTCTTTATAATAAGACCTTCAAAGTAGAAATAATTATAGGAATACTGGAAAAAATTAGATTTTGATAAATAATGGATTTAAGGATCATTTATGAATGATGATCAATTCAAAATGATGCATCACTAAAATTAATATAACATGATGACAAATCAAGCTAAAAATATTTATGAGTTCACTTCTTAAAATTAAGTTAATTAAGCCATCTATATGAAAAGTGATTTTATTTATTAAATAATATAGAATACATGAAATTAGAAGAAGAAGCAAAAGAATTGTTTAGAAATGGAAAAGTTATATTTGAAGAAATGGAAAAACTCTATGAATAGTATAAAATAGATAAAGATGTTGATAAATTAATGAAATAGTAATTAAGAAGTGATGATATTATTTTAAAGAAAAAATCTAAACTTTCCAAATATAATTGATTATTTCATTATATATTTAGAACCTAATTAAAATATAGATAAATTAAATTTTTTAAGGAAAAATTGCAGTTATAATTGTTAAAAACCATTAGACAAGGTCATCAAAATTAATTATTGACGATTTACTTTAAATAATTTTTACTTATTCAAACTCTTTTCAACTTCAAAATAAGATGAAAGTTCAACAATTCATTAAAAACTTAATTATGATTGAATCTGAGATTAGTAGAACTTTGGAATAACATTAAGAATTTTGGATAAGTTTCCAATAATGTATGTATTTTTTAAGGAGTTGGTTATCTATCAATTTATGATAAGTAAATTATTATGCTATATTTATTCACAAATTATTTTATTTATTTTTATCTTTATCAAATCAATTTTAAAGGAATTTTAATTTTACTTTGTAGATATAAAAATAAATTGAATCTTTAAATTAAAAAGCATTAAAATAAATAAAAGTGCTATTTTAACTTGAAGCATGAGTGATTAAACAATTCTTACTAGCTTAGTTTTTCAATTTAATATATATAATATAGAAAAATTAATTATGATTATGGATTAAATAAAGAATAATTTAATAATTATTTACTATTTATATCATTTGGTAATATTTAACAGAGATATTTTATTTTTTCCCATCTATCCTGTTAATAATCTTCTCCTCTTAATTAAATGGATAGCAAATTACACATTATCTAAATATGGATTGTAAACTTACCGGCTTTTAAGTAATACCATATTAATAAATTTAAGATAGGTATTGGAATGGTTACATTATTTGAATTAATATTGATTTCACAACAATTCATCATAGTTTAGATAAAATTCCAAGCCTAATTCATATTATTGTTATGTAGATTAAGTGCTGCCATATTAAAATAATAAATTGCTTTTGGTCCATAATTTGCAAAACATGTTGTTTGAATTCCAATCAGATTTCTACATTAAAATTATAAATTGCTATTGATAAATTTATTTAAAAATTATTGCACATTATTATTATTTATAAAAATAACAGCATCTTTAACTTTTTATATTTAAATATTAGCTTCTAAAACATATTAAATAATTATGTATTTATTATTATCTGATAGAGCGTATTCTAGAGCTTCTTTGCCTTAATATAATGCTAAATTATAATCTCCTCTACATAGAAAAGCATAGGTTAAAAATACAATTGATGATTCAAATATTTAAGTACCAAGAATTTATAATTGATCTTAATCTAAAAGAATTATTTCTTCTCTTTTTTCTTTTTTTGATAAGATTATTGCATTACGGAAAGATCTCTAATAGGTTTTATTTAACTTACTTTATTGCATTGTTTAACAACTCTTTGTTGGCTTTAGATTAAACAAATTTGTTATCCTCATTCTTTTAGTCTATTTTGTAAAATTAATCCTACATTTCTTCATCGGCATCACTATAAATTTCTCTACTTTGAAGAATGAGTTTTTTTGCTTCATCTTAAACACTTAATTGAGAATGATCTTCTGAAATCTCATATAATTCATTTCTTTCAGGCATAGATTCATGATATATTTGAATTAAACATACTCCTCTATTATACCAAAACTTTGCACTCTAATTACATAAGTCTTGTAGTTAATTATATATATTAAGTGCTTTTTGATATTATTAATCCATAAATAAAGCATCTGCTAAATTTTAATACATTGCATATAATCTTTATTTTACATTAGTCATAACTATCCCTTCGTAAAGATTCAATTATTATTAGACTAATTTGGTTTAAGAAATTGCTTTATGAAAATAAATAGCTGCAAGTGCATATTTTCCTAATTTAGCATGGACACATCCAAAATTATTATAAATTTAAGCTAAATAAAGGTACTATTTGGTTTGGGTGAATTCTAAGTTTTATTGATTTTGTATTTCAGATTATGGATTAATCATTTTAATACATTTTTAGACATTATCATTCAAGTTCAAATGCTTTTAGGCTTTCAAGAACTTGAAAATCATTTATGCGTGTAATTTTAAATAAGGTTATATTTCTTATGAAAAAGTAGGGATTGAATTTTAAGTAATTCCATTTGGTTGATCTAATTAAAATAAATAGTTTTTAAATGATGATTCTAGATTTGCTAGTTATTTTTTCCAATCCTTTGAATTAGACAACATGTAAAAGCGAAATTTAATTACATTAAGTAGAAAGAGGAATTCTTCTTTACAAAATGTGTTTGGATGTGAATCTGGATAAGGCAAATCTGAACCTATTAAAAGTGAAGTGTAGATTTATTAGGTTTGTTATTATTGTTAATCTTCAATCTGATTAGTTTTAGGATTTTTTTATTATAATGATTTTAAGGTATCTTCAGAAGATAGTTTTTTATATAATTCGCTTGCATAAACATATTCTTATAATTGAAATGATGTTTCTACTAATAGTAGATTGACTTTAATATTTAGGTAAATGTCAAGATTATAGCCGTCTTTCAATAATTTCAAGAGATTGTGTGCTTGCCTAATCTTACCACTTAAGAATAACATGATTGCTTTATTGTATTGTAAAATACTATCATCATCTTATTTCTTTTCTAAAATGATAAATTGGCTTAAATAATTACTTTTTTATGTTGAGGGTTTTTTTATTTCATCAATGATTTCATCTAATTTAGAAATACAAGTATTGGCATCCTTAGTTATATTGTATTCACAAAGTATGATATTTTCATTAATTTAAACCATTGACTGATTTTGATCAGATTGTTCTTTAAGTTACTTAAATTTCTATAATTCCCTAGACTTAAATTGTAGATTACTCCATAGATTCTTTGTAATGTCCTTCTCCAAAATGTTTGAATGAATTTTATAAGATTGCAAATGATTATGCCATAAATTATAAACAAATTATTTCAAAAATCTCCCTAATCTATTTGAGTTCCAAACATAGCATATTATAAAAGACCGCTTCCAATCAAATATAAACCAAACCCTCTATACAAACCTTTAATTCCTTCTTCTTGGGTAATCAATCTCAAAGCATGTATAGGACCAGAATACCTTATTGGAATCATTCCCGGTAATGTAGACTAAAGTTATTATTATATATTTTAATACTTAACAATGCAATCTTCTAAGAATAGTTAGAAAAGGATAAGATATTAAATTATAGGAAAGGTATAAATAAATCATCTAAAATTATTCTAATTTTTTAGAAAATTAAATAGGCACTTAAACAAAAAATATTAAACAATTTTTATATAAATAAGTAGTAGATCCTTAAAAATAATCTTTTTTATGTCTAACATGTTTTTTAAATGCACTCAATAAATTCTTATACAAATAAAAATTAGGCAATCTATTTTACAATATAAATCTTGATTAAAATAACATAAATGGATTACTAAGTATATCAGAAACAGTTGCCAATCCCAAAATAGTAGCTTAACGTAATAATTAATTTCCTTCATGCCACATAACTCCTAATTTAAAATCTAGATCAGACAATAATTTAATCTTCAAATGACTATTAGTCAATAAATGAATAATGCCAATTAAATTACCTTTATAAAAAGCTTACCAACCTTAATTAATCAATCCCTATACTGCTTCACGATAAGTAGTATAAATAGGAGCTCTAAATGGTTTATTACTTCCAACAGCACCACTCTTTATCAATAATTCAAATTTTCTCTTTTCATGAGGTTAGATATCTCTGGTTGTTTTAACCAATTATGTCGATGTTTTTGTTCCTGATTCTTCTGCTAAATCTCCGTATTTATTTTAATGTGGAATAACTGACAGTTGTAATGATGTATAAATTGTAGTCAATGGAGCAACCAATGTTGTAACTATTGATTAAGTAAAGTAATTGATCCAAAAATGCTTGTTAGTTTCTATCTCTATTTATTTAAGAGTTTGTTCATTGATGAAAAGATTTGGATCGATGCTTTTTTTCACACTATCTTATATTGATTAATTGTCTTTGTTTGAAAGAAATTATGAGAAATCTTTACCACTCATTATTTATAATTATATGAATTCATCATCTTATCTCAGAAATTTTGTTATGCTTATTCAAATTATCCTTTTACTACTCTTGGAACTTCCAATTTCACTTCAATTACTCTTTTAATCAACATATCAACAACTGCTAATTTATTGGCTTCATAATCTGCATAAATCTTATCTATTTCTGCTTTTGTTCTTCTTTCTAATTCTTCTTCCTCTTTTGTTGATCCAAAACGCTTTAATTAATATTTATTATTACTCTCAAAATTTCTTAATTATATCTTGTTTCTTCTTCTCTACGAAAGACTGCAATTTCTTAATCAGCTGCCACTTTGGCTTCCTTTATTTTTTTTTCTCTTTCCTTTTAAGCTGCCTTAATAATATTATTTGCTTCATCTTCAGCCTTTAATAATTCATCTACAGCCCAGTTCTCTCTTCCTTCAGCCATTGTGTGATATATAATTTATTAAATGATTTAATAAAAAATGTTTATCCAATATTTCATTATCATTAATGACTCAACTGCTATCCTTAGGGTCTCATTTAATCAATTTCAAATGGTCTCTACAAACATTCTTAATCTCCTTCTATTGTAATTTTCTATTATTAATGAGTATAAAATGTGATTCTCATTTATTCAGGCATTTTTATGGATTGAATTAAAAAGTTCTATAATTCTCTTGGGATACTTGGAGTAGGTCCACAAATTTTAAGTGAAGCACCTTAAAAATCACATTCTGAGAAGGCTTAGAAACACATCTCATTTTATTAAACTTCTAACAAATCAGCTTATGGAATGTTTTGATTTTCATTATCTTCTGAATCTGAATCTGAATCTGAATCATCTGTTGATTAATCGAATTCTATTGAATCTGATTATTAATCATTAATTTCTTCATAGAACTCTTATTAATTTAATTCTTCTGGTAATTCTTCATATTCATATTCATAGATATATTCATACTCTCCAAATTCATCATCATCATCAACTTCATCATATCCATATTCATAAACATATTCATACTCTTCAGAATCTATTTATTGATTTGACTTTTATGAACTATTCAACTTAGATTTCAATTAAATAAAAGATATATCATCATCTTTTGGTAATGGAGTACATGCATACTTTTCTTGATCTTAAGTTTTAGTTTTATCTATAACGGATATAATTTCATTAAATAATTCTTCAGGTCCTTTGCTTGTTATTATCATAAAGTAATAAATAGACTTTACCTTTTCAATTCCTTCTAATATATCATATACTAATAAAAATAAAGATATTATTACATTCAGGTGTTTGTGTTCTCAATTATCTTTTAATTCCATTGTACCCTGGTTCTATTATTAAAGCACTATAGAGCTTTTAATCACCAATTTTTATTGATTAAAATGCTCCACTATATCCTCCAGAATGAAAGTCAAAATCTTTGATATTACATTTCAATGCTAATTAAGCCGTTATAGAAACAAACTTTTAATTTTTAGGTGAGATAGTTGTCAATAACATACCATTTACAGCTTTTTCAAGTGATCTAAAATTTTTGTCTGTTTATAAAAATGGATCTAAATTTTTAGGATTAAAATACATTTAGTAAATAGAACCTATGTCTTTCCTCCTTAAGAATATGTACACATTTTCTTTTAGCATTAAATTTTAAGAACTGGAAGATCAGACAATGCTTCAGCTAGACTTGAGATTGTAGGTGGCTTACAAAAGAATTATTCACACTTTTCTTAATGATTAAAATCTATTTACTTCCTTTATTAATCTCATCCATTATTCCATAAATTCCTTATAAAAATGATTCATCAGCAGTGAAATCACTATTAGTTCCTGTTTCTAATGTTGCAAATACTATAATCACACATTTCTTTGAAAATTGTAAACCAGTAAACTCTTATAATATTAACATTTTACTGATTGCATAGTTTCCTTTTCTTCTTTAAATAATTCTCTTTTCATTTCTTATTTATCACTTAATACAATCTAATGTATTGCATATTTTTTATCTCCCTCTATTATTGTTTTTAAATAAAATGCTTTTGGTATTTGAGCCTATTTGTACTATCTTTTCAAACTTGTTTTGATATATGTCTATATAATATTTTCTTGAGATTTCTCCACAACAAATATATAAATTCCATTCTAAATTGAACTATAATGAACTGAATTTGTTCCAAAATAATCTTTTCCCTCTTTTAAACTATCCATTGTTTATTTATGAGTCTTCACAGAAAATCGAACATCTCCTTGAAAACTCACATATCGTTCTTTGCTTGTATCTATTGGTAATGGATCACCACCAATTAATCCTATCATCTCAATATTAGCACAATTATAGATTTTAGCTTCAGGTCCAGCTGACATCTCTACTCCTACTACTGTGAGTACCAATAAAAACTATACAAAAGCCGTTTTAATTATAATCATTATTATATTATATTTTTGCCTGATTTCCAATCTCTTTTTGTTCCACTCAACATTATGCTCTTTATCGTTTAATCGCCCCTCTAATCTTTACCATAATCCCCTTTTATACAATTGCAATCCACTAAATCAACTCAGTTATGTTTAAATTTACTCTCCTGCCAACTATATACAAGATTACATTTATACTACTATGTTTTACATCAAGCCTAAAGTTATTTACAATATACTAACTTCACTTAATCATCAAAAAAATTATCCAAATCTAAAACCTAAATATCACTTTTTTATAATTTTAGATTTTCATAATCGAATTACTCCAAATATTATATTTCACTTCCTAACTAATGTCTTTGCAATCGAAATTCAATTATATAAAAACATTTTTACTCTTCGCTTATATTCCTCTGTTTTAGAGATAGTTCTTTTTACAGAATGAATAATTAATAAATTATTATCATTCTTCTTCTATCCATTATTAGACCATCTTGATTTTAGATATTTTTTATTACTTTTTTTGAGCAAACATGCTTTATTAGAGTTCAAATTTGGATTATAATAATATATATAATGACAAAAAATCAATTCTTTATTTTACTTTCTAGGTTAAAAAAATCCCTTGGAAAATGTTTATTATTCACTATTTTTATTTTTTCATGTTTGGCTGACGGTTTCAAAAATCTCTATCTTAAATCCTGTGTTGATAAACATAACAAATCTAACAGTTTCTCCTAACTTATTTTATTTATTGATATTATTATGGATTCTTTTGATTTCACTTTAGAATGGTCACTAAAACTCACTTTTTGCAAATTTATTAAAGACTTTTTTTTTGTAACAGCTTCTTTTACAAAACTCTTTTGCTTTTTTTAAATCTCTTCCAAATCACCTTCAGTTCTAATTATCCTATGCATTCCAAAGTTATTTTACATATTATAAAATTAATATATAATCATTTTAAAGCATTCATTTACTTTATCAAGTAATTTAGATTAAATGGAAAATTTGGACCTTAAAATCGAGTTTTTCTAGAATTTCTTTTTGGAACAATTATTTATCCAACTTCAAAATTAAATCTCTATATTGCAGATTTTTATCTCGTTTAAATTTATTTCATTTTTCTTTAAGGTGTAAAACTCGTTCTAGTTCTTTACACACCTACAAAATTATCAATTGGTTCAAAAAATTTCCTTTTCAAAATCGATATTGCTAATTTAGGTTCTTTACTCAAACTTTTAGGAGCAAGTGTATTTTATAGTTGATATAAGTCCATAATTAATATTATTGATATTAAATCAATAAATAATCAAAAGTAGAATAAATATCGTTTCTCTTATTCAAAGTATGTTTTTATTATTTGACCAAAAGTTAGAAACAGAAACACACTTTTTGAAAAATAAATTTTTAACAACTCAATATTTAAAAATAAAATAAACTATAAAGTTCAGAATTCCACAAATTATTAATTCTTATCTAAAAAAGAAACATAATTTCAGAAAAATACTTTAACTCCATCCAATATTTGCATATTTTCCCTTAATTAAGTTTGATCAATCATGTATATAATCCAATAAAAATTAATTTATCATTTTTATTCATAATTTTAAAAAATAAAATTAAAGAATTTTAAATAATTTTTTTTCTTATTTTCTCTAAATTTGCCTTTTTGTTTTAAATGCCATTTTAAATTAAATCCCAAATCATTAAAGGCAAATAATGTTAAATCAATTTTAAAATATTCAACATCTTTCAATTTTTGAGACTCTTTATTTTCTTTATATATTTTATAAATAAAGTATAATTTTATATTTATTTTGATTAAGAAATAATGAATGTCCTACTCAAAGGTATGAAATAATTAAGTTATCGTCCTTAATTTCATTATTGGCTTAAGACACATCCAACTACCAGAAGCATATCTTAATTGACTCCAAGATAATTATTAGACACAGCTTTGATTAAAAGAATCTGTCAAAAACAAATTCCAAAACACACAATAATGAGTCAATTTTGTCTTTGGCATGGAAAATAACCTAAATCAGGAAATTAGACTTGCTTTTCAGAAAAAAAGTGAGTATAATAATTGATAAATAGAACCCGTCGATCTTGGATGCCTAATGTTCAAAAATAAACATATGAATCTTTAATATTGGGAAGAAGAATACATGTAAAGGTAACTACAAAAACTATGAAATGTATTCGAAAAGCAGGCAGTTTTGATAATTATATTTTGCTGACTAAACCATAAGATTTAGATTCTATTTATGGTGAATATTTAAGGAAATTAATGCTCACTAAGGTAAATGATCCTACCTTTGAAGTATAATACTTTAATTTATATTTAGATTCCACATGTTTTAAAAGCTAAACCACACTAATTCTCTAGAAGAGCATAAAGATTTAGCAGAAGGCCTGCTGTTGTATGGCATCCTCCAGAAATTAGACATAAAGATCTAACTTTTTTAAAAATAAGAACACCTAATGAAATGAATCCTGAGGAATTAAGAAAATTAAGAGAATATGATTCTTTAAAGGATAAGGTATACATACCAAATTTCTTAGTTTGAAGATACAAATGATGTCTTACATCCTGTTTTGAATGACAAATTCTTTGAAGATGAAAAAGATTGGCCTGAATTTGCAAAAGTTGAAGGAGAAAAAGCATTAGCAGAATTTTTGAAGAAGAAAGATAAAGAAAAAATTAGATTAACATTAAAATCAGTTGAAGAAGGACAAAGAGAGGCTGATAAGGCTTTAGGGAATATTTGATTGTCAATTTGATATAGCAATTATAAATGAGAAATTAAAAAGCAATCTATTAGTAGAATTAATTTATTATTTTTTAAATATATAATTATTTNATGTATATAAATAAAGTATAATTTTATATTTATTTTGATTAAGAAATAATGAATGTCCTACTCAAAGGTATGAAATAATTAAGTTATCGTCCTTAATTTCATTATTGGCTTAAGACACATCCAACTACCAGAAGCATATCTTAATTGACTCCAAGATAATTATTAGACACAGCTTTGATTAAAAGAATCTGTCAAAAACAAATTCCAAAACACACAATAATGAGTCAATTTTGTCTTTGGCATGGAAAATAACCTAAATCAGGAAATTAGACTTGCTTTTCAGAAAAAAAGTGAGTATAATAATTGATAAATAGAACCCGTCGATCTTGGATGCCTAATGTTCAAAAATAAACATATGAATCTTTAATATTGGGAAGAAGAATACATGTAAAGGTAACTACAAAAACTATGAAATGTATTCGAAAAGCAGGCAGTTTTGATAATTATATTTTGCTGACTAAACCATAAGATTTAGATTCTATTTATGGTGAATATTTAAGGAAATTAATGCTCACTAAGGTAAATGATCCTACCTTTGAAGTATAATACTTTAATTTATATTTAGATTCCACATGTTTTAAAAGCTAAACCACACTAATTCTCTAGAAGAGCATAAAGATTTAGCAGAAGGCCTGCTGTTGTATGGCATCCTCCAGAAATTAGACATAAAGATCTAACTTTTTTAAAAATAAGAACACCTAATGAAATGAATCCTGAGGAATTAAGAAAATTAAGAGAATATGATTCTTTAAAGGATAAGGTATACATACCAAATTTCTTAGTTTGAAGATACAAATGATGTCTTACATCCTGTTTTGAATGACAAATTCTTTGAAGATGAAAAAGATTGGCCTGAATTTGCAAAAGTTGAAGGAGAAAAAGCATTAGCAGAATTTTTGAAGAAGAAAGATAAAGAAAAAATTAGATTAACATTAAAATCAGTTGAAGAAGGACAAAGAGAGGCTGATAAGGCTTTAGGGAATATTTGATTGTCAATTTGATATAGCAATTATAAATGAGAAATTAAAAAGCAATCTATTAGTAGAATTAATTTATTATTTTTTAAATATATAATTATTTAATTTATAAAGTTTTCAAAAAAAATTAAGATGAAATATTTTCTTCTTAATGTTTGTTTTTAATATCAAAAATAACATTTTTTAAGTTTAAAATTTTAAAGATTATTGATAATTTAATTGTTCAAGGTAAAACACAGAAATTTATAATTCCTTCTAAAAATTTCATGAAAGCTTTTGATAATAATAAATTAGATTATTTTATTTTTTATTATTTATCAGAACTCAATATTAGGTTCTAATTAAAACTTTCTCTCTGTAAACATAGACATATCTCTCATTCTTAAATTAACTTTTTTTGAGTTCATCTATATAGAATATGTTCTCCTTCTTGTTTCTATTGTATATCAATTAATACTGTTGCAAAAACTGTTATTTCCTGTATTGAGATTATAATATTTGTTTAGAATATTTTTTTACCATTCACTTTGATAAACAGAAAAGTCTTAAGTAATTTTAGGAGCTTATTTCAAATCTTAGTGTCCTTGATGAATAATCTCTTTAATTGATGATTTTTTTATAAATTTCTAAGGAAACTACTGAGAATCTAATTTGTTAGGCTAAGCTATAATCCTTGGTTGTTTATTGGTTATTTGCTAGTTCTATTGTATTTGCATGATATCAGTAATTGACACAGGTGTTTCTTCTTGTAAACAATAAGTAAGGGCCTTTTCTAACATAAAAATAAAAAATAAAAATTTACATAAATTTTTGGTATGTAAATTAATTTTAGAGGTAGAGAAAATATTCTAAAATCTTTTGATACCCAGAAAGTATTTCAATTCTGATGCTACCTTTAAATATTCCAATTATATTTTTTTAAATAAGCTTATTTTTTAATACTTATAAAATTTAATGTTTTAAATTTTAATCATTTTTACAAACTAAAAGAAAATATTCCAACTATTCTTATATAAGATTATAAATTCATAATTAATAATTATAATAGCAAACTTTATCTTTTGTTTTATTAATTTTAATAATAAATATCTGGATCTTCTAATTTAAAAAGTAAGAGGGAAGTTGATTTAATAATCACAAGTTTGAAATGATAAGTAAGCATTTCAAGTAATTATAATATAAATAAAAAAATATTGAGGGAATTATTAGTTGGGTTTAAAAAGAGGACTAAAATATTTTAAAATAGATGCAATAAAATCCTCTTGGAGAAGGTCTTTAAAAAATAGGGTAGTGATTAGAGATAAATTTAGATTAGATTATGATTATTTTATTGTTCTAAGTCATATAGAATATTAACGAGTAAATAATAATAGCGAAAAAATGAAAGCTTTTTAGAAATGAGTATATTTTAATAATCTTAAAAACAAAATTATTTATATATAATTTTAATAATAGGCAAATCAAATATGTCAAAATTATTTATATTTAAAATTAAAAATTCTTTTATTCTAGCAATTTTGAATGAAATTTACAAGTAATTCAATCATGTCTTGGTTCTCCAACCAAATAAAAGCTAAATCAGATATTACATTTTATAAATGAGGTGTCATTTAACAAACTTCATTAAAGTAATAGCATATTACAAAAAATTAATTTTAATTATTGAAAATTTTTTTTTAATTCAACAAACAAATTTATAAAGGATTTTGTATTATTGAATAGAATTCTAAGTTTAAATAATATAATTAACTATGTAATAATAATTCGAATGATTTTATTATTTTTAAAATGATTTTGTTAATAATCTTTTCTGATTGATAAAACTATGTAATAAAAAGTAGAATAAGTATCTTTGCTTAATCAAACTTGTAGTTTACACACTTCAGAATAGTTAAATTTAGTTTGTTTATCTGCTTCTTGTTTAAGTTAAGGATTTATTTGTAAGCTATGTAGAAAATTACATGAAAATCATAATGTTATTGCTGCTGAAGAATTTTTAGAGATCTTAAAAAGATTAGTTAATTATGATGGTAAATACAAAACTCCAAATCAAATAGATCCAATAATTGCTAGAACTACAGCAAGTTTAATGGCTATTATTGAAGAATTAGAAATATAAATTGAATATTTTAATGAGAAGTTAAATTAGATAAAGTCTTAATTTGAAAAATATAAATAAGTTTCAAATGATGTTTGTTTGTTAAACAATCTGATTTATTATGCATATGGAACAGATTCTTAATAAAGTTTATTTTAAGAACAATTATAAGGAGTTCTTAAAAGAATGTGCTTTCATTCTAAAAAATTATCTTTAATTTCAGTAGCTTCATGTCAATCTAATTTTTTATTTGTTCCTAATTAAAAATTGTATTAGAACTTTTTAGAACCAATCTTGAATTAATTGAAATAAATTAGACAATCTCTTGATACTAAAATGATGTAGCCAGAGTCATATAATGTTTTAAATCTTTAATTTAAAAATAGTTTAGACTTAATTCCTAATACATAATATAATCAAATTGTATTTGAATCAGAAACCTTAACTGAAGAAGATAAAATTTTTGAAAAGTTTATAATTGATAGACCAGATAATAATCCAATTAAGAAAATTAAAAAATATAAATAGGAATATAATCCAATAGAAGAACCTTGTAATTAAGGAATAGGAAGGGTTGAAAAAATATCAATTGTAGCAGGACATAAAATGTGGTATCATGATTTGGCTTTTGTTAGATTTAAACCTAGAAATTGGGTTGTAGAACCAAGACATGCTTGTATTATTTGTAAATGTCATCCAAAATTTGCTAGAATAAAAGAATTCTTAAATTGTAAATATGGAGATTTATATGGTCCTATTGAATTAGCATCGAATTTATTTGATGCATTTAAAAAGGCTGTTGCAAATAGAAAAGAGAAATAATATCTTGTTGAAAGAAGTGGTATATATTTTCATGATCTTTGTGTTTATTGGTCTTCTGAGGTTTAATGTGATGAAGTAGAAGGCAAAATAGATTTTCTATCTTTATGTAAAGCTGTTGGTAATTCTTATAATACATTTTGTTATTTATGTAAAAGAAGAGGCGCTACAATGAAATGTAATAATCCATAATGTGAAATTTGGATTCATTATTATTGTTGGAAAGAGTTAGATCCCTCTAATCAATATTTAGATAATAAAAGATTTAGAATGCTTTGCCCTTAACATGCTTTAGGCTAAGATTATAAACCAGAATGGCTTTATTCTAATTAAATTGCTCAAAGTATATCTAATTTTTATGCACAATCTAAATAAAAACCTTAAGACTAAATTAAAATTACTCATAAAGAACAATATGAAGAAGATAAATCAGATGCTGAACAATAAGTAATTAACTCATATAAATCTAAACCTATAATCAAAGAATAATCTATCAAATCAGAATAAAACTTTTTTATACCAGATCCTAATGAATAAGATTCCATTTTATGATATTTTATTAATAAATTTATTTTACATTATTAAAACATTAACACCTCCTAATTTCTATCTTTCAGACAGGTAATGCTTTTTATTATTTTTTATATTCACTTTTTTTATTTAAAAATACATATTTTTCACTGTATAAATTATTCGTTTTATTTCTTTAGAATGTTTATTAGAATATATAAACTATTAATAATAAAATAAATTTATTCCTTTAATGGACGATCATGGGGGAGATGAATAGGAAAATTTTATTCCTTAAAATGAATTTTATAATTATGAAGAACAAATTATGTAACCATAAATTGAAAATGCAGACTCTTATAGTTTTTGTTTATTAATTACTTGTGGTTTCAGTGCTCTGATTGGTGGTTATTTTTTATCTGGAATGCCTGGAGTTTATGGAAATTATTCAGATGAATGCAAAATCCTCATTTAAACACTCAAATATTACTCTTAATACTTAATTATAGATGGAACTGCTTAAATGTATTTATTCATTCTAATCATAAAGGATAGTTATTTGTATTATATCCTGTTGTTTGAAGCAATATAAAAAATACGATTTAAAGAAAGCAGTTGATAAGTAATTATTATTTTAATTTTTTGATTAATTGTTAATTTTTATCGTCATTATGGTAATAGAGACAATCATTAAGGATAAAAAAAGTTGTATAACTGTTGGAACCAATTTATTAATAGTTTTTTATCTGGTATTAGTTTACACTTTGACTTTTTTGTTATCTGTTCAGATTTGGAATTTATGAAAATATTTTACATGTCTAAGTTGTTTTATTCATTTATATAACATTTATTTATTAAAATATATTTATAATCTAATTCAAGAATGAGATTAAGATTTTCTTTGAGTTATTTCTTCTAAAAAATAATTACTTTTTCATAATTTAATATCATGCTTTAAAATAAATCAATAAATTAATGTCTGAATCTTCCTTAAGATTTAAATAGATTAATTTAAATTTAATTTTATTATATATTTTTTTTGGTTCTTTTAAAATTTGATCTCAGCAATAGCTTTTATTTTAAAAAATCATGACGAGCAGTTAAAAGCATTAATTCTAAAGAACCATTTTAAATTTAAGAGAATTGTGATTACAAATTTTAAATATATTATTGTATCACATTGATTAGAATAGCTAAGAGATACAATTTAAGCTTTTTTAAAAGCTTTTTCAAGTCAAGTTGATTAAGCTTTTTAATTTTTCTGTTTTATTATTCAAAAAAATGAAATTTAATTATATAGACCAAAATTTTTTTTAAATTGCAGGTTCTTAATACTTGATTAATGTCTTCTTATTCTATTTTCTATGGAGTTATATTTTGGCTAAAATTAAATAAATAAACAAAGAACAAATATGTGACAATCTTTTTAAAGCTATGTATAATATTAAGTAATTTGATATGGCCTGAATAGCTAATCCAAATTATTATTGAAAGAATTTGCTAATATTTCAGTCATATTTATAAATAATTCAATTTTGAATAATTATCTATTATAGGAATACTCAGGATACTAGGATTTTATCTTAAAAATAAGTTCCCTCTGAGTTAAACATTTAAATATTTCGATACAGCTCACCTAAAAAAATTAGAAAAGAAAGAAAATAGAACATAAATTATATATTATAAAATATATAATGATAATTTCACATTATAGTCTATCCACCGACTTATTCAATTACAACATCAATCTCATCTCCAGTTTCCATTCCAATCTAATATATAGAAAAAATAAATCTACGTCTGCTGGTGTTTAAGTCTCTAAAATTCTTTCTCCATCAAATAAAAATCTAACATTTTAGATTTGGAGCTAAATTAATCACTTCATATTACATTCTGCCTGGAACAATAGGCGTCCATTAGCTTCTTAAATTAAGTTTATTTTTTGATTTTAAAGAAAACCTCTTCACCATCTTGGGATTTGACTTTTAAGTTCAAATATTCAGCTTATGATTGATCTGCCATTTTTGTTTATTTAATTAATTTATTTAATAATTAATAGTTTTTTTTTATATTATTATATAAATAGATGAGAATTCTTATTTAAATAATATAGAAACATAAACAATAAGCAAAATTCATAATAACATGCTGTCTTCAATAAGATTTCGAATCGATCAATGTTTTTAAAATTGATTGAAGATTGTTAAATTATTTTCTTTCCGAAGAAACCTAACTTAATATAAATTTCTACTTCATCATTTTCTTTGATATGGAATTACTGAACATCACTATTTATTTCTTTTATTTATGAGAAAACCTCTTAAAAAACAATGCTGTTTACATTGTTTATGCATATAAAGGCTTCGAATAGTTGGAAATAACAATCTAGTATTAAAAATTGATATATACATTTAAAAGTTGAATTTATATTCTTAGTATTTATTATCCATATATTAAAAAGGTGATTCACACAATCTAATTTATAAGTATGTATTATTAAATCATGGTCCATAATTTAAGAACTCCAAGTTGATGAATCGTCATTTGTACTTTAAGTCATAGTTTCACAATTGTCTGCTAAAAATAATTTAAAAATGATATTACTGTATTCTAACATATTTTAAAGTCTTTTTGGACTTAATTCTAGATCATCAACCATTATTAAAATAAAATGAGATTTTTAATTTATCTAGGACAGTTGAGGCTGCTCTATGCAATCAAAATTAAATTCTGAATTCACTATGAAACCATCAAAGTATTCATCTTCTTAGTCTAAAGTTTTTTTCTTTTATTGTCTTTCTAACTTAACAATCTTCTAAAAAAAGTCTTATAAAATTATACATTTAAGTATTCTTCTTCTGAATTAGCATGCATACCTCCACTTCTAAATCTTCTTATACTCATCCTTCAATATTGTAATTTATTTCTTTTTATTTATTTATTTAAAAATACAAACATTAAATTCAATTATTAGTTACAATCTGATAAAGGACTTTCAAAAAAAATTAAAATCTAATTCTTAAATTTGATTTTAATTAATTTCAAATAATTCAGCTTTTATATCGAGCTCATTAAAACATTAATTGCATTCAACCTTATTATTTATATATATTTAAATCAAATACCTAATGAACTATTAAAAATTAATATTTAAAAAAGATAAGCAAATACAAATCTGTAAAGAGGGTCTCTAATGTTAATAATTGAATTTAAAATATAGACAAAAAGTATTTAACAAGACCCTTTCTTTATTTGTTTTTTAATTTATAATAATATAATTAATTTAAATTGTTAAAACAATCTAAAATATATATGCGAATATTAAATCATTCAAGGATAGAACAGTTATCTTAATAGTTTGAAATTTCTGATAATCTTCTGACTATTGACTTTTTAAAATGGATAAAATTTCATTTTGCTTGATTTTTCCTTTCAAAACAAGTTCGATTATTGTGGAACATTAGAATATTGAGTATTGACTTTGAAAATTGGCCTTGTTGATATATAAGCAAGGCAAGTTCTCATTTCTCATTTTTATTTAATTGAACAAGATACTACATTATATAAAAATAGTATAAAATTTTAAAGTAAAGAAGGAACGACAATAATATAGTATTATATAGTAAATTATATCAATTTGAAAGAAAGATTTCACTAAACATATTATAAATAATATCAATCAAGCTTATGTCTATCTCAACCTTCGATTTAGGATTGGGTTTCGGTATGGATTATACAAATCTTAAGATTGAGTTTTTTCTCTGATCAATGCTTCAATATCATTCTTTTCAGGTCCTTTATTAATGATTTAGGCAAAGGATCCTTATTGTATAACATTAATCGAACTCTTTGTTGTTGATTTACAAATTCCCATACTGTTTGGTTTATTTTTTATATTATTTTCAATAAATTTAAATTTGCAAATAAATAGGTCAGATTAGATATTTCTTAAACAATTAAGGATATCAAATATTATTTTGGTTGAATTAAGATATAATTTGTTTTAAATCAATTCATATATAATTTTCTTTACTAGATTGGCTTTTCGACATGCTTTAATTTAATGAAAAACTCGAATTAAGCAAACTTCTTTTTTAAGTTAATTCAAAGCCAGGCATTTCCATCTCTGATATTTATTCTTAAAGCTTCTTTTCTAATTTAGATATTTTAGCTTAATCTAATTGTTATTTTTATCTAGCTTATCTTTTCATATAATTGAGTAATGTGTCTTTTGAAGTTTTAATTGTGAACATTAATAAATCAAGAATGAACATAGATAACACAGACAATGCAAGACTTAAGTAAAAGGCATAGCTTGAAAATAACATTGTTGTAGTTCCATATATTGCAGATGATGGGATAACGTTTGATACCCACATATAGGCAAAATAAGTACCTAAACTTGTTCCTAAATAGGCAATCCATGTAATAATTGTCCAGAATTGAGTATTTAAAGCTAGTTTTAATGTGACAAGCTAATATTCAATCTAATAGATTACAATCATTATTGCGGTAGACATAGACATACTAAAAAACCATAAATCATTATTATATCCAGATTGCTTAATAAAGGTAGTATCGTTTAATTCAAAATAAAAAGAAAAGAAGCAAGCCAATCCTTAAAAAATCCCAATAGAAAACCATTTGAAGAATCTAAATATATTAGTTGTAACATACTTTTCACTTGTAAAAATAGTATTTTTTTGTCCAATATAATAAAGTAGTGGATAGCTCTGTCTGAGTATGTCATTTTCTTACTCTCCTTCTGTAATTCTTTTGCTACCTAATATTGTTTATTTTCTTTTTTGAGTATAGAAAACATCTTCATCAAAGATAGCTCTAATGACCACTGGTAAAAATGTGAATACTGTATTATAAAATGAGACAAAGCTAAATTATAAGATATAATATATTACAATTCATCAAAAACACTAGTCCCTGTAAGTTCGCAAAAGAAAGCAAAATAGAATTAAGGAATGGTGAATATGATATTTTTGTAAAAGAAGTATAAAATCATTTCAGAGATACGAATATAATTTTATCTTCCATGATATAAGATTAATTTCCAAAGGCATTTAAATTAACCAATAGCATAATTACTAGCTTGAACAGCTCTCATACCTTCCTGACCATAAATTCCAATTCCAATATGAGCTTCTTAGATCATATTGACATCATTGGCACCATCACCGACAGCCAGAGTAATCTTTCCTAATTCATTCTTAACTAGTCTAACCATATCAGCTTTTTACTTTGGTGTAACACGACAACAAATAACAGTGTGAAGATAAGGAGCTAACAACACCAAGTATTTAGTTAAATTTTTATTATCATTTAAAGCAGCTAAAACAATACCTTCGATGATCATTGCTCTTTTAGTACTAGGCTTTTAAATAATATGATCAGCAATTTAATTAAATATTGACAGTGTGTCACAACCAGGAGTTAAAAAAAAAATATCCATTTATTCTTGTAATAGATTGCATGATCTACCAATATTTTCAGCTGTTTCTAATTTATCTCCTGTCAACATCCAAACATTAATATTAGCTTTTAAAAAATCTGCTAATGTTTCAGGAACATCTTCTTGTAATTTATCTTCAACAGCTGTAGCACCTATAAGTGTTAAATTCGTTTCCATTTAATTGATTAATTCTGTTTACTGTTTTTCTATTTCATTTCCTCCTAAGGTATCATTCATAGCTTTTGAGAATTAATTAAATTGTTCTTCATCCAGAACTTTCATAGCCAAACATAAAGTTCTCAACCCTTTTCTGGAGAACATATCTAATTTCTTATCGATTCCAGCTAAAAACTGTTAATTCGGTGCTAGTCTTTCTTTAATAATTGCATCAGCACCTTTTGTATACAATTTAATCACCCCATTATGTCTAATGATAACAGACATTCTTTTTCTATCACTATTAAATTCGAAAGAGAATAAAAGTTCAACATTTTCAACTACCCCAAGAACATCTATTTCCATCACACCCATTTTAATTCCTTTGTAAATTATATTTAATCTCCTAGCAGCATCTACTAATGCTATTTCATCTGGAGAAGGTCCTTGATAATTAAAGGTACCATCCTCCTATAATTCAAGTACACATTCATGACAAGTTGCTAGCAACATTAAATTCTCTTTTACTAAATCTCCTTGATTTCTAATTAAATATTTATCCACTTGAAGTTCAATATTTGGATTTTTATTAGGATCTGTTTCTGTAATGATTGATTGTATGACTGCTCCAGAGAAAGTATATTCAATTCCTGCTTTTTCATTTACTACTGTTGATCTTCTTTAATGTAAAGTGCTTTATCTTCTTAATATTTAGTTTCCTACAAAAGTGCTAATCTCTTATTTGTCGAACATTGAAACATCTCCATAGGTCTCATTTCCACAAACAGATATCTTAAATTCCATCTTGTTGCAAGTTAAAGTTCCTGTTTTATCAGAAAACACATATTACACCTATCCTAATTCCTCGTTGATTGTGGTACTAAAAACTTTAACGTACTTATCATTTTCAGCTGTATACATTTCTTTATCTTTTTACATAAATATTCCCTAACCTACTTTTACAAATTCTAAGGACACTATCAAACTTATTGGAATTAAAGTATTTAAAAGAAGAAAATATGCAGCAAAAGTCATCAATGAGGCTAAAGCACAATTTGGAATTTCAGTTTCATAAGTATTCTCATCTGTTAAACTAAGCTAATATCCAGAGAAATTTGTTCTAAAATATTTGAAGTTAATGCTATTAATATCGCAATTTATGCCATATATAATTGCTAAAATTGAACAAACAAATGCTTGCATTAGTAAGATGTAGATGATTCTAACATTTATTAACCTATCAATATTACTCATCTTATTCTTTTGTTCCTCAGAATTTCTCATTACTTTTGTATCTGTTCCAGTATACACAACCACACCTATAGCCCATTTAACATTTTTCAATTTTGATCCTCTCAATAAAAAGTTCTTATGTGTTATTTGAATCTTTTTGCTCTCTAAAAATAATGTTCCATCGAAATTATAGAGTAAAGGATTTGGATTTATACATTCAATCATTCCTTATCTGCATTCCATAGTTTAGGTTTCTTTAACTGCTTATTTAGGTTTTAAATTCTTCTCTCCATCCAAAGAAGACGTTTCTATAAAGCATATTCCATCTTGAGATGTCTATAAAACAACCACATCAGCAGAAATTATTTCCATTTCATCAATTTTTATTATGTCTCCAATTAAGACGTCTTTCCAAGTTTTTTTGATAAATCCACCAACAGTCCATATTGTTGTTGGAGATGAATTCAATTCATTATCACTAAGATGTTTTTAATAATCTTCATATCCATCTCTTAACATAGATAAACACACCACAAAAAGCAAGGGTGCTATTGAATTCATTGGACTAAAAGGAGAAATGGATTTAAAAAATGACAATATGGCTATGATAAGAAAATAAATGTTCGCCATTCTCTAGAATTGTAATGCTAATGAATATGGGAGGAAGGTTAGGATATTATACCTCAATAAAGCACTATTGGATACCTGCTTGTTCTAATAAAGTTTGTTGGATAATGGTACTATTTATTTTACTATTGCTGCTCTGTCCCAAAATAAAGTTTACGTTCCATTCTTTAATTATTAAAATTATTCCATATAAAGAAATTCTTAAAGGTTGAATCCAGTTACATTTATTCATTTATAACAGAAATATTAAATAATCTATATTTCTGCATTTTGTACGCTTAGAGAATTTATTTGATAAATTCATAATAAGTTTGGATGCTTATAAATAAAATAAAAAAGTTAATGATGCTATTTTTTTTAAAATAGTAATAGTGTGCAATAATTTTAAAAAATTTTGGATTCAAACAACATGTTATGCAAATTATGGATCAAAAGCAATTTATTATTTTAATATGGCAGCAATTAATCTGCATAACAATAATATGAATTAGGCTTGGAATTCTATTTAAACTATGATGAATAGTTGTGAAATCAATATTAATTCAAATGACGTAACTATTCCAATACCTATTTAAAATTTATTAAAATGGTATTATTTGAAAGTGGAAAATATTACAATTCATATTGAGATCATCTACAATTTAATAGTACTTTAATTAAGAGGAGAAGATTATTATTATTAACAGGGCAGATGGAAAAAAATTAATAATTAATATATTCTTTATTTAATCCATAATTTTAATTAATTTATTAATATTTTATAAATATTTTGTGTTATTTCTTAAATAATTTTTTAGTTTCTAAATTTCAATTATAGATATCCTTACTTAATTTGAATTATATAAAGTTTCCACTTGAAGATGATTATAAACTTAATCTCTGCTTTTAAAGCATAAAGGACAATAATTGAATTACAAAAGAGGTTTAAGGGTAATCTTGTCTGCTAAACTTAAATGAGAAAATTTTATGGAGGAGAAACCTTGTTATAATTTATCAATAAATTATTCAAGTTAATGATCAATATTTCCATGAGATGGGCTCTAATATAAGTTACTTAGAGTTATTTTTATTTTTTTTCACTGCATTGCTTTTGTTATCCTAAGATAAAGTTTTGAAAATTAATGCTAGATTTTAATCTGAAGTAGAATTATCCTATAGTTTCGATTAGTTCAGATAGAATAAGAATATTAAGAAATAGTTATAAATCATCGAAGATAAATCAAGTATGATTATGAACAAACAAGCATATAAATTAAAAAAAAAATATTGATATCATTCTTAAAGGATTGAAATGGTTATTAGATGATGGTTATATGAGAGGAAGCCATGATGAAATTTCTATCAATCCTAAAAAGAAAGGAGATCCTACATTTATTGAATTTGACATCATTCTTGATGAAACCACTTTTAATAAATATGTGGCAACATTTACTCCAGAACGAAGAGTTAAAAAAATAATGGAATGCCTCCTCCAATTGCAACATTATTCATCATATATAATTTTATCTTCTTACTTTTTATATCAATTATATTCTCACATGGTGTATCACTCCATCTATATCTTTCAATTCTGATAAATTATAAAGCTATCTAAGCAAAACAGAAGGATCTGGGTAAATAGATTGAATATTAGTAGTTTTGAGTAGAATTTGCATTCATTTGTTAGAAAATGAGTGTATCTTAAGGCTGCTAAAAATTGATATCAAAATAATTATATTATCTAAATATATTCTTCAATATTAAAACTTTCATTAAATTACAAAACATGAAGTTAAATATAAATTTTGGCAATAATAGGCAACATCATAAACCATTTCAACAAAGGCCGTAAAATTCCTGAATTAAGTGGAATATCCACTATCCTCTTGAGAAGCAAATAATTAAAATTTTTTTTATTATTCTACACTTAAGTCTTAAAGACATTTAAAACATATGTTCAACATATCCAATAAAGAATTTTTAACTAACAGGATCTTTTTGTATGATAATAAATGGCTTGTTTGTTTTACACTTTTTGTAAACATTTGATTCTTATTATTACATAAATAAATATTAAAAATGAAGGGAAAAAAAATGTTGGATGATGATGAAGAATTTTTAAGATCAAAATCATAGATAGTAAGAAGATCAATAAAATTAAATAGGATGTATTTCCAAAATGGTAAGAATTAAAACCATTGGGTAAAAATATTCATAGACGATCATATCATTCATGTGTAACTCATGAGAATTAGTAAATATAAATAGAGATATTAAGTCTTTATGTCTATGGAGGATATGAAACTAATGAAGGAATTTTGAGTGATTTCTGTAGAATTCCATCACCTGTTTCACCAAAGCCTTTTTGTTGGACAAGTTTGACTAAGAAGGCTCCAGGAGATAAACCATAAGAATAGATTCCAGGGCCATTAAGAAATCACACAGCAATAGTTCATTAAAATAAAATGTACATCTTTGGAGGAAAAGAAAATTTGATGTCTCCAACAGCAAGATTATGGATTTATGATTTTTAAGATGAAGTTTTTATTGAGGGAAAAGAATGTATAATAGAAGGTAAGAAGATGGCAGTAGAAGGTCATTAAAGTTGTTTATGGAGCGAATAGGTAGGAGTACAAAATAATATATTAGTAATAAATGATTGTGTTTGGAGGATTCTATAATGAAATTGGATATAGATCATCAATATTATAATATGATTTATAAAAGGAAGTTTGGACAATGATATTTAAGGGGGATAACAATCATGCTTAATTTCCAAAAGGAAGAGCAGAAGCAGGAGTTACATTAATAGGAAATACATTGTATGTTTATGGAGGATGTAATTATGAATCAAGGTTTGGAGATTTTTGGAAATTTGATTTGGAAAGTAAATAGTGGGGATTAATTGTCACAGAAAAATCTCCAGGAGTATTTTTTTAAATTAATAAAAAAATAGACAAGATCTTCTACTTCTTTATTAATTCATCCTTAAGGAATTATGTTATTTGGAGGAATTCATGATATAACACATGAGAAGAATGATTTATGGTTGTATAGAGGGAATGAATGGATTTAGTTGGAAGAAGATACTAGTAGAAGATAAGTAGCAGAAGAAATGTTAAATGATTCTGCTTTTGATAAAGCTAGCTAAGCAAGACCATAAAAGAAAGAGAAAGGGAGAAATGAACCGAGATCATTTTTATTATTAGATGACGAACCAAAGAATTCTCTTCATTAAAGAAGAAATTCTGTTAAAAATCTTGATTAAAAATAACCTACTGATACTGTTAATAATTTCTAATTAAATACTATGGATGAATAGAAGAAGAAAAGATTACTTTAAAAGAAAAACTAAATGCTGTATCAATATTATATTTATATTATTAAGAGCTGAATTTGAATTAAATGAAGAAGAGAAATCAAAATATAGGAGTTCGTCACCAACAACAGATTAAATTAAGAATTCGATTAGTGTTATAACTAATTAAGAAAAATAAGGAGGACAAAGAAAGATTTAATCACCAACAGGAAAAAAGAATGCAATTTAAGCATCACTAAATGGAAAAAAACCATGTGCTAGAGATGGACATAGTGCTATTGTAATGGGTGAAATAATGGTTGTTTTTGGTGGAGATAGAAATTTGATGTCTTTTAATGACATCTATATGTACTCGCTCAATTAAAAATGATAATCTTAAATTGTTATGAATAACTTAATATTCATTATATAAGTACGTATTAAATATATTATTATGTTAAAAATTATTAAATACTTTGGTACCATTAAACATTTCAAGTTGCCTGATTTAGGAGAAAGTAAAACCATCAATAATTGCTAGAGATTAAGGAAGCTACTATTGTTAAATGGCATGTTAGAGAGGGAGATAAAATTTCTGAAGTATATTATATCTTCTCAGATAGTTTGATCCTGTTGCAGATGTGTCCACTGATAAAATGTTCACTTAAATACCTAGTAGTTTTACTGGAGTTATTCATAAGAGATATCATAAAGAATAAGATTAATGTTAAGTTGGAGAATTGTTTGTAGATATAGATGTGGAAGAAATATAATCTAATCCAAATCAAACAACTTAAACTATTCAATTATCATCATAAATTACTTAAACTTAAACAAAATTCATTCCTCATTAAGTTCAAAAAGAATCATCTCTTTAAAGAATTTCACCATCTGCTAAATATTTGGCTTAATTACACAATATTGATATTAAAAATGTTAAAGGAACTGGTATCTATGGAACAATCACTAAAGATGATATAACTAATTATCAAAGTCATCCTAAACCATAGACAAATAATTCAATTTAGAAATCATTAATCATAAAAATGACAGATTTCCAAAAAGGCATGCAAAAATCAATGACTGAATCAAATTAAATTCCACATTTGTATTTGCAAGAAGAAATTGATATCACATCTTTGGTATAACTGTGATGTTAACTTATAGAGTTCTTTTAGAGAAGAATTAAAGAAATAATCAAATATAACTTTTATGACACTCTTTATTAAATCTTTCTCACTTGCATTAAATCAATTCCCAATATTAAATTCAACTTATGATTGCAGTGCACCATTTTAATTTGTTACTCATCAAGATCATAATATTTCTATTGCAATGGATTCACCAAAAGGATTAGTAGTGCCAAATATCAAATAAGTTCAAAATCTTTCCATTTTAGAAGTTCAATAATAACTAAATAAGTAACAATTCTCATTAAAATTCATAGATTAAGAAAGTTAGGAGATGAAAGTAAATTAGGACCAAATGAATTAAATAATGGAACTATTTGTATTAGTAATATAGGAACCATCGCAGGTACATATGTTGGACCTCTAATTTTGCCTCCTTAAGTATGTATCGTAGGAATTGGAAGAGTTATTTTATAACCAAGATTTATAGGAGGATCATATTAACCCAGAAAGATCGTATATTTCTATAATTAAATTCTAGATCTATACTAGTTTTGGTTGCGATCATAGAATTTTAGATGGTGCTACAATTGCTAGATTCTAGAATACTTGGAAACAGTATCTAGAATAACCTGAATACATGATGGTTAAGTTAAAATGAACAATTAGTATAATATAAATGTATGTCATTTTATTTATCTAAATCTACAAGTTATTGGAACAGATTTTGGTGTAATTATAATCTATGCTCTCTCTCCTTTATATATTATTGATCTCTCATTTCTGCTTTATGGTCTATTTGATTGAGAATAAAAAGTTTATTTCATTTAAATTTTATCTGATTTTTTGAATTTTGCAGATTACATTCGAATTCCATTTTACTAACTCAAAATAGATGTGATGGTGTGCTATTTGTTTGAGAATATTTTTGATTTAGAAATTTAAAACATTCCTTAAGATTGAACTTCTACTTAATTTTATTGAAATTCTGGATCCATCCTTTCAAAGATATTATTATAGCATTTAGTACAATCAATTGTTACATTCGTCTATTATTATTGATTTCTCATTTTAATTTTGTTATAACCCTCCTGCTATCTTAGTTATTGAAATTCATTTTTTTCAGTTTTTATACAACTTTTTTTTTATTAGTTTTTTTATTAATTAGAAATTTACTTATGTTCAAAATTATTAGATTCAAGAGATTCCTCTAAATATCGAATATCTCCTTTATTATTAAGTAAATCAGGATTATTTGATTTTAAATTATTTGAATCTTGTGCTTATTCTAAGATTATTTAATTAATTTTTATTTCTTCTTCTTCTTCTTCTTCATCTTCTAGTTTTTATTTTTCTTATTCAAACTACTCTTATCTAAATTATTTTTCTGCTTATTCTAATTCTAATTCAAACAGTTAATTATCATATTCAGGTTAAATTAATTATTCTTCTTTTTTTAGTAGATAGTTATTTAATTCATTAACTGCTTCTTATAGTGGCTTATTAATATCATAGATATCAGTCTATGTGAATGCATTAACATCTAGATTTGAATACATCTTTTTATACATTATTTATCTTTTTGCTAATTGCTATACTAATTCATGTAGCATATCATAATCCTATGCTTTTAAAGATGATACCTTTTGTTCAAATAATTTCAAGTGTTAATCAGATTTATCTAAAAAGTATTTAGAATTTTTCAAATTTATTTCAAAATAATTTAACCCAACTCTGTTTTTTATAAATTTGAAAATTTTGGTAAAATAGTCAACTATATTTTCTAATTATACCTTATTCTATTGAGTTGCTATTCTAGTTGAGAATTACATGTCGAAATTAAACTTTAAACTAGTATAATTAGATTTTAAGGTTTGCAATTCACCTTAGCATTTTAACATTTCGATTTAAGTTTCTAATAAGTTTTCATTCTAAATTTTCAATTCTTTTTTTAAATTACTTACTCTATTATCTTATAATCCAAAAATATTTGTTGATTTGCAAGATCTGTCATTTGATAATGCTCTTCTTGTATTCTTTTAATTTAATAATTTTTTTATCTTTGCTAAGTAAATCCATTTATATAAAGCAAGTCCTTTAATACATTTTTTAAATAAATTTACTTGCAATTAAATCGAATGGTTCTTGCCAAATTGATCTTTGGTTTTATCTATATAATGAATTTTAAATCTTTTTTTCTCTATCTAATAAATTTTATATCTGTTTGTCTCTATCTAATGAATTTTTTCTTTGGTTTTCTCTCTCTTCTGAAATAAAAATATATTAATTTACCAGTATTATATTCAATTTCAAAATGGTATCCTTCACCTCCTAGATTTTATTTTATGAAATTTTTGACTTTTAAGATATCTATTTATCTTTATTGTTCTTAATCTGATAAGAGCTACTTTAATTCATCAATCTCCTTCTATTTCATATTCAACTCCCTTGTCATTTGTTCGGTGAATTTTAATTATTACTCTAATTAATAAATATATAAGTACCTTCTAATTGAACTTTAAATTCTTTAAAAATTCTACCAGAAGCTTAACTATCATTAATACATCTATCAATTAAAATATAATCAATTCCATAACCTTATTTTCTTTTTTCAAAAATTTCAAATATTTGTTCTATTCCTATAACTTCTTATATACCTTTCCAAAATCTATATAAATCACCGTCTATTTATAAAATAGCTCCGATTTAAGATTCAATTTCTGCACCTCCAACAATTTTTTTGATTCGTTGCTTTAATTTTTCAATTTCGGAGAGATACTTTGAATTTGATTAAGTTAATTTTTAAATTTGTAGTCTAAATTATTGGGTAACATCTAAAATTTTTGTGTAGATAAATTATCTAATAATTGGATCTAATGTATTTGTATAATCATAGTAAGAGGCATCAAAGATTTCTTCATTTGGGAATAAATCTTTTCTAACGAACATCTCCCTTAAATGTTGTACATCTTTTAAATATCCAATAGTCATTTTTTTAATTAATTCATCTCTCATTCTAACTTTTTCATCAATAGGTAATATGGGTTCTTTTATAACTGGAGTATTCGTTTATTTCAATTTGGTAGAAGATGGTAGAACTATTTGCTAGACTTCGTCATCACTACTTATGAATCCCTCTTGATTATAAGGTCCGTCCTTAAATATACATTTAATTGGTGGAGACACCTCTTTTATAAGCAAAATTAATTTACTAATGAAATAATCATGAAGGTTGATTAAGACTTAATCCATTCGTTTTATACATGCATTTAAAATCAGTAATTCTTAATTCTTCTTTACTTCAAATAATGAGCATAACAATTATGCAAGAAATGATTGGATTTGGAATAAAGCATCTTCGTAGTTTCCTTTAAATTGAAGCATCTACTAAACAAAATTATGAATTATTGACATATATTAATTAAAATGAATATTAAACTCCTGATTATGTTAATCGTTTTGCTTTTTAATGGTGGTAAGCAATTAGTGTTCAAACCATAGTTCTTACTAGCAAAGTAAAAGAATGCTAAGCCAAATGTGATTCATAAATTAATATCTGTGTTTATACATGTGCATAATCTCAACTGAGATAATCATTAGAAAGTTAATCCAAATGCAAAAAAATGTGTGATGTGGTAAACAAAGAATGTAAGACTTCCAAATGTTACTTGGAAAGTTGATTGATAAAAGAAATGAGATATCAATATGATTTAAATAATACCAATATAACTTTCTCAATTCAAATCCTATTTAAAAAATTTCAGTAATCTCCTAAAAATACTTAAACTGAGAAGTGGTTTATAATTTATAAACCTCATATCAACTTTTTTATTATCCAATTAAACAAAATCAAATTCTTTATATTCTAATATGAAAACCCAATTAGATTAACATTAACCAACTCAACTTAAATAACACTATTTAAAAATATTCAAACTCTCTTTAATAACCATTTACTAATTTCATTTTCGTAAGCATTTTTTTATTAAAATCATATATATCAAACTACCTATAAATCTCCATAAGTACATCACTCTTATTGGAACCAAAAAATATGTACTTTGATTAAAATTGGTAAAAATTCAGAACTTTCTAAAAACCATTAATTTTCAAAATGAATCATCTTAGTTAAAAATAAAATTTTATTCAGATGTAGGTTTATTTCTATTCATATATTGAAATTCATATGTTATATAAATATATTATATATTCAAAATTTTTGATTAGTGAAATATATACAATTCAACAATCCCATAAAATTGTGTTCTTTATCATTTCTGTTTATTTCTAAACTTTTCTTTCGCAAAGCTTGAATAAATCATATTCTAATGCTTATTTGCAACTCAAACGATTCTTTGGATTTAATTCTAAAAGTTAGTTCATTAAATTAATAAGTTATGTATCACCATTAATTTTTTAACCAAATTTTGGAAGTTTTCCAAACATTAATTCATGTAGTAGAACTCCAATACTGTAACAATCAACTTTATTAGTATATTTCAAATTTTCAACAATTTCTGGAGCCATATAACCAGGAGTTCCACAATATTAATTTGTTTCAACAGCCTTTACACAAATTCCTAAATCTGCTAATTTCACTATTCCATTTTAAAATAAAATATTTTCTGGTTTAATATCTCTATGAATAATTCCATTCTAATGCAAATAACTAACTCCTTACAAAACTTAATAAATTATATCAATTATTTATTTTTCAGATAACTTTTTTTCTTTCCTATAATTAAATAATGTTATCTCTCCTAATTCCAATACTAATGCAATCTTTGATAACTATTTTTTATACTTATTTATCATCATTTATAATTCCATAACACTTTAAGATATTTTAATGCCTTATAAAACTTTAAATTGCAATTTCAGTTTTTATCAATCCCTAAATACCTTTACTAGTGATTAATGACTTTTATATAGTCTTAAGAGCAGCTATCATTCCAGTTGTTGTGTCACTAACCAAAATTTAAATTTAATTTTTACATTACAGAATAAACATCACTTATGTTGCCTCTTCCTAAATATTTGATCTTTTTAAATCTATTTAATGGAGATTTATAATTTTTAGACATCTACATATAACTAAGTTATTTCTCGTGACTAGAACTTCTTAATGGAGTTGTTTAACTGGTTGTAGTTGATTCTCTACTATCTTGAGAAAAATTATTAATATTTCGAATGGGTTTAGGTATTTCAATTCTTATTTTAGACTCTTTTATGCTTTCCTACTTATTTTTAATCTTTATTGGTAATGGATTAGATCTTTTTGAAGTTGTGATCAATTATTTTATTTCTTATATTTTTTCTCTATTTTTTTCCAAATTACTTTCATACTGAATACATATTTTTGGTTGGGTGTTTTGATTTTCATGCCTTTTAATATCATTATAAAGTGATTATGTTCCACCTAATTTATTTTGGAAATTTGAGAAATCTGATGATTAATGATGATTTCGAATGTATGAACTAATATTTCTTAATAATCTATCTATACCAACTTTTTTTATAAGATTATCGACAAGACATGCTACTATTCTAAATTATTTGCCATTATATCTCCATCTGACTTCAATAACTAAAATTAATTAATTTTATTTTTGTCAATATTTAGACTCTTACTAAACTGTTTTATATATCACACAGAATAAGAGCAATTTTAAAATCTGAAATATGGACTAAAATTACAAATAAAGATCACATTAAAAAAAAACAAACATTATTTAGTTTTTATTATAGTTTTGGATGAATTATCGAATTATTACTTTGAATAAAACTTAAATTATATTTTTATCTAAAAATCACATAAAATGATTAATTAAAAGTAAACAGCATATTTTCTGAAGAAATCTGAAGAATCATATATATATATACTTACTAGATTCCAAATATAATTTCCTTAATTCTAATCTGAATGTTAAAGTATTTTACACTGTAAGAATTAGAAAATACTTATTAAATTAATGATCTGGAATATAAGTATTTAGATTATAAGATAATTTTCTTTTTATTATTCTTATTGATTTAATGTAGTAATTATTCATACCAACCTTTTATTATATTATTACTAATCAATTAAGATAAAAATAATAAAAAATAATTATATTTAATATTATAATATAATTATTTTTTATTTTATAATTTTTCTCATTTTTATGTTAAGTAATAAAAGATTAGTCTAACGATTCTTTTTTTTTTATTTTTATTTATTTAAAATAGAATTCCTTAGTTCAATTATGAGTCCATTAGTTTTATAAAAAGTAGTTCTTAATTTCATTATTTACAAAGTTATTAAAAATGAATTTGATATTACTTTAAGTAGATTAAATTCTATAAAATATTTTCTGTTATGAGAGCCCTATACCTAGAAAGTAATATAATTCTGAAAAGATTTGTGTGATGCTTCCAGTTTTTCTCCTAATTATCCTAAATAATAATAAATATATTAAATATTTTAAAAAGATGCAATTTTTGGTAAAATCTTCAGGACGATTGGGATTCTTTGGATTTGCAACAGCAACTGGTACTCATAAAGATATTGCTGGAAAGAATTTCTTAAAATTCTAAAGCAAATATGCAGAATATGTCACTTAATTCAATCAAAAGCTGTAAGAACATAATTATTAATGATATAGTGAAGCAATAGAGAAAGATAATAAGGCACCAAATGTTGCACCTTAAGGTAAAGCATTCGAACATCCTTATAACAATCCACATAATCCAGTCACTTTTAGTGGTGTATGTGTATAATATAATTTTATAGATTAAATCATCTGAATTGTTTTACAACTTTATTGGACCAGAATAAGTGTCTCCACATTATGAAAATTTCTTAGTTGCTAGAAAATATCTACTTCTTACATATGGAGGATTAATTGTTATTGGATTTGCAGCAGGCACTACTAATCTTCATTGGATTGCTAAATCATCATTTTTGCCATTCTTATTTTGGATGCAAATCATGTACTTTTACTTAGAAGGTCGTAAATCTTTTATGAAACCATTACTTGCTAGATTTTATAGAAGAGTAGCTGGAAATGAATGTTTCTAATTAGATTAATATTATCATGAGAATATGCAACTTAAAATTCGTACACTTCTTGAAGCAGCTAAAGGATAAATTGAATATGGATAATTACATAAAGAATTTAGAGATGTTAAAGCAGAATTAATCAATACTGTAAATTATAATCAATATTATTAAGTTTCTTTTAAATGAATAATTAAATCTATAAAGACATGTTGTTGAGAGATCTCAAACTATTCTTAAGTCTGTGTAATAAGCTGAATAAGTAATTTATTATAATATTATCAAATTAGATTAATCAAAATAGACTTTTATAAGATATTATAGAAGCTGCTTAAAAGTCTCTAGAGACCAACTTAAAAAATAATCTACCAGAAATCTAAAAAGCATTATTTAAATCTGCTCTAAAAGGATTAGCTTAAGGGAAAATGACTTATGAAAACGATCCTTTAATCGAAATGATACTTAAAACAATTAAAGAGCATGTTAGTAAAATATAAAATCTATCACCTGCTGAGTAATATATTTATAAATATTTTATAGATAAAAGAAATTGATTTCACTTAGTAAAGATTAATTGGCAGCTATTTAAGCAAACGATAAAAAGTAATTATAATCTATATATTCACTTAGAGCAAAGGAAGATTTCTTGAGAGCTGAACCAAAGATTGATTAAACCTTAAAAAACTATGAAAATGTGAAGAGATAACTTGCTTCATGGGGATAATGAAAGTGAGTAATTTAATCATGAAATCAGAATAAATATATAATTATTTAAAAAACTTACAAATCAGATTCTCTTATCTAAGTTGTGTCTAATCATATTTTATTTCAGTATATTTTAACATATAAATAGATGTCAATGTATTATAAAATCAGAATTAAGTTCATCTACTTACTTTGATAAATCCTCAATCTAAACCTCCATTTCCTTATTTATTTGATCAAGCTATACTAGTTCATTTTTATAAATTTCTTCTAAGTCTGAGTATTTCTAAATTAGAATATAATCAAAATACTTTTTTCATATGTATAAATTAACATATTAAATTGAAATTCTAATATTTTTCATCTAATTTATTTCTCAATTCTAAATGCTAATTATCAACATTCGCAATAGATTCTTAAATTTTTATGCAAATCTCAAAAATTTCTTAGCTAATTTCTTTTAATTTTTATTTTAAATTTCCTTGGATATTTTTTTCAGCTAATTTCTCTTTTAAAATCTATATTTAATCAGCTTCAATATCTTTAAACTAATTATTATCAATTTCAATACTTAATAAAATTTTCCAAATGAATAATAATCATCAACATGTTTTTTAACTTTCTCTAAATCAGGTGCTGAGAAACTTTTTGGGCTATTAAATTATTTATAATAATAAGGAGGAGGAACAAACATTAAATTCCTATTTTTTATAAATTATTTCTAATTTTTTAGTAAATAATTTTTGTTAATAATTGCATAATCATTCAAAGAAAGTATTTATTGCAATACAAATTTATATCTTACATGAAAACAAATAATCAAGATTACTCTTGTATCATAGATGATATGAAAAAAATTATTAAGACCAATGATAAAGAGCATATTCTTTCTTATATGAAATAAGGCATATAATAAAAATAAATCAATTGATAATACATTAAAATTTTTTAAGGTATTTAAATATGAAAATAGATAGAACTTTTAAATGTTAAATAAAATTTTTAACTTAAATAAAGATAATACAAGGTATTTGCTTAATAATTTCAAAGTGCAATTATTTAATCGCTTGAATGTCAAATATGTGATATGAATATATAACCTTAACAATATCCTAATTGTTTACATTACCTTATATTTAAAATTAGCAGATTTTTCATAAGCCAAAATTTTATTGTAAGGAATGGATACTATTAATAATTTTAAATATTGAACTCCAAAATTGTTGCTTTGAGCATCAAAAAATAACTATTCAATTAAACATTGAATGTACATCAGAAGAACCTATGGCTAAAATAATAAAGATTTTTAGTGTCTCAAAAAAATAAGAATTATAATAATGAAAAGTTTATTTGAGGATATCATAATGTGACAAATTAATAAAAAGGAATGGGAGGTTAATGAGACAATATATTTTATTAAATAATTCATAAAATAAACCATAAACTATACGGCTAAACTATATTTAAATCAATCATATTTTAGGTTAAGTTCTTTTAAATGGAAAAGAATACCAAATAAAAAATTATAAGTCCATTAAATTGAAAAAATTAAGACTAGATTGAAAAGTTATTATGTTTTTTAATAGTATTTAAATTGAAAAATAATGAAGAAAACAATCAAGTTAATCGAATTCTACATTCTGAAATAATTTACATTTTATTGAGATGAATTGATAAGTTTGAAAGCAATTTTTTTAGATTTTCTACGATTTGCATCAACGCTTTGAATCTGTATTTCACAATATATTTAAATATAATAATGTAATCTGCTAATACCCAAACATATGCTTTAAAAAATATTTTTAATGATATAATAACATTGAGATCAAGAGGAACATCAATGTAGAGATTTCAAGAGAATAATAATGTTTAATTGCTATTTACAAACTAGAAATTACGTAAACAATTAGCAGTCAGTAAATAAGGCAGTGAAGGGAATATTGCAGTAAGCAATAGAACACACAATAAAATGCCTACTTTAAAAATAACTACTCGCATTTACAATAATTATTTACTTAATGGTGGTAGACCAAACAAAAAGAAATCCCTTCCTATACTTCAGATATCACCAAAACAATTGCCATTATTTTTAATACCAAACAGCAAATCATCCTCATAGAAGGCTTGTACCACAAGAACTTGTTCTTAAGCTGATTTAAAGAAATTTTAATTCAAAACACTATTTAATGATATATGATAAATAATTTTTATAAATAAAATAATGTCTAAACAAAGATCCTATATTGTACTTCTAAATTCAATATATTTCTATTTATAATTATTGCCTCTACTCTCTCATTTACTAGATTAGATCTCTTAAATATATAAACAATATTTCAAATTTTGTTGATATAGATTAGGCAGTATAAAACTAAATTTACTGTTGTTGTAAAATGAGACATTAGAAAATAGGATTAAAATTTTGGAATCAAAATTATACAATTAAGCTATACTAATGATTCAAGATTTTTATTTTAAGAGAATAACTATAAATAATATGAGAAAAAACTTAAAATGAAAAAATAGTCCTAAAATTATATAATATTGAACAAATAAATAATTCAAGAGAAGCCACTGAAGAAAACTTAATTAATTCTAATTATTGAACACACAACATAGTTGATAATTATGAAAACAAATATTAAGTAAATTGCATTGAAAATTTTAATATAATTATGAAAAATTTAATCATTTTCACAGCACTAATAGCAGTATTCTATATTATCGATAAATAATTGAATATTGAATTTATAGAAGTAGAAACACTTGAAAGAAGCTGCCAATATAGCTAATAAAAGATAATTAATATATGGAATATTGTCTTTTTATTTAGAACACTAATGAAACAAATATTTTATTATAACTATTCAATGCCTATAGATATTAAACAAAATCTGAAGATAAATTATTAGCAATTTGAAACATGCAGATATTTAAATTATTCAAATTCACTTTAAAGAAGATGAAAAATTACATTTTCATTTTTTGATTAAGGACAATTTAAAAAAGAGGTAGAGAGTTCTTTTAATTTAAATCCTCTTTATTGGTTTTTGAACATAAATAAATACTATATTATGATTTTGTTAATTATTTGCAGTTTTCTACATATGCGAATTCCACATAAAGTATAAAGTTTAAGATCACAGCTTATTAAAAAAAAATCAGAAGTATTTAGAAGATGGATTAGGAGCATTCCTTTTTTTAATGTTTATGATTTTAGCAAATTAATTCTATAAACAAGTAAATGCTACTCTTAATCTTTTAGGAAATTTTATTAAATCTAAAAACTCTTATGTAATTTTTAAATGTTCCCAGAATTTAAAGCAATTATTATTATTGTTTTAAAAATATGAGTAACTTATCAAAAGACTGAATAATAGATAAAATCTTAAAAATTATTTTTAAAAAAATCTCACAATAAATAAAATAAATATTATTATTTCTTTGAAAATAGAAAAACTATAATATAATTTCTTAGTTTTCAGTAAAGAAATTGTAAAGAATAATAAAATATTAATATTATTTTTAAAACTCATCAAGCAATAAATTATTTCAGTTTTGATTTATTTGAAACAATTATCAAAAGATTTTAAAAAGTTAAATTTAAGTAATATTAATTATTATTAATTTTACAATAGAGATTTAAATTTCAACCAATTTTTAATAATAAGATCATAAGATATATGAATCAATTTAAAATCTAAAATCCTTTAAAAATTATCCTTATTGAATTTATCAGCTATTTAAATAGCATATTGATAACAAATATTTTAAGCATATATAAAATATAAAATACAACTTCTATAAATAAAAAACTAACTATCAAAGTTCATCAACAATAATATCAGATGCTATTTCAATCAAATCATCTTATTTTAGGTTTGGATAGTTATTCAATATCATTTCAATAAGCGTAGCAAAATCGTATTCTTTTTTAATATTCATTTTTTTGGCAAATGATTGAATGAACTAAGGTAGATTAAACTTATAAAATTCTTTGCCATATTTATTAATTTCTTTTTCGATAAAATTCCAATCTATTATTTTAATATCTGTGTTATATTTTTTTTAATGCTAACTCTTTGGATATGATAAGGGCTTTTTGTAAAGTAATTCTTTATATCTTTAATAATTGCTTGTAGGTATTCTTCTAAAAAAGAAGGATGGTTTGTTTTGCCCTTGTCTATCTGTGTAGCATCCTTAACGAGGAGTATGCAATTTTGTTTATATTGGAGAGGTTGTTGATTTATCATCCATTATGTTAAGAGAGAGCCGATGATTCCAAACCATATTGCAAATTATTTGCCTTCCTCCCAAATTTCGTTAATCTGGAATAAACATTATATAAATTTATTAATCATCAACAACTTTCGGATAAATTTGAAATTTTATACTAACATCAATGTTTCAGTCTAATTCTAATTCAAAATCTTTTTCGAATGCTAATGATTAAAAAATATTCTTTTAATCATCCTCATAAGAACAATTAGAAAAATCTTTTAATTATTAGGAGTATATTAAATTCTAATTAAATGATTAATTCTGTAAATAATTTTGACCGAAGGATTTATATATCAACTTATATTATTTTCAAATGTAAATTCTAATATTAGATAGTTTATATTCTATAAATTAAATTAAACTACTATAAAATACAAAAGAAGTTTTATATAAGCATAAATTAATTGAATATTATTATTTTAATTTTTCCATTTCTATTAGTTTGTATTTTTTAAGTTAATTTTTTAAATTTTGAATTTTTATTATAAGTATTTAAAAAATACACCTAAATATTTGGTAATAGTCTAATTTTAAGAATTCATTTCGAAATTACCTTTTTTCTAGTTTTTTTTATTCTAACATTTATTAACAAAAAAATAATTAAGATTTCATTAAAAAACGCTCTTGATTCTTAGAAGCATATTTATACATTAAAAATATGTAAAAATTATTCATATATAGTATGGAATCAATTGAAAATTAAATTCTATCTCTATATTTATCAAAATCGTTTTGTTAGTTAAAAAAATAAGTAATATGTACTTTAAAACAATATTTTTATTTTTGCTATCTTCTATTGTTTCACATAATAATAAAATTATGATTTAATTTTTATCTTTATTACTGAGTGAGTTACCAATATATTTCTTTATTTATTCATTTTCTTGATGCTATTTTTTGAATTTCAACATATTTATTTTATATTTTTTCAATAAAATTTCAAGTATTTATTAAACAGGAATATCTTAAATAATTAATACATTAAGCAATTGAAAGACTCATATTCTTATTTTAAATCTAAAATAATTCTAATTAGTAACCAAATTATTATCCTTAATTATTTGAAGATGATTCTTTTAACTATTTTAATAGGATTAGGCTAGACATTAATAATGAAGTCAACCCATACCACAAGAGGTTTTAATGCAATAGAAATTGACCTTAACAATTATAATGAATTTACTGTTGGTTAATCAACTATAGTTATTAGTTTAACAACTAATCGGATGACCTCATACCCAATACTTTCATATTGTGCTATAACAAATTTAAATATAATAAAAACAATAATAAGCTCAGCATCTCAAGTGAAAACTTAGATTGAATCAAATAAGTATGCTTTATTCAAAAAATAGAAAATAGTGTATTTTTGATAACAATGCAATTTTATATAAACAGAGCTAACAATAAATAATTTTGTATGATTATAATTAAGAACAATCTGAGTGGATATACAATAAATTTAGTATTTATGGTATGAAAGAAAGAAAATTCTCAATATATATATTTTCAAATGATGAAACAGATTATGAAATAACTATAGCAAACTAAGCTCCAAGATCATGTTATTCTAAGTATATGATTGTTAATTAATAAAAGTTGCAACAATATTGGGTATTGTTCAGGAAGTTAACCTTCTTTTTGTATCTGCAATGAAAATTAGTTAGGAACTAATTGTTAAATAGTATCAAAGCTTTATAAAGACTATGAATAAGAGATAGTAATTGTTATGTTATTTATTTATTTAGATATCTATTGAAAGCCAAAAAGAGATTCTTGTTTCTATACCACTGAACTAGAATAATACTAATTCATTATAAATAAATATAAATGCAAATGCTGAAATAGATTATATTTTATCATGTTAGTTTGAGAAAGAATACCTTCCATTTTATGATAGCTAATTTTATGATTTAAATAAAATTAGTAATGGTAGGATAATTTATTAAAGTGAAAAAGTTTAAGAATGTTTAAACCTTTTTAGTTAAATTAATTAAGAACTTGAACAATCTATTACACCTTAACTGTTATTATTCTTTAATAATAAATAGTTAGATAATGTTTTATTAAAAATAAGTGTTGAAATTAGAATTAATGAAAACTCAGATGAAAAAGTTATATATTATATACTTGCAGGTGGATTTTCTTCTTTGATTTTGGCTTTTGTTTTAATAGGATGTGTACTTATTTGTAGAAAAAAGAAAAATATATTTCAACATTATTAATCCGATCGAAGAAATAGTACAGAAAAATCCCAAAAAGAAGTACAATTTCATGAGAGATAATTCTCACGTGATTTTATTCCTGTTGAATTGTATGAATAAGTTTTACAAGAATATCCAGGATTAAATTTAATTACCGAATGCTAAATTTGTTTGGTTGAATTTGAAAATTAAGATTTAGTAAAATTGACATATTGTTTACACTTATTTCATTAATCTTGTTTAGATTAATGGAGAAAAAAATTGTAGGTAAAAATACTTTATTATAAAGGTGTGTCCTGTGTGTAGAGGAGATTTGACAAAATAAAAATATAAGGAAAGATAAAAGGATTAAGAAATTTATTAATTTGGAGTAATTTCAGGAGATGAAATGTAGATTGATAATAAGAAAATAGATGAAATTCTTAAGAGGGAATAGAGAATTAAATAATTGTTAATATTATTCTTAATTTTAGATAATTCGCTTAATCATCCTCTGTAATCAATACTATCAAAGAGAATTCCCCATCACCATAATCAGGTGAACCATTGAAACCTAAATTTTAATAAAAATGATTTATGTTAAAATGGCCAGTGTCAAAGCTTATAATTTTTGTTTTATCTTAAAAGTTCATTAAATATTTAATATATATTATAAAGCACAAGTTGCTATTAATTGATATATAAATCAAAATGGATTTACTAATTCTTATTAGTATTATCTAAGCATTTTCGAAAGACAAATATGAGCTTGTCCAATATCTTAAATATCTTAAATCTTGATTTATAATTTTTTTTTTTCTTATTAATAAAATACACCTGTTGGCCCATCAGTACTAAGTAAAAATCTCAAATATTCTTTTTACAATCGTGAACGTTTTATCACTATACTTTTATCACGATCTGTTGATTTACTCTTTTTTATTTTTATATTGTTAAAGTAAACTATATTTTTTTACATCAAATCAACATTTTCTTTGCTTTTAATAAATTTAGGACTAACAGAGCATTAATTTAAATGTTTTATAAGTTCATCTGGGCTAGAATGTTTCCCATATCCAAAAAATAAAGATTTTCTTTTCATAAAAGTTCAGAAGTTAATTTATTTGTGATGTTCAAATCAAAATATGAATCAATTATAAACCTTAAACATATGTGTTATGAATATTTTATAATTAAATTTTACAAGCAGTCAGAACAATGTAAAAATTATGATAGTGTTTTAAGAAAAAATTGTAAATTATATATTATATTTAAACTTTTATACATCATTAAACTTATGGGTTATTGTATTAGAACATTAAATTTCCATCAATAATATCCTCAGAAAATAAAGTAGCAATTTTATCATTTATACAAAAAAAAATAAAATAAAAATTAATTCATAAAGTTCTTTTAAAGTTCATTAATTAAGAAATTAAAAATGTATAAACAAGTATCATTAAGGAATAAACTTTTGATCTAAGTATATTAATAAATTCTTAAAGCTAATTTAATTATTGAAGTTTTTTTATAATTTTTATAATTTGTTTATGAAAATGAAGAAAATTTTTCCTTCAAATACATAAAACTTTCATTCAGCTCCATAATTTGAATAAGAAAATACAACTGTACTCAGAATGCATTAATCAACAATTTCGAAACCTCCACTTTCTGTAGTTCCTAGTGAAGCCAATTAAACTTACTATTAAGTAATAGAAAAAAATAAATTATCATACCTTGAATACTATAGTCAATTTAATGAAATGAGATTCATGGAAAATATGGCAGGTTTTTTGAATAAATAAATTAAGGATTAAAATCAAGATCTTAAAAATAAGTACTTTTAGAAAATTTTCTCAATATGTTTGATGATATGGTTTCTTGTTTAATCGTTATTTAAAATACTTTGCTTCTTATAAACTTCGATAGTGCAGATTTTTTATAACTTTATAATGTCTCTCCAAATACTATGGCTGATATATTATTTAAAGACATTAAAGTAAGATTCATATTAAGCAGTTATAGACATTGGAAGGACTTCATTTAGAAATACAATTTTCTTCATCTCTTCGATATTTAGAAACTGTTTTAGAAGCCCTTGAATTCAATCCAGAGTTGTCTAATAAAATTCATTAATTGGATGTGAAATAATGGTCTCAAAAGTGTTATAATCATCTCAATAATTTTATGATTACTCATTAATAAATAAAAAACTCTTAAAGATCCTGTTGTTGTTTTAAATGAAATAAGTTAATTTATATATTTATAATAATAATAAATAATGTAAATTCCTAAGAATCCAAATTAAAAATAATTGAAGCCTCATATCCGAAGTTAATCTTTGAATAAATCATAATCCTAGAGAAATCCTCCTGAAATAATTCCTATTTTGTTACATTAATATTAAACGCTTTATAAACCAATAAATTATGAAGAAAATGAATTAAAAATAACTAATAAAAAATTAAATATTTTTGGTGATCTAATGTTTCCTTCAACTAATTTTACAAAATAAAAAAATCTATTAATTGCAGAAGATTTAACCGAGAAAATATCATCATTAAGAAAGCAAGGAAATTTTAATATGTTAAGATAAAAGGTGAGAGGAAGATTAAAAACATAAATTAATGATTTTGAAAATTAAATTACAATTAGTTAAAGATTAATTACAGATCCTGGAATTGAAACTTTGAAAACACCTTATTAATAACTTTTAATTGAAAAAGAATAAGCAATATAAAATGGTATTAAATATCCTTATAAAATCTACATAATGAATGATGAAAGAAAAAAGTTGATATCGGATCTGTTAAGGAGTACAAATATGTCTAATATTTAGGATGGCTTTAATTTAAATTAGATAAAGTAAGATTTAGGTTAAAGAATAAGAAGTTAGATTCGTTATACATAACGAGAGAAAACAAAAAAAGAGTTAACTTAAAAGAAATGTATTAATAATGCACTTTATTTTTAATCAGCCTTAAATAAACATTCTTAAGAGACAGTAAAATTGAAATATAAATAACATCTTCCTAAAGATTCTAGATTGTATATTTAATGAAATTTAGTATATATATATAAATACTTAATTAAATATTATTATTAGATTAATTTTAATGATTATTTTGAATGATATGCGAATATTTTAATATCCAAGATTAAAAAATAAAATAAAAAATAATAAAAATAATTTGAATTAGTCAAATATGTGATGATGTACAGATTAGTATTTAATAATAAAAATAAAATTTGTTAAAGAAATGCATACATTACCTGCAATTCCTGTTCCACTTTATAAGATCATATTTTTTCTTTAGCCGCTGAAATATCTTTTTGGAGATCAATTACCTTTGCTTTAAGAGTCAATATTTCCATGGTTTAGTGATAGATTGAAGACAGAATTAAATTCAGAGGGAGATGAATTATGGAAGAGAGTTTTCAAAACATTTAAGGGACCAATTATATATTATTGTATAATAGTTCAAATAACAGTGATAATAAAGATAAGTGTATCTTACTTATTAAAAGTAACATTAGCAAGTATGGATTAATGGAATGCAATCTTATTAGGAGTGTTACTATTAAATTAGGTTATATTTGAATAACATTATTTTTAAAATATATATTAGATGTCAGCAAAGATAAGAGCTTCATTATCATAAGTCTTATTGGCAAAATTATAGAGAATATCTACATCTAGATTAAAGGATGGATAATTTTTTAATATAATAACAATGGATATAGCTGATCTTGATTTAACTTGGTTGATAGCATTTAGTGGTGCTCCAATAATATGTTGTGTTGGTGTATATCTATTATTTTTATATTTTGGATTTTCATCAATAATAGGTCTTATTTCTTTATGTGGATTAATGTTATTTTAAAAGCATATAACTACAAAAACAGGACCTTTAAAATAAGAGAAAAGTAAAATTTAAGATGAAAGAACAAAATTGACAGAAGAAATTTTAAATAATTTACCTAAAATAAAAATGTTAGGTTTAGAATCAATATTTAGAGATAAATTATTAGTATAAAGATAAGAATAAGATAATAAAATGAGAGAAATTTTAAAGATTGATGCATTAGCTTATTGTTTTAATGGTAATATCAATGTATTTGGTAGTTTATTTTTAATGCTTTTAACATATAAAATATTTAATGATGATTATCCATCTCCTGATAAGATTTTTAGTTCAATTTGGATTCTCTAATTATTTAAAGTTTGGTGTATTACTTATGGGCAGAGAGCCTATAAATTAGTGATAAATTTAAGAGTATTATAATAAAGAATAAATGATGTATTATGTATTCCAGAAATAGAACCTAAATTATTAAATACAAGATAAGCAACTAAGAAATAAAAGAAATATTAATAGATAGAAGATGAAGAAGGTGCATCTTTAGATACAGTTGAAGATCCTCGTTTAACTTAAATAGAGATTATAAATTATAGTGCATATTGGACAAAATTATAAGAGATGCAAAATTAAGCAATATTAAATAAAATAAATTTGAAATTAGATAAAGGAACATTTGTAATAATAAGAGGAATAGTAGGGAGTGGAAAATCATCTTTACTTTAAGCATTATTACATGAAATACCATATTTTAGTGGTTAATTAAAGATATCAGGTCATGTAGCATATGTTGAATAAAGACCTTATATATTTTCAGGGACAATTAGAGATAATATTCTATTTGGTTGTCCATATAATGAAACACATTATTAAAATGTTTTAATTTAGAGTGGTTTGAATGGTGATAATATTGATCCAGATTTTGATGTTGGTGAAAATGGATCAAAATTATCAGGAGGATAAAAAACTAGATTAAGTTTCAGTAGAGCATTATATTCTGATTCAGATATCTATTTATTAGATGATATATTATCAGCAGTAGATGCAAATGTATAAAAAACAATCCTTAATACTTTAAGATATCTTAAAGCATAAGGAAAAATAGTTATTTTAATCTCATCTAGAATAGCTGAATGTGATATCATTTATAAAATGTAAGATGGATAATTAATTTAAGAAGATTAAAATATGGAATCTATTGAGTTATAAAATCAAATTACTGAATAAACTGAATAATAATAAGGAATAGAAGAAGAAGAGGAGATTTTAGAAGTAACTAAAACTGTTTATTAAAAATATATTGATGAAGGAGGAAGAAATAGAGCTATTTTAATTGGATTGTTATATTTATTTGATGCATCCTTATCACTTTTAATCATTAAATAGTTTGGTGAAACTAATTTATTAATTAATGTATTTCTAATGATTCTTTATATCTTTATAAGTTTTACTAAATTTAATGAAATGTTTGGATTTACTATTACTGTTATTAATAATTTACATCGAAAATTAATATCAACTATTGTAAGAATGAAACTTGAAAATTACACTAATATAGGAAGACTAATGAGTAGATTTACTTCTGATATCAATAATATTGAAGGCATGGTTATGTTAGATTTACATTGGGTTATTGAAGGACTGATAGATAACATTTTTGTTATTCTTGTAATTAGTTTAAATAGTTACATTATTATTGTATCTATTGTATTTCTTATATTAATGCTATTCATGAAATCTAAATTCCATTAAAAAATGAAGTTTTCACTCAATTTAGATGATCAATCAAGATCTAAAGTATATTAATCATTACGTAATTCTATAAATGGTTCTATCTTAATTAGAGTATATAATCAATAAACTAGAGTGTAATCAGAGTATTTATAATAAACATATTCGAATATGTAGGCACAATTCACTTTTCTTAGACTTAATGCTTTATTAGCCTTCATAATTGAATTCTCATTGCATATTCTTATTATAACTGTCTTAGCTATATTACTTTCATCATAATATAGTAAAGATGTCATAGGTTTCTCTGTTTTAATGTTAATGCAATTAGGATATATGTTCTCATTGAAGTAACTACTATTTTTATATTTCTTAGTTTGAGAGGACAAATATTCTTAGATATTGATATGTAAAATTGTGTAAGAATATTAAATACAATATCATTACCTTCTGAAAATTATTCAGGATCCAAAATGAATCAATGGCCAACTAATGGTGTTGTGGAATTTTAAAATGTATATTTAAAATATCCTAAATCTACAAAATATGCTCTATAAAATATCAGTTTTAAAATTGAATAAGGATAAAGTGTTGGTATCATGGGAAGAACTGGAGCTGGTAAATCCTCTATTATTAATCTATTATTGAGAACTGTTGAAGTTACAACTGGAGCCATCTTTATTGATGGTATTAATATCAATTAAATTAATCTTTCTTAACTTAGAAACACTGTTATGGTTATTCCATAATAAAGCAATTTATTTAATTAAACAATTAGATTCAATTTAGATCCTCATAAAACATGCTATGATGATTAAATTTGGGAAGCTTTGAGTAAAGTTTAATTAGATTCTATTATTAAATAGTATGGATTAGATTCTCTGGAATACAATTTAAGTGTTGGCTAATAATAATTATTAGCTTTAGCAAGAGCTTTCCTACATGATGCTAAAATATTAATATTTGATGAAGCTACAGCCAATATTGATGATTAAACTGAAGAAGTTATAGAATAAGCATTACGCAATATAACTGCAACTAAAATTATCATAGCTCATAGACCTAAAATTGTTGTTAATTGCGATTATATAATTAATATGTAGGAAGGATAAATTATTAATTAAAAATGAAAATTATATGCATTTTATCATACATATTTTTATCAAATTTATCATCAACATCGATCACTTTTTCAAAAGAGATTATTATCCTATCATAATCTTAACTAAAAAATGATTTTTTAGTTTCTTTAAACGCTTTAAATATTAGTTGAGAGCTTAAATCCTTTTTATTTATCATTAGAACTTAAAGTTATATTTATAAATTTTATATATAATATTTAATAATAACAATCATTAATTAAAATTCAAATGAAAAGAGAAGATTAAATACATCTCTCATATTTATAAATTTGGAATGCTATAGACACTCCTGTTATTGAGAGTACGAATATTTATAGTGAAAAGTTCAAGTAAAGTTCAGAATCTCAATATAATTGCAACTAATCATTTTGTTTACAACATCCATAAAAAAAAGTAATTGAAAATTATTAAATTAAGGCTAAATATATATTACTTAGTTCTGAAGGTTCAAATTAATACCTTTGTACAAAATGTGCTGTAGTATTTGCATAATAAGGGCATAAAATATAAATAATTGAAGAAGGTATATTGATATTTATAAATATTCAATAGACAATGCTAAAAAGAAATAAACTGATTCTTTTATAGACTAATTACTCCAAACCAAAGTTGAAATTGAAAATATTCATTCAAATTTCTTATATACTGAGGCAAATATAAAAAGTTTTTATAATAACTAATAGACCCATGTAATTAAAACCTTTGGAAATGTTGAAAAATAACTTCTTTTGGTAATTTTTAATAATAATTTTATAAAAGTGCAAATCTGAAATACTTTTTGCATTGACACAATCACTATGGTCTGGGATATAAACTACAAACTAACTAAAAGTCTAAGCCAAATAAATTGAACATCAACTCGGAACTTATATTAATGATATTAAAAATCATTATGATAAAATTGTATAGATGAGTACACTTCCATTTAATTAAATAATGGGTGGTTATAGTAGCAAACTCTTTAAATTATAATAATATCTAAAAGAACTTTAAGAAAATAAAGTTACATATCTTCATTATGATGGTAAAATAAATAATTTAGATTTATTTTTGAAATCATTAAGCTTGTTGAATGAAAATGATTAGTCTTAAAATTAAAGAAATCATGAAAGTACAAGGTCAAGTTCAGAATAAAAAACTTGCAAAAGTGTTGAAAAAGAAAAAAGAAATTAAGCCAACCTAATAGTAAAGAAGCCAAATGTTATGACAATTCTGAAAAAAAAAAAATATAAAATTTTAAAATTACTGAGTAATCAATTGAAGAATGGATGGAAAATTCTAATTCAAAGTAAAGAAAAACTGAACCAGCTGAAAAATTAGCAAGTCCTAATATTCTGTCTCTTAAATTTGTTAAAAAATAAATTAATCCTAATATAGTATCTTTGAAATAAGAAACAAATTAAGCCATGCTTAATAAATTAATTTCTGAATTCTCCTAAATTAAAAAAGATAGAGCTAAAAAAATGTAATCAAAAACACCTGAATTAGGAAAAAGTGTCTAATAGACAATTTCGAATAAATTTTCCCCAAAATTTCTTTATAAAAATTATTACAAATGATTAATTAATAAATCAATATCAAATTTTGTTGAATCAATTTTATTAGATCATTATTTATCAATATGAAATCAATTCTCTAAGTTTATTCTTTTTTAAACTTCTAAATGTCTTTGTATTATTAAATTAGCAATTTTATCTTTAGTAATTATGATTTCATGCTTCTTAACTTTAGAATGGATAAAAATAATGTGAAGTCTGAACAATATCAAATCAAAGAGGCTCCTTAAAATTTTCTAAATTAAATATAACTTAATTCGGATAAGAGATTACTCAATTTACTTCATTATAATCAACATCTTGATATTTAATTTTTTTTATGAGTTTAATAAATCAAATTTAAAAGCTGAAAATCCCAATTACATAAATACATAGTCGCACATGGAATTCCATTCCTGTTTGTTTGAAAAAAAATTAAGTTTATTCATATGTTTGACCTTAAAATGTGCCCATACAACCATAAGTAAAAGTTTATGATATTAGAGATAAGAAGTAATATTTACTTTTACATGATAATTTAGAGCAGAAAATAAACAATAGTCTTAGAAACCTAGATAATATTTAATTTCACAAACATCTTTTAAAATAAAGAAACCTAAATATAATAATCTTTGTAGATCTTCCCTTTAATAAAATTCTTCTAATTATAAATGACATATATCAATATTTTCTCATCCTAATCTTTATGATAAAATTTCTCTTTATTAAAATATCTTGTAATCTATATTTTTATCATTCAATATTTTTTTATCATTAAAATAATGTTTTTCTATGTTCTCTTTTTAAGTTTTTATATGTTTTAATATTCTATTCACATTTCAACCATCTTTACAATTTTTATGCTGGTCTCCTAACTTCTTTTGGAATTTTTTATGAAGTAGTTATATCTTAATTAGGCTTGTTGTAAGATTATATCATGAATAATAACAACTTTTAAAATTTAATGCATAATTATGTTAATTGTAAAAATAAAGTTATTTTTGGATAAGTTATTATTAATTCATTAATACATAAAGCATAAAATAATTCAAATTTAAATTCTTAATTTCTATAACATTTTTATCTACTCTGACATAAGATGATGAAATTTGAATATTAAAAATGTCTAAAATTAAAATTTTTGTAGTTTATTGAAAGAATAGAATAAGGTAATTTGAAAAAAAATTATAAAATAATTATATTATTTATGGAAGAACAATTACTACAACCTGTTACTTATGGATCAGTGATTTATTTATCAACAGAGAGTAATCTAAATAGTTTCATGTTCAGTGATGGATTCATGGATACAAGTGTTAAACTAAAGAGTTTTGAGTCTATTTGTGGAGTGGTAACTTATAAAAATTAAAGGATAGGATTATTATGATTTTTCTTTTAGCTTATTCATGGTACTTCCTTTTTCTAGTATTCAATCATTTGAACATTAAGCAAATGTGATTTAAGAATGGCGAAAGAAATTAATTGATAATAATGAGAATAGTATTAATAGTTAAATATATTAGAGCTGGAAAAGAGAAGAGAAGCAATATAAGAGATGTGGAATAAATTAGAGTCAGAATATTAATTTAATTTGGGAGTAATTTAGAAAAGTTATAATTCTTCGATATGTTTTGCAAGTAGTAACTTCATGTTATTACATATAAACTCTCTTAAATTCCTTACTTTATACTAAGATGATAATAACAATTTATTGTAACATATGAAGTAATTTTAATAGTCTTCAATTAACTGAGAATCCTGATGAATGTTGCTTTTTCAATTTTGATCCATCATTAAAATTATAAAGAGGTAGGTCAGATAATTTTGTTTATGAAGATGAGATTGTATATATTGCATGTGCTAAAAAATATAGTGGTAAATCACCATATTTAAGTGTAATTTAAAATGATACTATTATTGGTTTGATAGATTCAAAAGAGAATTGGAAAGTTAATATATATGAATAACCTTATAAAGAATCAACATATATGAGAGTTGGATCATGTGTTTGGATATTAAGTTCAGAAATGCCTTTATTCTTTACTTGTTAAAGACCTGAAGATCCATATTATTAATTATATTTGACTACTAAAAATCCAAATTTAACTAAAGAAAAGAAAGGTATTTTATATGAATGGTAATAAAATGATAAAAAAGATATAAAAGAACAATTTCTTAATTAACCTAGAGAATTATTATTAGATGGATTATAAATTTTATTGACTTTAATTAAAGAACCTAAAATTGGATAATCTGATGAATTAAGTCCTTTCGGATTATGGAAAATAGAATCTAATGATGTTAAAATTGGAGGTGAATTAAAATGGGATCAAACTTATAGATTAAAAAATATTATTACCGGGTGTTATTTATCTGTTTAAGGAGCTCCTTAGAATATGAGATTAATCCCATATAATAGATAGAGCAATAGTTCTAAAAATCTTGATTTCTCTTGTACTGAATTTAAATTTGTTCCTATTGATAACCTTATTCAATATAAAGGAAAAACTAAATCAATTTAAAAAATATCAAAAGACGCTTTCTTTATGATTCAACATGCTAAAACTGGATTATGGGTTTCACTTAATTAAAATGAAGGCATTTAACAACCTTATTTATTAGGATATATCAAAGATATTAATACCTATAGATTTAGAGAAGCTTCTTTATAATAGGTATGGGAAACTTATTTTATTACTGCAAGTTAAAAGTTATTAATTAAATTCGTAGAATATCCTAGATCTGATTTAGAGAGATAATAATTTGATTTTCTTTTTGAAAGAGTTAAAGAAATGATTTAATTTTAAAGTGAATTTTTAACTAATAGTCAAGTTGCAAATATGAGTTTAGATTAAGAACCATTATAAGTTTGTAGAGGAAGATAAGATAGATTCAAAGAATAATATTCATTAGGATTACTTTGTTGGTTATTAATTGAAATATTTCCAACTTTTGATGAATTTGAACTTTATTAAATCAACCCAGATCATGGATCCAAATGGACACTTAAAAGAAGAAAAGGTCATTCTAAAATATGTAAAATCATATCATAATTTTAATAGAAAATACATCTATAAAATAAGAATCAGAAATTATTAAAAAAAGATATGAAATCTGTTAGTTAGGTTATAAATTGTTAAGTATTTCTGCTACAAGAAATCATGAAAATTAATAATTTATTCTTAAATTCTTAACTAATTTAAGTAATCATATTGGATTTGGTTCATTTGTTACTTAATCTTTAAAATTATGTTTCAGAGACAACAAAGATATATTAGAAGATTTGCATAGATAAAAAATTAATGAAATAGCTTAAAACTAATATTAAGATATTTTTTAAGCAATGGCTCATAGACTTAAATTATTTGAACCCTATTATAAGGTTGAAATTTTATAATTACTTTCTGCATTTACTTCTTAAGAAAATTAATCGATTTATATAAACTAAGAAAAAATCTTTTCAGCTATTGTAGAAAATAAAAATTTCCTCTTTGGACATCTTATGCGAATTGATTACTTAGAAAACAATCTTCTAGTTGAGTATAGAGTTTTTGTTGAAAGGGAATATGAAAGCAAATAGTTGTAAATTTAGGAATTCTTTCTAAAACCTCAGGAGTTTCAAAAATTCAATGATAACAAATTTATAGAAATAAGAATACAACAATATTTTCTAGAATAATTAAGATTATATGCAAAGTTGTGTCAAAATAGAAACTATGCGTGTGTTAAAAATCTTTAAGAATTATTACCAAGAAAAGCTCTGTTGTATTATTTAGAAACACCTATAGATGATGAAATAAAGGCTATTTTGTGTTAATTAATCTTAAATCTGTATATCGATTAAGAACCAAGAAGTATAATAAACAAACCAAGCTTTGTTAGAGTGTTAAATTATAATAATTAAAGTGGAAAGGATGACATTACAGATCGATTTATAGAAATTAATCTAACAAATGATATTCAAGGCACTTATGCGATTAGAAAATGGCTTTTGAAATACTTAAAAGATAAAATTGAATATTTAGATGACTAAATTATTAATGAAGATAAATCAATAAATATTTATAATGAATTAACATATGAAGTTATCAGATGTTTAAGTTTGATGGTTAAATTTGGATTATTTTCTAAACATGCAAATTAATTGCTAAGAACTACATTGAATAATTAGAATAAAGAACTGAATGATTTAGATAAGGATTTGAAAGATTTAGTTTGTTATTTAGCTAAATTATTAGAATATGACCATAATTACTTTTAGGAATTAAAAATAAATTAAATTAAAAGATCTTATATGGAAGAAAAGGAAGATTTAAAATATATGATTAATTTAAATATCTTTCAAAAAGCTAAAGTTGAAGAAGAAGAAGAAGAGTAAGGTACTTCATAAAAAGAATAAGATCTTTCATAGTCTTTTCCTTTTTTGAAAAGGTATACAAGTTTATTCAAATTAATCAAATATTTTACAACGAAAACTTGTAAGTTTTAATAATAAAGTAAATTCTTTATTTTAATAAAAAAATAAATATGTGCTATCTTTTAAACACTTTTAGAATGGAGAGAAGATATTCAAATTGGTAAAGCTATTAATTGGTTTTAAAAGAATCAAAATGACTATTCTAAAATAGATGATGAAAAAAGTGTCGATTAAATAATGCCAAATTTTAGTGTCGATCCTGGTAAATTTAAAAAAGATGATGAAAATATTCATCCTGAAGAAGAGATACAAGATTTTGATTATATTCTTGAAAGACCTTTTGTTGAAGTATTAATTTTAGCATTTTATTTTGCATAAGATCCTGATTTACAAAATTCTGTTGTAAACTTAATTTATAAAAGGTTTACATAAAGAAAAAAATTGCTATTAAATCTAAAAAAGGTTTCACTAGTTTAGGCTGATAATAATTCCTATAAAGCCTTATCTACATTAGTTAATGATATAAAAAATTAAATCAGCTATAGTTAGTCTTGGTTGTAAATAATAGAATCCAATTTATATGATGAAAAGGCAGAAGAAGCCTTACATCAAACAGTTCAAAAGTTTGATTAAATTTTATAAGAGTTTGAATAGAAATGCGATTCTGAATCTTTTATCATTAAATAAAAAATATTCAAACATTTGGGAGGTCATAAGTTAATTTTAAAATTTTTAGAAGCAGGAATTAGAGTTATCTATTCAAAAATTAAATACTTTCATATTTCTTCAGAGGAAGAAAAAGAATAGCAAAACTCTGCAATAACATCTGGAATGAATAAGGCAAGAAACTTACCACCATTAATTTTGGAATAAAAAAAACCTGAATCTAAAATTGTAGAAAATTCAGATTAATATTCATATCGAAAATAATTTATTTAATATGTTATTAAGGTTTTTACGACTTGTCATAAAATTTTAAGTAAATTTGCCGAGGGGAATAAAAGTAATCAGAATTCTATTTATAAAATATATGTAACTTTACTCGATAAACCAGTTAGAATTAATATTGGGTAGGTATCGTTTTTACAATCCCTATATAAAAACAATGTGGATTTATGTTTAAAACCTTAAGATTATTGTTTTGATTATGTTTAGCATTTAATAAATGATCATGGACACTAACATGAATTTTTAGAAATTCTGCTTGTGTTTTTAAAAGCATCAAAAGAGACAGATTCATAAAAAATATAAATAGCAATAATTTCAAAGATTTTATCTAATTATAGTTTTTTTGATCCAACTAAAACAGTAATACCAAAAAAGGATTTGCCAGTATTTTATGAGGAAAAGGGTTAAGAAGAAAGGTAGTTGATGTTTAGGAAGAAATTTATTCAATTAGTTAGTGGATGCATTGGGGGTGACATTAGTGTTAATTTAATTGTTCAACTATAAGAAAATCTTTCAGTAAGATAATTATTGTAAATGCTATTGAATGATACAAAATCTTAGACTGGATCTTTAGCAATAAAAGAACAAATATTTTCTATATTAAAAATTTATTTTGAAAAAATTGATAAAGCTTTACATGATTTTTAAAAGTGCTGTGCTGAATTTACAAAGTTGTTGTAAACAGTTTCATTAAAGATGCAATCAGCAAGGATATCAAATGAAGATCAATAATTCATAGCATTATATATAGTTAAATTAGTTAATGTTTACTTTGTGAATTTTCTAAAAGATATTGGCATGATTTCTTTAAAAATGTTAGCTTAAGATTAAAGTATTTAAAAAGAAAAGTTTATATTTTAATTTGCTTAATAATTAGTTAATTCATTGCATAAGTTTGACAAATTGATAATATATAAGGCAGGTTTTATGGAGTTATCAAACAATTTTAATCTTGAAATTTCTGAAAATTATTTTGATACTTAAGATAATATTGATTAAGAGATATATAACAATTAACAATAAGCCTAAGTTATTGTAGAATAAGATTCAGAACAATAAGATAATTCTTCTTCATTTTAATCTTGGAACAATTTTTTAAAATAACTTATTAGAAGTTAATCAATAAAAAAAGCAGTTTTAAATGAAAGAATAAAATTTAAAGAAGTAATTTTAAATGTTTAAGACATATTTGAAAAACCAAAAGAAACAATGGATATAAGACTTAAGGATTTAATTATATCTAGAGATGATATAATTGTTAAACTATTAAGTTATATTGAACATTGGAAAGAAAGGAAAGCAAGTCGACATACAGTTATTTTCATAATAAAATCAATAAGAGCATTATTAGAAATAAAGAATGAAAAGTAATTAGTAAAAATGTAAGTTCATTTAGATTCGCTTAAAGCAACATAAATAGCTTTAAGATTATATTGGAGTGATAAAGTAACTGAAGATTTATACATTTACTAATTAATTAAATGGATAATTGCATTGCTTGAAGGTGGAAACAAGGTTATACAAATGAGTATATTGAATTTAATGAAAATGAATTCAGATAGTGAAGCATTCTTTTTAAAGATATACACTATTTTAACAGAATATATGGTATCTATGCGTAAAGTAAGAAAGAAGGATGATTAGAAAAAAATAAGGAAAAGAAAATTTATTGCAAAAACATTGTAGGTGATTCAATTATTATGTGAAGGTCATAATAATGAACTTTAAAATTATTTAAGATAGTAAACTAATTCTAAAGTATCCTATGATATAGTATTATTAATGGTAAAATTGGTAATTTCGAATAGAATATCTGATGCGACATATGAATCTCTTGTTTAATGTTTAGATACTTTAACTGAAGTTGTTTAAGGCCCTTGTAAAGAAAATTAAGTTGTTATTGTTACAAGTAAATTTGTTTCTTGGAGTGTGGATTTGTTGAAAGAAGATTTAAAATTATTTGAATAAAATAAAATAGATATTCCTTAAGTAAAATTAAAAAGATTGAAATTAAAATGTACAAATACATTATTAAGTTTAATGGAACTATAAGAAGAGAATGATGAAATAATGAATCTTTTAATGAGAAGTATTCCTGTTACAGTATTAATAAATGAATTGGCTAAATTCTATTTGTTATATACTTCAATATATAAGAAAGAATATGTTGTTGAATGCTTTAAGACTTATTTAGATGAAAACGATGGTTTTGAAAATAAAAAAAAGAATGAATGTATTATAGAATATGGATTTAATCTATTCATTATAATCAATATTTTAATGTTGAAGAATAAGAAATCTCAAGAAAGTGATCTTGAAGAGATTCGTAAATTAATTGAAGAATATTAATTTGTTAAGAAAAAATCCAATTAAGGTTTAGAAGGTCTATTAGATCTTAAAATAAATTTAGATCTTAATATTAAAATTAATTTACCTTTCGGTTAAGTAGAAGATGAAGAATCTAATGAATTAAAGAAGGCTTAGGAAATGAAAAAGGCATAGAAAGATGCATATAAATTCTTTTCTGAAAATACTGTATTCATAGAAATAGCAAGAGATGAATAACTTCATAGAATTTATTTTCCTTTATTACCTTAATGTAAAATGTTATCAAAAGAATCCAGAAAAGATTTTTGTGAATAGGTTGATCATTCTTCAATTAGAGATAAATTAGTGTATTTAATGACTTCTGCTGATTAAATGAGAAAAGTAATGGAACATGAAGAATTATTAAGGAATTTATTTAAAAGATTAAAAGTTGTAGAATTAATTGCTACTCATAAATTATTATGGGAATAATTAGCATTTATAACTAATGTTATAATAAATTTGGTAATTTTATGTTCTTATGGAAATTATGCATATTCTGATTATCTACCAACACCATTCCCTATTAGTTTCAATGGTATTTAATTTACTTTAGATTGGGTAGTGAAAAATTAATTTTATTATGATACTACTTAGCCTGATTCTGATTTACTTTGGCATGCAAGATTAAATTAACCTCGCCTATTTTATGTTTCTGATTTTACATGGACTAATACTCTTATTGTTATTTTAGGCTATTTAAATTTAGGATTCTCATTATTAGTCATCACATTTTTTGCTATTAAAAAAGCTCCACTTTTGATTACAGATATGTGGGTTGAATTTTTAAGTAAACCTATGGGATGTCTAGAAAGAACTATTATGAGTATTGTTATGATAGCTAGATCATTTATTAATTGTTTAGTTGACTTTGATTTTGCTTATTTTTGTGGTTATATGGCTTGTATTATTGTTGGATTAGTTATTCATCCTTTTGCATTTGTATTATTACTTGCTGATTTTCTTAGAATAGCAACTCTTAAAATTGTAATAAAAGCTATTTGGATTAGTAAAACATAAATGGGATTATCATTTTTAGTATTCTTATTAATTGAATATTATTTTGCAGTGATTGGATACTTATTTTTTTGGGATCAATATTAAGATTAATCATGTTAAATTATGTGGAGATGTTTTTTACAAACATTTGATTAAACATTCAAAAATGGAGGAGCTATTGGTGATTATTTAGCAGATACTTAATTATAAAATCCAGCTGGTTCTTAATTACCTATTAATTATTAATTGGATTCAGATTAATAGAATAGATTTATTTATAGATTTATTTTTGATGTTCTTTTTAAATTTATATTAGTGTTCTTGATTATAAATATGGTTGCTGGTATCATTATTGATACTTTTGGTGCTTTGAAAGATGAAATGTTAGAAAAGTAATCTAATTTAGAAGATTATTGTTTTATCTGTGGAATTTAAAGTGAAAAATTAGATAAAAGTACCTAATATGGCCATTATTCGCATATTAAAAAAAATCATCATATGTGGAATTATGTATATTACAAGGTATACTTATTTTTTAAACCAAAAAATGATCTATCAGGAAATGAAACCTATGTTAAGAGATTAATGATTAATAATGAAATTGATTGGTTCCCCGTTAAGAAAGCAATAGGATTTACAGATGAGGATGAAGAAGATGAAGAATAAGATGAAGACAATCTGTAACTTATCGAAGAAACATACTAAGAGGTTTATTATTAAATAAATATTTTATTAGGTATAAGAACTTGAATAATAAGCTTTATCCACAAATCAGAAATTAAAAATGTTTATTTGAATAATTAGATTTAAGTTTTTGATTTTTCTATTTCCAATCTAAATACATTCCATATAAATATTTTTTCTATTGAAGATAAAAAATTAAAATAATTATTTATTATTGATTAATGTCAGATATTGAAGATTTATCATAAGATAGACAATCTTATCAACGTTTACAACCAGAGAGATAAAAAGATACCCTACCAAGATGGAAAGTAATATTACATAAAATTGATCTTTTTTCAATGATTCCTACACCAAAGACATACCCAGTTAGTACCAAAAGAAGCTTAATAGGAACTTTCATTTTTATATTCCTATTTGCTAGTTATATTATCTCTAGTTTTGTTCGTACTTAATTTGATTAATCTAGTTTTTATTATTGACAATGTTCCTAGATTAAATGAATATACATAATTAGATGATTCAACTTCTATAACAGAAGGTCCTGAAATTGCAATCTAATTTTTATATGGAAGCCCCTTTTATGATTCAATTACTAATAATAGCTTATTTAATATATCTATGCAATAGGTTGTTAAATATTTAGATCCAACAAAAGAAGATAATTCTTCTTAGTAAATTCCTTTAAAGATTTGCTATAGCAAATTCTTAGATTGGATGCCTAAAAATGCTTCAAACTTAGCCTTTTTATGTCCTATGGTTCCTCTAAATTTATCTGGACAATTATATTAATCTCAGGAATTCATTTATCCAAGAATTTAAATTGATTATTGTCCTTATAAAGATCCTAAGAAGAATTGTTCAACTGAGGAAGATATTAAGAAAGTAAATTAAACATCTTATTTAGGTAACTGCGGGAGGAAGATTGTTTCTGTATATTAAAAGTTAAGCCCCTGATGTTAATTTTGTAACAGGAAAGGAGACAAATGCATTAACATATTAAGTTTTTTAATACTTTTTAACACCTGGCTTATATAACAGGGCAGAAATTGTATTATAAAAGTAATCTGTATCTATGACTGGAGACTACTTAACTTAATTTAAAACTAAGCATGAATAGTTCTTAATAGTTAACAGATAATATTTATATGTAACAAATGTAACCTATAATGATATGATAACATAAAGGGATTCAGCTATTTATAAGGGATTTTAAATATATTTAAGATTAGATCAAGAAGTCAAAATTGTATAAGTTGTTAAAGATACTATTATTAATGTTGTGGCTTAATGGGGGGCATTTTATGGAGTTTTAGTTGGTGCTTTTGCACTCTACTTTTTAAAATATAATTAATAATAGTTTTATAAAAAGAACAAATAATGGTAATCGATATTATTATATAAGGGCTAATTTTGATTAAAATCAGGTTTTGCATGAGAGTAAGTAATTAAAGGAATCTGAATTTAAAAGTTTATAAGAGTGAACATGTGTCTAATCTTTAAGTTTATTTATTGAATTTGAACATTATTTATTAACAAAGTTCAAAATTGTAAAAAAAATTCACAAAAAAAATATTTATATTACAAATAATAAGTATTCATATTTTTTGAGCCATTTTTTAGAATCATCCTCTTTTTTTATTAAATTTAAGATAATTTGTTTTTATATCAGCTTCTTCTATTACAATCTATAAAAGATGTAAAAATAAATTACTTGATTTTTTGCTTTTAAATGCATAAATAGTTGTTAATAATTTAGCTCTTCATTTAAAAAACTTTTTGGAAATGGGATAATTAATAAACATTTGATAACTTTAAATATATGTTTTAAATGTATTAACAAAAATTTCTCTTTTTTCGGAAACTAGTGTTAAATAAGCCTAATATATTAATTAAAAAAAATATTAGAACTATTTATGTGAATTAGGGAGGCAGGATTAATTTGCATTTAAAAACACCTCCTTAGAATGGAGTATCAACTTAATTTAAAGAAAGATTTATTACTTGGATCATCAATATCAGCTTAAATACAAAAACATCTTATTCATTTAAGATAAGATGAACTCCTTTAATATAAATAAGACATAAAATTTAAAATTTACCTTCAATAGTTTATTATATAATAATTTATAATTGCTAAGCTATGATTGGGACAGTTAATTTACAGCTCTTGAATCTATGTATTTGATAGTTATCAATATATTTTTACCATTTTTAATAGTGCCTTAGTTAACTTATGTCGTTAAAAGAAAAAATATGAATCTATGATTTTATAATTATGATAAAAAGAATTGATAGGGATAATAAATGTAGATAATGATATGATTAATAATTGTACTCATAGTTATTACAGATTGAAAATCGATTTACGAATTGGTTTTCCTTTATGTTATAGAGGTGTTACTGGAGTAATTGGAGATTTTGGTGTATTATCATCGGTTCTAGTCAAACTTTAAGGACTGAGATTATTAAATGAGTTTTTTGGACTTAAAAAGTTTGTAGTTGGAATAGGGGATCCATCAAGATGTGGTAATTTTTTAACATTGCTATGTCTACGAATTTTAAATTGACATGTTTTTGCTAATTTTTCTTATATAAACCATTAATGATTTAGAGCTTCTTAAGCACTTAATCTTTTAACAGGATTTTTGTTCATTAGTCCTTACAATAGATTCATTCCATGCTCACTCAATTTACATTCTTCGAATTTGACTTTTGCATAATAGTTTCTCATAACCACATCATCATAATCTTTACCTTCAAAAGGAGATTTACCAGCAATTAAAATAAACATCAAAATGCCAATGCTGTATATATCTACTTTATAATCATAGATTTTATCTTATAATAATTCAGGTGCAACATATCCTGGTGTTCCACATCTAGTGAATAAATACTTACCACTTGAAGTATAATGATCTGCTAAACCAAAATCACAAATACAGATATCATCCAAGTCATCTCTTTTTCTTAACATAATATTTTCAGGCTTTATATCTCGATGTAATATTCCTTATTCATGAATAAATTAGCAAGTTTTTAATAATTTGTAAATTAACTTTGAACATTTTTCTTCAGAAAAAGGGGGAGACTTCTTCATGAATTTATGAAGCTCTCCTCCTCTTAAATACTCAAGAACTAAGTATAAGTATTCTTCTCCTTCAAATACTTCATACATTTTTATTACTGAATCATTTTAAAGTTTTCTCATTATCGAAGTTTCTTTAATAATCGATAATTTATCAACCTCCTCTTTAAGATCAGATTTTCTAAAACATTTAATTGCATACTCTTGTCCATCAGTTTTACATATAGCCTTAAATACCTGACAATCAAATAATGAAATACTTCAGCAAAATTGCCTTATCCTATTTTTTTAAGTAATGTGTATCTTTAAGCAAAGTTTCTCTAAATACAATATTATTTAAGATAATTGAACCATATTTCAACATCTCCATACATTTCAAAGGATTGTTTATTTTTAAGAAATCTAATTCCTTGACCAGCTACTGGATGTTTAACAAACTCCATAGTAACATTGATCAAATTTATCCACTTATGAATTTCCTTAAAAATATACTTTAAATTCTACTTATTCTTTGAAAAGTAACAAATAATGAGTCATTATTCCAACTTTACGTTTCACAAGTTCTTTTTCCTTCTCTATAAGCATATTGTCTCTTAATTCATATTAGATTTCTCTAGCTGGGAATTTGGTTAATGTCCAGAAGGATTGTTGTTCTTAGTCATCAAAGAATGAATCTTTAATAGTGAAGTCCATAAATTGTAATTTTAATCGATATAACAAACTAATTAAATTATATCAGACATGAAATATGCTTAAGTTACAGCAGCTGCTTTTTAATCTGGAAAAATAGTGAAAGTTGAACATTATAGTTATAGTGTGAATGATTAAATTGGTTCAGGTTTCAGTAGTCAGGTGTTTAAAGGCAAAAATGAGAATACTAATGAGACCGTTGCGATAAAAGTATATTTGTGTTATGATCAATCAGATTATTGATAGAAGTAAAATAACAAATGAAGTTGAAGAGTTCTTATTGAATCAAGAGATTCGGGCCTTGTCACTAATGAATTCAGAAAACATTGTAAAAATGTATGATTATTATCATAAACCACAATGTACTTACATTATAACTGAATATTGTAATTAAGGTAAATAATAATTCCAGAATTATAGGTGATTTGGGATAGCTAATTAAAAGAAAATAGAGAATTGATGAAATAGAGGCTATTAAAATAATGAAGCATATAGTAAATGGTTTTAAAGAGTAAGTAGCCAAAGGAGTAATTCACAGAGATTTGAAACCAATAAATATTTTAATAAGAAATGGGATCCCAAAAATAGCAGATTATGGATTTTCAAAAATGATGAACGCACCACCAGAAACGATCTACTATAATGTAGGCACTGCATTATACATGTCTCCTTAAACTATGATTAAAAATACCTATTCTGAAAAAAGTGATATTTGGAGTTTGGGAGTAATCTTCTATGAGATGTTATATGGATAAGTACCATTTTCAGCTTAGAGTGAAAAAGACTTGGCTTAAGTTATGTTAAAGACAGTGCCATAATTTCCATAAAATATTTCAGTATCAAAGGAAACAATTGAGTTCGTTTTAAAATGCCTATCTGTTGATGAATCAAAAAGATTCTCATGCAGTGATTTAGAACATCATCCCATCTTCTATCGTAGACATACTTTGACTGCACCTCGACCTATTGGAGATAGAAATCCATCAGTTAAAAATAGAGACAATTACTCACCTCAAAGAGCTACAGAATATCAACCTACTCGTAAGATTAATTTTATAGCTTAAACTGCTATGCCTTAATCTGCATTAAAAAGTAGAGAAAGCGTAAGATATCTTACTTAAAATGATGAAGTCATTTAAGCTTAATTCTAATTTATTGAATTGATGTTTAGAATTCTTAAAGTTCTTGATAAACAATAAGTACTCAATTAAGATTTTTAAATCAAATTGAAATTCTTAATCATTAAAAACATGTTCTTCAAAACAATTTTGCTTAGAGAAGTTGTTGAAAAAAAAAAGAATGTATTATAACTCTATGAGTTTGATAATTACATTGAGACTGCCGGTAAATATTCAACTCAAGTTCATGAACTCTATCAAATTGCCAAAGAATATCACGATAAATAAGTAAAACTCATTATAATTCTTAGTATCAAATGATTGAAAGTAATCATGCTCTAAAACAATCTGTATTAAGAGATCGAAGCTTTTAAAAAATCTATGAAAACTTCAAATCAGTAACCGAAAGCTATGAATTTTATTTACTCTTTAGCACTCTGTTATAAAGATGCATTAGAGATTTGTTTAACAAATGTAATAGCAGATTAGCTGGAGCACATGATTCATAATAATTGTAATTGTAAGATGAAACTATGGTTTATGTATTGGAATAGTTGACATTCTACTACAGTTTGCTAAGACTAATAATAGAGAATAATAATAATATATAGATTTTTACTAAAAAAGCTTAGATCAGTAGAATTTTGTAGGCAGTTCCAGAATAAATTACAAAAAGCAACTTGATGAGTATCAGATAATCCATACAGGAGATGAAAATATGAAAAGAATAACTATTTCTAAATAAATTATATAAAAGATTTAAAAATGATAAGTGGAACACTGAGAAGATCATTTATTGGCAAAGCTCATTTTGGTCTAGTTTCAGAATACAATAATAGAGTCAATTAAAAGTTATACAAAGGAGTTTAAGTATCTGAAGCACCATAATTCTTCACAACTTCAGCAAGACCTGGAAATTTTGGTGATCATATTGATTTTAAAGTACAAATGGATAATTGGTTTGATGAAAACAGGTAATAATGGATATAAGATTTGAAAATAGAGTCCATAATGAACATGAGACTGAGATCAAAAGAACATAAATTTATGCATTAAATGCTGTCTATTATGGAGGATTACTCTCCTTTGCAAGACTATTCGCAGTAGGTTTAATAGGTAGATTGGATGGATGGAAGAGATATGATAGAGATACCTATCTTGAAATGGAGTAACGATTTTGCATTTAATTTTTAGTATTGGAGATTTACCACCTGGAGAAGTCATGCAAATTGTTTGGAATGGTACACCAGTGTTTATTAGAAGATTGACACAATAAGAAATTAAAGATGAAGATAACTTACCAAAAGAAACAATTTTAGATCCCAGGTAATTTATAAACATTTATTTTTAGTTCTGAAGTTGTTCTTACTAATTGTGGTAATACTAAGGTATTGGTTGTTAGTGCTTTATGCACTCATTTGGGATGCATTCCAATACCATATTTGGGTGCCTATAATGTAAATCCTACATTCTATCAAAGGGTTGGGTTTGTATTTGCCACGGTTCAGTCTATGATAAATATGCTAGAGTTAGATAAGGACCAGCTTTGTAGAATTTACCATTCATTAATAATTCAATCTATGATGATGTGATTGTTTGCATTGAAGAAATGAAATTCCCCAGAGAACCAAGTTAAAGATATTGGACTTGAACAGTAATAATATATTTATCTATTATGTTTCATTAATTATTTATTAATGTTCCAATTTTTGTATATATTATGACTAGAATAATCAATTATAAACCATATATTTTTAAGTTGCTGAAAACTTTTGATATCCTTTAATCACTTTTTCGATGGCTTCTAATAAATCCTTTTCACTAATAGCCTTTCTTCTAGCTCTAATTGCAAACATACCAGCTTCTGTGCAAACACTTCTAATATCAGCACCAGTTGTATTAGGACACAATCTAAACTGTTAATTTGATATATACCTTGCTAATAATTCATATCTAATGTTTTTTTCCATACTCATAGTTCTTGCATGAATTTTGAATATACCTGCTCTACCTTCCAAGTCAGGCAATGCAAATTCAACTTTTCTATCTAATCTTCCAGGTCTTAAAAGTGCTGGATCTAATGTGTCTGGTCTATTGGTTGCCATTAATACTTTAATATTTCCTCTTGAATCAAATCCATCCAATTAATTAACAATTTCAAGCATAGTTCTTTAAACATCATTATCATTTCCATCATCATGTCTAGCTCCTCCAATTGCATCAATTTCATCAAAAAAAATAATGCATGCCTTTTTAGTTCTTGCCATTTAAAATAATTCTCTAACCATCCTTGCTCCTTCTCCTACATATTTTTAAACTAATTCTGATCCTATAACACGAATAAAGCATGCCTATTTTTTAAATAATATATAAGTACTTCAGTTCTATTAGCAACTGCTCTAGCTGTTAAAGTTTTGCCTGTTCCTGGTGGTCCATACATCAAAACACCTTTTGGTGGATCAATACCCAAAGTAATAAATTTTTCTGGATTCAATAATGGCATTTCAACTACTTCCCTTAATTTTTTTAACTATTCTTTGCATCCTCCAATATCATTATATGTAACATCAGGTTTGTCTTCTACTGTCATCATTGTAACAGATGGATCTATCTTTGGAGGTAATGGTAATTATATTGCATATTTTTATCTTTCTACTCCTACTCTCATTCCTTCTTCAATATCTGTTGGGGCTACTTTTTCTCCTAAACCTACTACATACTTTGCTATATGCTTTATAGTGATCATATAAAGATCCTTTTGTTGAAGAGATGATTTAAATATCTTTGTACATCTAGCTACTGTCAGTGGATGTTCCTTATATATTGATATTATTTATTACTGCAGCAAGTTTTTGGTCAGCCACTAAATCCCATGTACTAGGAATACTCAAACCTGTATCACTTTCTTTTATTCCAACCATTTTATTTATTGAGGCTACAGAATTTTTGTTTTCTTCCTCTAATTATTTAATTTTCTCTGCATATGGTCCCATTCCATATTTCTTCAATAAGTTTATATCATTCTCATCAAGTGGTATTGTTTTTGTATCTTTCTCCCTAATAAAATCATAAATATATTATTTACTCTGCCATTACAAAAATTATTTAAATTAATACTTATCTGAAATAAAATTAATATTATCTAACCAATTATTTCATCCTACTATTATTAATTTATCATACTATCTTCCTACTATATTATTTACTCAACAATCTTTATTTTATCTCTTTCTTTTATTATTATTTATACAAAATGAATTTATTAAATGAGGTCAATGCTTTTATTAAAACATCACAATATCTCAAAGCCTTGAAATTACTTATAAGATATGAATATCAGGATTCCTCAGAAATCTGTATTAAAATTCTTAGAAGATACTCTTATGTTTGTAATAAGTTACTTTTCAAATATTTAATGAAATATGATAAAAAATCACATAAAGTTAAGCCCATCCTTTACAGAGCTTTCGATGCACTTTATATGTGGAGCCATTATTTATAAAAAGAAGAAACTATTCACAAAGTCTTTACTCCAAAACGTCTAAGTTGCATGTCTCCTCAAGCATCTTAAAAAATAATTAATCAAAGGACTAAAGTTAATAGGAAATGGCTCTTTTAATAAAAGCGATTATTCCTGCAATCCCTTTAAAACACATTAAAATACCATTATTTTTACCTAAAATTAAGAAAAGAAACTACTTTTGCTTTACTAATCTTAAAAAAATTTATAGTTGTTAGTTATTTTAGTGATTGCAATTTTTAACTTCATCAAAAGTCTATTGATAATAGATAAGAAATGCTAATGATTATTGGATCAGCCTACTTTGAAATTAATTCTATGGCATAAACTATCAATCATTTGTATTTGTCAATAATATTAGGAATAGAAAAAACAATCATTCCCTTTTTTTACCTTAAAGAATAATTAAGAATGTCATAATCAGATTATCAATTTTAAAAGTAGATTACAAAAACCACTTCTATGTTAGTTTCCTCAATTTCTTTATTAGCTTCAGCTCATGAAATTAAAGGAGAAATATAAGAAATGTAAACTTGTTTATCATTTTCTAAATTTATGTGCAATATTTTGATTTTCTTTGAAAAATGCACAGATTTATAAAAAGTTATTGAATAAAATGATAAGCTTAAAAAAGAAGCTTATTCTCTTTATTTATTAGAAAATGGCGAACTTATTAGATTTTCTAAATTTCTTACAGATTATTAAAGTCAAAAAAGCAATATCAGTTTCACTCCAAGAACTTTATATGAAGAATTACTTGAAAAACATTAAAAAATTGATTAACCTTCATTAATATTTACTAATCATCATTAAGTTGAAAATGAAGTCGTCAATCATTTTCATAAGAAAACTAATAGTGAATTAACTGAAACAACTTTAGCATCTGGAAGACCTAGCAAATGTGGAACTGAAATTTAGTTTTTTAACGATTCTCTAGGTTTAACTAGTATTTCTATTTAATAACCATCAGAATTTTAAAAATTCAGAAGATTTTAAAAGGTACAAAAATACAAAAAAACTGGTAACAATTTTTTAGCAAAATTACTTTAATTAAGTGAACATAATAAACATCAAGAATATAAATTTTAATCTTAGTAAATAAAAAGAGAAAGTTCATTCAATACTTTAGAATAAGAAATTAATAAGATAATTGATAGAAGGCTTCCAAGAAATCATATTCCTTTTGAATAATCCTAATTTTAATGCAATAAATTAATCAAGTAAGAATCTGAATAGAGAAAAGAATTTCCATTTGCTTATGATATGTTAAAATTCAAATAGGATTTTTCGAGTGGCTTATGTATTCTTGAAGAGAATATTTAAGAAGTAAATATTATTTTTAATTAGTTTAATAAACATTTTGAATTTAATGTTTTAATGTACTTTGACTATTTAACTTAGAGTAAGGAGAGTGCTATGAGTAATTTGAAATACAATTAAAATTTCTCAAAACTAAGATTAGCTGAATAAAAATTGATATAATCTAGAAATTTAGTTTTAAAAAAGTAAGTTGAATCTATCTAGCAGGAAAAGGAGGAAGAAAAAAAGAAAGATACAGAAAATGAAACATAAGCTAATCTATTATTTGAAACAGTATAAAAAAGAAAAACTATGCTTTTTAACATATTAGGTACTAATGATACACCAATAAAAACTCCTTAAATAAATGAAAGTCAAGCTTAAAAATTAGAAAAAAATGTTTTTAAATTCTCTTCAACAAATACAACACCAAAGAATAACTCCCTATCAGAATAAATAAGATAATTTAGTGCTTAAAGAGAAAAATAAATTTAATAATAATATTTTACTAAAGCTTAAACAACAATTAAAGCTCAGCTATTAGAAAGTGAATTTTTAATTGAATAAAAATAAAATGCAAAACATATTTCGGAACCTCCAGAATTATTATTAACAAAATTAGGTAATAATGATGATTTGGCAAATTCGATAAAACATTTGAAAGCAACAGGATTTTAAAAGATCTTATTAAAAAAAAGAAAGACGACCAAGCTGGCTTCTACAAAGCTATGACTTTGGAAATTTAAAAATATTTTGATTACAATATATTCATATGTTATTTTGTTTATTTTATTCTACAGATTTAGCCTAGATAGAATTATGAATAATTCAGAAAACCTTGAATACTTTCTTTTATATTTAGACTTTATAAGATATTATTCAAGATCTGGTTTAACTAATATGTCGTATTGATTGAGATCTTGCAATTGATTTTCTCAGTCTTTTTCTTTTTAATTTTAATGGCAACTTTTTATTTACTTTTTTTAATTTTCCCACAACTATTTACAAGTTAAATCCAGTGTCATAAAATTCCATTTCTTTTTGTGCATCTATATCACATTCTTATTTAGCCATTAATTTTGCAATATCCATTTCAATAAATTATACTTAATCTATATCCAATTCTTTTATAAATTATGGCTGTGGCTATTAACCATATATTTAAGGTAATTAAGGTGATCCTTACTATTATTAAGTCTATAAAGTAAGAGCAATTGCTTATTAAAATTAATTTTATAAAGGATCATCATCTAATTTTTCACTCTAATCAAGTTTCACCTAATTTAAGATTAAAGTAGGTCTTTTTGCACTTTATTTATATCTTTTTTCTTGAAAACCTTATTCTCTTTCATATTATACAGAATTTCTATTTTATTAACAAATCTTCTATATTGAAACTCTGGTTTATTTTTTTTTAGATTTAATAGATTGAGAATCTTTATTTTCAGAAACTTTTCTTTTCGAATCTCTTCTGATTTGTAATAGATTTTAAGATTTTATTGGTTTATATTCTGAGTCATTATTTGAATTCGTTAAACTATTATCCATTTCTTCTTAAGCTGAATCCTATTAGAAATTAAATTTATTTGACAAAATAAATTCTGAGTTTGGTCCAATTTCATTTAATAAACCTTAGTAAGCACAATAGTTAAAGACTGTTGATTACAAATTTCTTATTTATATTAGTGAGTTCTATAAATAGTTATTAATTTACATTACATTATGAGTTTTCTCATCTAATTTTCTAGATCTTATTTTAAATTTTCTATGTTACTTTTCATCGTAATCATTTTTTTTAAATAATCTTAAACTATTGGGTGTATAAAATACAAATGGACATTTAATGAAATCATGATTTTAATGACATAATTCACAACCACCCATTTTAACTCTACCACCAAATTCAATTTAATGTTTAACTTAAAAAAAATGTTCTCTATCTTATTAATTATATTTTAATAATTCTATTAAATCATCATAAGTTATATAAGCTAATTTTGAAAATTTAATAGCTCTTGTAGAGAATAAAGCTGGATGTTGTGAAATAAAGGATTTTTCATCTAAAGCTTAACTTCTTGAATAAATTTTAATAGTTTTATTATTACTTATGTAAGCTTCAACTTCACCTTTGAGAATAAAATAAATTTTATCAACTTTTTATCTAATAATTAAATTTTCAATACCCTTCAATAGAGATGATTTCTTCAGGAACAAATGATTATTCCTTAACTAAAATGCATAACTTTTCTATAAATTGAGGAGAAAAGTTTTGTCTGAATAATTTAGATGTTTACAACAAATTTTTGTAAAAATCAATTTTGACTTCTCTATTTAAAGTTCCAGATAAATGAGTCATTAATTTTTCACATTCAGATTCTTAATCTCTTTCTTATTTCAAAAAGTATTCAAAGAATTTCTTAACTTTTACTTACAAATCTTTATTCAAACCTCTTTTTTTAAGAAATGAATCTATCATTGTCATTTTATCTCTTAAATAATTTTTATTTTCACTCATTTAAGCAAAAATAGATCCAATACTTGATATTGTATATCCAAAAATGATAGAACTTAAAAGAGTTACAAAAATTACAAATATTTTTTCATATTGAGTAACCTATTAATAAATATCTTATAATATGTTACAGGTATGATATCACCATATCCAATAGTTAATGTAGTTATACAAGCCCAATAAAAACTTGTTATATATCTAGATTACCAATTCTGATCAAGTAGATTGGCTCTTTGAATCCAGGTATTTTCTTAAAAATATGCTTCTTGAATTGCAATAAAATGCCAAATACAAGCTATAATATGTGAGGCAAATAAAAAAGTTGACATTAAAGAAATGATATCAATAACTGATGCAAAATTAACTCTAAGATTCATAGTTTCAACAATATTTTCAAAAATATACATAACCTTAAAAGATAATAAAATTAAAATACTCTGGATACTCTAAATAATAACACAAATTCAATATAGGGAACATTAGATCTTCCTATCATAAATGGAATCAAAACAATAAAATCAAGTGCAAATTTACCTTTTAAATAATGCTTGAAAATCTATGCTCTATTCAATACAAGTACACCTCTTGAATAGTAAGCAACATTAAAATTAAGCAAAATTTCAAAAACAAATACATATTAAGGTAAAGTATCTAAAAAAAAGTCTGCTCCATCAACTACACTTATTTCAAATGAGATTTTAAGAGGAATGTATAGAATATTTATAAGAAGAATGAGAAAGACTATAACATCCCAATAAAGTTTAAGTAAATTATCAGGTTTTATTGGTTTAATAATAGATCCAAATACTCTTAAAAAACTAAGGTAAACCTTAAATTTTGCATAAAGTAATTCCTTAAAAAATAATTATTTAAAATTACTAATGAGCCTTATTTAGACTTCCCTCTAATTAATTTATGTGTTAAAAAGAAATTAAAATTTGAAGCTTTATCTCCTAAAACTTTGAATTATCTATGATCTAAATATCTCAATTTAAATTTATCTGAATTAGTCAATAAGTAAGTAACAAAACGAGCAACAAGAACTATTATGTTTAGAGCTCTATCTTTCCAGATCTTATTCTTAAAACCTTATTTGACTTCGAAATCATCAGAGTCTTAGGAGAGAATACTCTATTCGCTCATTTCTCTGGAGAGCTTTATTCTATCAAGCATAGTGAATTAAGATTGTTTCATTTTAAAGTTATTTAAGAATTCATCATCTTGAATTATAATAGCAAATTATACTCATAAATACTATGGAACTTGCCATATTTGGACTAGAAAGAGGTTCTTCATATGCGGACATAAAAAATTAATAATTAATATGAATATTCATATCATAATGACTAAATACTTTGAATATTATTCTCTAATTATAACACTATAACAATTTAAAGATAAAATAGTAAATAACTTGATTATATATATATACATATATAAATTTTATTTAAAAAAAAATGATTAATACAACAATAAAAAGAGAGGAAAGCTTTTTAACAACAAAAGTATCTGATAGAGTTATCACAGTTGAGAATGAACAAAGATCAACATATAATTTTGTAAGAAGAAATTATTTGACAACTACATTTGCAACATTAGCAAACAGATAAACAAATGGAGTATATAATATTGCTTTTAATTCATCATGCTGTTAACCTTGTCCATAGCCATGTCCTTAACCTTAAGCTATGCCTATGCCTATTTATATACCTATGCCGTATCCCTAATAATGTGAAAAAGAATGTCATTGTGAAGAAGAAGAATAATATAAAGAAGAAGTTCTTATTTTAAGATAAAGAGTTGCTGAATTATTAAGCAGATAACCATAAGTAAAAGTAGAAAAAGAAACTGTCAAAGTTGAAAATACGACTAGAGTATTTTAGCAATATAAAATTTTTAGATTGCAGATTTATAAATGGAGATTGAAAGATTAAAAATTAATATTAGAAATGAATAAGATAGATTAAGATAAAAAGAAAGAGAATATATAGAATTGAGAAGTGATAATTCATCTTAATCTTTAAAAGATAGATTATCTATCTTAGAAGTATTTTATTTTATTATTAAAATAGAGTTAATTGTACAATTCAAAATTAGAATTGGAAAAACTTCAAGGACTTCTTAAATAAAAATTGTAAGAATTAGATGAATGGGAATAAAGATTTCATTAAATTGAAAGTACTGTTACTGTAGAGAGTTCAGAGACTGTGACATTAACTAATGTAATCTTCTAATTTCTATTTAGGAAGTTGAAGTTTGGAAGACTAAATTTAAGAAATTAAATAATGATTTTTTTGAAACCTAAGAAAAATTAATTATGGCATAAGCTGAATTAGAAGCACTTAAATAAGGAGGAGTAACTGAAGTTAAATAAGTGACTGTACAATAGAATGTTACTAGTTCCTCAGTTAATAGAGTTATTGAATAATCTTCCAGAGGATCTAGAGTTGTTAATCAAAATCTAGTTGGAAAGTTATATCCCTGAAAAGTATTTGAATCAAAAGCAATATAAAAAATATTAATATAAAAATATTTTATAATTATAAAAAAAGGACCTACTTGGATTCGAACCAAGGTCTTGAGGGTTAAAGCCTCAGGTACTAACCACTATACGATAGATCCTATAGTTATACTTTAACTTATGAGAAACTATATCAATATATCTATTACCTAATTATAAACTATACACTTGTAAAAACAAAAAAGACATTCAAACTTAAATTTATTTAAATTATAAAAAGTTCTCTTTTTATTTTTAATTATTTTATTTTATTAAAATAAATAACAAATATTACACTAATTTCATTTTGTATTCATTTTTTTAAAAGAATTTTTTAATTACCAAGATTAAGATAATTTCCCGTAATTTTAAGAGCAGGAAAGTTTATCTATTTTCTCATTTTAATAATAAGGGCTTGCCTAAGCCTTAAAATAGATTTTAGTATTTAATATTTTAGGGCTCCCATTTGGAGATGAATTTCTTGAATTTTTAAAAATTAAAGGCTTTAACACAGGTGATTAAGCTTTTCTTTTGTTTACATCTGCATGGTTTCTGACAAAAAATCTCTATTCTTCGTTTGATAAATAGGGATGCTTTAATGCTTATTAAGCTGATAATCTATTTATTGGATCATCTTATAATAATTATTTTAAGAAACATAATCCATTATTAGAAATCTCTGGGATATTTAAAAAATCAATATGACCTAGAAAATTTTTCATAATAGTTTCTTTTGTAGAAGATGATTAATATGGATCCTTACCAAATAAGATTTAATAACCCAATATTCCAACACTATAAATATCAACTTTTAAACCATATTTTTATTTTCTTAGAATTTCTGGAGCTACACAACCAGGAGTTCCACAATACTTATATAAATATTTATTCTCATCATTAGCTTTTTCGGCTAGTCCAAAATCTATTAAACATAAAGAATTAAAATTGTTTATTGTTCTTAACATTAAATTACATTTTTTTATATCTCTATGAAATATACCATTGCTATGCATATAATTTAATCCTTTTAGAATGGATCTTAAAATTTATTTGGCATTTTCTTCATTTATTTTTTCATCTCCAAGTATAGTTTTTAAGTCTCCACCTTCTAAGAATTCTTACACTACTATAATTTGAGTGTTTGATTCAAAAACACCTTTGTATTGTATGATATTTGGATGATTTAATGATCTCATTATCTTTATTTCCATTTTTATTGATTATTTGATAGTTGAGTCTTTTTCAGATAAGGATTTATCAAACACTTTTATAGCATAGTTTTGTTTATCGATCTTAGAATACACTTAATAAACCTAAGTATTATTTAATTAATTACATTAGCTGCAGATCCACTTCCAAGCAATCGTACTATCTGATAATTAGAAATGAAATCTAAACTTACACATTCTTTCATCAATATTGCTATCCAATTATTAATTTGGCCAAATAACTCAATTGTTTTACCATTTTTTTCTAATCTAAATCCAATAATTTCATCATCTAAATTACGTAAAATAGTTAAAAAGGCCTCTTAAAAGGATATATATTTCTAATTTAAATACTTTATATACATTTCTTGAATATTTAATATATTAAGTTCCAATCTATAATTTTTTTTCTTTAACTTTTTCTTAATATTTAACCACAATCTAAGCATCTAATTAAAAAACAAAGTTTATATTTGTGATCCATAAAGTTGTTTCAGGTGAGAATATAGAATTACGTACATCGAAGTTATTTTAAACTTGCTAATTTCTTTGATACATAAATTTAATCAAATTAAGATTTCTGATAATATAAATTATAAAGATCCATCCATGCTAAATCGATATATTTGAAAAATCACTTTACATAACTTTCTTTCGTTTAGTTGTTTTGATTTTCTTAACTTGCACCCATTAATTTTATTTTGTTTTTCTCATATTTAAAACGATAGAAAAAAACGATAAAATGTAATAATACCCATTATTAATCAATAATTTAGAAAAAAAAGAATTCATAATTATTCATGTTCAAATATTTGGGCTTAAGCATTTCTTTAAAAAACTATATCGAGGTTTTAAGGAACTTGGTTTTTCTTCATATAATAATCTATGTGAAATATAATTTTCAGTTTAGGGACTATAAGAATGATTCTGTAAAATCTTTGAATCTAAAGAATCATTTATTATTGGCAATTTGAGGCTTTTTTACAAATTAGAGATAATTTATTAATCTTTTTATGAATTTCTAGGAGTAAATCTAGAAGAGCGTCGAAAATTATTATTCATATAATGGGGAATTCCTTACATTTTAGAAGATCTTCTTGTTATTGTAAAGTTGAATATTTCTAAATTTAATATGTCTGAACATTTCAAACATTCCATTTAAGGTTAGCCTTTTTAGGTTAATAAAATTTCAAAAAATTATTATAGTGAAGGATTTGAATCCATTAATTCAATATCAGCCATGCTTTCATAGTTTTTCATTAATAATTCACCTAGAACAAGTTTCTCTTAACATAATTTCTTTGAGAAAATGCTATAAATTACGATGCATAAAGCTAGAATATCTTTTTTTCTAATAAATTAAATTGATGGGTTTTATTCATAAAAATTGAGATTATTAGAGTTATGGAAATTTTTTTAGATGACTTCTGATTTTCCATAATTTATTATACAGGCTGATGTTAAATCTTATTAATCTTTTAGAAGAATATTATCAAATTTAATATCATTATGAAAAATATTTCTTTCATGAAGATAATTAAGTGATTTAAATAAAGTTTACATCAATATTATTGTTTCTTATTCAGAATATCTAAATCTAAATATTGAATTTTTCAAATGTCCTCCTTCCAATAGATCTGTAACTATATAAATATTCTCTTCACATTCGAAAGTTTCATGTAGTTTAAGTAAATTACTGTGATTAATTTATCTTAGAACAGCTAACTCGTTTGTTAGATATTGTTTCTCGCTATTGTTATTTCTTGAAACTAAGCTCTTATCAATAATTTTCACAGCTACTTTTTATCCATTTATGATTTTATAAGCCTTGTAAACCTAAAATTATTTTTTAATATACTGATGAGCTATAACCCTCTCCTAATTTTTATCCTAATTTGTATTTTAAGGAGAAGTCAGTTTAGATTACAAATTTTTTTATCGATTTCCATAATTCAATTATTTCTCCAAATAACTCAATAAATTATCCATTTCTACTTAATCGTAACCCTAACTACTAAGTTTTTGGATGCAATGTCTTTTTTACGCAGACATTATCAAGATTTATGAATCTATCCCCTTTCTTCAATGTATTAAATAAAATACCTCTTCAGCTATTTTTATTATATTTTCTTGTAGTAATATGCACGCAGAGTTTTATCGATTATTATATTTCATAAGAAAGGTTCCAAATTGTATAAACTCCATCTAATGTTGAGGAGAATTACAAAATAATTACTTTCCATCATTAAAGAATGAGGATTTAGAATAATCAAATTATAAAGTCACAGTTTTTCTCATTTGGAATTAAAGAATGATAATATTGTTTTAATAATTCGATTTTCAATTCGTATTTCCCCAATAAATTGAAATGATAATTCAATTTTACATTTAAACATCTTACTTTATATTATTTTTTAGTATAAAAAAAATTAGAGGGATATTTTATTCAAAGAAGAACTTTCTATTTTAAAATTTTCAAACTCTATTCGATTTAAAATAATATTTTGTTATTGAATTGATATAATTTGTAGCGATAAAAATTTTGAATCTTTTTGTAGAGACATGTATTTTAGGTATTTTTTTAAAGTTGAAAATTTTTGTGAAATTTTTTAAGTAATTTGTTCAAGTTTTATATTTTAATAAAGTCAATAGAAATTCATCAATAATACTGAATAAAAATTGTACAGATAATAATAATGATAATTTTTGAAGAAGAACAAAATAATATCAATTACGTTTTCTTTTGAGTAATTCTCCTAATTACTTTTGCTGAGTCTTATTCATTTTTTTTTTTTAATCAGGATTGTTAAATTTTACACTTTTTGGTGGTTTAAATGTTTTTAAATCTTTTTTTTTAAGTATGCTTCGATGACCATTAATTGAATTGTTGTCATATGATGAATTCAAATTATGAGAATCTAAATCAAATAAAGAATCAAGAATTTAATTGGTATTAGTTAAAAATTTCTCATTTTATTATATTGAGTTTAAGACTACTTCTTAATCTGTATGATTGGTAGAAGAGACTGTTTGAGATGGTTTCCTTAATTCTTAAATGTTATTAATACAAGCTTCAAAGTCAGTTATGAATTTTGTTTTTATTGAATATTAAGAAGCATAATGAGGACCAAAGTATTCAGAATTGATTTACTCTGATTGTTCATCAGAAATATTATCAGTTTATTATTTACAACAATTTGCACTCTATCCCATTAATTAAAATAAATTAGATATTTCAAAAGGGATTAATGAATTAAATAATTTTGTTTTGCTGGTATTTTACCGTGAAATAAAAAACAAAAAGAAAATTAGATTTAAAATTGATTGGTAAAGATGATTGTCAATGATTGTATGTCGAAATTTGAAAATAATATATTTTATTCATAAATAAAATTAAATAAATCTTTTTATAGTATAGAGATCATGGCTTCATTTAGACCGTTACCTGTAATGAATTAAATTAGATAATAAAGATTCATCCACCTAGAATCTAAATGTAACCTGGAGCACCTTAATTTGCTACAGTAATAATTGAAACACCTCCAAGAAAATAACCAGCGCCAATTTAAATAGAGTTTGATGAAGGATTGATAACTAGAATGTAAGAAGAAATTGATGTGTGGAGAAACAAATATTTCTAATTAGAATTATAATTTTAAATAAATGCTGGAGAATTAAAGAAGGTGATAATTTCATTTAATTATTAGATTGATTATTTAGAAGGAAGAATTAAAGTACTTTAAGATGCAATAAAACAATTAAATATAGAAAATAGAGCATAAATAAATTCAAATGAAATTTTAAGAGTAAAATGTGATGAACTTGAATTAGAAAATTAAGATCTCAAAATGGCAAGATAAGAAAATAAACGTTTAAGAGAATTGTTAGATGATGCACATAATGAGCTATCATAGGTATATTGGTTAATTATGTTTTAGGCTAAATAAACAATTGCTAACTATGAAGATTAATTAGCAGATTTAGCAATAAAAGATTAAGTAATAAAAGAGTAAAAAGATAAAATTAACCAATTATTATAAGAAATAGAATTTTGGAAAAAGAGATATTAATAATTAGATGTAGATAGAATAAAAGGTATAGAAGAATTTAAGAAGAGTAGTGAAACTTTAAGAAATTCATAATTTAATGAGTTAAGAAGAAGCGGATCTATGCAAGTTTAGGGATATCAAAATGAATTAAAAAACTTAAGAGTATAATTAGAAAGATTGTAATAAGAGAATAATGAGTTAAAAGATACTATTCATTAATTAGAGAGTACTAAAAATGGTTAGAATTCATAATTTAAGGAAGTGAGTTCTAAACTTGAAAGTTCTAATAAAGAGATTAAGAGATTAAATGATATATTACTTTAGAGAGGTTAATAAAATAAACAATTAGAATTAAGAATTAAAGAACTTGAAAGATAAGTGAGTGAAAAAAATATCTTGAAAGAAGAAATTGATAAATTAAGATAATAATTGAATGATAAAAATAAATAGTTGTAAGATTAACATAATTAAATAACACAATTGAATAATAGAATAGCAGAGTTAGAGCGTTTATTATAAGAATCTAAATAATATAAAGAAAAGATTTAATAATTATAGACTGAAATAGCATAATTGAAAGCAATTATTAAGGGAAAGGAAGAGGAGATTTCTATTTTGAATTAGAAGATTATAAATTTAACTGATTAACTTAAAGAAATAGATAAAATTATTTAAGAAAAATATGCTTTAGAAAATAAAGTAGCAATGCTTGCAACAGAAATTGAAAGAAAGGGAGCTCAATTAAAAAATAAAGATAAAACTATTGATGAATTAAGAGAAAATTTAGATTAAAATAATCATACTCTTGCAGAAGTTGAATAATTATAATAAGATATAGAATCATTACATCTGGAACTTAAAGGAAAAGATGATTTAATTAAAGAACTTGATTAACAGTATCATGATGCTCTTAAATATTAAGAATAAGTATCTTAATTAGAAACATAAGTATTTGATTTATAAGGAAAAGTGGCAATGCTTTCTTCTGAAATTGAAAGGTAAAGAATTAAATTAGATAAATATAAGAAAGATTATGATGGTTAATAAGATAAAATAAATTAATTAAATGATATTAAATATGATTTTGAATCAATGTAAGAAGCTTTATAAAGATACAAATCATAAGAAGATCAATAATAACATGAATATGATAGTTGGAGAGAATTATTAAAAAAGGCTGATCTTGAATCTGCTGAATTATAAAAAACTTAAGAGACATTATCCAGTGAAAAACAAATAGCATAAGATTAATATGAAAAGTTGAATGAATAAATTGATGAATTAAATAAATTACTTTAAGAAGAAAGATCTAAAATAGAAGGTTTACATAAAGAAATAGAAAAATACTAAGATTTAGAAAATAAAGTTTATGAAATGTAAAATAAAACAGCTATGCTATCAGCAGAAATTGAAAGAAGAAGTGTTAAAGAAAAAACAAAATAATAATAATTTGATGAGTTATAATAACATTCAAAATAACAATAAGATGATTTAGAAAAATTATTTTAAATTGAATAGGAAAATGAAACATTAAATGAGGCTATAAAAAAAACTTAAGATGAAATTGTTACATTGTAAAAATTATAAGATGAAACATAAGAAAAATATGAAAAGGTCTTATCAGAAAGAGGAAATCTAGAAAATAAGGTAGCTATGTTGTCAACTGAAATTGAAAGATAATCATATAGATTAAAAAATAAAATAGAAGAATGCTCATAATTGAATGAAAAAAATTAAGTATTATAAGGTGAAGTATTAAGACTTTAAGATTTACCAGCTCAAGTTGAAGATTTGACTTAATAAGTTGAAGAATTAAGAAATTTATTAAATGAAGCTGATTTAAAATAAGTTAAATTAACTTAAGATTTAGATTCTGTTGCTCATGAAAAAGCATTAATTGAAGCTGAAATTTAGAAACATTAAGATGAAGCTAAATTGTAATAACAATTAACTGAAGAAGCTAAAAAATAATTGGCTAATTTCACTGAAAAATTCAAGAGTGTTGAAGATGAAAATAGTTCACTTAGAACTTTAGAATCTAAATTATCAGAATATTAAATGAAAACTGCTCTGTTGGCTTCTTAAATTGAAGCTTAAAATAAAAAATATTAAGGTAAACTAGATGAAATGGCTACTTTACAATAAAATTATAATGATCTTAAAGCTCATTAATTAGATGTAGAAGATATATAAGGAGAATTAGAAAGAACTATAACTATTTTAAATGAAAAGGATNGGCAATGCTTTCTTCTGAAATTGAAAGGTAAAGAATTAAATTAGATAAATATAAGAAAGATTATGATGGTTAATAAGATAAAATAAATTAATTAAATGATATTAAATATGATTTTGAATCAATGTAAGAAGCTTTATAAAGATACAAATCATAAGAAGATCAATAATAACATGAATATGATAGTTGGAGAGAATTATTAAAAAAGGCTGATCTTGAATCTGCTGAATTATAAAAAACTTAAGAGACATTATCCAGTGAAAAACAAATAGCATAAGATTAATATGAAAAGTTGAATGAATAAATTGATGAATTAAATAAATTACTTTAAGAAGAAAGATCTAAAATAGAAGGTTTACATAAAGAAATAGAAAAATACTAAGATTTAGAAAATAAAGTTTATGAAATGTAAAATAAAACAGCTATGCTATCAGCAGAAATTGAAAGAAGAAGTGTTAAAGAAAAAACAAAATAATAATAATTTGATGAGTTATAATAACATTCAAAATAACAATAAGATGATTTAGAAAAATTATTTTAAATTGAATAGGAAAATGAAACATTAAATGAGGCTATAAAAAAAACTTAAGATGAAATTGTTACATTGTAAAAATTATAAGATGAAACATAAGAAAAATATGAAAAGGTCTTATCAGAAAGAGGAAATCTAGAAAATAAGGTAGCTATGTTGTCAACTGAAATTGAAAGATAATCATATAGATTAAAAAATAAAATAGAAGAATGCTCATAATTGAATGAAAAAAATTAAGTATTATAAGGTGAAGTATTAAGACTTTAAGATTTACCAGCTCAAGTTGAAGATTTGACTTAATAAGTTGAAGAATTAAGAAATTTATTAAATGAAGCTGATTTAAAATAAGTTAAATTAACTTAAGATTTAGATTCTGTTGCTCATGAAAAAGCATTAATTGAAGCTGAAATTTAGAAACATTAAGATGAAGCTAAATTGTAATAACAATTAACTGAAGAAGCTAAAAAATAATTGGCTAATTTCACTGAAAAATTCAAGAGTGTTGAAGATGAAAATAGTTCACTTAGAACTTTAGAATCTAAATTATCAGAATATTAAATGAAAACTGCTCTGTTGGCTTCTTAAATTGAAGCTTAAAATAAAAAATATTAAGGTAAACTAGATGAAATGGCTACTTTACAATAAAATTATAATGATCTTAAAGCTCATTAATTAGATGTAGAAGATATATAAGGAGAATTAGAAAGAACTATAACTATTTTAAATGAAAAGGATAAAGAACATGGTTTATATGATAAAAAAATTTAAGATTTAGAAGCATAAATCAAATAACTAGAAGATATTAAAGTATTCTTTCAATTAATAATATTAGTATTAACTTGAAAGTAAAATGGCTATGGTTAGTAGTGAAGTTGAAAGAGTTAAGTACAAATATGAAAAATTATAGAAGGAATATGAAGAGAATCATTAAAGATTATTAGAAGCTGAAGAACATTTAGTAGAAAATAATAAAGAGGTTTAAGCTTTAGAAGATGTAATATATATATATCTATAATTTAAAGGAATTACATTAAACTTAATAAGAATTAGCCTAAGCTAGAAAAACACAATGATTAGAAAAATGATGGATTATAAAAATACAAATAAAACAATATATTATTATCAATTTATCACTGTATTGATTTAATAAAATATTGGAGTACATTTATCTTACTCTTCTATTTATTTTTTCAAATGATGTATGTGAGATAAAATTGAAAAATCTTCATCTGATAAAATTTCAACCTACTTAAGTGGTTCAATAGTTTCTTATGCATTTTTATTATTTAAGGGAACAGAAATTTCATTCTTTTCATCTTTACTTTTTTCAGTTTATTTTAAAAATACTTTCGGAGCATTAATTGATCCTTCATTATAATCGATTTAATATGACTGATTAATCATGTGATTATTATATAATCTTATACCTATTTAATGACTATGCCGAAATGCTTATTTTGATTAGATTGATAATAATATAAATTAGATCCTGGAAATCTCATATATTTAATTAAGTATAGTCAGTTTATCTTTTGTGAAATCTTTTAGTTGTTCATAATACTTTAGAAAACCAACTTTATCTTAAATTACCTTACCATTTTTTGAAACATTAGTAATTCTACCTAAAAAATTTCTTTCAAATGAAACTTATTACATTTCTGGATAATAATAACTAATTATTGTATTTAATAATGTATCTTCTAAAATTTTAGAATTAATTTAGATAACTATTAATTTAAGCATCATTAATGTAGACATTATAGAACCTACATCAGCTAATATCTCTCCTAATTTAGGATAAATAATTTATTAGGTTTCAGATAAACTATCTACTCCTATTAAAAATAATCCAAGATATTTGCTTCCAAAACTTTATTCAAAATTGCTCTAAGGTAATTATTAAGATGTTGTTTGAAAATCACTAATTAACTTTTGATTTTTTATTGATTCTAAAAAGAAACCTGTGTCAGTTATAGATGTTGTTATTTTAAATAATAATTAAGTGTAAAGAGCTGTTTCTCGATCCAAAATAAAATAAAGTTATTTGGAAATCATTTCAAATTCCTTTAATTTTGTGTTGTATTATTGCATTTATATTGTTAAGAAAAATGTGTTTAAAGG